GACGGTGGCTTTAGGTATGGCGTTCGGCCTTCTGAATAAGATGTAACGAGCATCTCCAATTTTTAAACCCCCCTGTCGTCCACGGGAGCACAAAGTACTGAATCATGGTCAGTATAAGATGCACGATTTAAAACACGGATACTGCAACGGTCGGTATCGTCTCTGCGTTACACCCAGGATGTTCGAGAAATACAACATCCTGTACTGCAGGTAAGGGTAAGTATGGCAAGACAGGACCCGAACGAAAGATCGAGACTCGTTCGTTATCATCCATCCCAGTCGGCCGTCGTGTAACCTGGGAAATTCGCACATGGAGCCTCTCCCTTGCGTGGGCCAGAACTCGTGATGGGTCAACATATTTCCAGTTTTCCAGAACATGGTTGTGTCCCTTGATTCGGCCCGGTTTTGTGCACCGTGAATCCTACCATACCTGTCAGTGTCAAGTCAAAAACTGAAGGTAGCATGTCTGAGCTATGCCAAGCGAAGGGCCAATAATGGAGGGGTAGTCGTGAATAGCATCATCGGCATCCTCTTCTGAACCATGACCATCATTATTACCATCTTCGGTTGCACATCATGGACCGCATGATCGTCATCGTCCAAGACCCCCCCTGGGGAAACACGGCAGTCTCCTGAATATTTTTAACACCGGCCAGACCCTCCACCTGCTCCTCCTCTGTTCCCCCTTGAGCTAATAAAGACAGCCAAGAATTTCCGCCAAGATTCGCCAAGGCCCGTCCAATATGTATGCTGTATGGAGGACGCCTCCTCCATAGTCCATGCATCGATCGATCTGAGGAGAATGGGGGGGGGAAACAATAATCGCCCTTTTTTCATCTTCCTCCCCCCTTGCTTCCTCTCAACACTGCGGAGGAGCACAGGAGGAGCACGGCTGGTCCATTCCACAACAGCGCTTGGCAACGTCCCCTATGACTATTGACTATGTGGACGGTAGGGAGTTACCAGAGTCGCTCTACGTACTCCCTCCCTCACCCGTACAACGGGGAATACCGCCAAGAAAAACCCCCCATTCCCCCCTCCCCTAAAAAGCAGGCGCGCAGAAAAATCACCATGAGTCTATTGAGTCTGCCAAGTCTGGGTCTGTGAAAAAGTGGTGACGCTCAAGAACTGCCGGGGAACGAGATTGCCCGGTTCCCGATTCATCCTCTTGACTTCCCCTTGCGGCGTTTACTTTCACAAATACTACGCTTTAAGAACCGGTCCCATGGCCCAAGTTGAGTTGAGTTCACCCAGTTATTTGCTCATGCCAAGTCCGCCGAGATCACTGTGAAATTCCTGTCTCTTCCTCCTTACACTTTTTGCACCCCCTCCTATTCCACCCGGGCCCAGCCCAGCCCAGCCCGCCTAGCCTACTGTTGACAGTATTGTTCTCTCCCCCTTCCTTACGAACGAGACCCGAAAACGAAACGAAACCAAAAATGGGCATTTGACTCCGAACTAGAATGATGCGATGCATCTATTTCCCTGATAACCACTGTCGTAGTGGTAGATCATCGTCGATCATATGCTGGATGAGTGCATATACTGATCTTGGCGATCGAGCAAACCAGGAGGAACTGGTGTTGACACTGCCTGGTGAGTTGATGGGGGGAGGCGGAGACAGACAGCGAAGAACAGGTATTTCGGGGTCCTACAGCGTGGCAGCGGCGAGTAGGCTGCATAGAGATAAGAAAGAGGGTTGTAAATTTATGAGGTAAGATTGATTTTTGATGGAATTACTATTTCGCAGACCAGACAGTATAAGGTAGGTAACTTAGTAGATACTATACGGCGTTCTCCGTGTAGAAAAGTCAATGCTACGAATAAGCTACCTACAATACTACCAAAATCACGGTCGCCTTTCGTCCGATCGCGTCGCCTTCGTACGAGATTACTGTTTAGAGGCGAAGGCAACGGCTAAGAAAATGAAAAGCAAGCTAGAATATATCCCGGACTTGTTCGTCCTATAGAAACCATCCCATTTCCGAATCTACTAAGGTAAGCATGTCCGACTCAACCAGTAAATGCAATTCAACACGCCCTTATTCAACTTGTCAGGCTACATGATTAATTCTATTTGACGACAATTTACCGAATCAATCATTTAAGGAGTTGACTAACTAGCTATTTACCTGAATTCACTGGCAAGACGAGAGGAAATTCTGTAACTCTCGCTGGCCCTTCCGAATCAGGGATCCCGAGAAAAGTAACCCAAGTCCTGGTCACCTCCCCAGTAGAGTTAACCTCACAAAGAAAAGCAGAACCCCATGACCAGCTTTCCACCTAGGTAGGTAGGTTTACCTTATTTCTAATCTCTAATTGACTGTATGTATGCACATGCAAATAATTACCTACCTACTTACACAGAAGAGAGGCATTATCTATCTAACCTCCACAAGGATATATACTTTCGGAAAAGTCCCCGTTCTACCAACAAGATGCCTCAACGCCCATACATCAAGACTCGCTAACCGACACTATATGCACCTTGAGGTAACGGGTACATGTACACATGAACAGGCTAAGAGCGATCAATACTGTAATCATGCAGTGCGCCTTTTTGCATCCTTCTATTTCCCCGCACTCATGATAACGGACTAATGATATACAGATGCGATTATCTCATCTCGCACATGAACAATCCACATAACTAACCAGGTGTAGGTATATGGGATTATTGTATGGAGACCATGAATATCAATCAGCGCATCACATTCCCACGCAAACGACACCCTACCCTACCCTACCCTACCATCCTAAGCATCGAACCGACCCGATGACCGAACCCGGCGTCTGTAGCCTATAGTTGGAGGCACATATACCCTCCTTTGTGTGTAATCTGTCCGATGGTCTTCTTTATCTTACAGGATACACTTTCTGGTAAATGAAGCGATCTGCCCCGCGTCTTTTGTTTGTTTCCGTTTCTTTTATCCGTCCAATCTGAGCGCCGAGTCGGTTGACTATCCTCCATTACCTGGTTGTAGTCATCCCCCTGTGCTTGGAAGATGTGCACGGGAGATGGGGTTAACGTCATATCACAGATAGAATGGACAAGTGACTAACCGACTGGCTGGCGAAGAGGATTGATTGTATACTCTGAGTTAGAGTTATGTGTACGTATACAGAGTACTCGATAGTTCACGACTTCTTCTGTCAGTGGTAGGTAGGTAGGTATCTCAATTAGGTAATTTATTTGGTGTGTTGTACGAAAATGGGGTCGGTTGATGTCATAAATTGCCATGACAATCCGCCTCTCCATGACATTGGACATCCCAGCCTCTGTTAATATTATCATTCCTGTTATTATTGTTGTTATTAATGATATCAATCGCCAACTATAGATAGAACACTTACCTAACCCCCTAGATAGGATTGAGTAACCAACTCAAACAGCGCAAACAACCGTGTAATAGAATGACGTCACCTCGCCGCCTGAGCCTGAGCCTCCGCCCGGGAGAGCGTGGCGATGATCTTTCTACCTAGTCTCTACCTTACTCAGTACGGTGTATTCATTCTCTGACTTCATACGGTGTACGGAGACGGGCCGGTTTATTCTCTGACTTGGATCCTTCGGGGTTTTCTAGAACGGGATTGGGTGGCTGGGGACAGGGCTGAGGTTTTTTTTGTCCCGCGATTTTAGGTATGACTAAAAGTGAGGGCGTGGACTGGGTATATTCTATCCTGAGCTTGGCTGTGACTAACCGCGGTGTGAACTAAAGGACTATGATATAACGATTTGGGGGTGTTAGGTAGGTGGATGGATGTGTCATTCATGTTAATACTGTATGGGGCTCTATTACTAGATGATTGTATGTATGACAATAACTATGACTACTATACATGGGTTAACTAAGTAACCGTGGCTATGTTCAACTCGGCCATCAGTTAGTACGCAGTAGTAAATATGCTTATGCCTAGAATACCTACCCCATCAGTTAGGTATCCGCGATTCTAGCTAGTATCTAAATATACCTACCCATCATGACCGGTGAAGTGAATGCATGCCGCCAAACAGGCAGAAAGAATAAACCAAAATAGAAAGCACCAACAATTAGACTTCAGAAAAGCATACTCCCTGTCCCCGCTCACATTGCTTCTTTCATCTCCCTTTTCATCCTCGGTCTCGGACTCAACTATCTCGCATGGGCGCCGTGGGACAGATTGCGTAGACATCAATCTTTTAGCCATAAACCTACCTACCTTACTGAATACCTGGGTCCGCTATGTCAATATACAGTATGTGTACATTCTTCTCTCGTACCCAAAACCAAATACCCTCGGAGAATATAAATTTGGTAAGAGAGCTAGAGTAAGAGCCAGCCAGGTAAGGTACCCAGCCAGGTACGTAACTAAGACAACGATCAATCCAAAGCTTGTGCACAATGACGCAGGATAAGAGCTTCTTAATGAAATTATGTACTGTATGTTCTTCTTTGCTTTTTCCGGGGTTTTGGCGCCGGGATAGAAAATACATGCCTACCTGCGTACACCGTACCTTGGATGGATAGGTAGGTATGTAGGTACGAACACCGTGGACTGACTTACAGCTTGACAACTCAGCTACCTACCTGTAGGTAGGCAGAACAAAGCAGGACCTAAAGTGATTGATGCACGGCAGAAGAGAGCACGCCTAAAGAGATGTTTCATGTTTGAAACAAACAACTAGCTAACCGCCCGGTTCCACTCGTCGGACTCAGGTCGCTGGGTTCTGGTTTCAGTGTTGGTTGGTATTATGAAGAGTAGAAAATAGACAAAGAAACGAAACAAGGGAATAAGAAGTGGGTAGAAAAAGAAAAGGAAAATAAACGCCCAATCCAATCCAATCCAACCCTATTGCCTAATGCCCAATAACATCAATAACCCTCAAACTCCGAAATCTGTAAAACCATTCGTCGCCTCGTAAGCACCCAATCCCATCCGGACTGATGATCACCGCCGATGCTGCTGGCCACGTAGACTGGGCAAAGAAGATGCTCCGATCATCCGTCCATCCCGGCCGTCTATCCGTTTCGAAGCTGCTGTTTCGCCTTCACGTTTCTCCACCAGTGTAGAATAACTGAAGTGGCCCAAATTCGCTCCTTGGTCTGTACCACCGCGGCGCACTGCCTGGCAAAATCGCGCGCGACGATCCGTCGATGTAAATCGCGACGTGCAAGATTACGTCGCCATGCCTGCTGGAGCACTGTCGCGGCGCCGGCGCGTTTGCTGGCCGAGAGAAGGCGAGAGCAGAGGAAGGAAAGAGCGCCGATTGTGAAGTCATTGTCTAGGATGTGGATTTTGGACGTGCTGGGATGGAGCAGGTTCGCTATGAAGCAAGTCAGTGAGAATTTCGTAATGGTAACACTTTGCTTTTTCAGGCGCAACTCACCGAAATGTGCACTGCATCCCAATGCTTGAAGACGGGACTGCAAGGACAGGGGCTGCCCACTAGTCAAGGGGTCTGGGTCTTCGTGAAGAATGTACTCCGCATACTCATCCACAATACTTTGGTAGATTTTGCCATCTCCGAAGCTGGTGCTGAGATTGTTCAGCTGTAGGCCTTTCAAATGTGCGAGAATAGATGCCCACTGCTTGAGCAGCAGAACAGGTGCATCTCTCTCATCCAACATGTCCAAATTGTCTCCTCGGAACCAATCTTTATCCACAACCTGCTCGTATCCGAACTGCTGGCTGGCTTTCAGCTTCAGCCGCTGAATTTCTTTGGTCAAGTCATTCCAATTGACAAGCTCATCGAGACCCCATTTGCTGACCAATCCCCAAAGAAGCGAAATGGTCTTTTCACGGTGACCGTTCACAATGTCTTCTGCGCGTACATTGCTCAGTAGCCCTCTCGAGCCTTCCATAGAAGTTAAAGCATTCAAGGCAATTGCAACATTGAATGTCTTGACCGCGCGGCTCAAGCAAGGGAACTTCAAGTTTTGAGAAAGGGGCCATAAACACTCGGAATGAGCATTGCCCGAGCGCGGAAAGAGGAGCAATTCCATAACCCTCGTCAATCTAACGCCATCCCTCAGGTCAACGGCAAGGTTGTTAATTCTGTACTCGTACTCCTGGATCGGACGTTGTTCGTAGGTCAGATGGCAGTCCAGATGATTCAATGCCTTAATGACATCCCCGGAAGACGGCAGCAGAAAGCGAGCCAACCCCCGAAAAACAGCAGCGGAAGACTTATACGGCGATGACAAGAGAAAAAGACGGGGAGGCTTCGCCTCAGACTCTGTCGCCGCTTTATCCAGAAGGATGATCAACATGATACTGCGGAAAACCGTCCGGTGGTAGGCTTTGCCGAGCAGTTTAGCATCTGATTCCTTCGTGTCTCGGTCCATATCCTGGTTCTGGAGCAGAAAAAGATCTAAGAATCTTTCTATCTTCCGCTTCAGGCTAGAATCATCGGCAGCTGTGCTTTGCTCCGTCTCTTTCGAGCCGGATAATCTTCTGCCGGTAATTGTTTCCAAGCCCACTTTCAGTACTCCAAGCTCATACGTGTTTACCCAAAAGTCAAGGTATTTCTTTTTCATTCCAAGGTCTTGCTTGAGCCGGGTGGTCCGGGCAAGAACATCTTTCGGGATACTCAAGGCGCCGTACAACAAGGATGCCTGGACTCGCTTGTAAAGGTGCGCAAACGAGGGATGTTGGTATAGCGCCAGGAAGCTATGTCGCTGGGCGACAGGATCACTGACTGTAGAATTCTCTGCAGATTCAAAAAGTCCGTTGACCAGCTGCGTGATTACTATCTCCTGATGCGAGAGCCAATTGTCCTCGTACAGTGCTGGATTTTTGATATCCTCCTTGATCAGCGGATATTCGCGATCTAGTTTCTTCGTGTTAGTTCGGCTAGCCGTAGCTCTGGAAGTAGCAACAGGGCCTTTTGATCGCTTCAAAGAGCTGGACAGCGTTGATCCTGTGGACGCCGACAATGGCCGTTTCGTCGTGGTCATCTTTGGCTTCACGTTATCTTTCAAGCCGGCCTTGACCGAAGATCTTTTGACATTGTTCATCGCTCTCTGGAGAGATCCGTTGACCGACTTAGCAGCCAATGGCTTGACAGCCTGCTTCGTGGGAGGACGCGTTTGTTTACTCGCTGCTGGTTTGTGTGCTTTCGACATTTCGTCAAAGATATCCCCCGACTTTGCCAACGGAAATTTCTTTTCCTTGCCGTCAACCAGAAGCGTGCCCGGAGGAATATTCTCCTTTCCACCATTCTTTCCGACGACGTCTACATGAATGCGAGACTCCTGGCTGATTTTTGCGCTGGGCTGCAACGGAGCTCGATGCGGGGAGGCGGCGAGTGACGGTTTCGTTTGTCGTTTTCTTGCAACCCGTGCTTCGTTTGTATTTTCAGACTGACCCGGGAGGTATTCAGACTTGAGCGGACTGAACATATCCATGAAAGAACTAGCTCCTCTTGGCTCGCTCGGAGGAACATACACCGCATCGTGATGAACATCCTTCGCCTCGCTGGCACGTGCCTGCTGAGAGACCCCCTTGATCCGCATCAAGAGCTCCTTATTCTTATCCACATCAACCTTGCGAGGCTGAGTCCTCCCAACCATCTCCCCTTGTGATCGTGTCTGCTTCGCGGGCGAATTGGCAGCGAGACTAACTTTAGGTCGAAATCGTTGAGCCGGCTGAGCTAGGAGCGAGGATTTTCGATTCGAAGGCGCAGCAATTGTTCCACTGTCTTTTCTCCGCTTGGTGGTCGGTGCAGCGTGCTTCTCTTCGCACTCATCATGGATAGCAAAGGATGATGCTGACGAGGAAGAGCTGGTCTTGGTTCGTCGTCGGGGTTTGGCGCCGGTTAGGACAGGGGCTCGGATTTCGGTTGTGAATTCGATATTCGCGGTATCTTCGCAGGAATCTAGACTGTCTTCCCATATGCTATATATTGAGTCGTTTCCCTCGCTGCTGCGGTTGACTCGGAAGGTCCCCAGCCTGGAGGGGCATGGGGTGGGTACATCTTCAAGAAGGCCGGACATGGTGGCGGAGAATGAAGTTCAACAGAACCATGCAGTATGATTTCAGAGTTAGCAATCTCAGGATGTGAGTCCCTTATAAGAGCATGTCTAGCGTGCTGTGGTCATCTAGTCAAGAGAATTGGGCCTCTAGATCAAAGGATGAATCGAGGGATAGGCAGCCAAGAGCTAGGGACAACGCGGGGGACAAAAAGCGGTGATGAACGGGATAATGGCGCAGCAGATAAAGCGTATGGTGTCGGAAGACTAGGTCGTAATTTTAAATTTGTTGATCTTCGATGACGAGGAAGAATGCTGGATGCTGCTAAAATACAAGTGGTTTAGGGGGAAGAGTCGAGCCGGGGAGGTATGGAGACGCGATGTTGACGTTTGGTTGCCCGCGCAACGCGCCCCACCCTCAGGCAGCTTCCGCATCGCTATCGCCGCCTCCGTCGCTGGTGGAAGACTCCCTGTCGGAGTACGCCTTGAATACATGCTTAAATCGGAAGTCATCTTGTAAAAGTTGCACCCTTCACCCTTGTTTGATATCCACATTATCTATCTTCTCCGTTTGCCTGTCACAATCGTTCGTTTCCAGAGACATACACACATCAACACCCTAACTCTATACTCCCCGGATTTTGTCTTTGATCTTCTCCATGATCGCCTTTTCGTCCTGGTCAGCTACCGCGCTCTCGCTTTCGATGACATATTTCTTTCCAGGAGCTCGAACGCGGAAGTTGGCCTTGAAAGAGGCTGGATTCAGCTGGTCGCCCAACTTGCCGTCGGCGGCGGAGATATCATACGCCCAGAGCAAGCGTGCAGTGACAAGATGCAAACTATTCCGTGCCAAATGATGCCCTGGGCACAGACGTCTCCCAAACCCAAACGCAGAAACAGGAAGATCCGGGTTCTCGAGATAACGATCCGGGTTGAAATCCTGGGGCTTGTCAAAGACCGTTTCGTCCTCGTTCATCCCCAACTGATTGGAAATGACGGTGGATCCAGAGGGAATGAAATAGCCCATATACTCGTCGTCCTGGATCACCGCGTGAGGAACTCCAATGGGAGATATGGGGCGCCAGCGGAGAAGCTCCGAGACCAGCGCGCGAATGTACGGCAGGCTCTCAAGGTCGCTGAATGACGGTAATCTGTCTGCGCCGACGACCGAGTCAAGTTCCTCCTGAGCCTTCTTCATGACTTCCGGCTTGAGAATGCAGTTCATGATCATGATTTCCAGGACCATCTTTGTGGTGTGGATGCCGGCTACGTAGAGCTCGCCGAGTGAGTAGCACACGTCGTCCCAGGGGAGCTCCTTGGCTTCGCTCCTCTGTAGAGCCTCGTGGCTCCAGTTCCAGCTGTCGCCCTGAAGAGCAATATTAGAACATTCCGTATACACTTCTTTGGTCTTCTCGTGTAATTCATGGGCTTTCTCGCGCCATGTCAGAAGGAACTTCGGCAGCCAATCGAGAAACGGGAAAAGATCGAGCAGCAGCATTCCATACGAAGCTTTCTGAAGAACAAACACGGCCATCTCATTGATCTGGTGGAGCCTTTTGTGGTCACCATCATCACTCCCTCTCCCCTTCCCGTAGATGAGGGTAAACATGACATCCGAGGTGTACCGAAGGAAGGCCTCCGAAAAATCATCAGATGATAAAAACCCATGAAGCAGCTGCTTACTTTTTATATCTTGCAGGTGCTGGTATGCATTTGATGCTTTTGCGCTGAGTAGGTTTGATGACAGCCGCCGGTGAAGCTTCCATTGTGGACCGTAGGGCATGAACGCGGACGCAAGTCCCTTATGTAGATAGTTGTCCAAGAACTTGGACGGCGGACGCGAGCTGTATATGCTAGCTCTCTTCTCGAGGAGGTCTTGAGCTGCTCGGCGAGTGCCTAGCACGATAAAGTTCTGGCCTCCTAGCTTGAAATGCACGACCGGCCCAAATTTGCGCGACCATTTTTGAAATGTCCTTGCGATGTCATTGACGGGCATCGGGCCCGACAGAAGACTAGGGCCCGGTGGCAGCGGTAATCTCGATCTGCGTGGAGACAGCCATCCGCATAGATGTAGACCCAGCAACAAGGCACCTGCCAGAGAGATGATCGTGGTCGGATTCATTGGATCCCTTAAGTTCCGCACAGACTGGAAGACTATGTTTTTCCAGATATTTTCGCGGGGAAAATTTTTGGAATTGGCTTTTGGGGGCAGAAACCGGCTTTCGTGCGACGAGATGGGGAGTCTAAAGCTGCGATCTTCACCAGCCCCGCTTATATACACCTCCTCACTGAGGTTTCAGGCCGCTAGTCAGTTCCCTGCCAGACCACGTCAAGATGCATGCGACCCAATGCTCTGGCCGATCTGCAGCCATCGTTTTTCACGGCGCGTATGGCCCTATGCCCTGCATATGGAATAGATCGATCGTTCTTTAATGGAGATCTAGAGACCAGGCTTATATCGTGGATGTACTAACGATGCTTGTACTGCCGACAATCAAATAACGAGAATGACCCCTTTGGAACTCAAATAATCGAGGCCCGAGAGCATTCCGTGCCTGGGAAAGAAGCCCTAGCTAGCTCTGTTAATCATGTGTCAGCTAAAGTACACCGTAAGTGTAGACGAAGGAAGATAAAGCATCTGTAGATCATAACGCCTCAATTTTCACAGCTCGAAATTGTCATCAAAGAGTAGATGTTACTTAATTTGCTCATATGATCAACTGCACGCATGACATCAGCAATTTGAGAAACAAGGATAGGCCACATAAGCAAATTGCGTTGTGCATTTTGTGCATGTTGCCATCCGTCCTCCGTGCATCACGAGGGCCAGAGCAAGAGCCAAGTTAGCGCTCGGATCATGACCGGCGATAAATTGCAATGGCACTATCATATTCTCCCTCCGTGAGACATCCAACCGGCTGTAGCTGCGTCCGAAGACCCCAATCGGAGGACGGTAGAATCATCGCCGGGTTATGCCTGTCAGTCCCTCCGCGTCAACGTGAAACGGCCAGGTGCCTCCGGAGCAAATGACCGAAGGGGAAAGGAGAAATATTATTAATCGGGGCAAGTTTTTGAATAATTTAGCGTTTTTGGATCCCTCGGTCTGCCCCGCTAGGAGGTGTTCATGGAAGTACTTTATCATCGTACTCGTTCGCGCATGTGGACACAAGATCTAGGCAGCGAGATAGATTAATTATGCAATCTGGCCGAAGGGGAGAATCTGACCCTTTCTCTGTTCATTATTTATTTCGAGATTCCACACAGTTCCTGGAAATGACAGGAGAAAAAGGCACCGACCAAGCGGCTTTGTTACTAACGCCGTAGTTCGAAACTAAAGAAGGAAGTGGGCCTGCCTTAGTGCTGCCTGGAAGCCTTGGGATCCTCGTGATTTGCCCTCCCCTTTGGTCTCGCGGCGTAAAGAGAAACTCCTTTCCCCAGACAACTTGAATGAACGGATCTTCAACGTGGCCCTCCCTCTCTCTTCTCTGCTATTTTTGTCCGGCGCAATTTCCATCTATCTGCCAGGGGTGAAACCCTTTCCTCTCCCTAAAATTCAATGGTTAATCATATCCTCACCTACCATCTCATGCAACCTCGTTTCAGCCCTTTCATTTCGTGCTGATTCCTCCGAATAACCGCGCTGACCGGCCAGCGCCAAATTCCGATCTTCCTTTCCATCTTGTTGGATCCTGCGGAAATGGTTCTCGTTAATTGATCTCCGCCACCCTGCTCCCATTGACCCATTTCACCAACCACCTGAACCCGCGGCGACCCGTCGATCGACCTCTCTTGTCCTGGCTGGATGCTATCGCTCCCATCCGACCCCTCTCTATTGTATGTACGAGCGTTACGGAATGTGCACTGGTTATGGAATCTCTCGTCTATGAAGATTCGCCACTGGCAGAGTACCTCCAGGGTGAGTTGCGGGTAGCTCCGATCGCCACGGGAATAACGAAAACTGACCATGCTGTCGTGCATTCAGGGGAAGGCGAACATGACCCGAACTGGCCTGTCCAGGAACCCGAGAGCTCCGACGATGTCTCCGACTCGACCGCAGCAGACTTTGCCCCCAGGGGAACGTCGAAGTTCCAGAGTCGGATTCGTAACAAACTCCCTAAACCCCTGGACTTGAAGGCCTCACACCAGAGAGCGGCCCTGGGGAGGATTTATGACACTTGCACGGTATGGCCTCGCTCGTATGTTGTGACTGCTATCAGCAGCTGGCTGACGACTCCTCTTTTCCGCCTGCAGTCTGCTTTGAACGCGCGTATTGCACGGAGCGACAATGAGAGGTTTCTGGAACAATTCGGCTACGTTATCGTTGCGTCCCAGTTGTTGAACGAGCACAGCGCCCCTTCCTATACGTCAGCATCCGATGTGCTGTCGACTTCACAGCCCGCAGATCTTCCCTCGCTTTCCACAACGTTTGGATTACAAGGGGCGGTTGTAACTGCCTCGACTTCGTTCTCGATCGCCTGGTTATTACATTGGAGTCGATCTCGAACCGGAACCGGCATCAATCCTCGCAAAGTTGGCGTGCTTCTAATACTCGTACCGGTGATTGGGGTCTTTTTCTACGCCTTCGCAAAACGACAGTGGCTCAAATACCTGCGACACCAAGCCGTGGAAGCGGCCGCGTCTTTCATCAGCAATGCTCAGGGCTTTGATTCTGCCGCATCTGCATCGGTTGTCTTCATTCAGGAGGTTGAGCTGGTCTCAAGGGGCTACCGAATGTGGGTTCGCCCGGCTCAAACCAGTGCTCCAGGGAGATTTTATGAATGCTAACGTGGATGCAGAAGTACGCCCATGCCTCCTATTAGTCGTCTCGAAGACCAGGCACAGACGCGACGGTGTCTGCGGCTGCGTCGGACCGTCTCCGAGAGTTTCTTTTCCATGCTGGGTCGGTACATTCAGGCGCAGCGCATTCTGCAACCGCTTACAGACGACGCCAATCTGGCCAAATACTACGACATCTACGACATCACCGAGGAAGAGCTGATTGAGGCCGAATCAACGCTTAATGAGCGTGCGACCGATGATCAGTATTCTCTGCGCTTTCTCCGCACGCTGTTCGGGAGACTGTACATTGTTAGAAAGAGCATACTTTGCTGCCTGCTGGCTCTCGGTGCCGACGGCGGTGGATCGGATATCGCAAGATGGAGCACAGCCGTTGAACAAATGCGCGACTTGTCCGAAATCACCGGGCATAATGTCCGCAAAATGAGCAACATCTTGAACGAGGACGACCGTGAGTATCTATTCTCTTCACCGTCGCAAGACCTTGCATCTAACCTCTTTCTGCAGGCGAAGCTATCCCACCTTCCCCCCTTCCTACGGCTTCTCCGAGCAAGGAAGGCCTCCGTGCCCAATATCGGAAACTCAACTCTCTATCACAAGGAATCCGTGCGCTTCATGCCAAAATGCACATCATCCGAGAACTCTCCAGCGCCAGTCTTGAGCGAGCGGACGTCGGCGAATTCGAACCGACCCTTCTGTCACAATACGAGTCGATCGGAGCGGACATTAAAAGCATCCTCCAGGAATGGGAGGCTGGAAAATCGGCTCTTGCCAACAGTATGGCCAGACAGTCGAGCGTGGATCGTCTTTCGCGACCACCGAGCGGACTGTCTCCCATGCCCATGTCTCCGACGCCCAGCCTCGGTGGTGCGACGGCCGTGGAAGGTAGCCCGACAGACGCGCTCAAGGCCTTGAACGGCGAGCGACCGGAATCCAGTCTCATCCAAAACACCGATGACGAGGAAATCTTCGAGGCCGTGGCTCTCCCTGCTCGTGCCAACAAACGGATATCCATGACGAGAGAAGAGCGTATCGCACGTGTCAAAGAAGACCGAGCAAAACAAGCTGCAGCTAGAGACCGCGTTGACGCGAATACCCATATGTTGAAGGAGCTCGAGATGGTCATCAAACAGCGACCTAAGACCTCGATCGCTTCGAAACGGGTGACGAGCATTTAAGTTTTCTGGGCATGTTTTATTGCCTTCCGCTCCTTCTTACGTTCCCTGTGTCCCTCTTCCGGGGCACGCTTGTTCATATTTCCAGTATTCTTGTCTATATTGAACAGAACTGCATCCGTGTTATCTACACGTATGCAGGGTTGATACCCGATGTGCATAGATTGGCCTGGTGTCAGCGGCGTTTTTTCTCTTGTCTTTTGGCTAACTTGATTCCTGTCGAGTCTTGGATATCTTTAGTTTCATGTATTCTTTCGTTCCTGCAGTACAGCATGCAGAGTGTACATTTTGTTCTCTTTTGTCGTATCACATCCCTTCGTTGCCTTCTACTTCTCTTCTGTATTCTTTTCCTTTTAGTTTTCTGTATCATTGAGGGCTGTGGTGTTAATATGCAAAGTACCGCTATCGAGTCTGATGCACCATTGGAAACAACCATGTATCTAGCCATGAAATTGAAATCGATCTTGGATCTACCGTCTGTCCTTTGGATCTGTAGTTCTGTACACAGGGGCACGCGCGACGGCAGTCACGTGCACGGCGCGGCTGCTGGTGCGGCTGCCTGAGGTCACGGATCTAACCCCAAAGGGTCATATCAGCCTAAGGCCAGACGCGAACCCGCGCGCGCGTTTCCCCACCACGCCTCAGGCGAACCCTCGTACGCGATTTCATTTCTCTTCCTTCAACCCTGTCATAACCATCCTTCTTTCACTACTCCCAATTCCAACCTCCTCTCGACCTGTAAGTCTCTTAAGACCTCTTGACTACCCGACAGGATATATCGCCTAATTGCCACCGTCCTAGTATCTTTCCAATCCCAGTTCCGCACCTTTCTTTCCCCCCTTCACCGCACCACAACCTAGCACATCAAGAGTGAGTATCTCGAGAATCATGGACGCCATAGGATTACATTTTGACAGTTGTATCAGTGTTGGAAGCTCGCCTAGAACAAGCCTCTCTCCTGAAGAAGGTATGAGAACGCCAATCCCCTATCACTCCTTCACATGCACTCAAAACTAATCTTTTATCTCGATTGCTCTAGGTCGTCGATGCTATCAAGGACCTTGTGCAGGACTGCAACTTCGACTGCAATGACTCTGGAATCGCTCTCCAGGCCATGGACAACTCCCACGTTGCCCTGGTCTCTATGCTCCTGAAAGCCGAGGGTTTCTCTCCCTACCGATGCGACCGCAACATTGCCCTCGGTATCAACCTGGTTTCCCTGACCAAGGTTCTGCGGGCCGCCCAGAACGAGGATATCCTGACCCTGAAGGCCGACGACTCGCCCGATGCCGTTAACCTCATGTTCGAGAGTGCCGAAACCGACCGGCTAAGCGAGTATGATATCAAGTTGATGGACATTGACCAGGAGCACCTGGCCATTCCCGAGACGGAGTACGCCGCTACGGTTGAGATGCCCTCAGCGGAGTTCCAGCGGATCTGCAGAGATTTGAATGCTCTGTCCGAGTCGGGTATGTTTTTTCCCCCCTGCTGATTGTGATTCTTGCTGGAGCATACGCTAATCTTTTCTTTCTAGTCGTCATCGAGGCCACCAAGGAGGGCGTCAAGTTCTCTTGCCAGGGTGACATCGGCAGTGGCTCCGTTACCATCCGTCAGCACACCAACGTCGACAAGCCCGACCAGAACGTCTCTATCGCCCTCAGTGAACCCGTCGCCCTTACTTTCTCCCTCAAGTACCTTGTCAACTTCTGCAAGGCCACCAACCTGTCTGGCAAGGTGTCTCTCTGCCTGTCTCAGGAGGTGCCTCTACTTGTGGAGTACGGTCTCGGAAGCGGTCACTTGCGATTCTACCTTGCTCCTAAGGTGCGTCCTTTCCTTCACCCCTCATTCTTCCAGAATATGAAAACCAATTGATGCTAATATGTGCTACAGATCGGTGACGAGGAGTAAGTGGAGTCGATCCCAATATAAAACCAAAAAACCAAATAAATTACGATGATGAAGGTGGGGAGCATAAGGAGGCCACGATTTCTTTTTTCATTTTTCTTTTCACATTTTTGTTCAAAATATCCCTTGAATGTTGCGCACCATCCGATGTCCAAAGCCTACATATAATATCCAAGTTAGATATCAAGCGATCAACTTTACAACCATTGGTCTAGGATGGATTTGAGTAGTATGATCAAGTAATTACTGGCATCAAATCGAAGACAATCATCTGTACGAAAATAAATTTTATATTGAGACCTATAGCATCCAACTCATCCATAAACCACCAAGCACCATAATACTTCCACCGGACCCTAAAACCAAGACCCGAGCACTCATCGAGCACACAAAGCCCCTCACTAAGATTAGCCAGGGACACAAAAACACCCTTCTCAGCTCAGAGCAGAAAGACACGACTGACCTTAAGAAAAAAAGAGGGAAGCACCACCCCAACCAGAATAATCGGAATCGAATGATACCAACCCCTCCCCTTGAAAAGAAGAGGGGGATACAGGTATGCCGCGTATTGCACTAAAGTGTCACACTCGCGCAGCCAGAAGGCGCGCCTTGAGCTGCACACAATCTTCGCAACGACTCTCCCATGGGGTTTTTGACGCCCCGATGTTTCTGATGCCAATTGCAGATGCATGACAATGAAGTCTTCGCACCAGGCCCTTGCGGGCAGTACCGGCCTAACTGTCATAGCCATAATGACTATGATGATCAGGCGGGTCCAAGATAGTGAAGATTCCTCCGAATTTCTCATTTGCAAGGGATCCTCTCGAACGTGACGGGGTTGATTTTCATCAGCTCAGACGGTTCGAGAGGGACAAGGACAGCGCGGAGCTGTCGGACTTGTCGTGTGTAGCAAAGAAACGCAGCATTGGTTGGGATGGTGCTTGGAGAGAAAAGAGAAAAAAAAAGGAAGGAAAGGGAAGGGGAAGAGAAGGGGAAATATAATGAATGGGTGATGTTGTGCGGTGCCGGGTGTGACTCACCGCCTGCTTGTTTCTGATTGGGCGTGTGGGGAGCTTGGATAGCTTCATTGGTTGCCTGAGGTGTCTGTTTCTACTAGTTCTCTCTCCGTCTGGTTTTGGAGGATCTGCTATTCTAAGTCCCAGTAGGTAAACGCTCATTTGTTTCTTCTGGAATGCCTTCTACATGATGTGTACCGAGGATCAAATTGATTTGCAACCTATTAGTTCTCTCCTGACGGGAGAAGCTCCGTCACAGGTTCATGTTATTGCAATTTCTTTTGGTATGAAGAAAGCTTATGTTTGGAGAGCTAGCCGTATCCAATTATCCATATCATGAGTTTAGATGCAGGCATATCGGGGAAATGGTTCCTTCATTGAACTATATTATCTTTCGAATATAATTTCGGCTTACTACCAGGCTTTGTTTTCCAAACAACAAAGCGAGGGGAATGAATCATTGAATCGAGAGAAAAGATAGAAGTGATCTTGTTTGACAATACCATTGATCCAACTAGGGCGTCACTTAGTATACTAGGAGAAGCCCTAAGATATCAGTTATAGGTTGACTGCAAAAGGCGATACTCACCAGCATAACGACCCTGTTCTTCCCCCTGTTCTTCCTTTCTATTGGGAACTTCCATTTATTACATATGCCCAAGTTCCAGGCTTAATAAGTTTGATCATATTGATTTCTTCCGGTTCCAAACCAACCAAAGGCTAGTATAAATAGAATCAATGACCATTGAGTGGAGTGAACACACACCTAAAACACCTCAACCTCATTATCATCACCCTTGGTCAGCATCCAACTAACCAAAATGGCTGACCACAACCTATCTAGCTCCCCTCCAACCGCAGAGGCGGAACAGGCAAGTATCGCTTACTACTGCCTGGTCGATTTCTGCCCTGCCCTAAATGGCTACGACAGCGACTACCACAGCCGTCTCCTCGATCTATTGGAGAACGGTTGCTACACCGTCTGGAAGGACTCCTTCCAGGGCAACGAGGAATATCAACAGCGCCCGGGCTGGTTCCGCGTCCACGTCAGCGCGGAAGTCCCAGAGGACAAGCAACACAAAGTGGTAATCGATATCGTCCGGGGAAGGATCATCCATAATCGGGAGACCGCGCTCCTCATGGAGAATTACCCTGAGCACAACAGATGTGCGGCTGACTTTCCGGGATATCGACAGGGAGATGAAGCGGATGATGATGGCAGTGTCGTCGGGCGGGTTCAGAGATATCTTGCTAACCTCCAGGGTTGGCCTGTGTTTCCTGATACTTTTTGAATGGGGCATCCTGGTGGGCGGCCGGATGTTGAGGATGTATTGATAAGGATAATTGAGTGGTTTGTTTTACCTTCCTTGTCTTCATCTTTCTCTTCTCGATCGTTGGTTTCTTTTACGTATTCATTTGCTCCCTTGCTTGGCCTTCTTAGAGGTATATGATCGTCGTGAGGAAAGTGAAGAAGCTTCGAAATTGAGATAGAAAAACAGAGAAGATAGAATGATAACTCTATCTAACCTGAAATCCTCGGTATTATAAAGTTAAAGTCGCGCATCGAACTGATTTATGCTCTGAATAAAGCTTTTCAAGTTCTAGTAAGTCCTCTAGTATATCTTTTCGCACGTAGAAAGTTTATCTCTTATCTCACATGAGAGATATCACGACTTCTCATATAGTTTCCATGCTGGCCGCTTCCAAGCCATTGACAGTCTCCAATCATCCACGGAATCCGAGCGCCCCATGGAGTGTCAACCGCTGTCTGGAATTCGTTGACAATGTTTACTCCAGAACAGTACGCAGGCTGCCATATTATTCATATACGGCAATCTTCCGGGTCCTACCAGCCATAACCACTGCTTGATCTTTTTGCAGGACAGCATAAGCCAGAAAGTCTTCCATAGCAAACATATCGTTAGCTTTAAATGGATAATATCATTAGTTTTCTTATTGATCAACTATACCACGTAAATCCCCGACAAATGTGCATCTTATTAGCAACAATCTCCCAGATGAATAGTATTAGAGGGCCCGACCGGTCATCACACAAAGAACGAGATGCAGTATATACATAGTCTTGCTCCCTCCTTCAGATTCACGACTCCCATCTCTCGAATGCGAACGAAACAAAAGCTCTGACTTGTACACTCACTGTCAACGGCTCCCTACAAGCCAAAAACCCAGACAAGAAACGATGTGCTCCGACAGTGACTCCGAATCTTGCCCCGACATCGTCGATGCCTGGGTCTGGATCCACATTCGCAAAATCAAAGACCTCGAAGAGAGGTACTGGGAGGCTCGTGAGCGGCTCCTAGCCGGCAAATATACCGTGTACTACGAGAACCCAGAGAAGCTCGACAACAAAAAGCGTGAGTTGGTCATGAAGCTGAAGGTCACGTACCACTTCGATCTGGAGAACCGATCTGATGAGATAGAAAATCAGCTGTATGACGATATCGAAGGGATTCTGGAGATGTTGGAAGCGCAGCGTGGCGCGCAAGGAGCTGATCCGTGGTCTGAAGATGATGACGATGACGAGGGAAATGAAGATGAAGAAGAGGGGGATGGGAGCGAGCAGGAGTCTGAAGAGGGGTCCCATCCCCAGGCGCAGCTGAGACCTAAGTTGTCGACGCCAGTTTCGGACGACGAGGACTACGGTTCTGAAGCTACCACAGTGATTGCTAGTAGCAATGGCTATGACACTGGGGACGAGAGTGACGCTGATGATGATTCTGTTGTTAAGTCTGATAATCGGTCCCCTCCTCTGAATGGATGGAATCACCTTTTGCGTCAACCGGACCTGGAATCTGAGTCAGAGCTCGATACTGATGATATTGTTGGGGGTTAGGCTAGCACGGAGGTGAGTGAATACGACGCTGAAGTCTAGGCAATAGTGTCATTAACATCGACAGAATGGACGAGGACTTTGCAAATAAGAATCTTGTTTCAACCTGAATTAAATGCGAAACCATGACAGTAGCAGAGATAACTAAGACTGATTGATGATATCTACAATTCCCTGGCAGCTTCCACCGCGGCTGATGCTTGAGATGACTGTCAACGAAAATGACAAAATTCGACCTAATCTGCTTTTCTGTTTTTTTTTGTATTGAAGGTATTCCTATGAAACCTTTATAGGTTATGTATTCTGCAGATTCTGATCGTTTGCATATTTGAACGACTCTCGCCTTGACGCTTTTAAGTGTAACTGACTTTGTCCATGTAGTCAAATGAGAGAAGGTCTAAACTTGCAAGCAGGGAGGTTAGTAACTCCAATACTACAGGTTGGGATCATCTGAACACTATATGATTGCCAAGTAACTGTTCTATTATCCCTCATTCAATTAGGGATGTATGTGCAATCTTAGGATATCGTAAATTCATTTGTCTTCAAGCAATATTCCTATTCGTAACTATCCTGCTAGTCATTCAATTATGTTCTTATTGAGCGGTTCCTGGTATACTATCCATTACCAAGCGAAATCACAGAGCCCTTGACAGATTCCTTAATTATAGTTTTTGAGTTTACACTAAACGCAACTCCAGACAATCACTTGACTCCCTTTGTAAAACCTTCTAGATAAGGCTTATGAACAATGCATTGTAGAGCACCTAACACAAGCCTCGCCCCTTTCTTTGTGAGTATGTAAGTTGTTATGGACATTCTACTTGGAAATAGAATTGCACAGAGGAGTCAAGACCACCGTTATGTTATCAACTCATACAGATACTGCCCGATTCCGCTTGTCTATGCCCTCTTTCAAGCAGTCCAGGTCTTTGATGCTTGATAGGCCATTGTACTAGAAAACAATACAATGGTTTGAAGCTAGTATGGACATTCCTGTAAATTAAAACTTATCCACGGATATATCCATCTATGCCTTTAGTTCTCAAATATAAAATCCCCTTCCTGAAGCCCTCAAATTGGGTAAATCCCACCCAACATACACTCACCTGTCTGCAGAACTTCATCGCCTATCCACCAACGAAGCAAATTCAGCTCTGCGAAAACCATCAAGATGTCCTCTTCTACCGATACCCCTTCTTCTGACACCCCCTCCGCTGACACCATCGATCTATGGGCGTACATGCCCTGCAAGAATGCTCACGGGTCACGAGCTCGCCGATACATCACCGCGCGCGACGAGATCGTCTGGAAATTCTTCGATCTCCACGAGGAGGAGCCTACTCTGAAGTCCGACGACACGGGTATTCTCCTACCCGTTAAGATCCGGGCTAATATTCCGAAGACAGGCTGGAAGGATGCGGTAAAGGAATCAGCGTACAAACATGTTGATGGAGTCGTCCAGAAGGAGTTGAATCAGAAGGATGGGGTGGCTAAGTGGCTGAAGAAGGAGTTGGAAAAGCAGTCGAAGAAGGAGTAGCCTGGTCCTTAAGGGGCTGGTGTCTTTTTTGGCTTCTTCTTAATTCTGTTGGGATGGTATACCGTCAACGTGGGGGTGTTTGGTTTTGTGGATTGGCGTTGGAGTTTTAGCGATGATTTTTGTTTCTGTTTTTGAAGAGTTGTTTTTTCTGTTCGTTTACTTTGTAGGACTTTTAGATATTGTAGACTTGTATTATGAGAAGTAAGCAAGAAGCGCGGAGGATGCCCTTACTATGCGTCATGGTCTTCTTGCATCTAACTAAAATTCTTGAACTAGTCGTAGACTGTATTACACATAACCAACCTACAGATAAGAAAGAACCTAGCATACCTAAGAATAAGAGCCTCCCCGGCTGTCTTCATGAATATCAACATATCTGTTAGGGCTAGGTTGCGCCGGATACAACATCCGTACATTCCTCACTCACCCAACGAAGGACAGCCATCAAGGCAACAATACCACAAGGCTGCGAATATGGTCTCCCTACCTCAGGGGAATATCGGAAACATGCAGAGGTTCTCGACTTATTCCACCATCCCGCAATGTCGATCACCAAGGGATGGGTACCACATTTTGGAAATGAGGTGGCTGGGCGAATAGCCCCTCGCTATGCCTGAACCCATGCCAGCCCTGTGTCTGGCGAATTAAACAAGCAGTTTGAGGCTGCCTAGTCTGAGGCCTAAAGTGACATGTCAAAGTGACTGGATGTATGATTAATGGTATGGAAGGGACCGGTGATTGTGATATTGGAGCTGTCCGGGTAGGACGTACACATGGTGCCTTGAGACGATATTCCAGGAAATAATTCAAGATAGGCATCAGCGTCTGCCTAAGACATCTATAGAAACTTTCTGTATATCAGAAGTGAACAGCTACCTCAGAATAGTCCTTATAAAATCTGCCTGAACCGCTCATCCCACATCCTCATTTAATCAATTCCAATTCTTCACGATAATCGACCTCTTCAAGACCTGTCTACATTCAAGCGCCCCGAATACCAAGATCAAACCCACACCAAGCAAAGATCAAAATGCCTTCCCCCGGGCCATCTACTCCCGAAAACAAAACCCTAGTCCAAACGCCCTCTGCCCCGCGACACCCCTCGCCCGAAAAGCCCGGCCTCTATCTCCCCACCGACCGCACCGGCAACGAAGGCTATCAGGATCGACGCCAGCGTCTCGAGCGCCTCCAAGAAAGCATACATCTCGACGCAAGCCAGCTCCGCGAGATCATCAAGCGCATCTACAAATATGACCATGCCTGCCGAGCCGTCGACTGGAGAGCCGACATTCTGTACAGATATGTGCCGAGGACGTTTGAGACGGCCGAAGTCACGGAGGATGTGGCGTACGAGGCATTGCAGGAAGCGATCGATCTGTCTTTAGTGAGGATCTGTAGACCTTCGTTTGTCAACCCCTCTCCCTCTGTTCTACTTTTGGCGTGAAACTGTGAGTACATGACTAACTATTTGATACGTACTGGGAAAAGGGCATACGATGTCAGCCGCTACACTGTTCGCAAACCAGGTGCCGGAAATCCTCGGTACACCATTTTCGACGTCATTTGGGATGGTTTTACGCCTCAAATCCCCCCTGAGCTGGAGGGCTTGCCGACTTTGGCGTTCCATGAGGAGAGGAGAAAGGTATTCTGGTATCCTAGGAGTGATTAATTGCCTGAGCAGTTGACGTAGCTACATTTGTTTGGAGTGGTCTGGATACTAGGATGGTTGGATTGATCAGTCTCTCTTCAACAGGGAGCATTGATATGGTATGATCTGGAGATGGTAATTCAACTTACCTATCTCTATGGCTTGTACTGAATGGTCGATTCGGAATTAAATCGGTCATTTTTGCTGGGTCTGTCGTTAGTTTATAGCGCAGCTACTGTTGTTTAACAACGGGGGCATCCTATCCACGAACAACCAATAATTCTCCTTCATAGAAACCAATCACGATAGACTCAAGTTAAGTGGTCAAAATCAAAACATGAGCTTGGCATCTCACCTTAAAGCAAACCAGTCATCTGATATTGACCACGTCAAGATAGGCTGGTCCCCTAGATAAGATAAGATTAGATAGCCCATTCCAGTTATCTCAAATCAAGATAGACCATCTGCTGTCTCCAGGACCATCCTAGACTCTCAGCTCTTGATCCAATATGAGGCAAACCCCCAGGTGGTGATTGGCTTTGATCCTGCAGATAAAGTGCGTTGTGCATGCGGGGTTTACTAATCGTGAAGTGATAGTTATATCTATTCGTACCCCTCATCCTTCGTTTCCTCCTCTTCTTCTAGAACTCCCTTCCTCTTCCTCCTCTACCCAGTCTACACACCCATTCCTCTCACAAGATATCATCAAAATGTCCACTTCAATCCCCCACATTTCCAACTGGATCGACGGCGTCCATACCACCAATGCATCTCACTCACGCATTCCCGTCGTTAACCCCGCCACGGAAGCCCCCCTAGCGACCATCGACGCGACCCCTCTTTCCACATGCACAGAGCTCATAACTACCTCCCTACAAACCTTCGCCACCAGCCCATGGTGCCAGCCCTCTTCCTCCGCCGACCGCTTCACCGTCCTCTCCACAGCCGCACGGCTCCTGCGCGAACGCATCCCGGAATTCGTCACGCTCGAGACCCAACAGACCGGACGACCCATCCGCGAAATGCGCGCCCAACTAGCCCGCGTCCCTGAATGGCTCGAATACTTTGGTTCCATTGCCCGGGTACACGAAGGCCGCGTGACGCCCTTCAAGGGTCCCGTCGTGAACACGCTGACTCGGCTCCCGCTGGGCGTGGTGGTGCAGATCACACCCTATAATCATCCGTTGCTGATCGCGACAAAGAAGATCGCCGCCGCCCTGGCGGCCGGGAATGTGGTGATCGTGAAGCCGTCGGAGCGGGCACCGCTGTCGGTTCTGAAGCTGGGCGCGCTGTTCCAGGAAGCCGGGCTGCCCGATGGCGTGTTGCAGATCGTGAACGGATACGGGTACGAAACAGGGAAATACCTCTGCGAGGATTCCCGACTGGCGAAGATCGATCTGACGGGTGGAATGGGCACGTATCGTGCCGTGGCGGGCGCTGCGGCAAAGCATCTCATACCTATCACGGCGGAGCTGGGTGGGAAAGCGCCGGTGTGTTTGTTCCAGAGTGTGGATGTGGAGGTAGCGGTCAAGGCGGCGCTGTTTGCGGGGTTTATAGCGAGCGGGCAGACGTGCGTTACAGGGAGTCGGTTGCTGGTGCATGCGGATATCTACGAGGCTTTCGCGGCCCTGTTGGAGAAGAGGGTCAGGGCGTTGCGGGTGGGCGATCCGTTCGATGGACGTACGCAGATCGGAGCCGTGATATCACAAGAGGCGGCAGGTCGGTGCGCGGCGTTTGTAGAGCGCGCAGTGAACGAGGGAGGGAGAGTGTTATGCGGTGGTAAAGCGATGCAGGTGGATGGGAAAGGCTTTTTCTTCGAGCCGACAATTATCGAGACGCGCGCGGATTCGGACCTCGCGTGCAATGAGGTCTTCGGACCGGTGATTGCGCTGCTGAAGTGTGATTCGGAGGAGGATATTGTTCGCGTGGCGAATGGTACCTCCTTTGCGCTCGGGGCGTCGGTGTGGTCGAATGATTTCGCACAGGCGCATCGCGTAGCGGCGCAGATCGAGGCGGGCATTGTCTGGATCAATGGGCATCACTTGAACGATCCCTCGTCACCGTGGGGTGGGTTCAAGGAAAGTGGTGTGGGGAAGGAGAATGGGATAGAGGCGTATGAGAGCTATACGAAGGTGAAGAGTACGGTGATGAACTATGGAGTGCCGCCGGTGTGGTTTGACGACGAGCCGGAGGGCGCGAGATATGGTTAGGTATCGATGATGTAGGCAATACCCATCATTCAAGAGTTTGTTACAAAGTCCCGTGAATAGCAGTATAGACTCGCTATCCATGCTCTATTAAATAGAGATAATCTCGACCACTTAGAAAGCCGGCGCCGGCCGAATTGCGTGCGACGGCAGCCACATGTCGTCAAGCGCTAGTCAATGAGAAGTCCACGACATATCACCTTCTACCAGTCATAGAACGAGAATATAGACCAATCCTTTTACCGTCCGGCAAATACTCCGTAAATATCCTGCAAGTAATGGCAGAAATCGGCTATCGGCAGTCTGTCATTGTCGAATACAGCATTCCGGTGGGGATTATCAGACTTAGGGCTTGTCGAGTCATGCTCCATCCTCCCAGTAAACATATGAGTATAAAACCACCAACCAAAATCACAAACCAAGCAGCAACTATTTGAATAGCGATCCCCTTCCCCAATTCATAACCGCTCCCTGAAATGTCCTCAAACACTGATCCATCATTCACCGACACCACCGACTTCGCCGCCACCTCACGCGGCTTCATCGCAGCCCTCACCCCACCCGTCATCAAATCCGCCTCGGGCAAAACAGTCTGGGACATCGATGCCTACTCTTTCCTGCAGGATGAATGTCCCGAAACAGCGCATCCCAACCTCTGGCGCCAGGGCCAATTGACAGCAAAGCACGGCCTGTACGAGATCTGTCCTGGAATCTACCACATCCGCGGCTACGACCTCTCCAACATGACCATCGTCGAAGGAAAGGATGGAATCATCATCATCGACCCACTCATTTCATGCGAATGCGCAGCCGCCGGGCTGAAACTGTATCGTGAGCATCGCGGACCGCGCAAAGTCAGAGGGATGGTGTACTCGCATTCGCACGGGGACCATTACATGGGTGCGGCGGGTGTATTAGATTTAGACGAAGGGGAAGAGCCAGGAATTCCGATCATCGCTCTAGAGGGATTCATGGAAGCGATCATGAGCGAAAGCATTCTTGCTGGACCGGCGATGCGGAAACGCGGCGCTTTCATGTACGGCAATGCCCTTCCGCGCAGTCCGACGGGGCAGATCGGCACCGGTCTAGGGCTAGGGTCGAGCGTGGGCACGACGAGCCTAATCCCGCCGACACTCCTGATCCAGAAGACTGGTGAAGAACATGTGGTTGACGGCGTGCGAATCGTGTTCCAGATGGTGCCGGGCAGCGAGGCCCCCATACGGAGATCAATTTCCATTTCCCTGACTTCCAAGATCTCTGTGTCCCTGAGACGGCGACGAACTGTATGCATAATGTCGTGACGCTGAGGGGGGCGCAGGTGCGCGACGCGAAGGCCTGGTCGGGGTATCTGGACGAAGCGATTGTGTTGTTCGGAAGAGACTCGGACGTGCTGTTTGGAAGTCATCATTGGCCAACGTGGGGAAGAGATGAGCTCATTGCCAGACTGGCGGAGCAGAGAGATCTGTATGGGTATATGCATGATCAGACGGTAAGGCTGATGAACCTGGGGTTAACGGGAGTGGAGATTGCAGAGCGCATGAGGCTGCCCGGGAGGATTGAGCGCAAGTGGCATTGTCGTGGGATTACGGGGGTTTGAGCCATAACGTCAAGGTATACTATTTCGATTTTGGTGTCTGCGGTAGGGAACTAATGATGGATAGGGTATCTATCAAAAGTACATGACCTGGTTTGACGGCCGCCCCGAGCATCTCTGGCAATATCCGCCAACCGAGGAAGGCCAGCGCTACGTGGAATGTTTCAACGGCATCGATGGGCTCTGCGACAAGGCAGAGGCCTTTGTTCAGAAACGCGACTATCGATCCGCTGCGACGCTTCTGGCCCACGCAGTGGCGGCGGATTCGGGCTCGACAGAGCCCCGTCCAAAGCTGCTTCTCGCCTCGGTATACGAGCAGTTGGGCTTCGGCGCGGAGAACGCCACATGGAGAAACTTCTATCTCACTGGCGCGCAGGAACTGCGGAGTGGGAAGAAAGCGGGCATGGTGGCTGGGGGTAGGACGCCGCTAGGGGAGCGATTGAGTATCGATCAGTGGTTCGATATTATGGCGGTGCAGTTGGATGGAGAGAGAGGAGCAGATATGCACTTCACGATTGACTGGGAGATTACAGATGTCAAGCAGCGGTGGCGGCTGATCGTGAGCAACGGAGTTTTGACTACGCGGTCGTTGAACACCGAGATACAAGTGCAGGAGGCCAGGGAGAATCCGGCGGACTATGAGATGGTGCTAACGAAGAGTCAGCTGTTGGAGGTGATCCTAGGACAGGAAGTCAAGCCGGAGAGGAAGAGTGGCCGGGAAGAAGTCTTGGGTCAGTTGTTGGATTTGATATCGGTGCAGGATGGTTCATCTCGAGGGCCAAGTCAGTTGTAAACCTGACTTTATTCAATGAAAGGCTAGCATACAACCGAGATCGTCAGATAGAATGCCCAAAACGAGACCTCGTATGTACCAGATAGATGAGCAGGCGATAGACAAGAGCTTAGCCTAATATCTAGACTCACTATGAATATAGCTAGACATCCAAACGAAACTTGTAAGGATAAAGATTGGCTTGGTTTGCATGTGACTTTCGGGTTTCAACAACCATTTGCCCTGCATTCGAGGCATGCAACCTAGAACATTGCACTGCGTCAACAAGCTAGATGTCTCGGTCTCGATGTCTATAACCTTCCCGATTCTCAAAGCCTTTTAGAATAAACTTATTCTTAGGTCTGTTTTTATCACTCAGGAGATAGCACTGTGAAAGAGCAGGGATCATTAGATATTCAAGCAAATATATCAAGTGTTGTAGGTTCAGATAACAACATTCGGAAGGATCAGCATGAATAAGATCATCAGATAAGATCCCCGAAGCGGGGGATCCTCGTATTCCCCACCTGATGTTCCCCTATACAATTATAGAACTGATTCCCCCCACTCACTCACACACTCTCTCTTCTCCGTGACTCATGACTCATTTCACGCCCTTCCATGCTCTTGATCAATCCTCTAATTAGATCTAAACCCACCCACTCACAGAGTAACTTCTTCCCTACCCTCCACTTATCCAACTTCCAACCTCAATCAACATCAACAGACCCCCCTCAATCCAAACCCAAAAATGCCTCCCACCAACCCCCTCTCCCTCCCCGACCCAATTCACACCCTCCTAACAACCCTCCACGCCAAATCCCTCGCCCAAGAAGCCGCCCTACCACACGACACCTTCCTCACGAGCCACCAAACCGAACCCTCCTTCGACGCGCTGATGGCCGATAAGTTCATCGCGCTTGACCAGGACAAATGTGAATTCGTGTACCAGGTTCTGCGCGCCAGCGGGGCCACCACCGTTGTCGAAGCAGGGACTAGTTTCGGCGTGAGCACGATCTATCTGGCGCTGGGGGTTTTGGAGAATTTGAAAGCTCGGCCTAGTGGGGAGGGACAGTCTGAAGGGAAAGCAAGAGCTGGGAAGGTCATTGCCACCGAGAAATAACCGGCTAAGGCTGCGCTGGCGAGACAGTATTGGGCGCAGGCGGGGAGTGAGGTCGCTGGGGTGATTGATTTGAGGGAGGGGGATCTGAGAGAGACGCTTTCGTGGACGCAGGAAGAGGTGGGGTTTTTGTTGCTGGATAGTGAGTTTCTGTTTCTTTGTCTCTTCTGTCTCTTCACTTCTTTTATCTCCGGTGTTTACTGTGCTGACATGTTTGGTTTCTCAGTCTGGACACCCATGGCCCTCCCAGCTCTCAAGGCTGTTCAAGATAAGCTGAAACCTGGGTCTGTTATCATCGCAGATAATACGGTAGCAGCGAAGGACGGATATAAGGAGTTGTTTGAGTATGTGGATCAAGAGGGAAGTCCCTTCAAGAGAGTTACCTTGCCGTTCAAAGGGGGAATGGACATGATTGTTTATAAGTAATTTATTTACTCAATTTGGTTGGATGTTTTAAATGTACCAAATGTCATGTTATCAGGCCCTCCGTGTATGCAGTGTACATTTCTAAATGGCCTGGCTAAGCAGCATTAATCTCTGATATACTCCAATTATAACCATGTACTGCAGCTGCTCGTTCCATCAGACATGAAACCGTTTTCATAGTAATACTGCCCTCTTGATAATCTTTAACGACCCAGCTGGTAACGGCCTTTTCGACCACGACCCAGGCCCGCTGAGTCCCTGCGGCCTGCGGTCGAACACAGAGTTCCATGAGCACCACCGCAGCGGCTTGCCATTGCGGGTAGCCCTCAAACAACCAAGACCATTTGCTCGTCCGCGAATCTGTCTCCAACAGATGGGCAAATTCAACTACTTCAATCGCAGTCAGAAAGAGCTGATCTCTTTTGGGATCATCTGGCATGGTCTCAAGGGACGGTATCTGCTCTGTCCCCGTCCGCTGGGAGATGTGGGCTGTTAGCCAGGATCGAGCGAGTGCTAGTCGTATGATAGTTGCTGTCGCCCACTGCAGGGGGACTGTTACGTCGCAGAACTTAAGGTAACGTTGCCTTAGATAACCGTGAATTTGTTCTAAACCATGAAGACGTTCGTCTAGGAGACGCAGCTTGTCGCTGCTGCTGCTGTTGCCATCGCCCTGGGAATTTAGAACAGAGCGCCGATACCGGATGGTCATTTCGATTCGAGTCAAGCAGAAGGTCATTTCTGTAAAGCCGACGTGGGACTCTGGAACCTGATTAGACTCTGGCGATATATCAGAATCGTTGATATTTAGAGGTATTTTTGTATCGTAATGATCCTCAGTGATTTGCGTGTCGGTGGCGTGGAACTCAGACGATCGAGAGTCTAACAGGTAGATAGACCACCATAGTCGTCGACGCATCTCGGTGTCAAAGGGACTCAGTCCAAAAGGCGTTCCGTCGCGATGTAGACCTAACCCTTGAGCCATTCGATGTATAGCACCGGTCATAGTCCATACGAAGTATGCGTCTCCCGGACCGCGAAGACAAGTGAGGAATAGAACGGCAGCTTGAAGCACGGTCAAGCTGCGCGATTGAAGAAAGCCGGCGCGAGCCAGCGCTTGCTGCGTTGCAAATTTGTAATATTCGCGGAGGGACGACTGGTCCTGAGCCAACATCTCTGCGCACTCTTCTGTGTCTAGACTGTTCACGGCAGCGAAGTAGACGGCGAAGACCACGGCCTCCGAGGCATGGTCGACATAGCTGTTGTTTGCAGCGGCTTTGTACATTGTTTTGAGGAGGGTGGGCTGGTGGAATATCATTGTCACCGGAGCGACATTGTCTTGATACGCTTTCCACAGGATCTGGCTGTGTGTCATGCTGGGGTGGAAGGCCTCGAGGGAGGCTGCCATGCAGGAGAAACCGAACAAAAATTGGGTTCCCTTTTGCGAAAAGCCATCATCACCATACAGGCTCTCTTCATACTCCGAAACATCGTTTCCGGGAGGACCCATGAGATCTTTCAGCTCCTCGACCTTTCCGCATATGTCCTAGGATTAGCCATGTCGCTTTTACAGCTCGATATGAAGACGAGCGAACCGACCGAGAAGGAAACATACTTGGCTTACAAGATTAACGAGAACCTCATGGGTGAAGTACTGCGTTGAGCTCCCTTTCACGAACAGCTTTCCATGCTTGGATCCTTCACCTCGGTGGTCTTCAGCACCCTGCGCTTCATGATCCGAGGGGCATGGCGGAGGCGCGTCTTCGGAAGTCGTCTCGCCTCCCTTGGCCAGGAGTCGGAGCTCTTGCTCCAAGTTTTTCACGCGAGACACGAGCTCAGCTTTTAGGGCTCGCTTTTTGCGCCGCGGAGCACGGCCTGGTCCTGGATAGACGCACTCCGAGCTTGTTTTCACGCAACCTTCGCATGGCTGGGCCTTGTTACATCGGATTTTCTTTTGGTTGCATCGATGGCAGCTACGAAGAGATAGCGCGGGGCTTTTGTCAGAATCTGCAGCCTCGGGCATGGTAGTCAAGAGAATTCACCGAAATCTAACACATGTATTTTTTGGTGGTGGAAAGAGCTAAACGTCATGACTAAAGATGGATGGAATTTGTCATCGGCGGCATTAAAATAAGGCCCGAAGCGGCGATGTTTAGTCAGGTACGTTAAGGTTAAGGTTGAACCCTTGGATCTACTCTAGCATTTGTCACTCCTTTAAATGGGATTAGTTGATTATTCTAGTACGGGCCTCTGAACTAGTCCGAAGGCCGAATGGCGACTTAATTTGATCATCAATTCTCTATCAAACGACACCCCTGGCACTATAAATCCTAGTGCACTTCTGTCACGGGAAATCCTGTGCATATACTTCGAAACAATAACCATATCCACGTCCTCCTAACAAACATGACTGCCGTCTTAATCTCAGGGGCGACAGGAAAGCAAGGAGGCTCGCTCATCAGAAGCCTCGTCTCGCGCAACGCCCCGTTCGAGATCCTAGCCGTCACGCGAAATCCGGCATCTGCGTCCGCCCAGAAGCTCAAGGCCCTATCATCCAACATCAAGCTTGTCGAGGGCGACCTAGACAACCCGACCGGCATCTTTCAAAAGGCGCAAAGCCTGACTTCGGTCCCTATCTGGGGTGTCTACAGTGTGCAGGTACGTAACCCCAAAGCTCTCCAGATCAAGCTAGGTACAACACTAACCAAGCAATACAGACAGCCATTGGCAACGGCGCCAAAGAAGAAGTCCAAGGCAAAGCCCTCGTCGACGAGGCCATCCGACAGAATGTCAAGTTCTTCGTATTTAGCTCCGTTGATCGCGGTGGCGAGGAACGCTCATACACCAACCCAACTAAGATTCCTCATTTCATCAAAAAGCATAACATCGAACACCACCTCGTCAATAGTGCCAAAAGAAGTGAGATGGAGTGGACGATCTTGAGACCGACCGCGTTCTACGAGAACCTTACCCCGGACTTCTTCGGCAGGGTCTTCGCAACTTGTTTCAAGATGGCATTGAAAGGAAAGGCCCTGCAGCTTGTCGCTACGAGTGATATTGGCTATTTCGGGGCTGATGCTTTTCTCAATCCGGAGCAGTATAAGGGCAAGGGAATTTCCCTGGCGGGTGATGAGTTGACCTTTGATCAAATGGAGCAGGTTTTTGTGAAGACGACGGGGAATAGTCTACCAATGGCTAACAAACTTGTTTGCTCTATCTTTATGGCCCTCATGAAGGACATGGGATATATGTTCAAATGGTTTCACGATGAGGGCTATGGGGTCGATATTCGGAAACTGCGCGAAATCAATCCTTCCATGAAGAACTTTGAGACATGGCTTGAGAAAGAGAGTGGGTTTTCAAAATGATATCGGATGTAAGAATACGATTGGGCTAGTTAGATAATTTTAGTAATAATCATTCTCTTTGTAATCCTACTGTTCTCGTTTCTATTCCCATTATTCGGCATGGTTGGCTTACCTGTTTCGCCATTTTATTCTTCTCTAGCAAGACACCTCATAGTTGGTTTGTGATACAATCCTCTAACTGGAGATCTCGAGATCAAGATAAGTTTCAAAGTAACTGTCACATTGTACGATGCTAAATCTACGCACACTACTCTAACATGTCTAGATCAAATCCTCTATATTTGCCCTCAAAGTCGCCCCCAGACTCGACCAACCTGGCTTCCCAAATAATCGTAGCAACTCCTCTGCTCGAGCGGCCGGCTCAACATCTAAGTTCCCCGTCTTATTTGTCTGCGTCGATGGCTCATCCGGAAACTCTCGATCCGGGAACAGCTTTTGGAATATCGATATAATCTGAGACCATGTAAAACGATTTCCAAATGCAAAGAGACGCTCGTTCTGAACGCCCGGATGTAGAAGACCCGCCATATGAAGTAGAGAAAGATCATCCACGTCAACGCAGTAGGCCCCTATTGGAATTAGAAAACAGAAGTAGTGAATAGGGATGCACAGAAAGTCTACACACCTGCAGGTATAACATGTTTCAGGAAAGGCCAGACAGTATCGAACTTATTCTGAAAGATCGCCGCAGGCCAAGCGGATGAAGATGCATGGCCTTGGTTTTTAGGATCTATCGAGCGCCCGAAGCATACTGACGGTAGAACTTTCGCGTGGAAATATGTCAGTATCACTGTGAGGAACGAGAATGAATGGGATTGAAAATACCTGTGTTAACCACAAACCCCGGCTCGTGCTCTTTCACCCACTGCCAGATTGCTTGCTCCCCTAGCGTCTTGCTCGCGGCGTAGAGGTCAAACCCTGCCTTGGGTGATTTAAAGGACGTTTCCCCGCTGACTCGCTCTACCCCCTTCTCATTCCAGGTGTTTGCAGTGACTCGTATGGGCTGGCTCGCGTCTTGTTCGAGAAAGGATGAATAAATGGCAGCCTCGGAAGAGGAAGTGTATACAAATCGCTTCATGTTCGGTTCCTGGGATGCAGTGGCAAGGAGGTTTGTGTTCATGTCAATGACGCGCTGAATCACATCTGCTTCACCACCGAAAACAGTCGCCACGTGGACTACACCTGAAGCACCTGGTGTGTGAAGTAGATCAGTTAGTATGTGTCGGATGGGCGGCCACTGCACGGGGGAATGCAACCTTGGAGGGCCTGCTCAAATGCCCCAGGACGAGTCACGTCCTCAACTTGAGCTAATTCGAATACGCAGTCCTTATACTTCGTTTCGAACAATGCTTTCATCCATTCGCCTTTCGATAGAGCGCGAACGGTTCCGCGGACATTGTATCCGTGATGAAGAAGCTGATCGGCAATATTAGAGGCGATGTAGCCATTCACTCCGGTGACAACAATCCAAGAACCTTTGGGAATGGCAAAATCATCAGGAAGTAGTTGAGCCATTTCTGTCGATTTTCACGATTTCGTTCGAAGATGATCAGTTCTGGACGCAGGACTAAACCGCAAGTTACAGATTCTTTTTTATCGGCAGTTCTGCCAATTCCCAGAGAATTCAAGCGTCGGTCTGAGTAATCTGTTTTGTAAACCGGTCATTCTCGGGAAGAATTCTGCGACCGACTTCGTGGATAGAGGTGGACAGAGAGAGAACCAGTTTCCGGTTTATAGAGATTCGCATCGCCACCGTTCCTTGATCGGCCTCGGGCTTATTTTACCTCCCGAGATGATCAATCAGGGCCGGCTCCACCTCTATATTATTCATATCAGGATGTCCATACAATGCGAGACCGAGATGCGAGTATGGTATATAAATCAGTGTAGTTCTCTTCAAGGAATCCAGCATTCTCAATCCGTTCCATAAAACCCCCGTCTCGCTTGATATTGAATTCAACCATGACCATCACAGTCGGAATCGCCGGAATCACCGGCAAATTTGCCAAACGACTTGTATCTCACCTCCTCAAGCGAACTGATGTTACTATTAGAGGATACTGCCGCGATCCCAGTAGAGTCCCAGAGACAATTTCCTCTTCGCCCAAAGTCACCCTGATCCAAGGCGACGCGTTCAACAAAGACGCAATCACCACATTCGCCAAATCATGCGACGTGATCGTGTGCTGCTACCTCGGCGACGATAAACTCATGGTAGATGGCCAGAAAAAGCTAATTGATGCGTGCGACGAATGCGATGTACCTCGGTACGTTGCCAGTGATTGGGCCCTCGACTATACCAAGTTGAAGCTGGGCGAGCTGTTCCCCAAGGACCCGATGATTCATGTCAAGGCGTATCTGGAGACCAAGAAAGTGCAGGGGGTGCATATCCTCATTGGAGGGTTCATGGAGCCCATCTTCAGCCCTTTCTTCAATATCTATGATCCCCAGTCGCATACTTTCCGGTTCTGGGGATCCGGCGAGGAGGTTATGGAGGGGACGACGTATGACAATGCTGCGGAGTTTACTGCTGCGGTGACTGTGGATGAGAAGGCGGTTGGGGTCTTGAAGTGTGAGTTATATCTTTGATTTGTTACCTGAAGACTTTTTTCTCGCCTTGTGCTTACTCGACATACTTCATAGTCCTGGGCGGCCGAGCCACCATCAAAGAAATCGCAGCATCCTTCGAAAAGGTCTACGGTACCAAGCCTAGCTTGGAAAGCCGCGGATCTCTCGAAGACCTATATAAAACCATGCACGAGAAGCGCGAGAAGAATCCAATGGATATCTACAGCTACATGTCCCTGTACGTTATATCTTACATTACCTCCTCTTCTTGCAGAAACACTAACTGATCCGATCATCTATTAGCTTCTTCTATTACTACTGGGTCAACGGTCAAACCCTACTTGGCACAGATCTAGATAATGAGCGATATGAGGAGGTCAAGCCGGTTAGCTGGGAAGATTTCATGGCGCAGTACCCGTTGGAGGCGTTGCCTAGTGCGTTCTTTGCTCTGAGTGGCTAGGAAAGTGAACGAGACATCTACTTATGAGACGCAAGTCTTCAAATACAAAGTATGATTGTTGAGATGGGCTTTAGAGTATGAAGTATTCTCTAACCGGCTAGTCATCTCGTTGTAGAGACCTTGCTGTATAAGCATCGATAAACGCGAACCGCGCTGAACAGTTCAGAGCCTCGTCCGTGCCGATGCACTGGGTGTCATGAGGAGATTGTCATTAGTTTTCAGCTTAAGAATATCCCATGTATATACAAATTAAATTATCATACACCCAACCCCATAATTATATATACATACAACCTATAAGCTCTCCCTATCCCTAATCGGCCTCGACGACGCATCCGACCGCCGCCGATCATCCTGATACTCAACCTTAACATCCACCACCTGGGTGATCTCATGTTTATGCTTATGATCGCGAAGCGTAAACATCTCGAAGCCGCGAGTCGACACAGTATTCGAGTAACTCCCCCCGCTGCCGTGGAGCTGTCGCCACGCACTATCCTGCGGATCTTGGAGGTCGCCGTTTGATGCGTAGCCTTGGCCCTTGCGGCGCGATTTGCTGCGACTGGTGGGTCCGGTGCTGTGGTGTGTTGAGCCGAAGAGGCGGGGGAGAAGGTATTGGAGCGGTTGTTTGTAGACGGGGAGACAGGCGCAGATGATGCCGGCGTTAGCTTCGATGACGCTCCAGATTGTGGCAGGGATGGGGCCGCCTGGTTTGATTAGTTAGCGTTTGAAGTCCTGGGTTCAGAATAAGGATGGGTGTGGTCTTACTGGTCGGGTCCTTGTCTTCGGCGGATTTGGCGAGGGTGGTGGTTCGAACAACACTCGTTACGCAGACACTAGTAGCTTATGAGTCGGTGGGACTTGGTACGATATTCGAGGAAATACTCACAATAGGCCAAGACCGAAGATTAACGCCAGCGCAAGTCTCTTCGCGCGTGCCAGTTTCAGCTGCGAGACAGGGTATAGTGGTAGGGCGAGAATCGCGACGTCGCTGAGAATGTTGATGACGGCATATGACAACCATTGCGACTTGCTGTCGACGCAGTGCGGATGATGAATGGTTTTATCCCAGAAAGATGCGATTGGCTTGCACTGGAAGATGGTGACGAGGATATATGCCATACTCCATGCCACTATAAACGCGATTCCCCCGTAACATATGCGGCGGAAAATAGGCTGGATGAAGATTCGCAGGTAAAGGCAGAAAAAGGAAACCTTTGTCAGACCAATGACGACTTTGTACATAACCTGGGCAGCGAAGAACCACTATACGGATCAGTAGGACTTTTCTGCAAACGTGTCGAGAATCTCACCTTCAGCGCGATAACCCTGTTATGCTGGGTGAGATACGTAGAATGCTTTCCATATCCATAGTGGACCGCTGTTTGTGTCGTGAGTTCGTCGATTTCAAAATATTGACCGATCAAGACAATAGAAGACTTACCAGAGCATTCAGTCACAGTCAGAATAACGGAACTAAGCTACTCCGTAAAAACATCGGTCAGAATGTGAAGCTTGTGAAACTGACGATCCCTTACCATCGACGCAAAGATAGTCCAATCATCGGCCCCTAGTCGGCGGTTATGAAACCGAATCGCCAATCTGGTCACGACAAAAAGCCCCGCAAGTATAATCATTATCACACTCCAGATCCATAATGTGAAGCCACGGTTTGGCACCGTTGGCGTGCTCAGTCCAATCTCCCAGGACATGATGCTGAGAGGGCGAGGTTGCCGACCAGGACAGAAAGAAAGGGCATTGGCCAGGCATTGTTGATATATATTACCCTAGGTCTCACACAAGTCCAAGCACATAATGAAAAATGTCCAGCAGGCGCGTAGGGCACGAACAATCCTTGGCTAAAGGAGTTGGTGGCAATGGCACAATGCCGTAGACATTTAGGTTTATGAAGGATTGGAGTCGGTAATTCTCCACGATGGTTGATTTGTTCAATCAGACCCGGACCCTCCTTGTTGGAGAGGCTTAAGTGGACACTGACTCAAATTTATAAGCCCATTGTGGTGGAAGGCTCTCGTAGTGTGACTGGGGGCAAGAATCCAAATCAAAAACACGGGCTGTTAACTGCCAACTGCCCTTTAGCGGCCATAGCCGAATGGTAGGTGGTCCGGTGGATCAGCCACGCGAAGATGCCAGATGGGTAAAATGTCCGGCCAGCGCTCATGCCACTTGTTTGTGTGCAAATCGATCCCGAGCCCTGCTGAAGGGCATTTTCGAAGAGAGTATGGCCATATGTTCAGCGCTCAAACAAAGTATCATGGAATTAAGCATGAATCAATTAGAGCTGCATTTCTGCAACTTGACAGCCACGACAGGGGGTCGGTATGGGTTCCCGCTTGGCTAAGCCCCTTACGGCAAATCGGAGACAAGGGGCGCAGCCCACTCCGTACCAGAACAACACTAACCTCAGTGCTAGACGTGCTAGACTCATAGGCCAAAGTAGCCCGGCCTTCTCCCTACCGAAGAACGTCCGACAAAGCAGGGACTGCTCTGGAATAGCACTGGCTGCTGGCTGGGCAGGCCATTTGCCAATCGTTGACGGTTGAGATAAATGGGTCCTAATCAAACCATTTCTCCAAGTTTCTGACTCGTGGCTTTGCCCACTGTGAATTGCCCAAGGTCCGATTCCCCGTTTATATCTGGACTCTCCATCCATCTTTCCCGGCTGTTTTTTTGATTCTGGTTTGTCGCAAGAAACGCTTCTCTGCCCAGTCATGGCGGGTTTTTGGAAATCCTTCGCGTCGGTGTCCCTGTTGGCCACCGGTCTCCCGACATGGGTCCAGGGCGCTGCTGTCCAGTCCGTCGGTGCGCGTGTCTCAACCAGCAGTGGATTGATCGAGGGCCATGCCGCCCCCGGGGAATCCAGCGTTTCCGAGTATCTGGGTATTCCGTATGCGCAGGCCCCCACGAATGATCTGCGTTTTGCTCCCCCAGTGGCGTATGAATCCAAAGCCACGATTCAAGCAAAAGCCTATGTATGTATTCCGTACTGTGTAACGGTGTCCATTTGTCGGAATAAGAATCCGAAACGGCAGCAACTGACTTTTTTTCCCCTCCCTGACAGAGCCCGTAAGAGCACACTTATCTTGGCCCAATTAATATTGGATAACATCATGACCAATACTTTCACAGGGATTGCCCCGCTACTATCGGCACGACGCCCCTTGATTTCCCTGGTTTCACTTCGCAGGCTGTGAAGATCATCAAGTCTTTCGCTCAACAGCTGGGCACCTCTCAGAGCGAGGACTGTCTGTATTTGAACGTGTGGACGCAGCCCAAGACCTCGACCCCAAAGCCCGTTTTGGTTTTTATTCACGGTGGTCGTACGTAGCTCGCTTGCTCTTTCTTGTACTGAGGGTTGACATACTCTAGGGTTCGCTGTCGGCGGTGCCAACAGTCCGTTCTACGATGGACAGCACCTGGCTGCGAATGAAGATGTGGTTGTCGTGACCTTCAAGTTAGTGACATTCCGGACCCATGCCTTTGAAAGATTCTCAGTCTGACGGATATAGCTACCGATTGAACATTTTTGGATTCTCGGGTGCTCCAGGACTGACTCAGAACGTGGCGCTTCTCGATCAGCGGATGGCCGTAGAATGGGTTCATGAGAACATCGCTGCGTTCGGTGGAGATCCAGAACACATCACTATCTTTGGACAGTCGGCTGGCGGTGCGTCTGTTGACTACTATTCGTACATCTGGACCGAGAAGCCGCTTGTCAGCGGTCTCATCTCCCACTCGGGAACTGCGCTTAGCTTGAAGCCAAACACAGCCGAGGAGTCGGCCAGCTACTTTTATCACGTCTCAAAGACCCTGGACTGCGGTGATAGCAGCGACGATGTCGAGGAAGTGGTGAAATGTCTCCGTCAACAGTCATACGGAGATATCCTGAAGGCCGTTGCCAAGGTCCCTGCCGCTTCGTCGCCAGCGCTCCCACAGCCTGTCTTCCATCCGACCGTTGATAACGTCACTGTGTTCGGTGACTATGCTGAGAGGTCAGCGGCCGGGAAATTTGCCAAACTGGTGAGTTCTCGGTTCCCAGTTTTTTTTTTTTTTTTTTTTTTTTTTTTTCCCGTCTAAGATGGAGGGTGTCAGCTAATCGACGCAGCCATACCTGGTCAACAATAACGACAACGAAGCCGGTTACTACCGCGTCAATGCCTTCGCTGCCAGTCTGACTCTTACCGATGAGGACTGGAATCAGTTCAACCTGGCCGCCTTCACCTGCCCCAGCGATCAAGCCGCCAAAGACCGTGCTGCCAACGGAGTCGCCGTTTGGCACTCACGCTATTTCGGTGACTGGGACAACATGCGCCTGTATCCCACCAGCGGTGCTTACCACGGAGTCGATATACCCATGGTGTTTGGCAATTCTGCCGACATCAGTGCGGTGTCTGCCTCCAAAGTGGAGCAAGAGTTTTCCCAGTACATGGCCTCAGCGTGGGTAGCGTTTGCCCGTGATCCTCAAAAGGGATTGACCAAGTTCGGATGGCCCCAGTATGATGCCAAGAGTAAGTGTCTATTCTTCACGTCCCGGTAGCCGTTGGTTCTAATCCGTATGCAGAGAACACACTCATTGGTCTTGCGCACAAGAACAGTGTGAAGGCCGAGTTCCTCAATCCCTCCGACTTTCAAGAAGGCTGCGCCGCCCTAGACGGCGACACTACACCTGGAAAAGGTGCTTTTTAGTGACCAGAACGGGATGAATGTACCATATTTTGATCCCATTCTAGGGGTTGTCTAATAGAGTAGAGAGGCTTCTCGGAGTTTCAGATACTCAGCCTGGCACCATAAAGGTGTAGCTGGTTGACAACCAATACACAAACGATAATCGAAGATAGTCGCAGTATTGGTTATAATGCCTCATAATTCCGGATCCACGGGCGCGGCCAGCTGCAGTCCTCGTAACGCTATGTAGGCTCGTATTCCAGATAACACCAGGGACCATGTTCATTCAGTCCGAGCGGATTCCGTGAACCTTAACCAGCCTCGTTCATCAGAGCCAATAACCACGACTTCAAATGTCATACCAACAAACAGGATATTTATAGGATCTGGGAGGCCCGATATGACCATCACGTCAGCTTGGACCAGAGAAGAGCTGGGTCTGGGGGAGTAATACGGGACCTAAAATCAAGCGTGCCCGGCATCGCCTACCAGTGACCAATGCATGACTACATAGATTAAATCCGACCTAGAGGAGACCCATCCCCAGACCGATTCATTAGAGTTCTTACCGTTGATAGATCGCGGGTGGATGCAGCCACTAAGTTCGGGGATGGACTAAGGAAAAGGAGGCGTGTAACCGCGGATGAACGTCATGGTCAAAGGAGAGAGAGTTGCGTCGATAGAAAGAAGAAAGAAAGAAAGGAGTTGAACCTGACTTGTACTTCGTGCTGCAATGCCGCTAGTCCCTATCTGGAAAGGCGTTGCCTGTGTCCGTGACCTCTACCCCCATCAGGACTAGCGTGGGTTCGAAAGGGAAAATGCCAAAGAAAGACCATCGTAGAATGTAACATCGTTCAGGAACCATCAATAGTCCCTAACTTAATCATGACCATTCTTCCTTTTAGTTAGTTGTGTTCATATCAGAAGCCATCTCGCTGCGATCTGTGCTTCGGAAACTATGGACGCCGGATTACATGGACCCCCAATGATCAGCGGGAATAACACAGTAAGGCTCTTGGCCCCGTTGATAATCAACCGATATCTATCTATAGTAATCTGTCAATCAGCAATCTCGTCCGTCACTCGGTGCGTTGCGGACTTGGGCTTACTGTAGATGAAACTGGGAGGGTCCATGACCCAAGGTGCAAAGGAAGGAAGATCCCAGAGCACAGAAGATGACGATGATTCTAAATCACTAGTATCCGCTGTCATTGGCTTGGTTTGAGCCACGGTCAGGGGCGGCTGGGAGTGGCTTACCTGAAGTCGGGGATGGGAAGCGACACTGCCACAGCCAACGTCGCGGTGGACTGACCGTGAAGGGCTCGGCGTGGGCTGGTTGACCTGGCAATGACAGGATCTTGGGGCAATTGTGTTTAATATTTAGGCTGAGTGGATCGAAAATCGCGTGAGATTAAGAGAGGGATTTTTAGTGTCTGTGGCTCAACGATGGGCGAAAGGCTCGCTACGCAGGACTAACTGTAGCTACTACTGTATGTACTGTGTTGATACAAGTTAGTCTCAGACGATGCAGCTTGATGTAATCAGTAAGGCTGTCGCAGTGAAGTGGTATATGCACAGGGACGAGGAAACCACCGTTCCGTCGGGATTCGGAACGAATGCTTTCCAGGATGAGAGGCCTATAAATAGACGGATCTTCACGAGATGACGATGAGATATCAAAGCTTGCGACTGAGTAGGCGGACCTTCTACCCAGTTATCTAGTACTGAGTGTGTTCGATAGGTAGTTGAGTATGTACTCCCCCGGGACTGTATAGAACAAAAGCACTGAGAGGCAGGAAATGAGGATAAAGTAAATTAAACTGAAATTAAAGCGCTGCAGGAGGGAGGAAGATGGCATTCGTAATTGCGTCGGGAACGACGGATGGAAGCCAGCAGGGCGAGGGTTCTGGCCCCCCGTCAATCCTCCCAACAGGCGTGAAAGTACGCGGAAAACTGGGTCGGGATCCACTGTCGAAGATGACTTGTTCGGTTCAGGAGAAACTAAGGAATTTTCCCTTTTTGCATCTAGTCAGGCACGGTGGGTTCTGGTTTCCCATTTCTCAGCAGCAGAGCGAGTGTCTTCTTGGCGACTGTAAATAATATTGACAATATTGCCGATTGAGGGTTGAGGATTTATTATTAGAGAGAGGGGTTTAATTAAACGCGGGATATGCCGATAGACGATAGACGATAGAAGAGACAGAGTACTCCGTAAAGTCGCTGCCCGTTAGCTGTCAAGAAGAACACGGGAATTGAGGCGATGAAAGCAGTCCTGATAAAACTTCCCCAGCCGCAGCCCGTCCATTCCATCCATTCCTCTTAAGTCTTACTTACATATGAGAGTTCTTGCGCCACCACCAAGTTGCTCATTTCTCCGTTCATTAATCTTCTTCCTCCTTTCTCTGCGTCTTCCTCCTCTTCTTCTTCCCTGCCTAGCTTACGCAGTACTCCTCCTCCGCAGTTCTCGCCATTATTCCAGTCCTCTCGTTTCGATCCGCCTGATCCCTCCTCTACCAGCCTCTACTAAACTCTACCAATCTCCTTCCCTGCGTCCGACACCGTCCTCGCGTGATCCCTACATGTGCACCTCCTCAGCCTTACCGACCTGAGCGTTCGATCGGAGGGAGAGCCTCTGTTCCCCCCCGCCGACCCAACAACGCGACGTTTCACTCGCGCCTTGGCAAAGTCTCTGGGGGAAAATCCCCAAAAGCCGATCTTCCCTTCTGTTTCCCTTTTTCCTCTCGTCCTCCCATTCACTCGCTCTCTCGCCCACTTTCGGTGCGGGTCATTTCTCCCTCCCATTCTTTGTTTGATTTTATTCCATTTTATTTTATTTTTTCTTTTTCTCTCTTTTTTGTTTTTCTTTTTTTTTTTTAACACCCTTTTCCCTGGGTCCAGAAACTACTCAAGTGGAGGCTTTTGTACGTGTCTCTGCACTGAGTAAGGGTTGTGTCCGTCATTTTCTCTGGAGCCCATCACCGTCGAGACCGCACCTCCTGAAAGTTCAAAGACCCTTTGGCCTCCCAAGAAACTACTGTCAGTCCCCGGCCCTTTTAGCAATCGCCGGCCAGACATTCCCCTCGCCGACCCTCCATTAACGCCCACCGCCCGCCTGGTGGTGAAACCGTCATATTGTATCCCGAGCCTGAACCTCCGGCGGACTCAAGCTCCGTAACGGAGCATTTCGGCAAGATTTATTCCCACAACTCGCGGGCTTCCCTCCTGGGAAGTTCTTTCGATCCCTCTTTTCGTCGGGGTCCCGGGGGGTTTCGTGCGCGAGAAGGTTATACGAATGTGCCTCCGCACCCGCAAAAACGCAGAATGTACATCCCAAATTCGCTCTGGACGTGGTCCTTTGCCATCGTCACCCTCATTCAAACTATCATCACTCTGGCGCTAGAATGGTATGTCCGGTCTTGAGATCTCATCCTATCCCCTCCGTGCTCATCCTGTTGCTAACGCGACCGGTCGCTTTTCCAGCTATGTCTTCGCCAACTTCCAGATTCAACTCCGTGCGAAAGCCGACCAGGTGACCGCGTCGAAAACCATCCCCACCTTCCTCGCCCTGTACAGTTTTGGTTTCATTTACGAGCTGGTGTTGGTGTATGATGCTTTGCGAATGAAAAACACGATTCAAGTTATCGGCCTGTGTATGTGCAATGTTGGACTGTTGATCTACGGAGCCGTGCAAGTGCAGCAGATCAAAGAAGCCGTGGGAGTCTTGACCGACAACAACGCCATCAACGATGATATCTGGGGGGAATCGGAACCGTTCCTGATCATCATCCCCTGCGTGGTGGCGATGGGAACCCTCTTGATGACGATCATCGCCTGGAAACTCTACGATGAATTTGCGTGGTCCATCTACAAGCACATCAGCGCTGATTTGCAGATGAAGCGTCGATATCTCACTTACCAGGTTCGCTCCGCCCGATAACGTCGCGAGCCGACATGCAGAAAGCTAATTACCCGTGGATAGATCTACATCGCCCTCCTTAAGTTCGATTTCTTCTTCTTCCTTGGATTTACCGTGCAATTCGTCGTGATCGTTACCGAACGAGCCGATATCGAGTTTGGACTCACTCTGGCCGCTGTCCCTGTGACCATCTTGATCTTGGTGTGTGCCGCCATCTTCGTGCGACGCGAAAGCACTTTCGGCATGATTGTCATCATCGTATGTTTTCCGCCTTTCCGACTCCCAGCAGACGTGATGCTAACTTTAATTGCAGCTTCTATATTTCGCCGCCATGGCGTACTTCCTCTTCAAACTCGTTCGCATGTACGCTCCGGGGACATATTTGGTGTATCTGCCGGCTCGACGATCACTCACCTTCTTCGCCGTGATTACGCTTGTTCTGATCGTCCTGACCATCATCAACGCCAGCATGTGCATGCACAACTTCCACAGGGGTCTCAAGCCGCATATCAATAAGAAGAAGGACCGCAAGGAAGCGGAGAAGTCGACGACCGAATTGTCCTCCAACATCACTGGCCAGGTCCCCAACCGAATGATGATTGATTGAGCATGCTTGAGCACGTGTTCTTTACGATCAAAGAATAACAAGAAGAAGAAAAAACCCCCTACAAAATCAAATCAATGGTCGATACATATCAATCAGATGCTGAAGGGACCGTTCGGCAATATCCATTCTATACGTCCGCTATGGGGCTACACCTATAGAGGAACCATTTAGGTACGAAATTTTTCAGGTGTTTTCAGGGAACTGCGATATGATACCTTTTGCGTTGGCGATTTATTCACGAATTTGGATTGTCTTTTTACTCTCTCCTTCATCTTGCCACTCCCTTTCTGCCGCTGATAGCGTTTGATTGATCATTTTCTCGCCGAGTCTCGACCGGATACTTTATGTCATTTTTTAACGACCGTGCATCTCCTTTGTCATGTACTGTAGCTATCTCTTAATTACATAAAAACAATCACAGTGTTTATACGGATTTAGAATGAATCTTGATTTCCATGAGAACTGCCAATGTAATGTAAGCCTAGGTAGTCGTCAAGGGTTCTTGGCAAAATTACCGCAGGATGGGGAAGCGTAACGGAAACGGTAATCAAAGCCGGGGGTCGATGTGAATGACGATACGGTGACAATACTCGAAAGCGTGAGCGTGGCCTCTTTCTGGCAACTCGCCAACCTCAACTCCTCCGGCGACTGCATGTTCTTTCCAACTCCGCTCGACTTTCATCTCTCTCCTTGTCCGTCTGGTCAATTCCCTTCTCCTCTTTCAATCCTCTCCAATTCTCTATAACGCTCTTTAATCTTTGTGTTTCGTTGGTTTCTATTTTCAAATTTCTTCAAAATGGTGAGACTCCTGCTCCAAATGATCGTCCTTTTCGAAAAGGGACACATCCACACGAGATAGCTTGAGCCCGTCACTTGGCCAATCCCCCCGGATCAAATATACTGACTAGATCTCTGATCAGGCCTCCCCCCGTGCTGCTTCTCCCTTGACCTCCGGTGCTGAATCCGGCCCTGACTCCAAGTCTGCCGGCGCTGGTGCCGCCGCCGGATCTGCGTCCGCCATCAACCGTCCTTCGTCGCCCACTCCCCCCGGTGGTCCTCGCGCTGCTCTGCGTCGTCGCGCTGCCGCCGACCACAAGGAGTCTCTGCGCAATGTCCGCCCTAGCTCGACTCGCTCTGCCGGTGCCGGTGGTTCCTCGGGCACTATGCTCAAGCTCTACACCGACGAGAGCCCCGGTCTGCGCGTCGACCCCGTCGTTGTCTTGGTTCTGAGTCTGGGATTTATCTTCTCGGTCGTTGGTCTGCACGGTATGAACCCACTTGTAGAATTGTGCCAGAGTAGTAGTTTCGGGAAACTAATCAATTCTCTCTCCGTCAGTCATTGCCAAGATCACCCGCAAGTTCTCTTCATAAGCGAACCCCTACCTCTCGACGCGATCGCATCGTCTAGTTCTTGCTCTTCGCCTTTGCCGCGTTCAGCCCGGCTCTACCGATGGGCACGTATGCGACAATCCAGCAGTGCTTGTTGCCACGCTGACACGTTGAATGAACCGAATTGGTTGTCTTGCGTGGAATCTCCGGTCCTAGCGAGGCGTCACGATCGACCCGTTTCCCCCTCACACGTCCCCTTCAAAATCATATACCCCTTGGCGTCCCTTCTTCCTGCTTCTTTCCTGTGCGTATGTAGTTGGAGACATCGCACGGGGACGTCTCTAAACTCTTGTTTCAATGCTTGTAAAGTGTAACGTTGAAAGACCTGTCTGCAGCATAGGTTGGACAACGGATTGGTTGCTAGCTTATTTTTTTTATCTTGTTGTTTACGTTATTGATCGATGCATCTGGAGCGTCGGTGATCGTTAATGGAGAACGCGGAATAATATAAGAAATTGGGAAAGGCATCATTGTCCTTGTACAGTATCAGTTTTGGTTGCTCAAGTTGAATCCATTCAAGATGACAAAGCGGTCAGCTCCCGGTCCTCTTGTGTGTACGGGGTCCTGTCTATCAGTTGACACTACTCAACAGTCAAGACACGAAGCAATGTACACAGCACTTGGCATCGGCCAGCTCCGCACCACCAGTGCTCGGGCTCGAATTTGACTCGTCTTAGCTTTCTCCAAAACAATGGGGAATCCTTCATCCTGTTGCTCCCCAGGTTAAGTTATCCCCGGGGAGCAGTGGGGAGGAATCTGTACGAATTCATTAGTCGGAGACTTCAGGTAAAGAAAAGCGTTATCATCATCTCCACCATCCCTGCACACCAACAAGGCTCAAATGCTGAATTCCGACCTTTTTTGGCGGTGGATATCAGATGAAAAGGATTGCCCATCCTTATCACCCACCCACCGCCAATCGTCGTGCAGTTCCGGAATCGAGTCTGGCCTCCGCTGATAAGGAGAAAAGCACCAATGATGGAACAGCTGTCCATGATAGTCATTCCTGGGGGAATTCTTTTTTATTTGATTTGCAATGGGCAATGAATGGATTGCAGATTGTTTCCGTGCGGTCTAATTACCTGGCTTTCACACACGTGCGATTACGAAAAATGAATCCCTTATCGTCCACCGTCTGTCTCGTCGGCTTTTCATTCGTATTCGACTATCTACGGTGTAGTCGCTACTCTGAATCATCGGTTCCAACCGTGTTGATCGGGATGAGGGCTGCGAGGTCGGAGGAGGTCAGACGCTTGGTATGGTCTTCCATGCTGTATATGAAGCTGTGGCGCCCTGTCGTCTCGTTTCGTGGGTCGTTCGTTGACTGTTTCTCGAGACATTGCTTGCTATAGTGCACTGTCTTACGCCCTTTGCGTTAGATCTTGACTCCATAATACTGCATTCACAGTCCTGTCTAGCTTGCGATCCACTGCAACGTTAGCGTCTACCTAGTGCATCTCAATTGGACGTGCTTGATTGTTTTTTGTCTCTCCAGCATGGCCTCGGAAGAGGTCAAGTTTGTTGCCCCCCTTTCACAAGGGTTCGGCTATGGTATCATCATAGGGCTAGGGTTTGCCTTTGCCCTGGTGATGATCTTTATTACATGGGCTTTGAAGAGGTATGTCCATAGCGAGGCACTTGTATTGCCAACAAACTATATAGGACCTAGACTAATACATGCGCTATCTAGGTATCAACATGAAGTTCAAACGTCCGAGATGTTCTCGACCGCTGGAAGGTCCGTGAAGTCTGGTCTGGTTGCGGCAGCAGTCGTCAGCAGCTGGACATGGGCTGCGACTCTTCTTCAATCGTCCGCTGTCGCCTATCAATATGGCATTTCCGGTCCTTTTTTCTACGCTTCGGGTGAGTCGATCGGGGCAATTCGATTGGTTCCATAGCTGACAAGTCAATTACCATAGGCGCCTGTGTCCAGATCATCCTATTTGCAACCCTCGCGATCGAACTCAGAAGACGGGCCCCCAATGCGCACACCTTCCTGGAAGCCATTCGCGCTCGCTACGGCACGGCCGTGCATCTCGTCTTTATCGTCTTCTGCCTGATGACCAACATTCTGGTCACCGCCATGTTGCTCACCGGTGGTTCGGCCGTCATGACTTCTCTGACTGGGGTTCACACAGCTGCTGCCTGTTTCCTGCTCCCCATCGGTGTCGTTCTCTATACTCTGTTCGGAGGTATCAAGGCAACGTTCATTACGGATTACATGCACACGGTGGTCATCATCGTTGTCATCTTTATCTTTGCGTTTTCTGCCTACGCTACGAATGAGAATCTCGGGTCTCCGGGGAAGGTGTATGATGCGCTGGTTGCGGCGTCGGAACTTCATCCTGTCGAGGGGAATGCTCAAGGCAGTTATTTGACTATGAATTCGAAAGAGGGAGGAATCTTTTGGGTGATTAACCTTGTTGGTATGTATTCCTGCTTAGCTTCCCTTTTATGGCCTGTGCTAACGAGTTCATTGCAGGTAACTTCGGGTATGTGGATTTGATTCTCGAAACTCAATGTCGCTAACACCTACAACAGCACCGTCTTCCTGGACAATGGATACTATAACAAAGGTAAGATTTGTTCCTTACCCATGTGATCTCAGCTGGCAATACTGACAATCCAGCCATCGCTGCACACCCCGTACATGCATTCCCCGGATACGTTATCGGCGGTCTCTGCTGGTTTGCCATCCCCTGGCTCTGCGCCAGCACCATGGGTATCTCCGCCCTCGCCCTGGAAGGGTCTCAGCGCATGAGCTCAGACGATGTCACCGCCGGGCTCGTACTACCGTTCGCTGCCGTCGAGCTGCTCGGCTACAGCGGAGCCGTATGCACCACGCTCATGATCTTCATGGCCGTCACGTCCGCCTTCTCCGCCCAGCTGATCGCCGTCTCGTCGATCCTCACCTACGACATCTACCAAGCCTACATCAACCCCTCGGCCAAGGGCAAGCGACTAGTCTGGATCTCCCACATGTCCTGTATCTTGTTCGCCATTGTCATGGCCGCGTTCGCCACGGGACTCTTCTACGCCGGCATCGGCATGGGCTACCTCTACCTGCTCATGGGCGTCATCATCTCCTCCGCCGTATTCCCCGGCGCCATGACTCTCGTCTGGAAGGGTCAGAACTGGATCGCGGCCGCTTGCTCGCCTATTCTAGGTCTCGCCATGTCCCTCATCGCGTGGCTCGTCACCACCAAGAAAGAATACGGTGTCTTCACCGTGGCAACCACTGGAGCAAAGTACGTCTTCCTTTTAGCACATTTTCCTCCTCCTTCAATCTCTAACCCCTTAACAACCAGCTACCCCATGCTCGCCGGCAACGTCGCCGCCCTCCTCAGCCCCGTCATCTTCTCCCCAGTCCTCACCTACCTCTTCGGTCCCCAAAACTACGACTACGAGTCGATGCGCGCCATCCGCAAAGTCGACGACACGGACGTCGCGGCAGCCGCAAACATCGACATCGAGCTCATCCCGGGCGAGTCCCCCTCCCCACAAACCACCTCCCCAACCACCACCACCACCGAAGCCGAAGAAGACGAACAACGCAAACTCAACCGCGCAGCCCTCTACTCCCGCACCCTCACCATCGCCATGGTCATCTGCTTCCTCCTCCTCTGGCCGATCCCGATGTACGCGTCCGGGTACGTGTTCAGCAAACGGTTCTTCACGGGATGGGTCGTTGTGGGGATATTGTGGTTGTTTGTGACGACGTTCGGGGTGGTCGTGTTTCCGCTGTATGAGGGACGAGGAAGTATTGTGCGGACGGCACGATCGATGGTGTTGGACGCTATGGGGAAGAGGCCCAAGGGGGTGGTGAAGGTTTTGGAGGCGAAGGGGAAGCCAGGAGGAGGGGAGATGTCGAGTGGGGTGGTGACGCCGACGACGGAGAAGGTTCGTGGGAAGGAAGAGGGGGTTTAATTTTTTTTTTCTTTGATTCTCATGTGTGTGTGTGCATGTGTCCATGATTGCTTTTATGATGGGTCGTGATGGGACTTTCTATGCTTGGGCTTGGTTATGTGTTGGTTCGGATACTTACCCCCCTGTTGGGAGGCACCGCGTTGTCTGCGTTTTCTTATTCGACAGTTATAGTTTATACCCCCGTTTTTGTTTATACGTCAATGACATTCCTCGACTCCCTCGATATCTACTTCGATAACGATCATAGACAATAAAACAGATTATCAATTCAGTTCAATTCAATGCAATCCATTAAACGACATAACCCCTCCCATTGAAACCATAAACCACAGTTCAGGGTAGGTAGAGTAATAAGTAGGTATCTCCAATGATCAATCGATCAATCACAATAACAACCACAAAAACGACACAGGCAAGGCAATAGAACTGCTCAAACAAACCCACATGGAAACCAAGCGCCCGATACAAAGTCACCCTCCATTACCACACATCCCTCTCTTCTCATACAGAGTACTCACTTATACCCATACCCCTGCGGCGGCTGGGTGCCCTGCGGCGGATAATAAGCCTGCGGAGGCGGCGCCGGGCCTGAGAGGGCGCCAGGCGGGGGACGTGTGTCGGGTGTTATGTCGGGACGGTCACTGAGATTCGTTAGTGGGGAGGGACAACGGGTACGGTGGTTAGGGCAGTTGGGTTGTTTGGGTAGTGCTTTATTGGAGGAAGGATGACGTACCGTAGATCTTGGGTGAAGCGGCATGTGTAGCATGTTACTTCCTGTTGGGGTTGTTAGTCTTCAGGTGAGGGACAGGTGGGATGGGGTTGGAGTAAGTATCTAATGTACATACCTTGTATTTGTGAAATGCTAGTGGGATGGCGGGCTATATTCAGAGATTGATTAGTACTGCGTCTGGCAGGTTCGTGTCCAAATGGGTAGGGAATTGGTCGATGGGCCTGAGACATGAGCCATGATGCTTGAGCCTGACATACAATAAAGCAAATAGTAAACCACGGCCTAGATATACAACTGCGTCAGAAATAGTAAACAACAATCCAGACGGAGTAGAACATACCATCTTGTCACGCAATGCCCGTTCCAATGTTGACCTGATTCATACAAAACAAATCGCCTTAGTCAGACCAAGTCCAGACAGCCAACCGGCCAGACAGAACACAGCAACCAAGCCACTCACAGTTATAGCAGTAAGCACGGACATTCTCGTATCCTTCCAGCATGGAAGTGAATTCTAAGTTCCATTAGCTCATGATCACAGATACAATTTTACTTCCAGACGTAGAAAGTCGAGATGTCATAGAAGATGCCTCAGAAGGAACAGAGGCGGAGAAGGGCCCCCGTTCAGGGTCCAGTGACGTACCATGTGATCCGAACGTGATGCAAATGGCCATGATGGGTGGATTTCAGGGCTCCCAGGACGTGACAGTTCTGCTAGATAGAGTGGTAAGTTTGGAGATAGTCTGCGGTTTAACTAGGCTCTGGGTCTGGCTCTGAAGGTGAAGTCGTTGACAACTTGAGGGATGGTGAAGGGGCAGGCAGCGGCAATCCGTTTCGTAGGGGCTGACGTGTGGCGTTGTGGCTTGGCACTTGGCGGTTGTGATGCTCATAGATGTTGTATTTTCTGCATCCATTCAAGATGGCATAAATGCTCAGATTTATATACTTTAGTAGTGTAGTCAAGTGGAAATACTGTTAGGACAGTAGGTTGCTAATTCGGTTGAAGGAGCTACTCCATGGATACGTATAGTTCCCCCGGACAGTGCTCTTGCTACTTATTCACGTGCACAAATATTGAGATCAAACTATTTATTCAATTGAATATTTACTCAGTTCAAACCACTCATCTACCGAAATCGATATCAAATGACATTGGAATGAAAAGGATAAACCCAGAGATATTAACAATAAGAAGAATTCGCTGAAGAAAGTAGAAACGAATCTAGTTGACCGCCACACCACCTCCGACAGAAGCCTTCACAACGATCCTAAGCATAAAGGAAGAACCCATGGCTTTGATTTTGTTATTGGCCCTGCTGTTTCGCCGTCCTTCACCCTGCTGCGCCCCATTCCGTGGTATTATTCCACCACCTGTTATTTTTGCCCCAAGACACAACGGCGGTCGACAAATGTGAAGAGTCAGCCAGCACGCGGGCGTGAGTCCTAGCGGGAGGAGATTCGAAAAGAGCGTTTATTGGGTCTTGAACAGGAGGATAGCGCAGTGGCCCAGGTAGAAGTAGATGAAGTGTTTCGTCTCTGCCGGACAATTAGCAGACGCTCGAGATTGTCTCCGCGAACAGGCCCGTACCGTGCGTCACGAAACTACCAAAGTTCCTTCCAACCACACAGTGCCATGTTGCGCCCTTGCGCGAGTCGAACTATGATCTGGTTAGGTACGACCGACGAGGGGGTACGGGTCAGGGGAGGCGGGGTAGCGGACTTCTCGCTTGATGTACTGGGCAATGTCCTAGATACAATTAACATATGCATTGATCGTGCAGTATGGTACTGCCCATGACGAACCTTCTCAATGTGGTACTTGTCCATGGCCTCAATCGCTAAGAAATTAGCTCACGTCACGCTGTTCGGGTCCAAATCGTCCGTACCAACTTCGACAGCCTCCTGCTGCATATCCTCGGTCTTTCGCAGAGTCAGCGCCAATCCCCACCGGTATTATTGCCCTGAAAAGCCTCACCATATCAACCGACTTGATTTGCGCTAGAGGTCACGTTAGCTCTGGTGCGGACTATGCTGCCCAAATGCATCACTTACGCTCAAGCTTGTCTTTCTTTTCGGTGGCCATTTTGACGACGGATTCGGATTCGACGAGAATTCGACAGATGGGAGAGATTGTCAGACGAGAGAAAAATATCGACAGACGAAGAGGGGTAAGTACAGGAGCTCTTCGAAAAGTATGGCAAGTTCCAGGGATGTTTTGCGCGCGACACTCGACCAGCGAATCTCCGCGAGAGACCCGCACGGACCAGGTTTCCCCCCGTCTCTCGTCTCGCCTCACCGCCTTCGGCACTATAAGATCGGCATCACGTAAAAAGAAAAAAAAAATTTCTCGACTCTTTCTTCTTCCTTCTTCAACACTTTCTTCCGTGGCTTTGAGAAATCTTTAGCCACCGGACACAACAATCTCCAATCATGGAGGAGAGTACAAGAATTTTCGTCTCTGGTCTCCCGCCAACCTTTACCAATGACCAATTAAGGAAGCACTTTGCTACTCGCTTCCAGGTCACGGATGCTCATGTTTTGCCCAAACGCCGAATTGGCTTCGTGGGCTTCAAGAGCTCCACTCTAGCCAACGCGGCTGCGCGGTACTTCAATAAGACATATATAAAGCTGTCGAAGATCTCAGTAGAAATTGCTAAACCGGTATGTGCACACTGGACTTGAGCCTTGTCTTTTCTTCTCTTGCTTTTTTTTTTTTTTTCATTTCTTTTTCTGTTGTGCACGCTGACCGGTAAAGGTGGTCTGGAGACTGACCCGTATTATCTAGATTGATGCTGAGCCCACACGTAAAGCTCATAAACCCGATGACTCCTCGGAGAGTACGCTCAAGCGTAAGCGGGATGGGGAGAAACCTCCACAAGATCCTAAAGTGCAAGAGTACATGTCCCTGATGCAACATTCGTCCCACACAAAGACGTGGGCCAACGACGATGCGTTCATCCCGGCTGCGGAGGACACTCAGAAGCAAGACCAAGCTGCCGAGGCGGATGACACACCCCAGGATCTCACCTACGCCCAAAGGAAACGAGTCAGGATCGCAGATGGCCAGGAGAAGAGCGAAGCCCCAGTCGCTACTCAAGAGCCTGAGTCCATGGTCGTTGATGCGGCCGGGGAAGAGGAGACTACGGAGCAACAGGACCCTCAACCCGAGGAGCAACCTGCCGTATCTGACTCCGATTGGCTGCGGTCAAAGACGAGTCGTCTCCTGGGTCTTCTGGACGAGGAGGAGCAGGCAGAGTTCAATGCTCAACCAAGTGCTCCTGCTCCGGAGGAGCCGAAACCTGTTGCGAAAGTCTCTACAGATCCTGATGACGGTGAGTCGCCAGATGGTGCGGATGCTAGTAAAACAGCGGAAGCGCCACCGCCGGTGGATACGAATATCGAGAACATCCGCCTGTCTGCGCGTCTCTTCGTAAGAAACCTGGCGTACGATATCGCGGAGTCGGATCTGGAACCACTTTTCACACCTTTTGGAAGGATTGAAGAGGTTAGTTTGAATTTTCTTTTTCTCATCTCCCCTTTCCATACACAATGCAAGGTCCCCTCGGGGGTTGCCCATATGATGATCATCCTGATAGGGACATCAGATGCAAAAGCACATGATGCGAACAGGAAAGAGAATTTTAGTAGATGCCTCTTTATATCTGAACGGCAACTTGCACATGACATCATTATTTGTTTCATTCATCTGCAGTGAGCAATCGCTAACGATCTCAGATTCATATCGCTTTCGATACCAGGTCAAACACCAGCAAAGGATTTGCATACGTCCAATATGTTGACTCAGATTCAGCCGTAGAGGCTTACAAGAGTCTGGACGGAAAGCACTTCCAAGGCCGCTTGCTGCACATCTTGCCGGCTTCTGCGAAGAAGACTTACAAGATCGACGAGCATGAGTTGCAAAAATTGCCTATCAAGAAACAAAAGGAAATCCGGCGAAAAATGGACGCTTCTTCCTCCAATTTTAGCTGGAACTCCCTCTACATGAACGTGAGTTTTCGCGTCAACCATCTGACTATACGACACCGCTAATAATTCATAGACTGATGCTGTCATGTCCTCCGTGGCTGAACGGTTGGGAGTCTCCAAATCTGATCTTTTGGATCCCACCTCAGCAGACGCTGCGGTGAAGCAAGCACATGCTGAGACGCACGTTATTCAAGAAACGAAAGCTTACTTCACCGCGAACGGTGTCAACCTCGACGCGTTCAAGCAGCGGGAGCGTGGAAACACCGCCATCCTAGTAAAGAACTTTTCGTTCGGCGTCAAAGCTGACGACCTTAGGAAATTGTTCGAGCCGTACGGTCAACTCACCAGACTACTGATGCCTCCTAGTGGCACGATAGCCATCGCTGAGTTTGGGAGACCGGACGAGGCGCAAAAAGCCTTCAAGGGCCTCGCCTATCGAAAGGTTGGAGATTCGATTCTCTTCCTGGAGAAGGCCCCTAAGAATCTGTTCGACCCGTCGGTCGTGCCGCAGAAGGTCGTCGAACCCAAGGCTGTCTCGCAAGGTTTCTCGACGGCGGACACTTTCGCAGCCGATGAACCCGAGGCCACCACGGCCACCTCGACCCTATTCGTAAAGAACCTTAATTTCTCCACCACGAATCAAAAGTTCGTGGAGACCTTCCGGCCACTGGAGGGCTTTGTGTCTGCCAGGGTCAAGACCAAACCTGATCCCAAGAAACCCGGCCAAACGCTCAGTATGGGCTTTGGTTTCGTCGATTTCCGGACCAAGGAACAAGCTCAGGCTGCTCTTGCCGCAATGAAAGGCTACAGTCTGGATCAGCATGAACTGGTAATTAGGGCGTCTCATAAGGGCATGGATGCCGCCGAAGAGCGACGCCGGGACGACACAGCGAAGAAGATCGCAGCAAGAAGAACGAAAATCATCATCAAGAACTTGCCCTTCCAAGCGACCAAGAAAGATGTCAGATCGCTCTTTGGTGCCTACGGCCAGCTTCGGTCTGTTCGGGTGCCTCAGAAATTCGACCGGTCTGCTCGTGGGTTCGGTTTTGCTGACTTCGTAAGCGCTCGGGAAGCGGAAAATGCCATGGACGCGCTGAAGAACACCCACTTGTTAGGTAGAAAACTGGTGTTGGAATTTGCCAACGCGGAGGCGATCGATGCCGAGCAAGAGATCGAGCAGATCGAAAAGAAAGTAGGGGAACAGCTGGACAGGGTCAAACTACAGAGGCTCACGGGAGGAGGTCGCAAGAAATTTACTGTAGGGGCCCAGGACGAGGGAGAAGACTAAGCACGACGAAGCAAGAAAAAGAGGCGTCCCTTTCTCCCTTCGCGCATAGGGGAACAAGACGGACTGGCAATGGTTCGGTTTTCGTGAAGCCCATCCCTTGCTTGGTCGAGGTTGACCGGCAGCAGTTCGCAAGCCCGACACGTTCCTGCTGCTGTCAGTACGTGCATAACGCGTCCTGCAAAAGAGCCTCTTGTCACTCCTCGCTCGTGCATCCGCCTGGGATGGATTGTTCTGTCTTTAATGGTCTTATCCCCAATCTGGGGTTATTCTTATCCTTGTCAAATTCTAGCGTTCCTTTCTCTCCCTCTTTCACGTTTCTACATGCTAAGAACGACCCTAGATATCAACCAGATCAGGGTTAGAAGCTTGGCTTCTTACGACCTACATTCTTCCGTGCTGTTTTGTAAACAACTTCGCATTCCTCCACCAGAGCAATGAGGTAGTGTTGCTGGCGACTGAACATTCCTGATGGCGGTCTTCGCCACAGCTCCTGTTCATCATTTCTCTTCTGCACCTACTGCGACCAAGACGATCAGGGTTCGTCTTTGGGGTGCATCCGAAAGAAATCCCCGAGCAGGTGCAGGTGGACGAAAATGCCCCCCCCGTCCCCCTTGCATCAAGTCTCCGTCGGGTTCCATTCGTGCTCTTCCTTTCCTCCTGATTTGTTGCAACAAGGCGGGCCACTAGGGGAATTTCCCTCCCTCATCGGTCTCCAGACGCGTGAAAGCACAGACCCAAGGGTCTTGCTCACTCTGTCGCTCTCCTCCCCCCACCTTGGAACCGAGTCGTCGTTGCCCTCGAGGGGGAGGGATACTACCTTCTTCCAAACAAGCAGCGTGATCCAGCAATGTAGTTACTCCTCTCCAGGGGAAGGAGGGTATGAGCTTGCTATAAACACCATGCTCTTCGCTCTCACATTCTCTTTCCCAGGTTCTTACATTCTCTCCCGGCATTTTGCGTTCTTGATCGCTGCTTTGCAAAACCCTCCAGCGGCCCTCTGTCTGGTAGGAAACATTTTGCGGGCTTCAAGATCTTTCCTTTCTTTTCTTTCCCTGTGGAATTTGTCATTCTTTCGTGCTTACGGGAATCCGTCTGTTCCCCGCCCTCAAGGTGGTTCTCGCTTTCATGGCTACTGACTGGCAACCCGGCTGTATGGTCCCTCAGATTCCCCCGGCTCTGGAGAGTCTATCTGCCCATTCGGACCGGGCTCTTCAGAATACATCTGGGAATGTTCAGTCCTATTCAGATAGCTTAGCCTACAGCGATGCCACCGTGCGGGATGACCATCATTCCCAATATGCTGTCAAGTACTCTCACCATCCTCCGGTCCCTGCCCACCCGTTGCCTAGTGCTTCCAGTTACCACCATCCTCAGGTGCTAGCCAACCGGTTCCAGACCAAGAAGCTTCGACGGCTGCAATCTTTTGGTCCCAGTGTGGGCGGATCACGTAGGGGAAGGAGTTATCTGAAATCCCAGAAGTATCTGGAGTATCGGGCACGACCTCGACGCGACACGGGAAAGGATGGAGAGCCAGTGTGGTCGGATGAGCTGGAGGACGCTTTTCAACAGGGTAAGCCTAGGACAGAACCTTTAAGGGGTGCTTCAAGAAGCTAATACCTTTTCAGCCCTTGAGGCAAATCCTCCCATGGGTAGAAGAAAGTGGTCTGAACACGGCAAGTCGTACGGACGCAACGAGCTGATTGCCGAGTTTATCTTCAAGGCAACGGGAAAGAAGAGAAGCCGGAAGCAGGTTTCGAGTCACCTTCAGGTTTTGGATTCGTTCCTCAAAGGGGATCCTGATTGTAAGCCTTCCTAGCTTGACTCTCCGCATCATATATCAAGACTAATTCTCCATACTGCAGGGGAGCGGCTCGTGCGAGAGCAAGCTTCGGACCGTTCTAGCAGCCAGTCTCACTCCATCGGCCCCAAGTGGAGGAGCCCTGTTGAGCTTCCCTTGTCAAGCCACTATGGCCACCATTTGCACAATCCCTACAATGATCATTTGCGGCTGGTCCAGCCCTACCCCGGGGAGCTACCTCCGCCACACTTCGTTCTCAACCCAACGATGCGTGATCCTTCGGTCCACACCATCCACGGTCTCAGTTTCGGGATGTGGGTGAATGCGCCGCACCGACAGGATATGATCGAGAACGCCTATCATGAATACACCCGTCTTCAGGGAGACCAGCGTCTTCCCGTGGCGCCGCCCACGCCCTTGGAAAATCTGGCGGGCTGGCGAACTAGCTTTCCTCATCTGAACTCGCTGATGGCGGACCTTAACCGTCCTCTCAACTGCGAGATCATCTACCTGGAGGCCAGCCTCAACCTGATGGACGACTTCCCTCCTTCCCGCTCCAGCCTGGGGATCCACATGGAACTGGACTTTGCCCGTCCTGCCACGAACGATGCTCCCATGGTGAATCAGATGGACAACTGGGTCTGCAATACGCTGATCTACGATAATGGCCAGGAAATGGAGGCTGCTTTGGGCAAAGAACTGGGCAAGCCATCGTCGACCAAGGTGACGCGACTGTTTGAACCCAAGTGGTGGGCCCGGCTTTTTACCCAACTCACGCAGGAAAGAAGGCAGATGGCGGAGGAAAACCCGGGACATCCTGAAGCTGCCGATGAGCGATCCAGACAGTTCCTGCGCACCATGTCGGTGGTGCAAGAGATTCGGGCCACGCCGCCTTCCCGACGACACTCCATCAACCCATACGCTCCCCAACCGGAGGAGGACAGCGTGCCCATGGCCATCTTGCTCTGGAAGTTCCGCCAGACACGACCAGGCGAGGTTGGCACCACCACCTGGCAGAGGCTCATCCCTCCGCCAGACCGCATCACGACCAACAGTCCGCGGCCAGCCGCTGCCGCCAACGACGTCCATCCTCTATCCCTCGATTCCATCCTGCTGAACAAACCCACCCCTAATGCCTACCAGGCTCTACCACCCCCTCCGCCCGCTCCTCCTGTTGCTCCCCATTCCCATCACCATCCTCCTCCTCCTCAACCTCATGATCTGCTTCAGCACAACGGGACGTCGCAGTCCCCGTGGCCAATGTACCCCCCACCGCAGGAGAACATGTACTCGACGGGCCACTTTGATTTCCTTCAGTCGATCACCAAGCCCGAGGACGGCCTAAGCGACAAGACGGCCGTCACCTCGGTCCTGGACCCCTTTCCACCCCTCCCGCCCCAAGGCACCAGCCAACCGGCTGCACACCTCAACGGCTCCAGCGGCAGCGGAGGATCCGTGATGCTCAACGTGCCCGATATCCTCTCGCACCCTAACCTGGGCGGTTACAACATGGGCCACGACGGCCACTACCACGACAACAGCAATGTGCTGAACAACATCTTCGGCAGCGGGTCGCATTCCATCGACGAGATGGGCCACAGCCAGGCGGAGTGGTCGACGCCTTCCACCACCATCCCTGGCGATGTCGGATCTGGGCATTATACGACGCATCTGCAGTTCCCGTCGTCGGAGAGCCACGTACCTGTCTCGCGCGAGCCACATCAGTCAAACACCTTCGAGGGACTCATGGGACATGACGATCTCATTGACAAACTGGTCGGGAATATCCCTGGCGATCCGGGTATGAATGGAGCGGGACCTGATCATGCCAGTTCTGCGTATGCGGAAAACAGCGCTGTTGAACCAGTTCAATAGGGCCCCATGTATGACGGGGATTTCACATAATGATAATAATGGTCTTTTTGGTTGATTTGAAGGAAAAGTTTAATATCCATGTTGGGCAATATTTCTACTTTCTGGTTTTCTTCTCTTTTTACCTTATCTTTTCTTTACTTTTGGCACTGGCGTTTAGGTGGGTTCTTTGATGGTGATACTCCGGGACTGGCTGTCGATTTTAATAAGGACAAATTTCTACAATTAATTCACGAGGGTTTCTTTCATTTTAATTGTCTATCAATGCTCCTAAGTTCAAGCGGCCATTTTTTTTTCAATTAATTCCACCCTTGCCCTCTTCCCCTCCCTCTCTCGGGCTTCTAGGTATGGATAATTCCTCCACACCTTCTCCACCACCACCACCATCCTCTTCATATTCGAATTCCTACACAGACAACTACAACATTCAGAGAAATAGTAGAACCCCAACTCACCACACTCTTTCATCATTCTTTCCCTCCCCTCGGAAGAAAACGCAGAGGTAGAGGTGCAGTTGTTAGAGCATGGTTATTGCTGAAGTGGACGATGGTGAGAGAGGCCACTGGCAATTCTGAAGAGTGGATGCGATACTTAAGTATCCTTTGGTTTATGACTTGAATGAAATGAAGTGGATTATAGACTGTAGTATGATTACTCAATATCTATGATGTATGTCTCCAACTCCATAGCTAGATAGCCTCTTTCCCAAACCTAGTATCTGTAGATCCAGCAACCCAATCTCGATCGATAAGATAAGCCCGCCAAGCCTAGCATTTCTTCTCCAACTCCAATTCTCATCCCTCCTCCCTCCTCATACACACCCTCATCAACACTCAACCTCACCAACAACTTCCCAGGGAGGGAAGAACCAACAGAAAGAAAATGACAGCCTCCCTCGCCCGCAACCTCGCCTCACAATCCGTCCACCTAACAATCCACCCGCCCCCGCGATCCCTCTCCGAAAGCAAACTCGTGCTCTCCGCATTGCAGAAATACGGCGAGGTGGTGACGTTTAAGAATTTGAAGGTTTGATACACTCTTTCCTACCCTGTTACATTTAATCCTTTTCTTCCTTTCTTGAGGATTCGACTCGGCCTGACTCGACTCGACTTTCGAATTCCTATGAATGATGCATTGAAACAAACAAAGTTAACATGAATTGACCCTTCGAAAACAGTACGACAAAACCAACACCAACCCCACGGCCCCCCGAAACACAATCGCGGTCTTCGAATCCCCTCAAGCTGCGAAAGCGGCAATTGCGAGCTCGCCGTTGAGGATTGTTCTTCCTTCCTCCCACGCCACCTCCTCCTCTTCCTTATCCGCATCTTCCTCCGTATCCTCCACCACAACCTCCTCTTCCTCGTCTCCCTCCTCAAACCCATCAACGCAACTATCCACACGAACCCACCCCCCCAAAACCCTCTTCTGCAACCTCCAACCATCCCGCCACAACCACCTCTCCTCCCTGCACCGAAACCCCTGCTACGGGAGCTTCAAACCCGACAAGGAAAGCCACCAGGCGGGGGACTTGCGACGCACTGGCATCCCCCTAAAGGAGTTGGCCGATGTGCCGGTGAGGTGGAAGTTGGGGAGTTCGCAGGCGGAGTCACGGTCTCGGGTACGATCGCCATCGCTATCGCTATCGCGGGGGCAGGGACAAGAGCAAGAGCAAGAGCAAAAGCAAGAGCAAATACAGGGGCAAGGACAAACACAAGCACAAGCACAAGCACAAGCACAAGGGGAGGGAGACGGGGCGACGGATACAGGGGTAGGTGTGTTTGCGTGGAGTAAGAGGAAGAGGTGTAGAATGGGGGGGACTTCGTTGCAGGCGTTGTACAATACTAAGGTTGCGGATGGGGAGGGTGGTAAGATTTGGGCTGAGGAGGGGAAGGGGAAGAGAGAGTGATTGATTATGGTGGGTTACGTTGGGGGTTGAGGACAAGGCTTGTACAATATGGTGTGGGATTCGCATTGCATTGCACTGCATTTTCTGAGGATTCTGGTTTTCTGCTTATTTGTTTCATTTGTTCATGTTCATGTTCATGCTCATATACCCTCGTGTTCTAGATATTGATTGTTTTTCGTTCTTGGACTTCGTCTCCGTCTTAACCAGTCCTAATGTTCATACTTCGTACAGGAGAATTGAAAGATGCACGGATATACAGGTATAGACACCGGAGAACTTCATTTATAGTCTCAGATATATCATATCATCCATCCATTTTAATCATCGTATCCATCTGCTGCCCATCAAACCCTCACATACGCTATAACCATTAGCACTCCTCACAGCAACAAATCAATCCAACAAGTCACTTACTAGCATCAATCTGCATGATATGCGGAATCGCCAACCGGACCTTATTCCGATACAACGCCGGCGCCCTCATCTGCAACGGATTCCCCTCGAAATACACCGTCTTCAACTCCTTCTTATCCTTCAGCTCGCGCTCCACCTCCTCAAAGCTCGCGAGCTGGTTATTCGACCCCCACAGCTCCTCCAAGTTCACGAGCTCCGACAGATGCTCGAGTTTGGAGACCTGGTTGTTCGAGAAGTCGACCACGCGGAGGGACGGGTTCTTCTCGAGGCCGCGCAGGTCCGTGATGGCGTTGTGCGAGAGGTAGATTTCTTCGAGGTGTGGGAGGTTGGAGAGGCCGCTGATGTGCGTGAGGCGGTTAGATTGGATGGAGAGGATGCGGAGGTTTTGGAGGGCGTCGAGGTTCTGGTCATTCGTCTTAGCCATGGGGCCTTGTTTTGAGGGGTTGGAGGGGGGGCGTACCTTGAGTTCTGTGATCTTGTTCTTTCCTAGCCAGAGTTCCTCTAGCGAGGTTAAGGTGTCGAGGTTTTCAATTTCCTGCATCACAACCGTCAATATCATTCATCCCCTCTCCTTATCCAATAACACAACCAGAGAGGGAAAGAGGAAATACCCGAATCCGATTCGCCCCCAGCTCCAAATTCCGCAACAGCGTCAACCCCTCCACGCCCTCAATCGTGGAGATCTTATTTTGCACAAAGTACAAATCCGTCAGCTTCACCAGATGCGCAATGTTCTTGATATGCTTTATCTTATTGAAGCTGAGATCCAGACTCGTCAGGTTCTGAGCGTCCTCGAGGCCCTTGACGTGCGAGATCAAGTTATCGTAGAGATCGAGTTCGAGTAACGAAGCCGCGACGTTCGGAGGGAGCGCGATTCGCGATATTTGGTTCTGGCGAAGACATAGTCTCTGTTCGGGTGGATGAAGAGCGTCAATCATCATGGTGTCTGAGTGCCTGTCTGCCCGGCTGGCTGACTGTAGGCGTTGGGTAGAAAGCGCATACCTGCAATTTAGCGAACCGCTCAAGCCGAAGAGCCGGAATGGACGATATGCGACAGTGCACTAGATCGATATCCTATCCATGCCATGTATGTGAGAACCTATCCAGCTAGATTTTTCGCCGCGACGGATCAAACGCGAAGCGCATCATCACCACCACCACCATCTTGACAAACATACCTCGACATCCTTATCCTCATCTTCAAGCAAATCTACCAACATATTAAAATCCCATCAACCCACCGCTCCGCCTCCATCTTATCAAACTAAGATCATACCTTCATCCGCATCAATCTCCTCCACCGGCGGCGCGTCAGAATCCGAGTAATCAGGGTCCTCGAGGGCCTCTGGATTAGTGATGGTAGCCGTGGGCTTGGGTTCGACACGCAGCTTTCCGTCCCATCCTTTGCTGTCTTTCATTGTGGCGGCGATGGCTGAACTCGAATCGAGAGGGTGGATGTTCTGGATCGGAGGGGGAAGTTCCGATGCGGTGCGGGGAGCTTTTTGCCAGCTCGGTGGGTCGGGGATGATGCTCCTGGGGAGTGGATGTCGTGGAACGGATAGATAGGAGGTAGTTCCACAGGTTGGGGATTTATAGGTGAATCGAGTAGAAATGTTTGGTGTCTGAGGGAGGGAAGTATTGTCGGTTGAAGGTGGGTGGGCGGATGCGAAGAATTGACCTCCAATGTCCCGCTCGGTCGCCTAACGTCATTATGGCTCTCCGCTCTCAACCAGCCCTACGGTGTGCTTCTACTCTTATTATCGTTGCTACTCTTCAGTCCTTCTGTCTCAGGTGGAATACTGCATGAAAGCTATGTACAGCACATACGCCAATGATACATACATTGCAAGGTCACCATTATCAAGATCTTGGATCGATGAAACTATGAAAGGACCAGAACAGTGACGTGCACGCTGCGACATATATGTTGTGTCACCTACTAATGAGGTCTCCAAAACAAATCATGGCTGACAAGATGCGCTGGCTGGGTTCAGAACAGACAGGAAAGGAAATAAGAACGGCAGTGTCGGGCCTCTCAGGGCGGTTGGGGTGAATAAACAAGAGAAAATGAAAGAAAAAGACAGGACAGATGAGAGTGAATGGGAAAGAGAGAGAATGTAAATCAACCAGAAGTGAGTATACATGAGATCAGCAAATTTTTCAGCTGATGATGGCCAAGACTGACGCCTGCGGGATGCAAAAGAGAAGAAGGAATCAAGGGGACGGGTTCAAAAGAACCGATCAAAATCACAAGAACGAACAAGGTATCTGCTCGCTTGGAGCGCGGACAAAAAGACATAACCAGGGGGGTTGCAAGAGGATAGATGAAAGAAGCGAGCAAGAAAAAAAAAGGGGGAGTAGAAGAATCATACACACGCGGTATCAGTCCCAAAAACTGGGTATCTTCAACGCTGTTGGCCTGCTTTTTCTCCTATGCCCTCAACTATTAGGGCAACTGTTGCGCATAAAACAAAAGAAAATCGGTCGAGAGTTCATCTTTACTTTTTTTTTGTGGCTTTCGCCCCTTTCAGATGTCGGCACTGGGGCGAAAGGAAAGCGGAAACAAAAACCAAATCAGGCGCGCTGTAAATGAAAATGCCAGACGGTCTAGAGTTACAGACATTATAGGGCGATGTCGAGAACTAGGCTAACGTCTTTCACTTGTGTACCGGCCAGATCTTCGAGAACGGGTATTAAATCGAGAAGCTCGTTATCGTGGGCGTCAGAGAACCAGCTGCTGATGGGTATCGCGTGTTGGGGATGGAATATATATGATGTCGGAGAGTTGTCAATGATAATGGTGTCTTGAAGGTCACGACCAACTTGGGACAGGTCCTAGAATGTGTCAGTGTATAGCTTAGATTGCAAGTGTCGGTGGAGTCTACCTTGACATAGTTGCCTTGATGGTTGTAGCAACTGTCTCGGAATAGGCGGTGGTGGACGACGTTGTGAATGTCCAGCTGGTCCAATAAAGGATCACCGTACTTCGATGGATTAGCAACATCTCATTTGAAGACATCTAATCGACTGACCTTGGAAACGGATGCCGTGAAGACTACCACTTCATACAATTCCCCGACCCGTTTCATAAACTGATCGACACCGGGTCGCTTGATCACGTAGATATTATGGTATTGACCTTCGATCTCGACGGGAATCGTGAAGTCGGCACGTTCAAGGACCTGTGACATGTTATGGAAGGTTCATGCGGATTGTTTCTTCCCGTCAACGTACCTTGAAACTACTGTGGACGAGAGTCTCGTCGAGATCAAGAACCAAGCATTTTCGATTTTGCAGGTGAGGTAGAGGCGGTGGCAACAGCCATTGTTGCAATTGTCTATCTTGTCCGACTTGTGCTTGTTTGCCCGTTTGAATAAGAGGCGGGGGAGGAGGCAGCACGGCAGGCAGTTTCATCGCATCTTCCTCGTGAGCAGGGTACTTTTCATCCTTCGGGCCAACTTCGTCATCGGTGGCCGGAGCCATGGCCGCATCGCTATCCCCGGAGATCTCCTCGGCCTGGTCATCGTGCGTTGGCGGCAGAACGGGGGACTGGTTGTCCTCGGGTTGCTGGGCGAGTTCCTCCGTCTTCTCCGACAGAACGCCCGTCGCAGGTTCCTCCTTCGATGATTCAACAGGCGCAGGGCCTTCGACTTCCTTTTGCGCGGGTGGCTGGGGAACCGATTGGGTTTGATCGGTCGAGGGCACGGCGCCGTCCACTTGCGAGCGTTGTTCCGGGGCCTTGTTGACCGGCGTCTGCTCCTCATCCACGGGCGACGGAGCTTGGTCCGGCGTCACGGTGGCATGGGGCTTCTCGTCCCCGCGGAAGCTGCTTGGCTCCTTGGATTCGGCGGTACTCGAATCCCCAGCGGTCACCTCTGCCTTCTCCGGAGTCGGCTGGGTCTGCGGGACCGACGGGCGTCGGGGGGTCTTCTTCGGGGGCACGGCGGCATCCTCGGGGTCAACGTTGGACGAAGAGCAGCAGCTCAAGAAGGCAAATAATTTCGACGAGACCTTGTTGTTCTTCTTGTCTGTCTTTGTCGCGTCGCGTAAGTCTGGGTTTGCGGCCTTGTTCTCCTCCATACTCGCTGCCTCCTGATTCTGGCGCCGAGATCTCAAACTACTTCCCCTGCTTCGGTCCCTTCGCCCCTTCAAGATACTCCTCTTCGAGCCTCGAAGAGTGTTCTCCGAGTCATCGTTGGCGGCGTCCTGAGTATTTTCCGAGGTTGACTGCTTGTCCGCTTTGAGGGAGGTCCGCGACGAGATGGGTAGCAGCAGATGATGTTTCTTGGGGGCATCGGCTGCGTTAGACGGAGCGGCGGTGTCGGGGGCCTGAGAGGACGCGACGGAGGGTTGAGCAGTCGTCTCGGGGGGCTCTACACGGTTTGACGAGGGCGCCGCATCGGTACCGGGGGCGCCATGACCCTGGGGGAAGGATTCTGGGTCTAAAGTAGGTGAGGAGGTTTTCAGTAAGTGACGATGTCCTTGTACATATGGGGTAAAAGTGACGGCGACCAAGTCGCCGTCCAGCGGAGACTTACTTGAGTCGGGTGGACTCGTTGCGACAGACATGGACGCTTCTCCCGTGGGGGCCTTGGAATTGGAGGGTGAAGAATCTCGCTCCGAGCTCCCTCCGAGCATTGAGGGTAGCAGGGCGAGGATTCACGGGACACGGCAACGAGGGCGGGTTTTTGTTATGTCTTTCCTTTCTTTCGAAAAGGTCGAAAAAAGAGATAGAGGCACCGAAGGAACGAATGTGATCAGCAAACGGATGTGATCACCGCCAGGGTTGCCGCCGAGAGAGAGAGGGGAGAGGGGGGGGAGGCGGGCTCGAAGGGTGTGCGAAAGTCACGCCTCCTGGATACGGGACTGGAGAAACAGGAAATAGGGTCGCAGGCAAGGCGACAGAAAGGTACGGGAGGTTCCAACAGGTGCTTGTGCTTAGCTCGCGGACCCGGACCACCGCCCTTAATTAAGACTAGTGCTCAGCACTAGGACTTGGTCGCAGGCAGAGCGAGGAAGAAGTCAGAAGTCAGAAATGACTTGGTGGAGGCAGCGTCCCGGAAGTGGATGACCGAAGCGACGAGGAAGTCCAGGGAGAGAGTATGCGACCGCGAGCGAGAGGGAGAGGGAGAGGAGGATGGCAGGTTGAAGGCGAAGATCGTGGAGGGCGCAAAGACTGAGAGAGAGCCTTGGGGCCGTCACGTGTCGGGAGGAGTCGTACGGGACGGTACGGAGTCTGGTGGTATTTTGGTTCTTTGGTAAAATTGTAGATGATAAATTATGGGGAGCAAGTGGCTGGTTGTGTTCCCTGAGTCCCAAGGCTGACAAGGGGCAGGAGGGAAGAAGGAGAAAAGGGAGAAAGTCCGAAGAGGAGGGGAAAGCATCACATACCGACGGGGGTCTGGACCGGCCAAATGGGAATCAATTTATCACGGGGAGATGCAGAGCTACGGGAGGCTACTTTACAGGTTGCTTCCTTTCATGTCTTTGCACTTTGCAGGCAATTTAGCCTTGGATCTTATCCAGTTCCCCGGGGACCTTAACGACCAGGACATATTCTATTCTTATATTAGAGGCATCTGTGCCTGCAGTTGTCGATGTATCCTACTTCCTCTTTCTCCTCAGGGACTCTCGCTCGTAAAGTTTAGATTGGGGGCCGGGAATTAATCTCCCGTTCCTGCCGGGTGGATTCTTCTGAATAGAAATAAATAAAGATATATTCTATCAACCTGCATAATGAGGGTTGGTCCATCTGGATGCGCTTGGCACCTCAGGGGTATAGAGCTATACTATACACAATAGAAGGCAAACAGTAAACGGTATAGACTACTCCGTACTGTACAGCTCTCGGAGATCCTTACTGACTTGGTGATACGGGATCTCATCTCTCTTAGCCGGTTAATTAGTTGCTACTAATCACCTACCTAGTTAGCAACTTACAGACATCCTGGTCCGTCACCCCCGCTAAGGTAGAGTCCTCTTCACTTTTCTGACTCGACTCCTTGATGGGCCTCTATTCCCCTCGCTGAAGCTCTTCAACTGTGATAACGATCTGCCATCTGCAATTGGACCGCCCCGGTCCGTCATTCGTATTCCTACCAGGGAACCTCCAAGAAAATCCAGGAACTGCCTTACTGAGTACACTCACAACCACCTCCTCATACTCCATACTCAGGTAATAGGAGCTCCTCCACCAGTCACTGGACGACTCCAGCCGCCGGGCCACCCAGTTCGGGAGTGGCATCCATGCTCCCAAGAACCGCTAGTTATGCCCGGGCCCACAATAGTCCATCGGTCTCTGCGAAATTATATGCGCCGGGTGGAGATGCCCTCCAGGGCAACAAATCAGATTCTCATTCCCCCGTTTTTATGTTTTCGACGACTCCAGTCGGTCCGTGCAAGGGTTTGTTTGCTCTTTGCAAAGGATTTGGGAACGACCGTGGCCGTCACTACTGTATTCCCTACTAGTACTAAGTGCTAAGGGGAGGAATATCTTCTTCTGTATCACTCGGGCTTGTTCTGTCGCAAACAGGATGATAGTCAATACATGACTGCCCTGTGTCAAACACTATGTACATACACTTCTGGTGTTACTGCTTATCGTCCCAAAGTGGCGATGAACTTGGCTCGACTCCCAAGGATCTGTGGGGTTGGTTGGAGGTGACAGGGCGAGAATGCAAAGGTGGAACATTCCACCCGGGCCATGAATGTCAGGCGCTTAATTCGGGGAAATGGCGAGAAGTCGAGAACTTGGCATTTGGGGACTTACGGAGTAATAATAGCCTCTGCTATACGTGCGACTCGGGATCGGATTAGTTGTATTGCGGGTTGCCCTTGTGTTCCTTGTACTCCGTAGGTAGAATGAGCTTCTTCTGTTCCGCGGCATTGAACTTACTTTTGTCCGATGCTTCGATGCCGTTTATATACTTAGAGCAAGCCAATGATGTAACGGTAGTTTTATACCTTTTATCGTCGTTCCAGTGTACAGATACGTAGTATTGTATAGGCAGTGGTGGAACTAGATGGCCCGTGGTTTATCCCAATAACGTAACGCAGTGTCTCGTGATACGCATACTCTCTTCTGCTATCTGTGTCCTAGTCTCCTCGAGAGACATTTGAATGTTCCCCTGTAGTCCCGGGTCACCGGTGGAGAGAAAGCGGCAGAGGAACACCTGTGAACTTGGTAGAGCACGGGGTATTAGCAGCTGTTTTTTTTTTTTTTTTTTTTTTTTTTTTTTTTTTTTTGGTTTTTCTGTTTGTTTGTTTGTTTCGGTAGTGGGTTGGTTAGGAGTGACTGACAGAAGAAGTCATCAGCGAGCGTTCGAATAGCTGAGCAGAACCCGGTAATATATATACAGCAAAAGGAGTGAGACAGAAGATACCCTAGGCTTCCGCCTACTTTGTTTTCGTTGTAATGGACTACGTAAAAGAAGCAGTAGACTTGGCCATCGTTTTGTTAAGCAAGTGAAGACCGATAAAATTCGCTGCGAGAGCAAGAACATCCAGGTCTGTTCTACAGTGTAGATTATTCTTATGCTGGAATGAGATTGAACACTGCATTTTCGATAAGCACGCAGTATACATAACTCATGGATTCGAGCCCTTACACATCAAATGGCACGTGTGGCCAAGTGGTAAGGCGCCGCACTCGTATGAGAATGATATGCGGAGATCGAGGGTTCGAATCCCTTCATGTGCAAATTTTTTGGTCTTGTTTTACCTACTCCTCGAGGTAAGGAATCTAACCATTTTTGGTCTACAACATAACAGCCCAAATTGATGCTGCGCCTTTTCTCCAATGCCCAAAAAGAAGATATCCCTATTAGTCATTCCCCCTTGTGGGCAAGTGGTACATAAGGCACCCCAACTTGTTCTGTAATGCGGAGACTCCAGTCGCATCTCTGGATGTCTTCGTATTGCTCTTTATTTTAGGAAATCTATTGGTGCCGTGCAGTCACTTTGTTGTATCACCACTACACCGTACAGTAGCTTGAATAGACCCCGTACTCTCACCAGGTAAACAAAACGTCATCGCGGGTTCCGTCTGGGGACTCCGCACGTGAGCCACTCCGCAATCTGGCCCGAGGTCTTCACATGCAACTCCAGAATGGAAACGTCAGCATCGCCCAGAATGTGACCTGGTTCATCGCCAACTCTCCTTGTCAATCCCCTCTTTCATCACCACACCACACCTTACTACTAGCCAACGCCTCCCTACACCTCGTGTCGCATACCTCAAATCTCCAACGCGTCTGGCGGGCGCTTCGTTTCCTCGCTCATGGCCCTCGACGCCCGGATGTAATGTGCCGCAAGGGCATCTGCAAGTCGAGAAGTTGCCCCCCCTGAACGTGTCTAATACCCCTCGAACCGAAATCAACAATGGCTGCCCAGTCTACCCTGAGACACCGGGAGGATCCTCTAGTGACGCTGTACAAATACTACGCTGACTGGGTTCGCTCCCGCTTCAAGCATTCGTCCAAAACCACCAAACTCATCGCCACCGTCGCGCTCCTTCTGTCTATCGTGGGCTCGGGATATGGTGGATATAAACTGTTCCGGGAAAGGGCAAAGGAAAATGCTCGAGGAAGGCGATTGCTGCGCCGGAATTCCGGCATCAAGGGCAAGGATGGATCCCGGACTATATACGTGCCCTACAGGGACTCCATGACCTCCAAGGTCAAGATCTACCCTACGAAAATGACCACTTTCGACGCACATCGGAGGCTCTTCCTGAACCCGCCGGCCTCGGCGCGCGCGAATGATGGCGAATCAGCTACCCAGATCCCTCCGCCGACGACGAAGCCGGGGCTGAACTTGGCCTTCCTGCACCAGTTCCTCAGCCTAGGAAGCATCATGGTTCCCCGATGGGGAAGTAAAGAGACCGGTCTGCTGATGGGTCATGGTGTTTTCTTGCTGCTCCGGACATACCTGTCGCTGCTCATTGCCCGGTTAGATGGTGAAATTGTTCGAGATCTTGTGGCCGGCAAGGGTCGTGCTTTTACTTGGGGAATCATCAAATGGTGTGGTATCGGAACTCTCGCCTCCTACACGAACGCAATGATTAAATTCCTGCAATCAAAGGTGTCCATAGCCTTCCGAACCCGACTTACTCGATATATCCACGATCTATATCTTACCGGCGACAACAATTATTACAAACTAATGAATCTTGATGGCGGCATCGGGCAAGGGGCTGACCAGTTCATCACACAAGATCTCACCCTGTTCTGCTCGGCGGCTGCAGCACTCTACTCTTCAATGGGAAAGCCGCTGGTGGATCTGTTTGTGTTCAACTATCAGCTGTACCGCTCCTTGGGACCTCTCGCTCTCGGTGGTATCCTTACGGGTTACTTCAGTACGGCGATTGTCCTGCGAAAGCTGTCCCCGCCTTTTGGAAAGCTCAAGGCTGTCGAGGGCAAGAAGGAGGGTGACTTCCGTGGCCTCCATTCGCGATTGCTGGCCAATGCCGAGGAGATTTCGTTCTACGGCGGCGCCGAAATTGAACGGGTGTTCCTGACAAAAAGCTTTAAAGATATCCAGCGCTGGATGGAAGGCATTTACAGTCTCAAGATTCGCTACAACATGCTCGAGGATGTCATTCTGAAGTACTCGTGGTCCGCATTTGGCTACCTGATCACTTCCTTGCCCGTCTTCCTACCAGCCTGGGGCGGCACGGGTGGTGCCTCAGAGTTGGTCGATACTCCCGAGGCGATTGGCCGTGAACGGGGCCGCATGAAGGACTTCATTACCAACAAACGCCTAATGCTGTCCCTCGCTGATGCTGGCGGCCGCATGATGTACAGCATCAAAGACATCTCCGAATTGGCCGGCTACACGTCGCGAGTGTATACGCTTATTTCTACCCTGCATAGAGTGCATGCGAACGCCTACTACCCCCCACGAGGCTCTCATGCGGAACTCTATTCCCTAGCAGACGTCCAGGGTACCATCCACAACGGGTTCGACGGTGTTCGTCTCGAGCAAGTCCCCGTCGTTGCGCCCTCTCTTTACCCGATGGGTGGCGACGACCTCATCGAGTCCCTGTCGTTCATTGTACACTCTGGTGACCACCTTCTCATCTCGGGGCCCAATGGCGTCGGAAAGTCTGCCATTGCCCGCATCGTCGCAGGCCTGTGGCCCGTGTATCGCGGGCTGGTCAGCCGACCGAGAGGATTCGGTCTTGATGGGGCCATGTTCCTGCCGCAGCGACCCTACCTCAGCGTGGGAACCCTGCGTGACCAAGTAATCTACCCCCACACCGAGATGGAAATGCACGAGGCCGGCGAATCGGACGCCAACCTCCAGAAGATCCTGGACGACGCCTTCTTGGGCTACCTCCCCGCCCGCGAGGGCGGATGGGATTCTCGGAAAGAGTGGAAGGACGTTCTGAGTGGTGGCGAAAAGCAGCGCATGGCCCTGGCACGATTATTCTACCACGAGCCCCGCTACGCCTTCCTGGATGAGGGGACCTCTGCGGTCTCATCGGACGTCGAGGGTCTGTTGTATGAAAGGGCCAAGGAGCGGGGAATTACTCTGATTACGATATCTACGCGTGCATCCCTCAAGAAATACCACACCTATAACCTGACTATTGGACTCGGAGCCGAAGGAGAGCACTGGGAATTCGAGAGGATCGGCACGGCGAAGGAGAAGCTGGGCGTTGAGAAGGAGTTGCAGGAGCTGCGCAAGCGTCTTGACAAGGTGGACGAGTGGAAGCAGCGTCGCGAAGAGATTGAAAGGGAGCTGAATAAGGTCTGGGCTCAGGAAGGCGAGTTGGCTCCACCTCCATATGTGGCCGAGCCGGAGGTGGTAGAGAGCCAGTAGTGAAGACTGTGAAGGGCTGGGAAATGTCTGATTGTGAATGGGGTGCTAGTGAATGTAGAGTGAGGTTAGACACAATGACTGATTCATCGCTATTTCATCAATGTGGAATCATATTGAATAATGAATTCATAAAGAGAGTCAATACTGGTAACATCTGGTCAATTAAACTATACAAAAAGAGCGGGTCCTGGTGCCAGTCACATGACGCGTCCGATGTTTGCAACGCTTCGATCTACGAGTCCTTCTTCCTCCCGACGGAGTACGAGAAACAACTCCATTCATCCCTCGTCCTTCGTTTATATTGCCTTTCAACTGAACACAGAACTGACAGTGAGCATGTCAATTTCACCGCTCTGTTAGGGGCTGCCATCTTCCTATTTTCTCTCCACTCCTTCCATCTCAATTTGATTCATTTGATTAGCATCGTGGATCGCCCATCATGTCCTCCACTCCCCAGCTAGCGCAATCCCCCGGGGTCGCTGAACAGGCCGTCATAGTCCCCATCAATCGATCGTTCACGGATGGTAGCGACTCAACCTGGCCCAAGGATCCTAAGTATGGGAGACCGGACGATAGTGTTTATCGCGAGAAGCTGGCCAAATTATGGTTGCAGAAGACTGGGGCTTATGAAATTGGTAGGTCTTTTTTATGTATTATCTTTATGCTGTCTTTTGGCTGTGGACTCATTTTTTTTTTGTTGTTCGTTAAATTGATCGTTTGATTATCTGTGTTATGTTGTTTGGTTCGACATTTGGTGGTTTTCTCTTTGTTCACTTCCACTGCCTCACCTGATGGGAAGCATTCAAGATGTCACTTTGATTTTCTGCGTGGACATGAAAATGAGGTTATTTTGTTTGAATTACGCGTCTACACTCAATGTTCTCTCTTTTTCTCTTTTTCTCTACCCATTTTCAGTATACCCAATAGAGACTTGGCGCCTGGAGAAAGTCATTGCTCATAGGTAACCTTTGCTTGTCATTTGTCCATGTTATACGTGATTTCAACAAAAGTCTTGAATTGGCTAACCGTCTACGAAAACAAGGTACACACTATATACTGGACACTCTACCCGAAGGCTACGCGCTTCTTGATCGACCGCGTATGACGAAGCCCAATATTGTGAGATTCCCCTCTAGACCTCTGGACCAAAAGCTAACGTTGAATAGCGCGATAAATTCCTCTGGGGTCACCCTCTCGGACAATATTTCTTCTCGCCCGTCCATTTCTTTCCTCATTTCTACTATCTTATGACCGGGGGGAAGACTCCCTGTCAATGTGCTCTCTGCGAGAAAATGACAAGCCTTTCCAAAGGTTGGCGCCCTATTGACCGTTCGTTTCGTTCCCCATGCTGATTGAAATCTACTGAAGGACGGAAAAAGCCCGGTCGGCCTGTAGGAAGCCATGTGATTGACGGCCATTTGGTGAGACCGGATGGATCGATCGGACCAGCCGTCAAAGCTGCACGAACACCGGGGAGACCTGGTCGACCGCCTGGCCGACCCCCAGGAAGGCCATCGATGGGGCCGGGAACGCCAGGAGCGTCGGTAGGAAGACCACCTGGGAGACCTCCAGGAAGGCCCTCTGCCATGTTCTCATCGATGACACCACGTCCGATAGCCGTTGACAGCGAAGGGACCACGGATGTGTTCAAGACGGCAATCGTGGAACTCAGAAAACGGGGAAGCCTAGAGAAAGCGATCACCGAGAACGATAGTATGGACTGGCGGGCCGAGAAAACGAAACTGGCCGAATTGATCGAGGGATTTAGCATGCAGCCCGCCTACCTGCCGCGAATCGGTGAAGTTGTGCTCTGGATGCCTGATTTCGAGGGCGAGCTGGCCTGGAACTCGGAAACGAGGCACATTGAACTCTATTCTCCAACCGAGCAGCGATGGCTGGGAACTTCTCAATGGCGCGCGGGCGTCGTGGGCCAAGTGCCCGAAGAAGATACGGTACTCCAAGACCTGCACAGCACAACCTACAAGGATTCGGAGGTGAACTACTCAGGATTCCGCGTGGAGACGTTCCCCGACCCGCACAGCATCGACAAAAGCTACTCACTCCACTACAAATACGTTCCTCTCAAGTGCATCAAGCCGTTCAACTCCTACGAGATGTTCCTGCAAGGCACCTCTCGTCAGGCTCTCCACCCCTCCATCGAATACGCCATGACCATCATGTCCTCATTCAGCCTTCTCGATAAATACTACTTCAAAGGCACTTGGCCCGACGCTTCGATTTACTGCCGGGGGATCTTCCTAGGTGCTGAGCTGCTCGCCGTCGGAGATGTCGTCCGACTGAAACCCAAAGCCACCCACGCTGACCCACAACAATCGCAACCGACAACCGTCACCGACGTCATGGTCATCGACGAAATCCGCCTTAATCTCATCCAATGTGACGACCACCTGAAATCCGAGCACCTGGCCGAGCGCATCGAAGTGCGCATACGCGGGAAAGTCTACTCCAACAGCTCCAAACGCGCATACTACGCGCGGCCTTTCCTCCTCCAAGACCCCAAATCCATGGCCCCTGACGAAGTCTCCGACGCCTTCCACTACATCGGCATGGGCGGGTACGGCTCATGGTACCGACTCTGGTCTGGCGCCAGCGTCGAGGTCTCCCAAGACATGATCCTCGGCCGATGCTACGAGCCCGATGCCATGCAGCTCCTCTTCGGCCGGTTATCCTTGGGCTTAGATCTTCACGGCGTGCTGAACGGCCGCGCCTACTCGCGCCAAGCCGACCAGCGCATCGCGCCGGGTCGCAACTGGTTCTGGGGCGACTTCCGCACCCAGACGCTCGCCCTCGACTCCCTCAACGGCGAAGACGTCGGCTACTACAGCGAAATCCGCGACATGGCCATGTGGCGTGCCAACCTGCGCATCGTCGACGGCACCGCGGGGCCGGCTGATTTCCGAGAGGCCAAGATCCCGGGCGACGTTGGGCGACCGGCCACGAAATCGCGATCCAGCTTCGCCGAGGTCGGCAAGCTGAGCATGCTGGTCAGCACGGGTCTCGGGGCGGGGGACACAAGTAATAACGTGAGTTCTGCGGAAGAGGAACCGTTGGAATCGTTAGAGTCGGGGGGTATAGAGAGCGGAGATGTTGAAGACGAGGAAGACGAATCGGAGGAATTGGAGGACTTCACCCTCCGGATGGATCAACTCCGTGGTGGGACTGAGGAGTCAGAGGGAGGCGATTATAAACCTGGACTTTGATTTTGCATTTGATTTGATTTCGGGTTTTAGCTTGATCTGATGGGCAGATAGATGGGTTAGGTTATCTCGCTAGGTGGCTTGTAGAATATTTTCAGATACCCTTTTCTTTCTTCATCTCTCTCTCTCTCTCTCTCTCTCTTATATAATCTGTTTTCTTAAGGGACATTTCCTTTCTTCTCTCCCATCTTCTTATATTGTCGTCAAAGTTATCGGACTTTATGTATCTTTCTTTCATTTTCATGCATCAATCGGGCATGTGATTGTGATACCAACCAGCTGGCTAGTGTATGCCATTTCTTTTTTCTTTTCAGCCCGGTCCGCGTCTGTCTGTCTGTCTGTCCTGTCCTGAACTCGTCGACTTGAAAGTCCTTTTGCATTCTAGGTAGACAATGACTTGCCGTCTGTATAGTAAGTATACTATGTGTACGAAGTACAAATTGAAAGCTATAGATCTGAACAAGACGGATGAACGGGGATTCGTCTCTCTCCAGTACTACGCATGCATATGCACATGTGAACAGACGCATATAGACAACTAGATAGATAGACAGATGGATAGTTCAAATAGATAGATACACAAGAGAAGTCGCATGCACCCATCTAGACCACCCCCAAAACCGAGATAGAGCGGGATGGGTTAATACGTCTTCCTCAACACCTCCCTCGAAAACTCCCCAAACGACTTCCCCTCCTCCACCTCCTCTTTCAAATTCGGCTGCGTGAACACCGCCAACGTATTACGTGCGATCCGCGCCTCTGCCCCCGCCCCAGCCTCTGTACCAGCCTGCGGCGAAGGCCTCGCACCCTTCACGAAATGCGGCACAGCACGAAACTTGCCCCTCGTGATAAGCTGCAACGCCTCGCCGGTCTGGAACGCCAGACAGTCTTTCGGGATATTGACTTTCACGACCTCGCCGGTGCGGGACTGGATGTACAGGCCTGCTTGGGGGTCCGGGGAGGTAGGGAGTTCCGTTAGGGGAGGGGTGGTAGATGGGTTGGTGGAGGAGGAGGGGATAATGGGGGAGGCGGCTTCGTCGATGAACATGGCGGAGGTCAGGCCGGTGAGACAGCCGTGGTCGATGTGTGTGGCGCACCAGTCGTCGTTGGCCTCGTCACTGGCCCCGTTGGGGTTGGAGTTGGAGGTGGCATCGTTCGAAGGAAAATAATGAAGCAACCTCGCCTTAGTAGTAAGACTACTCCTTACAACATGCTCCAGGTACCCCGATTTATAACCCTCGATATTAGCCCCAGCGTAGCGATCGCAAGCGCGCGCGACCAGCGCCGCAGTATCAATGATCAGCGTACATAGCTCCTCGAGACTTTTCCGGAAGGTGGGCAGACGGTCCGCCGGGGGCCAGATGTTGGGCGCTGTGTAGCCAGGCAGATCGGGGAAGTCGTCGGCCGGGGCGCCCTCGAGGTCTGGGTTCTGGTAGAAGGCACAGTTAACGTAGTAGGAGCCTTTGAGGGTGTCGAAGTGGCCGGACCGCAGGGTTTCTTTGCCGCAGGACCAGCCGACGAGGTAGTTGGCTGCGGGGCTGGTGAGGGATTCTGCGGACGATTAGTGGGATTGATCGGTGGGTTAAGAGGGGGCTAAGAGGGGAGGGAATATACCTAGTTCATCGGTGGAAAGCGCAGCGAGATATGAGGCGTTGGAGAGGACTTGCGCGCGCAGACGCTGGAATTCGGAGTTGAGATCTTTCACGACGATGATGCCTAGCGAAGACGGTCCGAAGGCCTCGGTGAGGGTTTCAAAAGAGACAGAACCTAGGACAGAAAGAAGAATTAGCATCAGACTCTGCCTGCATGGGGAGATGGGTAGATAGATCCAGATACGCACCGTCAATCAACTCCTTCAAACTCACCGTGACGGCCTGAGCCTGCGACACGCCTTGCAATCCCATATTGCGTTGAGTCTGCGGAAAAGTTCACTTCAGACAAGATGCGCAGCAGGAAAATAGAAACAAGAAGATAAAAAGCAAAAAAGAAAGTCAAGAAGAAGAAGGAATAAAAAAAATCTACCCCTCTCTCCCCCCACGCTTAAAAAAAAGACAAGACGGCCCGCTCCGACGCTGAAGCCAAACGGTTATCGGCGGTTTTTTTTTATCGCCCAGAATTGAATGGTACGATGGCGACGGCGACGGAGCTAGCTTGATCATCATATCAACATACCATCAATCATCGATCTGATCTCGCTGCTATACACAATTGCAGATCCCAGGGGCAGAATGATTGTTTTGTCTTTGTCTCCTGACTGTTTTTTGTCGTTTATTTTGTTCGGAATCGCCCGACGCCCGACAAGGGTCCAACGAATCTTGCCTGATCTCGACTTAAAGGATCCGTAGCTTGGAGAAGCTGGTCCAACGATATTAGTGTAGAGAGTACCCCTCACACCCCAGATATGGTCCCAGATAACTAGATAGCGATAAGCTATTGGTTATCTGGGAGACTAGGATAGTGGAAGGTGATGCTGGTGGACTGGCAGGTGTCAGACTGGGTAGATGCAGTCCCTGTGGCATTGAATTGTAGATGTCATCGAATCAACTCGTAATTCTTTCATCTTCAGAGATAAAATGGAGTGTTTGGATTGAAGAGATTGAGGGGGAGAAGTGAAGGAACGTCGAAGGGGCTGAGTCTTGGCGCGAAGATATGGAATATCCCCATTCAAACGAAGCAAACAACGTCAATATCCACGATATTCGATAAATTACCAGAAAAGAAAGTAAAGAAGAGAGAGAATTATTCAACCTGGTATCACTAAGACAATCGAACCCAAATTAATACAAAATAGTATACAGACATCTTCCCCACATCATTACACTCCCCAGTGCTCTGTCCATCACATCACTCATTCCTCCGACTCACAGCCCTCAATGTCCCAAACGGCAAAACGTCAGCGATTCTCTTCGCACCAGTAAAGAGCATAGTGAGACGATCGATCCCGCATCCCCATCCACCGGTAGCCGGCAGACCCCATTCCAAAGCCTCCAGGTAACTCTCGTCGACCTCCTCATTCTCCTTGGCCGCCTTGCTGTAGCGCACCTGGTCTTCGAACTTGCGTCGCTGTTCAAACGGCGAGTTTTCCTCCTCGTATGTGTTCACCACCTCTCGGCCTTCGATGAAGAGTTCACCGCGCGCGGCGACGCGTTGGTTGGTGGTGGGGTGGATGAAAGATTTGGAGAGCGGGGAGAGACATTCCGGGGGGTTGATGATGAAAGTCGGGTTGATGCATTCGGGCTCGACGTAGGTGCTGCAGAGCTCGTCGAGGAGTCGAGGGAGGGTCGGTTTGTCCGGAAGAGGCAGGGAAAGGTCGTGGAAGAGCTGCATCACTTGTTCAAAGGCATCGGGGGTCGTGAGGTCGGGAAGCTTGCGATCGATCTTCTCTTCGATGCCGGTGATGAAGTCGATGCGGCGGAACGGCGTGGAGAAATCGGCATTGGTCGGTGTGAGAGTCGCGTTCTCATTGAATTGGCGGATATGCTGCGCCATGCCGGAGAGCAGGTTCTCGGTTGTGGTCATGAGGTCTTCGAGGTTGGCGTATGCGTGGTAGAACTCGCATGTCGTGAACTCCGGGTTGTGAGTCTTGTCAATGCCTACATGGTTCGGTCAGCACTGCACCCATACGGCTTCATCCAGACCGGGGTGACGTACCTTCATTGCGGAAGGAGGGTCCAATCTCAAACACGCGGTCAAAACCGCCTACCACCAACCGCTTCAACCACAGCTCCGGCGCAATCCGCAAAGATAATTTACGGTCCGGGAACTCTGACGCAAAGGTGTAGAAAGGACGAGCGATTGCTCCGCCGGCAACAGAGCCAACGATCGGAGTGTTCACCTCCATGAACGATCGATCGACAAAGAACTGGCGAAGATATTGAACAATCGCCGACCTCGCCCGGATGATATCCGCAGTGCTCGGATCGGCCAGGAACTGGACATGGCGCGGATACGGGGAGTTCTCATGCTCCTTCGCGTCCAAAGGCACATCGTGCAGACAGGGAGACAGAAGCTGCGGCAACTGAGTCGCCACGACTGTAAGCTCGCCCCGTCCAGTCCGATGAGGTTTACCCGTTACAGCTGAAGATAGTTCAGTCTATGTAGACATATGAAGATACGAAGAAAGAGAAGCAACATACAGAAAGCATCCCCACGGCGAAGAAGCCGGTAGAGCCTCTTGAACTCCGCCGGAGTGATGATTCCCTCTAATTGACGATAATTGCACATGATCTGGACTTTATGACCATTTTGGACGATATCGAAGAAGATCAATTTGTTTCCGGAAAGTCTATAGGTACGTATCCTACCTACTAATCTAAGTACAAGGAAACGAAAGAGCCAGGTCAGGCCAAGACCTACCATTAATGACGACAGAGTCATTTTCTACTGTTTCATTATTGGCTAGGTGGCTGTATCGGGTGGTGAAATCCGAACAGCTCAACGAGCGCTGGTCCGCTGCCAGACGAGGGTATGGCTCGGGGCAGGCTTCTCGGACCTCTTGCAGTCTGACCTGGTAGGCTCTCTCGGGAGAGGCAGCAGTGCTACTCTTCCTGGTGTTGATAGAGCCGACCGATGAATACTTCGGGGCTCTATGATGGTTGAATTTATGATTCAAGTGAAAATCCCGCCGCATGCCGAGGGAGACAGATGGTCCTGATCTTAAAACGAACTGTTAGCCAATGCGTTCAATGAAGCGAGAGGAATTCAGGTGCAAAAAAATTCGATTCAATCAAATCAGAGGTAGATTCCGAGTGTTACTCATGACTTGCAGAGCAAGCATCAATGCAGCGGTTCTGAAAATATAGGGATGTGTCTCGTCCTATGATTGTCTGGAAGAGGGAGCAGGGATTGCAAGCAAGCGGTTTCTTACCTGGACCATAGACTCCCCCCGCTCAAATGCGAAGCCCACCGGGGGCGAATAGAAAGCATATTGAGAGGGAGGACAGACAATCAACAAAAATTGAAGAAAACTACGTTGACAAGGAACATAACCTGTCTGTGTGGGAAGAGAGAAAGCGAGGAAAAAAAGAGAGCGCAAGCCGAGCCCGGAGAAAGAAAACTCGGCAGGGCGGTGAAGGAGGTCCAAGCTTCCGACCTCACCTTCTGCCCGGTACGTAAGTCCGGCTTCAAGTTCATCCTCGCATCTTGCCTTGCACCAACCATTCTATCTCATACGTGAGTATTGATCCAAGCACCTGGGATTAAAACAAAAGTCGCTAACACGGAAGCTCTACTCCTACTAGTCTGAAACCCCTCATACCCCATAAACCACCGTCAAAATGTCTTTCCTCTTCGGCGGCCCCCCCAAGATGTCCTCGGCAGAGAAGATTGCTGCCGCTGAGACTGAGATCGAGATGGTCTCCGACATGTTCAACCGGTGAGCCTAGCCTCTATACCAGAATCCCGCTACCTTCATGCTTCTTCTACCAATCCCCAAAGCAAACAATCCCTACGCTCCCAGAACATAACCCGCAACAGCCATCCCCATCAACAATAGCCTCCCCACCAACCTACCAACCAGACAAACAACTAACAAACCCTCTACCCTCCAGTCTCACCGAATCCTGCACCAAGAAATGCATCCCCATCGACTACCGCGAAGGAGACCTGAACAAGGGCGAGTCCGTCTGCCTCGACCGCTGCGTTTCCAAGTTCTTCGACGTCAACGTCAAGGTCAGCCAGAAGATGCAGGGCGAGGCCGCCGGCCGGGCTGGTGGTATGGGAGGTATGGGCATGTAAAAAGGGGGAAGACGTGGGAAGAAATGACTACTGTTTGATTCTGTACAATACATTTGCTTTTTTTGTGTGATGAACAAAGATTATGAGGCTTGCTTGACTCGGACGGTCCTTGATTGATGCTTAATTGATTCTTGTGATAATTGTCTAACCATAAAGGTAAATATCTTCGATGCTTAAGGTTTGGACAGATGTTATTTCACGATGTGAGCTGTAGAAAATCTATTTCAAAGCTATGTACATTAGAAGGGATATATGTAGGGAAATAGTCTTATAGTACAGATGTCAGCAGGACGTATCAGGTTGAGAAGCCTATCAGTCCGCCAAGCCAGTTCAGCCAGGAGTGGCTCTGTTTTTCCTCATCGCCTTGTATCAACTCTTGCACCCTCAATTCCATCTCGTTCACCTGTCGTTCAAACTCTCCGAGCCCCGTTTCGACATCCTCCACTCTCGAGCCAAGGACATTGAGCTCGTAGTCTAGCTTCGCGCCTATCATCTCCACGCGTCTCATGTGGTCTGTGAGCGATGTATGCTCCTCCGTCAGCAGGTCGCTGGAGCGGTCCCGGATTTCTTGGTACTGGTTCAACCGGTCCATGTATTCGGCATTGATCTTCTCGTGGCTTTCATATAAGATCCGGTTCAGGTCGTCGACGGAATCGACTTGTTTCTCAACCCAAGGAACGGTGCGTTCGCCTAGCTCCTGGATGCGGGTGCTGAAGATCTGCGCATCGCTGGCGAGCATGTCTTCCTGGGCAACAGCTTCTTCGAAAGTGGCATCGGACTTGTCAAGGAGACCTTCGTTGGTTCCTATTTCTTTCCAAGTCAGGACAACGTCCTCGACGATACTGAAGGACAGATGGCGCGGGCAATGGCGATTCTTTTGGTCAGAATCATCCTCGGTATTGAGATCTGGACAGCTCTGCGGTCGACGCAACGACATTAAGCCCAGCTCGAATGTCTGGTCTCGGTCGGCCGATGCATCGGTTGATCTTGTCCGCCAGCGCTCTAGATCTTGGAGTTCGTCGTCTGGTCGGCTGAGGGATACTTTATTGGACGATTCGGAACTATCGTTGGGGCCGGCCGGATCGATCGTGATAGCAGGGGTACGGGACTCTGACGATCTTGGTAATAGGGTATTCAATGCTGGTTCACTCGTTGCATCGTCATGCACTCGACTCTCAGTTTCTGGGGCACCTTCAGTCTCAATATGATGGAGACCACCATCGGCACCAGGTTTAGGTAACTCCGTGTCACTTTCTTCTGGGATATAGGCCGCGTCACTAATCAGGTCTACGCCATCTTTCGTTTGCTTTGGCAGATGTGACCGAAATCCCACCGCGTCTTTGAACCTGCCGAATCCTATCCGTGCGTCGGATACTTTCCCACTGACACCGCGACGAACCATCTTGCCCAGATTCTGATCTTTCTCGTCGAGCGCGCTTGCAAGCTCAGGCTGTTTCATCGGGATATCCGGGCTCTGTAAGGGGCGATCGCCGCCCAGATCCTCGTAAGAGCGTCGTTTGCGGCTTGTCCAGACATAGCCGCCTTGGTCATCGGTTGTGAACATCATATCAGCAGCTGGCGGCCCGCTCATGAAGTTATCGTCACCCTTGCGCGGTTTCCCTCTCCACAGCCACTTGGCTCGGGCACCTTTCGCCAATTGCGCAAAGTTGTCCACATCCAGCGTTTCGATATCGGCGATGCCGGCCTTCTCGCGCCCCCGGACCATGCCCATGACCATTTCCCCGCCGTGTCCACTCAGCTCGGCCATGGTTGATTTGACGGCGTCCGTCCAGCCTTCGGAGTTTGCCGCCTTTGCAGTCACTCGGTGCAGTCTATCAAGGGTTTGGCGGTCAAGTCTCCGCGTTCTTTTCAGCTTCTGCGACTTTTGGAAGCTGCTAATTCCCCTTTTGAGGTTGTGTATGTCGAACGCATCTTTCCCAACGGGCGCACCGAAAGCATGGAGCCGGTTTCGAGCCCCCATCAGAGTCCCGAGTAAGGCTGCGACGGAGGTTGGACCCAAGGCTCCATCGCTGGGCTCGATGTTATACAGGTCTATCCCTATGTCGTTCCACCAGTCACTGATCGCCGCCTCCGTCACGTCACACAACAGTCCATCCACATATTCCGGTGCGAGGTTGCCGTACATCAGCAGCGCAATTTGACATTGCGTCACGAGCTCAATGACCGCACTGTACAAGGGCACTCGCTCGCTTGTCCGATACAACTGGTGAAATTTGGCTTCGGTCGCCGCCGCAGGGGGCTGGAGCTTCAGTCCAGCACGACCCGAGCAATTCAGCCGCTTCAGATTCTCATTCACAATGAAATCATCCTTATGCTTGAGCACATCACCACCAGGCACGGGGATCACCGTCAGCGCCGACGGAAAAACGCTCAGATCGGTCACCATCAAAGTCCCGAGATGGGTGTCTTTCCTGCGTGCTTGGCATTGCGTGACGGCATTGACGTACAGCCGTAGACGAGGGGACCAGGTCGATTCGTCGGTGGGAACGCTCAGCACCCCAACCGTGACCTTATGCGAGGTGTCTCCGGTGTACGTCGTGATTATGAAAGTAGGGTGAATCCTCGAACACGCCCATTGCTCAACAATGTATATCTCGTAGCCCTGCAAGACCGTCCGCCGGGCGAGCACGATCGTCGAGGGGTCCTCTTCGAGGTATCGGAGTGCGATGGGGTCGGCGAAGACGAATTTCTGGTGGCCGTGGCGCGAAGAATGGATTTCTGACCCCTCCGGGTGGGTTGATAGGCATTCTTTCGCAGCAATCGAGGTCCGCGTCGGTTCGTGAGGAGTTGTAGCAGGAGGCGCAGCCTGCGCGCTGTTCTGCGTTGTAGGAGGAGGCATGGCGGAACGACGAGCGAGTTCCTACCATAAGAGAGTCGAAGAACTGCTCATATCCCGATCGGTGACAGCCAAGGGAAGCAGTAGAAGCACAGAAAATGAAACAACAGCAACAAATTAAAACAGAACAATCACTATTCAGAGACCGAGCTCGGAATGAAGGGGCGGGAAAGCGTTGGTGACCCTCCCGGGGTCTTCTCGTACAGTCCAGCAAAGCAAAGAAACAATCGTGACATATCCGAGGGGACGAGGGGATGAATCCTGGACGGCTAAAAAAACAGGCAGGAGGAGGAAGATCGGGACTGCGGGTCTTCCATGACGGTTTGAGGAGACAAGTCGGTGTCCGCGGGAGTTGCAGGGGGAGAAGAGGAAAATGAGGGCCGAAAGGATAGGGACTCGGGAGATATTGAACCACCGCAATCGACGTCACAAGCCTTTCTTTCTCCGTCGGAAGCGGTGAGCGGGCCAGACCACAGCCACAGTCAGTATGACTTGGCAAGAGAATTGGAATTACAGTATGGCTACGACGGCAATGTACTCCGATGCTAGGTAGATAATAAACTGTTTCCACCTATGGGAACGGCATTACAGGCTGGAGACGCCCCCCGCGCAGTGTCTGTGCAGGAAAAGGAGTTGCCTAGTTGCATTCAGCCACAACCCAAAGAATACCTTATTGAAGGATCAGCACCTCACAGCCACAGGGGCCGAGGGTATCGGATGCCAGTCTGGACATGTGAACAGTAGCATAGACATCGCATACCATAACTACAAGATTCACTGACATAACTCTACAGGATAAACAGAATAGATAAATGGAAACCTCTTCTCTACAGGCCTCCAACATGGGAAGCAACAGCAGTGAAAAGAAGACCATGAATCGAGAGAGGCGCAGACAGGTTCTGTAGAGAACCATGTCCGCATGCTCTCAAGCTGATTCAGAAAATCTGAGATCAGGGCATTTTTTTTCAAAAATTCCCAGCCGATCCGAAGACCAACTGGAGCAGTCAAAAAAGTAGTTTTCAACTAGCAAAAACACGGTCTCGGATAATTCCTCACTGACACGTGTAAAACCCTTGCACTAGGATGGAGAAAGAAAGAAGAAAAGAAGGGTAAAAGGGTGGAGGGGGGAAGGAGCTTTTATACCCCCGCCAAGGCCGGGAAATGGCGCTAGCGTAAGCGAGACCATCCAATTGAGATGATTGGTGGATCTGTCCTCCGCTGGCACCTGACCTTCCCGGCGGATGCCTGAGTACCTGAGGCATTCAAACTGGAAGATCCCGATTCCATTCTTGGGTGGCTGAAGAATACCTACGGAGCACGGAGTATCTACGCAGTAGGCATGAGGCTACCTTACTTCCAAGTCGGTTCATTTTTAGTGTCCTCCAGAATAACTGCCAAGTTCATGGAACCGAGTAAGACGATGTGGGACTGCTCTCTCCAGTAGCTTACTCCGTATGAACCACAACTGGGAGGGGACACCAGGTAGACACTAACCAAGCCTCACACAGATTGTATCCGTCACAATCCTGAGATCTCCGGACGATGACCCTGGAATCATCCCTTGCAAGGCGGTGCAAATGATCCCCGACAAACAGCGCAACGGCCGGAAAAAGGAGGGGTAGCCAGTTGCAGCACCACGTGATGTGCCATGTCGTAATACTAGCGATGCTGTGCGGCCTCCGCAATCTCCCCGTCAACTGTCAAACTGCTTTGTCCTCGTACCATTCCAAGCCAAACGTGATTAACACCGCTGTGTTTTCCTCTTCACTAGATTCTGTATCCAACTCACCACTACCTACCCCACTGAGACCATCCAGGTGGTCCCTTATGGCTATTGCCATACCGTCCATCGACAAGCGGTAACTGTCTCACCTCCGCTTCGAGCTCCTCGGCCACCATGGAAGCAGTCCAGAAGGAACATGAACGACTTTCAAAGAGACTGAAGGCGACCCAGAGCATTAAGAATGTCCAGTCGACCATAGATCTGCTTCAAGAAGCACGGGATGCCATTGCGGCCGGTTAGTACAAAGCCCGGCACGCTGCGCTGCGGTCTCTCGAGTTGCGCAACGACCCAACTAACCGGACCTTTTAACACCAGACCCCGAACAAGCTCCGATAACTCTCGCCAAACTTCAAAATCCTGTGAAATCCTCCTTCGATGCGATAAATGACAGCCTCAAAGAGACTCACAGCGGTCTCAATAAATATTCCAAGTCGCTTGATAAGGTCGGTTGTACCGCGGGTTTACTCGGATCGGCTTTCCAAGCACATGCTGACTCGAAATCAAACAATAGCTTTTCAAAGACAGACCTCTCCCGAGTACCGAACATGACGCCCTGACATCGCAAGAACACCTGATCAACCGGGCGATCGCAATGCACCTTTTGCGGGAGGGACAGTTCTCCGTCGCTTCTACCTTCCTGTCTGAAATGGCGGACGCGAGAGCCCCCGAGGAGCAAGGAGATCCCAGCTCCAGCGTCACGGACAATGCCGCCTCGCTCCTTCACCTCGAAGAAGTACCGTCAAGTGAGGTTCGGAAGCAGTTTGCCACGATGTACTACATCCTCCATGAATTGGAGCAGAACAAGAACCTGCTCCCGGCGATTCAATGGGCGCGGGACAACCAAGAGGCTTTGGAAGTTCGAGGCAGCAACCTGGAATTTGAACTGTGCCAGTTGCAGTTTGTATGGCTCTTCCACGGCGGACACACTCCCGAGGCGCCTCTTTCCGCGGGTCGGCAAGCGGCTTTGGAGTACGCCAGGCGGGAATTCCAAGGCTTCATGCCGCGATACCTGCGGGAGGTGCAACAGCTGATGGGCGCGATGGCGTTCTGCCCGAACCTCGAAAATTCACCGTATAGGGGCATCTTCACCAATCCGTCTGCCTGGAACGACGTGGCGCAAGCGTTTACTCGCGAGTTCTGTTCCTTGCTCGGGCTGTCTGCGGACTCCCCGTTATACGTAGCCGCAACGGCGGGTGCCATCGCCCTGCCCACTTTACTGAAACTGCAGACGATCATGAGGGCGAAGCGCACCGAATGGACGACGGAGAACGAGCTTCCGGTGGGTTATGAGTATTCTTGTTTTCACGTCCACAGGATTTTGGCTAATCGTTTCCCTTCTAGGTCGAGATCCCGCTTCCGCCGTCGTACCTTTTCCATTCCATTTTTGTTTGTCCCGTTTCCAAAGAGCAGACGACGGACGAGAACCCGCCGATGATGATGCCGTGCGGGCACGTCATTGCCGAGGAGTCGTTGAAACGGTTGTGCAAGGGCAGTCGCTTCAAGTGTCCTTATTGCCCCAACGAGAGTCATGCTCGGGAAGCGCGAAAGGTCTTTTTGTAGGACCCCAACCACATCAACCACGGGAATTATTTGACGGCGTCAAGAGATGAAGCGAATCCCCACCTATGACGGGGAAGAATCCGGGAATCAGGGAGTCAGGGTACGAGGAGTTTGAGGGCATACGGCGTTTTCGGGCAGGAACTATACTCAGGGCCTTTATCCACTATACATATCTATTGCATATAAGTACACTTGAAAGCTTCACAGGCTCGATCAACAAGCACTCAGTACTAAGTACAAGTATCAAGTACTCCGTAAAGCGGAAGTAGTCAAGAATTTTCATCGCATACTCCGTAGTGTCATTATGGATCCCACGAAAGGGGGAGTGGATCCGCCGGAAATATTCAGATTGATGGCGTCGATGGGAATCGGAAATACAGATACCTACAGGCTAGTATGGTAGGCCCCTCAGCACACTGACAAGATACCCCTGAAAGAGAGACGTGTCAGAAAATTGAATTGATTGATCACATACCCCTCTCTGCCAGTGACTCAACCCCCCTGGTCCAGGATGCATCCAATTCACCATCGCATTCATCCTTGAAGAGTCACTGGTTGGACTGGTCCCCCTACTGGACCCACACCCCTTTTCCCCGTGACACTCCCGTGACCCTCCCGTGACCATCTCGTGACTGCGCGCACATTTGGCGATTGGCTTTACGCGTGCATTACCTGCCGTTACGCGTCCTGCATCGCCGGCAGCCTCAGGCCGGTGTTGGATTGCTCTAGACTCGAGAGTAGAGAGTATAAGAAGTATACATCATAAAGTATGGAAGACCGGGTCATCCTGGAAAACAACGGCCTATGCTTTCTTTTCTTTTCCGTTCTTTTCCTTCACTCAGTCTTCTCCTGTATCTAACACTCACCCCTGTTCATTCATACCTGTCAGGGGCAAACCATACGCTGTACTTGTATTCATCCATACAAACTTGCTCTTGGCCGTGCAATCTCTTGGGGAAAAAACTTAATTCGTTCAAACCTGCTTCTCCCCTGGATCTTAAACACTCCCCTCGATCTCTTCCTGGCCTGGCCTACTTACCTACCTCCCTATCCATCGCACTAGATTCCTCAACCTCCATCAAAGACAATAAATTTACATCATCCAACCAAGATGCTGACCCAACAGCACCCCCGAGTCAACCGAATGTTGACCTTCAAACGCCAAACCTCTGCCTCGGCCGATAATCTCTCCTCCAAATACGGCGCCGGAAAGGCACGTTTGCGAGGCCGCAGATCGGCCAAAGAGCCCCTCGCGACCCCAACCCCTCCACGTCGACCAGAGGAGAGACAAGAGAGACAGCAGAGACGCTCTAGGTCTAGCCCTGTCACCCCGCCGGAGTAAGTCGCATACCTCCCTGTCTGAAACCACCGACATATACTTATATGTATGGATGTATGTCTCCAGAACCCCCGGGCCAGACGTGATCACCATCGCCGTGGGACTCGAAAAACGCCTCTTCGCTGCACACAAGGAAATCCTCTGTGTTTCATCGTTCTTTGCGACGGCCTGCTCGCGCGTCCCGCTCACACCGTCGGGCTTGCTCGCCGAACCGCTTGAGCTACCGGACGAGCAACCCGAGGTCTTCTCCTGCGTCTTGGAGTACCTGTACCGTGGCGATTACTTTCCTCGTCTTATGCACAACAAGCGTCGCGATTCTTGGGAGATCGAGGATGCGGGCACGGATCGACATAGACAGAGTCATGGCGCAACGGTCTTTCATCCTGAGGTGGGAGCGGAGATTTTGAGGGATACGGCTGTTTAGTATGTCCCTTCCCTTGTTGCTTTAGATGTATATGCATGTGTATGTATGCATGCATGTATATCCAACTGCCATGTCATGCTACATACACACCCGCATACCCGCAAATAACACCAACTAACATCTAAACGCACAGTTGCGCCGCAGACAAATACGGCCTCGAGATGCTCAAGCGCCTAGCGCTGCGCAAACAAGGCCTCCACACGGGCATCCAATGCAACACGATCCTAACCAGCGCGCGCTTCGCCTACGCCAACACTCCCGACAACGAATCAAAGCTGCGCGCACACTACCTGGCGCTGATCATCCGCAGCAGAGATACCTTCAAGCGCAGCGGCACTATGCAGATGGAGATGGAGCAGGGTGGGAAGCTGTTCTTTGATCTGTTTGTGGCGATGTGTAATTATATGGTGAGCTTTTTCTTTTCTTTTTTTGTTCCGATATTTGTATCGGTTGTTGCTTTTATTTATGGATGACTGGATGATGGTTTACGGTAGACTTGATGCTGATGTCTGAGTCTGATAGGACGATACTGTGGCGGCCCAGAACCCGAAGCTGGCATTACCTGTTTAATCGGTTGATTGATTAATGATTGATTGACTGCTGGCTGGCTGATCTATGGATTTCGCTCTACTGGCTCAGAGCGTTGCCAATACCACACCCTCTAGGGCTAAGGTATCCGCAGGCAAATACGAAAGAGGTGGACGGATGATACATGTTGCTTTTCACTATCTTTCTCCCCTCTTGCTTTCTTCTTCTCTGGCATTCTATTTTGTTGCCTTCTTTCTTCCCCCCCCCCCCCCCCCCCCTTACATATTTGCTTCTTTGCTTCCCCTTATCTCCCCCTTGTTTTCTTAGGTTTTCCGATGGGGTTCCTGGTTTCATTTATGCGGATAAGTTATCTTCGAGCATGAGATTTTGTTTTTTGTGTTTATGTATGCTGGCTGTGAGTTTTCTTTTCTTTCTTTTCTCCTTTTGGATCCTCTAGATCCTCGTCTTTTGCGTTCGGTATCATGAACTGTACCATATGTCCCCTTTCTCATTCTCTTACTCTCGTCGTCCTATCTAGAACCCCCCAGCTCAGTGTTTCCGGGCTACAACTAGGGAAAACATACACATTCAACGTGATTGTGAAGTGTCGACACAAGCAACAATCCCCCCGCCTCCCCTAACTGATTCTAAGTGCACTCTCCAATGTTTCCATCCATCTGATCATTCTGATCGCTGACTTTGGGATGGAAGGTACCTAGATTCTGATTGCCTACCTCCTCCCCACTCTCTTACTCTTCTGGATCTCCGCGGCGTTTTTCTTCTATCTGACTGGCTGGCTGGCTTAATCTAAGAGAAGGATTCTAATCTCGGATGTTTCACAGTTGGCGGTTTGCCCTTTTTACTTTCTATCTCCCTTTTCTTTTTTCCTTGGTTGGTTGCGGAGAAAGCACAACGCAAGGCAAAAACCACATAATGATGGAATCTACTGTTTTCAAAACCTGGTGGCTTTTTCTTTCTTGTCTTTCCAATTTATTTAAGAATTTGTCACAGTATGTTAACTATGAACGAAGGATGGTGATACTTGAATAATAATAATACTAATCAATCTCATGATTCGTGGAAGAGAAAAAAGTCTATCTAGTCTAGGGCGTGATCAAGATGGGAACATTTGCTTGTTCCCTTACTTTGGCTCACTGGGAAGGAATAACCACTCAGCTCATTCTAGACTCTGGACGAGGGAGGGAGAGTTGCTTGTTATCTCTCATCAATGATCAAGATCCGTGCGTGTGATAGCTGGGCAACTAGGTAGATTAGATTGACCCAGACGACCAATCCTCTTGTATATTGTTGACTAGTTGACGCAACTATTCAAGACGGGAGATCTGCTCGATGGCCGAGGTCTGAATGGCCCAACCGAATGAGCACGTCGGCCGAGACTTCAAGGAACTGACTGCTAGGTGGTTGATGTCTGTCTGTTACGGTACCGGAGACTTACGTTCCATCTTCGATGTGTTTGGGATATACCAGGGTGTCAACGTCGGTTAGACGGCTAACAGTCTGGATTATTGTGTGTTTATACACCGGTTCCGGGGAATGCGGCGCCGCCTTTGCTCAGGACAACCATGCCGCGTTCACGAGCAATATAGCCTTTCATGAGACCCTGAATGAAGTCAATACGTGCGTACACTCAATGAACGAGAATATCTGGCTGACAACTTACCTTGTAAATAAGATTGGACAGCAAACACTCTACCTCGTCAATGTCGACGCGCGTTCGGTCACTTGCATGCGTGCCGATGCGAATGGCAGCGGCAAACTCCGCGACAGGAACACGGGTCCGTCGGATCGGGGGCTGACCATCCTTGGATTCTTCGAAGCCCCCTGCGATGAACACCTTCCGGAACAGATTGCGCAGGGCGATGTCCCGGCCCCTCTCGAGAGGGAGGTAGATACGTCTCTTCACGAATTGGTCTTCGCCGGCGGACATGGCGGTGTCGAAGCCTTGGAGATCTCCTTTCCTGATGCATTCGCAGAGCGGGCGGAATAGTTTCTCAAGCCGAGGGAATGATGATAGGAGATTTTCGCTTGGCAGTGTATGCGTCGTGACCAGATGACAAGGGACCAGGTATGTGAGAATCAACCTGCATGGCGGTTAGTATAAATAGATAGAGGGGAATCTCTAGCACTCACTCCCTGTTCTTGAGAGAGTGGCGATGGCACATTCTCCACGCCTCCGCCAAGTGAGACTCTGCCTATTCGAAAGTGTCAGAAATAGTTCTTCCAGGGACAGCTGCACATGGGGAGTATATACCTCTTCGTAATTTTCATCCAAGAAATTGATGACCCCAACATAGTATTTAAACGTGACTATGTGCGACTTGGGAAAAGCATCCAGCTCCGGGATGTCTGCCGACGACGCCTTCAGCGCACGAAGTAAGTTCTTGGTAAGTCCGACGGAGTTGAGCTGCGCTGGTTAGCAATTATCCATATACACAGTCGGAAAGTCCACCCGTACTTTGAAATATGTCTTGAACAGCAGATTGGTCATGTTGTAGATACCCCACTTCCGCGATTCCTCGAGAGGCGACCTGCGAGGAGCGCTTAGCATAACGTGAACAATTTCATCAGAAGACCGCAAGCACCCACCGATCACTGAGGCACAAAGTAAACATCCTGTTCATCATCCATGCTGCCGATTCTAGCTTGGCACTCTTGGTGAAATCCGCCGCGATATCCTCCTGCAGACGATCCCCAAACGAAACGGAGTTTTGGGACGCTAATTCGGCGTCGGCTCGAATCGCAAAGGTTCGCAGGTACTTTCCAACGACGTACAGACATGGCACGGTCCAGGCCTGAAGACCCGAATGTGAGTAGCCCCGGACCAGGGTATTGGACACCTCCCTCCACGCTTCGAACACCTGGACCCAGCTGGCTTGCGAGGGGCTCTCATCGAACTTGACAAGTTCCCCCGCAGCCTTCCAGTACGCCGTAAAGATATCAATCCACGCGGTTTGTTCTTGTCGGGGTAGTTTGACGCCGCCGGACTGGAAGAGCGAGTAGCGAAGATCGGAGGATACACGAGCGGCGTTGGAGAAGTAGTAGAACGACAGCAATCGGTTGGGATTTGCGGAGGATGCGACCGGGGTAAGGGCAGCTGCTAGACGAGGGCCAGAGCCAATTCTCTGGCCTTCTTTGAAGTCGTCGAAGATGGAGGACATGGTGGGATTTAGGGACGGGTGGTCATGGGATTACCGGTTCGGTTGTAGTTGATAGACGGGACTCAAATGAGGGTCATGGAAGGAATCCCGCGACTTGCGAAGGGGAAACAAAGAAAGCGATTGACATTGACTTCATTAAGCAATTACAGCAAAGTCCGGAGGTGGGGAACCAATGCGCCCCCACCGCCTGCCCGAAAGTCTCGCGATCAGCCAGCGGTGGCTGAGTTGCCATATCAGGACTAGCGTAGAGCCAAGCCACCGGTCGCTTAGGCGAAGGGCGGCAGCCCTAACTCAACAAGTTCACAAATCTCCATTTTTGCGACAAGACCAACCCGGCACACCTTTCTCGAGACTCAACCACAACACCGTCGACAAAAGTGAGTGCCACCCTGTTCAATCTATGTAATCGTTAATTTTCTCGGGAGAATTTTTGAGCTAACAGTTAATTCCAGATGGGTGAGTGATATTCCCCTTTTTCGATTGATTTTCCCCTTAGCCTTTCCCCTTTGGACGATCGGTTGCGCTGCCTCTTTGCGAAACGTTGAATCGACATATACAAAGATCGACATTTTTGACGACACCCGGGCGATGAGAATTTTGGAGTGGGAGGGAAGAACTGGCCGAGATGGATTGTTCACCCGTGACGGGGTATGCTGCAGGAATGAGTGGGTTGGGGAATTACGATCGCACAGACGCAACCAAATGATCTTCAGTCGAAATCCACAAGATTACCGAACTTCACATCGACCTTTACAACGTTATCGCATGGAGAATCAACGCAGCCGACCGTACCGACCAGATCGAGGCATTGTCGAAAATTTCCCCGCGGAACATTGAACTGACTGGTTGATCAATAGGGCGTCTCACCGAGTACCAGGTCATCGGGCGTCATCTGCCCACCGAGGCAAACCCCACGCCCAAGCTGTACCGGATGCGCATCTTTGCGCCCAACACCGTCGTGGCCAAGTCGCGGTTCTGGTACTTCTTGACCCAGCTCCGTAAGGTCAAGAAGGCCAACGGTGAGATCGTCAGCCTCAACGTGGTATGTTTCCGACAGAATCCTCGGTCATCGAATTAATGGCAATCTATCGATCCATACAGGACAATCCGCTGATATTTTGTCCCGCTAGATCAACGAGAAGCGCCCCCTCAAGGTCAAGAACTTCGGCATCTGGATCCGTTACGACTCGCGCTCCGGTACCCACAACATGTACAAGGAGTTCCGTGAGATGAGCCGCACCGACGCCGTCGAGGCTCTCTACCAGGACATGGCTGCCCGTCACCGTGCCCGTTTCGGCTCCATCCACGTACGTGCTTTTGATTCCTGATGAGTCTCCGATCATCGTTCTAACGCAGCCCTCCAATAGATCCTGAAGGTTGTTGAGATCACCAACGCCGACAGCATCCGCCGCCCCTACATCAAGCAGCTCCTCCAGAAGGACCTCAAGTTCCCTCTGCCCCACCGCGCCGCCAAGCCTGCCGGCAAGAAGGTCTTCGCCTACTCGCGGCCCTCCACTTTCGCGTAAATGTGAGGTTCGGGGGTTTGGGGGAAGGAGTGTGCGATTGAATGACTATGTTATGGCCATAGCCTGCATGAAGGACAAAGATCGCGCGGAGAACACGGCGTGTATCTACGGCCCAGACAATGGGATGGATGGTTTTGATGTCTCTTTAGTCCTGTGCAAGCGACCCTTTCAAGTTATATCTATAAAAAAACGGGGTTCAATTTTTTTTCTCGAGTTCAAAATGTCTGCCAGAGATGATATGTAGAGTGCTGTTCCGGTAAACCATGGCATTCACCTGCTAGTGCCTGAGCCTCTGAGGGGTCTAGACTGTCTGTCAAATGCGACCACTCCTTATGATCGAGAACTCTGGCCATAAATACGGTGTTAATATTGGCCATTCATGGGAATTGGCAGTGGCTGTGGTCCATTCTTGATACGGAGTAGACTGATATCTACGGCGTGAACCGGGTTCAACTGCACCTACGTGAGGAGTCACTTCTCTTAGTTCCAGCTGTACACAATACATGTCAGTCCATTAATACATGCAAACCTCTGAGTAACACCCCGATCGTTCATGCAGCCAAACCTGCAATCCCCAGATCAAACCGACGGGGAGATTTCTTACGCGGGTGCCCTTACTCTTAGTAATGTCCTCAGGGCCATTGCGTCATGTGGGAACTCGGGCTCGGAGGGCGGACCGCCGAAAGCGACGCAGCTACTTAGTGTAATCTCTCGCCCTGCCAACCCCCTCCGAGCCTCTTCTCTTTTTACCCGCATCGAATCCATTGAGCATTGACCGTTTGTTCTTCGATTGACAAGATGTTCGCCCGTCAAGCTTTCCGCTGCGCCCAGCCTCTGAAGCAGGTACGCTTTCCCTTGCTTCAAAATTTCCCTCTCATACTGTTTATTCGCTCTTTAACCTTGGGGACGCTGCTAATTCGTGTCTGTTTGCAGGGCTTCCGTAAATACTCTACCGAGGCACCCAAGGGCAAGTCGTCGCTGGCTCCCATCTACGCCGCCGTCGGTATCACCGGTCTCGGTGTTGGATTGTACCGCTACAACTCGAGCGCTGCCATCGCCGAGGCCCCCGTCGATCGCCCCAAGGTTTTCACCGGTGGTGACCAGGGATGGGTGGACCTGAAGCTGTCGGAGATTGAGGTTCTCAGCCACAACACCAAGCGACTGCGCTTTGAGTTCGAGGACAAGGAGGCCGTTTCCGGTCTTCAGGTTGCTTGTGAGTCTTTTTCGCTCGATCTCAATGGATTGGGGTACTGGCAGATTTCTAACAAATGGCTCTAGCCGCTCTTCTGGCCAAGTTCAACAAGCCCGGCGAGAAGGCTACTATTCGTCCTTACACTCCCACCAGCGATGAGGGTAAGCCGTCCCCACGACCATTTCATCAGGTAGCGGTCGCTAATCCCTGATCCAGAGCAACCCGGTTTCCTCGACCTCGTCGTCAAGGTCTACCCCAACGGCGCCATGTCCGAGCACCTGCACAGCATGAACGTCGACCAGCGCCTGTCCCTCAAGGGACCCCTCCCCAAGTACCCCTGGGAGGCCAACAAGCACAACCACATCTGCTTGATTGCCGGTGGCACGGGTATCACGCCCATGTACCAGCTGGCGCGCCAGATCTTCAAGAACCCCGAGGACAAGACCAAGGTCACTCTGGTGTTCGGCAACGTCACCGAGGACGACATCCTGCTGAAGAAGGAGCTCCAGGAGCTGGAGAACACCTACCCCCAGCGCTTCAAGGCCTTCTACGTCCTCGACAAGCCCCCTAAGGGCTGGACCGGCGGCGAGGGCTTCATCAGCAAGGAGCTGCTGAAGACGGTCCTTCCCGAACCCAAGGAGGACAACATCAAGCTCTTCGTCTGCGGTCCTCCCGGTCTGTACAAGGCTATTAGCGGAAACAAGGTCAGCCCTAAGGACCAGGGTGAGTTGACCGGTATCCTGGCCGAGCTTGGATACAACAAGGACCAGGTCTTCAAGTTCTAGACATCTTTTAGATAAGAAGAAGATGGGAAGAGAAACGAAAACTAGAGATTTTCTGGATGTATAAATTCTGGGACTGTTATATTAGGGAATACCATTAGCGAATTGGTTATCACTTGTGACATATCGAGCAATATCTTACAGTATCTTCATGGTAGAACTTGTTCAGATTAAGTGTTTTTGTTGTAGAGCTGAATCACCTAAGAGACAATATACATGCGTACAATGTTCCAGTTATGTACAAGCTCCAACTCAGTATCCAACCTATGCCTCGTGTTTTTCAAACTGAATAACTAAACTACTACCGAATACTCACAACCATAGATGGGCAAGTCTTTGACCCCATCTTCGGCTCCATGTTCTAAGCACATTGAATATGAGGATTGTTACACCCAGCATAGAATTCTAGCGGCTAGCCCTTCTTCTACCTACCAACCAGCCAGCCAGCCAGCCAAATACATACATACCTACATACATACCCTGCTTCGAAGCAGAAAAGCAACAGCCCACCCCAACACTATAAATAAGTACTAGGTACATAGTTACATACAGTTGTAGTCAACCCGACCCATGGCCCGGGCCCGCACCTCCCGCTCACCTCAACCGTACTTACTATGTCTTCAACCTTGGCAGGACATGCGGGGGAGAGAGGGGACGGCGGGGATATGATATCAGATAATCTGGGAAATAGCTTAGGCGGGGATTGAATCGGTTAGAAATTGGGTTAATGGATTTTCGTTGATGCTATGATGCAATGTTCCGTGATTTAGTAGGTATTTCTGTTTATGGATAGTGCTTGTTACCTAGGGAAATGATGAATATAAATACATAGATATGATGATCTGAAGATATCATATGAGCAATTAAATTATACTGCAGATGTAAGAATGATGACTAGGCAGAAGCTAGCTGTAAATGATTACTACATGCTAATAATATATGGTCGGTCCTATCCCGTCCTTGTTAACTAGGTACAGTAGATGCCAAATAGGTGGGCAAAACACACTAAGGTACCCCGGTCCCCCGGTCCTTCTTATAGCAGACGATCAGGTGGGACGAGGCATCGGTAAGGCTGAGTTTAACTATCTATCAAGATCCAACTGTTTAGAGACGGATGCAAGATGACATCAGATGCGATGCATTATACCTATATACAGTACATACATCATTGGGGAATACTAACCAATCCATGGGGAAGTTCTCGGGGAGCTTGCAAAGAGGTTTAATATCGCATCATCATCATCATCATCGTTGTCATCATAATGAGAGAGCGATTCCTTGGTCTAGGTATAGGTTATCTGGTCATTGTGGTTCTAAGGTATGGGGGAACTAGGAGAGCTGGGATCAGAGATGAAGTGCCATATTTGGTATCATTGTAGTTATGTATGTACTTCGAGGAGACAATGACAAAAGGTAGAGAGAAGAAAACTCGACAAAATTTGGTATATCAACCACCAGAGCATCACGAGATCAACAAAATGGTAACCGCAGAAAGAAAGACAGAAAGAGAGATTATAAAATTCTCCAAAGCCCAAAGTGAAGATCACTCATCCTTCGCCTCCAAACAAGCATCCAACATCTGATCAATCGCCCCAGTCCTCTGCACCTCACTCAAGTACCCGATCTCCACCAACCCGGCGAGCGCATCACCCACCCAATTCTGACAATTCCACTCCAGATCGTTGCGCCCGTTCTTGACCGGTGTCGCGGAGACCGCCTTCTTCAGGGCCGCCGCGCTGATCGACCCCGTCAGCGGGCCGACCGTGATGGTCTTGACCAGGTTTCCGCCCTCGCAGGGGTCCTGGTCGATGTCCTCTTCGAACTGGAAGAGGCCTTGCGTGCCGACCACGTGCATCGTCGTGGTGAGGCCCCGCGGGAAGACGAAGTGGAGCGCCGTGTGGCGGTATTCGGCGTAGTCGAGGGGGGAGCCCTCGTAGACGAGGATGTATGTTTTTGTTGACATGTTTTTGGATGTTGGGTGTTGGTTTAGGGTGCTAGTGCAGTGGCTAGGCTGCTAGATTTGGTTGGGGTGGGTGGTGATTGAGTGCTAAGCTGTAGGTGAGGCTTAGGCTAGCTGGCTAGCTGGAGCTACCCTGAAAGTCGACTAGATACTAAGTACTCCGTAGTAAATGTAGATAGATAGTCAAAGTCAACGGCGGAGTGGTGTGCCGGATAGAGAGAACGAAAAAGCGCTGTGCTGCTTGGACGGGGCTTTTAACAGAATAAACAAAGGAATAGATGTCGTTAAATTAAGTAAAATGAGATGTGTCGAGAATGAAAGAGATCGATGATCAAGATGAGAATCGTCGCTATCGTGGCATTCGGGGTCCAACCGCCCAAAGGTCTGAATCGACGGGTTTGGCCAGTCTAGGATATATATAATGATGTCACCTGGGGAGACGCGATCATAGTTGCATGAAGTGGCTGCAAAAGGTACATGGCACTGCTCTGCGGATTCGGCTGAACCTGAACCAGAGAAACACGACGGGGTCAGTTGCACGTTGACGTTGGGTGTGAACTTTTTTTTTTTCTCTCCCTCTTCAGCGATGGTGGTGCTGGCTGCAAGTTTCCTTAGTCACCACCCATTCTGCATGGCGGCTGTTGTATTTCTACTTCTGTTTTCTTTCTCTTTCCATTTCATTTCTAGATCGTGTGAATCTGCGAAAACGAATACAAAATGGAGGAGAGATAGAGAGTATTGAGTTGATTTATAACTGATTTTTTTTCCCTTGTTTTCTACAAGAAGTTGAAGCCGTTACTTCTATTTTTTCTGGCGGACTTGGGTTGGGATCTGAGACAAAAGGTTGCCTGTAAGCGCGGGCGCCCGTGAAGGAGGGGTCAAGCGCCCGTCCCGGCGACAACAACACAATCGAGGGCCGGACAATGGGCTGGTCGCCTTCACCGCACAGAGAGGGTCGAAGGTGGAGCGTTGATATTTTATTACAATTTATATTTGGTTAATTGAACAAAATCATCTGTAAATAAATAAAAAAAAAACAAAATTAGACAATGGATTGATGCATCAGAAAAAGCGAGATACTTGGAAGACGTGCAGATGACTGACTGCAAGCAAAGAGTTCAGCAAAGACTCTTCAGGCGCCGGATGGGAGGTCCTGTCAGCCCTCAGCCTCCCCGGGTAACGGTAGGACGGGAGGGGGGTTTGCCTCCCTCTTTCTCCCAGGTGACCTTCACCCCTGCAGTGCACCCGAAGGCAGAACTCCCTGAAGCACACTAACGGGATCCTAAGCCCAAAGCAGCGACCCAGCAGCGCCCCAGCACCCGCTCTGCGCTATTTAGTAGGGCCCTCCCCTCCTAACGCGACCCCGCTAGCGAAAATTCTTTTCTCTCTGCCATCGCTCTCATTTTCCTTTCCTTCCCTCTTCCTTCCCCCTCTCTTTCTTTCTTTCCATCGTGCTGAAGATTAATTTTAACCCTTCATCGCGTGCTATTGTCATCCATCATGTCGCGCAAGGAAGATTCCAAGGCCAAAGATGCCGTGGTTAGCGTTAATGTCGAGGATTACACTAAGACCCGCGACAGTGTAAGTTGCCCTCCCCCTTTGTGAATGCCCGTTGGCGCCGTTCGGCGCCCCCCAATTTGGGTGCCGGGCGCTGCGCTGTCAACTCTCCCTTCTCTACACATCAACTTCCCACGCGTCCGTAAACAAAGTTGCCGCCCTCCCCCCTGGTCGCGACGGTCTTCACTACCTGCCCATTACCTGCCCCCCTATTTCCTTCCCCAAATCACAAGCTCTTTGTGTTATTCCCCCCCCCTTTCTTCCTAATCTCCTGTCCCAATACTCAATATTCCTCATTGTACCACTGCTTGGTGGACCAAATTTCTTTCCTTTTCTTCCTTCTGTGTCTTGGTTCTTGCCGTCATGGCCCGACGCGCCCGCACCCCCCACCCTCAGTCCATCTCCAACTCGTCGCGTACTGCCCAATCTGCTCCTGACCTCGTCGCGAGTATCGCTCGTGCTACTTCTTCCATTCATGGCGCCACTTCGGGCGTCCACGCTGTCGCCGCGTTTCCTAGCGACCAGGCTCAACTGACATACACCCAGGTCATCATTAGCCTGGCGCAACTGCAATCCGCCGTCTCGGATCTGTCGCGCGCCTACATCAACCACACCAACACGGTCCTGAACCCCGGCTCCTCCAACATTGACTTCGGAAGCCTCACCAGCGGGATCACCAGCACCCTGTTTGAAAGTGGCCTGCTGGGCGCTCGTCCTACCAGCCCCGGCGCCAAGTCCGAGGTGGGCGAGAAGAAGAAGCGCAAGCGCGCTCCTCCTGACCCCAACGCCCCCAAGCGTGCCTTGACCCCGTTCTTCCTCTACATGCAGCACAACCGCGCGAAGATCGCGGAGGAGCTGGGTACCTCTGCCAAGCCTAAGGAAGTTTCCGACGAGGGAACCCGCCGCTGGGCTGATATGCCCGAGGCCCAGAAGGAGGTAAGGAACCCCTTCGGAACTGATCATGTGATTTGAACTTTTACTAACCATCTGCGACAATAGGTCTGGAAGAAGCTGTACGCCGACAACCTTGCCGTCTACAAGGAAAAGATGAAGGCCTACAAGGCCGGCCTCCCCTTTGGGGATGATGACAGCGCCAAGGCTGCCAACCAACTCCAGCAGGACGTTGAGGGCATCTCTGCCTCCGGTGCGGAGGAGACCGACGACGAAGACGAAGAGGAGGAGGAAGAGGCTCAGGAACCCGAGCCCGAGCCCGAGCAGGAAGAGGAAGAAATTGAAGAATCCGAGCCCGAGCCCGTGAAGGAGCCTACTCCTCCGCGCAGCACTGCTAAACGTCGCCGCAGCGAGGGCAAGACCAAGGAGACCTCCACCCCCGTCGTCGAGAAGAAGGAATCACCCGAGAAGAAGAAGCGCACCTCTGCCCGTAAGGCGGCCGAGGAACTACCCGCCTCAGCTCGCAAGCCGGCTGCCGACAACAAGCGCACTAAGAAGAAGCGCAAGAGCGAGGCCCCTGCTGACGAGTAGAGACTTGATTGAGAATGAATGAGATCCCCGTGCGTTTGTTGTTTTTTATTTTCTGAAAATGGTTTCCGTGGCTTCAGCGGAGGCGTGTCTGTATAGCTTGTCGGGTTCTGTATATTTGGGGAATTTTATGGGCAATCGTACCGAGGGAGTTTTCTTTCCTTTTTTATCTTCTTTCCTTTCCTATCATGTCCGAGGATCATTTCTGCAGGAGGCACAATGTATGTCTTTCATATTTCGCTTGTTTTTCTCGGGATAGGTAGCTGGACCTTTGCTGTTGGGTAGTGACTGAAAAACGAAGAGACCTTAACATCATCTGGAGTAGCTCTTGTAACACCTAGGTACAGAGTAGTGAATTATATGTATCTAATAGGTTAGCCAACCATAACGGAGGACTAGTTCATGTTGGTTATATGCAACATGTAGCCTTGACTAGCCCGAATGAGTTCCCCTGCATGAATTGTTCATTATTGACTGTGTAGAACTTAGACTTGGCAGGAATCCGGGGCAAGGGAACCTCCGTGCCTTATCGGCGGCCAAGAACGACCCAAGAACCAAGAAATGTTATCTCCAGGGCTGAAGAAGGCGCTCCATTGCCGACGAAGACCTCTGGAGAAGCTGTTAGTCAGGGCGATGAATGGCGGCCAACTGCGATAGGCCGCGCGGCCCTTATCAACGCCCGTTTATCACGTCGGCCAACTCTCGTCCTTCTTCCCCACCGCAGCATCCGACCTTCGCCTACGCTTCCTCTCGCGTGGCTTCTTTTTTTAAATCCCCCCTCGTCAGTCCCCCATGCCTCTTCTTGATCGTCTCCTCGATCTTTTTGCCCGTCTATTCAGCCCTTCGTTTCATCTCGGCTTCTAGAGCTCCCATCGGAGTATAATATTCGCCACACAGCCTACCCTACTGAAATTTGATTCTCTTGGCTCTCCGATCGGCTCAAGTCCCGCATCCCTGATTCGCAGGCCAAGAGAAATATAATTGGGGCAGCGCCTGTTGACCGCCGTCAACGATGCACCTCATCCCCAAGGAGGTACGTAACGAACAAGGATTGACCTGGAGACGTGTGAAACAGTGCTGATCGCTCATTTGCTTGCTGCAGCTTGACAAGCTCACCATCTCGCACTTGGGCTTCCTCGCCCAACGTCGTCTGGCACGTGGTGTGCGACTGAACCATGCCGAAGCCGTCGCCCTCATCTCGTCGAATCTGCACGAGGTACGCATTGAAGATGCCCTTCTCCCCGGTTGAGTTCTGGTTTGAGTTCTCCGCTTCGGACCGATCTGTCGCTGACCCGCCTACGATGCATATTAGCTGATCCGAGATGGCCTCTATTCCGTGGCCGATCTCATGTCCATCGGCAAAACCATGCTCGGTCGCCGACATGTCCTCCCTTCTGTGCCATCGACTCTCGTGGAACTGCAGGTCGAAGGAACCTTCCCGACCGGAACCTATCTGGTGACGGTTCACCATCCCATCAGTAGCGATGAAGGTGACTTGGAGAAGGCGCTGTATGGCAGCTTTCTTCCTATTCCGCCGACCGATGCGTTCCCGGAGATCAACCCCGATGATTTCCAACCCGAAAAAATGCCCGGTGCGATTATACCCGTGAAGGATGAGCGCATTACTTTGAACGAGGGACGGACACGCATCAAGCTGAAGGTCATGAGTAGGGGTGATCGGCCCATTCAGGTGAGTGTTTTTCCTTGGATTTCTACGGGTGCAAACCGGGGGTTTGGCTGACTGGAATATCTGTGATTGTAGGTGGGATCGCATTACCATTTCATCGAAACGAACCCGCAACTGCATTTCGACCGCCTCCGTGCCTATGGCTACCGTCTTGATATCCCCGCCGGAACGTCGGTGCGATTCGAACCCGGCGACACCAAAACCGTCACCCTCGTGCAGATCGCTGGTAACCAGATTATCAAGGGAGGCAATTTCCTGGCCTCGGGCAAGGTCGATTTCAGCCGAGCGGAGGATATCATGCTTCGACTGCAGGCCGGAGGTTTCGCTCATATCCCCGACCCGACGGCCGATACCGCACTCGTTAGCCCCTACACGATGGACCGGGAAGCCTATGCGCGAATGTTCGGGCCTACTACGGGTGATTTGGTCCGACTGGGATTGACAAACCTCTGGGTCAAGGTTGAAAAGGACTACGCCTCGTATGGTGATGAGTGCAGTTTCGGCGGTGGCAAGAGTCTTCGTGAGGGTATGGGGCAGTCCTCCGAAAAGTCCTCCGAACACTGCTTGGACACCGTCATCACGAACGCGCTGATCATCGATTGGACTGGCATCTACAAGGCGGACATTGGTATTAAGAACGGTATCATCACTGGAATTGGCAAAGCTGGTAACCCTGATATGATGGATGGGGTTCATCCCGACATGATTGTGGGCTCCTCCACGGATGTGGTGGCCGGTGAAAACAAGATCGTGACCTCGGGTGGTTTTGACACTCACATCCACTTCATCTGCCCCCAACAGGCGGATGAAGCGCTTGCTTCGGGAATCACCACCTTCCTGGGTGGTGGCACTGGACCCTCGACCGGTACCAACGCGACTACCTGCACCCCGGGACCCACTCACATGCGACAGATGATCCAAGCGTGCGACAGCATTCCCCTCAACATTGGTATTACCGGAAAAGGAAACGATTGCGGCGGACAAAGCATTGTGGAGCAGATCAAAGCCGGCGCTGCCGGTCTGAAGTTGCACGAGGATTGGGGTTCCACGCCTGCCGCCATCGACACCTGCCTAGACATGTGCGATCAGTATGATGTGCAGTGCATGATTCACACCGACACGCTGAACGAGTCTGGATTCGTGGAGCAGACGATCGCTGCTTTCAAGAACCGCACCATCCACACGTATCACACCGAGGGAGCCGGTGGTGGCCACGCCCCTGACATCATTTCCGTGGTCGAACATCCCAACGTGCTTCCCAGTAGTACTAACCCTACCCGACCCTTCACGATGAACACGCTGGATGAACATTTGGATATGCTGATGGTGTGTCACCATCTGTCCAAAAACATTGCCGAGGATGTGGCCTTCGCTGAGAGCCGTATCCGCGCCGAAACCATCGCTGCCGAGGACGTTCTTCACGACATTGGAGCGATCAGTATGATGTCTTCCGATTCTCAGGCCATGGGCCGCTGTGGCGAGGTTATCTTGCGGACGTGGAACACCGCCCACAAGAACAAGGAGCAGCGGGGTCCGCTGAAAGAAGATGAGGGTACTGGTGCAGACAACTTCCGTGTCAAGAGATACGTCAGCAAATATACCATCAACCCTGCCATTGCTCAGGGCATGTCACACTTGACCGGAAGTGTTGAAGTTGGCAAGCTGGCCGATTTGGTATTGTGGCATCCCAGCTCGTTCGGCACCAAGCCTTCCATGATTATGAAGAGTGGAATGATTGTAGCGTCGCAGATGGTGAGTCCACTTAAACTCATATCGAGAATTGTCTAACCTCAACAGGGTGATCCTAATGGTTCCATCCCCACCATCGAACCGGTTATCATGCGACCTCAATTCGGGGTAAGTATATGTTTTCCTCGTTTGATCGAGCTGTATCTGACTTGTCCAGGCCAACGTCCCCAGCCTCTCCGTCATGTGGGTCTCGCAGGCCTCCATCGACTCCGGCACGGTGCAGTCATACGGCATCAAGAAACGCATCGAAGCAGTCAAGAACTGCCGAAATGTCAGCAAATCCGATATGAAGCACAACGACGCCATGCCGAAGATGCATGTTGACCCGGAAAGCTACGTTGTCGAAGCGGACGGCATGCTCTGCGACGCCCTACCGGCAGAAACCCTGCCACTCACGCAAGACTTTTTCGTCTTCTAGTGTTCTTGAGTACGATACCATGTGTTTTTGTTTTTGTTTGTTGGATCTCATTGGATTTCCTTTGGCGAAGCTTGCATCTGTATGCATATGTCTACATCTGTCATTGCTTATCGATGAGAGATGTTCGAACGATTTACGACTGTATATATCTGGTTTGAGAAGATTGTTTCTTACGTCCGTCTGTCCATTCATCTGATGTCGGGTCTAGTGCCGTAGGTGTATAGCGATCCACCTGATGATCTGTGAATATCTACGGAATATAGTCAAGGAGATAGCTGGATTGGGTGAATGTCTCCCGTCTTCACCGATAGCCTTGTAGAACTGCCCTCTCCCACTGTATCTCATCTACAGTCCATATTCTACCTCTCTACCTACTATCAACGTCCATCATACTACTTCGTCAAACCACGTTCCTAAGAACAGACCTCTAAAAGACCCTTGATACACATTCCTTGATACAATTTAATCCCAAGTATTGATGCCCAAAGCATAGAGCATGCATACGCCCGCTTCATGAGAATGTCTTCAAAATGGACTAAGAACCATTCAGATGTTGAGAAAACATAATGAGACGTTGCAGGTCACGACAATCAGAAAGACTGAAGAGAAGAGGAGGGAAGTTCCATAAATCGGCGAAGGTTCTCCAGCTCTCCAAATACAGCTTTCCAAGTCCTAAGCAGAGCGGGATCTGCTTTTAGATGTGCCATGGTAGAGGGGATGGTTGGATCTTTCTGTCCGTTTGAGAGACTGGGTATTTGGTTAGTTTGCTCTTTATTTTTCCTTTTACATGGATATGATGCCTCTGAGTACGATATGGAGTCTAATGATGCTTGCAGATCAAAAAGCGTGTTCGATTTAATTATATTCCAAGAAGAATCTACCTGGGGCTATCCCCTCGGAGACAGTCGATTGTAGTTCGCTCACAAAGATCGCTATCTGGGTAGGTGGTTTCTGATATCAGCATTCCACCTACCCAGATTAAATGCTTCTACGGGGTATAGGCATGCCTCTGCACAAGCCAAATCGGTTACCACAGAGAACAGACCGCTCGACGGAGTGTAGATCTGGAAGGGCCAACCACTCTTTATCCTGCGGTCTTATGGCGAACAATCGCTCCAGAAGAAGACGTTAAGATGCTTGTTGATGGGTTGATTTCAACACGAAAACATCAGGAAATCGTAATCAATTACGACTACCTTCTGGCTAGGACAATACCTGGTCTAGTGGCCATGCAACTACCATCGGTCGAACTACTTGAAATGCAGTGGATCCTTCATAGGGTTGCTGCATTATGCGGCGCCGCGGATACCACAGAAGAGTAACTAGACGAGGAGGGTTTCTAGTTTGAAGATATATCCTTCTTCAAAGATTCTCGCAAATCCCTCAAAATGGCCGTCGTTATGATTTCCCAAAGAGCTTGCACAGCTAGTCGACCGTCAGTGAACAATTTCCTCTCGAAAACTAGCCCAGATAATCCCCTAAGATATCTACGGGAGCTACAGAAGCCGAAAAGATCTCAAATGACCCTTCTATTGCCCTTGACGACTAGGAGTCGAACCTACGCGTGCCTTGAGTTTATTGCTCAGTGCACTACCAAAGAAACCCGGGTCTGACAAATCCAGTTCACCCTATCATTGGCAGATTACTCTCTATGGTACGAGGTGGTGATTTCGAATTCAAGCTGGACACTAGGGTTCACAAGATATCAGCAGACAAGGTCTGATGAACATACGGTGCTGTGCATACGGTGCAGTTCAGATATTACGTATGCCCAATTATCTTAGGGCACCCGTCACGGCTGACTCAAAGGGGGTAAAACCAAAAGCAAGACAGTTGTTGATTTCGCGCTGTAAGGCTTCTATGTCCACTGGAAATCTCATGAACGCATGGGTGCGAGTACGGACAAGGCTACCTACCTAGCATGGAGCAGATATTAGATGGTCCGCGATATCGCGATTCTCCAGGATCTATATCCCTTAGCTCTGGCTGTTACCGAGGGCCCAGCAGACGAGCATGTGGACGGAAACGACAGGAATTAATGGCACAATTTGCAGATGTTATCAGCGAAAGGTGATTCCCAACAGCTTCATGGGTGTTTCTCTGGGTTTTCGGACATTGAGATGTTAGAGAACCTTATCACCCGCATTGTTGAGACTGATTCGTTTCTTTTTTTTCTTTTTCTTTTTCAAAAGTATGTTCATGTACCGGACTACCTCAGACCATGTTGACGGACCCAAGAAGTACTATGGTCTAACTAACAACTAACAACATTCTTCGAAATTCCCTGAGACCAAGGAATCGACAGCGCCTGACTCTCCCCAATGAATTCCGCGAGAATTTCTTCCAGCATAGTATGGGCCATGCCAGGTTTGCAGCCAAATGTATCTATGCCTTAAGGCCAGTGGAGACACCACGTATAGGGACGACTCCTTTGCAAGAGATAAGTCTGTTTCAATTGCAGCGCAAAAGGAAAAGACTCGACACGGCCCTGACGGCGTCTGCAGCCCACGATGCGGTGTCGAATGGTGCCAGTATTTCCATCCGCAGGATCGACCAGACATCCGCCGCTGCCTGCGTGTTCGACGAGGGTTCTGCCTCGTGCAGGTACATACCTAGTGCAGCCAATGTCAGTGGCCGGGATTCCAAGGGCATCCTGTGTGTCGTCCCGTACGCACCCAATGGTCATCGTAGGATGGGACAAGCGGACGTTGGGTGTTACTGGTGATAATGCTCATCCCTCGGCTACCATGCTACAACGTCCACTGTTTTTGTTGCACCGGCCAGTCCATCCAAACTGGTCGTTTTGGATACCATGGTCGTATTTTCGACGCTGTGTGCTGCCGACTGGGCAATGCGGGACAAGCAAGCGAAGGACTCGGGAGAGGAGGAGGAGGAGGAGGAGGAGGAGGAGGAGGAGTAGGAGATCTCGGACGGCGAGGAAGAGGGGATGAGTGCTGGATGTATCATCATGGCAAGATTATTGCTTCCTACTTCCTGGTATGTCGTTTGACTGTGGTACTTCGTACTTAGAGAAGACAGAAGAGGCTAATCTTCGCCAGGGTGCTGTTGAACAATCCCGATATATTAAACAAACATACAGAGCTCTTGTTTGATTGATCTGGTCATTGATCTGACCTGGGGGCACTATACGGCTTTTCTTCCTACCTATGTTTGGTACATGTCTACCTGTCATACCCAACCTACGTTGCGATGTGGAACATACAAACATACACCAGTTTACAGAACGTGGCACATCACGTTTGCTCAAGTTAGTTACGTTTCTGGATCGTATGCTGAAGCTAAGAAGGATTTATATCCGCCGCGAAAAAAAAAAAAAAAAAAAAAAAAACCTCTCATGGCGATATTCGTTGAATATCTTTACTTACTCCCTATCTTTGACCTACATATCATTTCATGGCTTCAGTCATCTTGTCTTTTTCTTGAGGCCGTCATCAACTCATAATCATCATTTCTTCCAGACTTGTTCTTTTTAGCTTTCTTAATCGCATTCTATCTCTCGCCATATTGGTCGCACATTTCATCTCAGGTGCAATTCTTCAAAATGAAGGGATTCTTGGTCAAGATGTGAACCGGGTCCCTGGTAGCAGTCAGTGTTGCGGTCCACTGGTTTATGGATGGGGCACAGCTGAGGAGCTTGCAGCTTTTCTCCACATCCATCAATAGTCGAAAATTTCTATGCTTGTTTTGGGAAGCCCCTAGCTATGAGATATCTGAGGCTGATGAGTGCATTGCCTAGCGTGACGATAATTTCCGACTTGGCGCTATGATAAGATTGGAATTAAGGAAATTACCTTCATGTTGTTGTAAAGTAGATTAATTGGAAAATAATTATACAGCAGGAGCCTCGGAGAGTTCTTGTCTGCTTAGACGGTCTTAAAAGGCTACTAACAAAATCATATGCGATTAATAGTATATTAGACCCCTACTGTTTGACATAGGAGAGCTTTTCTCATCGAAGCGCAAACAAATGCAACTTCTTCTCCAATAAGATTATATACGACACCCTGATCATCTTTTTCTTTCTTTGTGTCCATGTGTGCTGATGAGCCCTGGCAATGTGGGACCTCTGGAATGTGAACAAACCCACGGATGCCGTTTCCGGACATTAAGCCAGTGCTGGCTATTTGACCCCCTGGTGTTCAACCAACGTGGAAGTCCCGCCCCAACGGGGAGAATTGCTAACAGCATGCTCCAAGAAGATCTACCGGCGGAACGTGATAACACCAGCCAACTGTGGCGAAAAGGATTGGCAGGAGGGCTGGCCGGATGCACGGTAAGCCCGGATCTCTTCTCCGGGGACAAACAAGGGATGAGCCACGTTCACCGCAGCTGACAGACACCTGGCGACCAATAAGGCAAAAACAGTAGTTGCGCCGCTAGAGCGAGTAAAAGTTCTCTTTCAAACCTCTCAGCCTGGCTTCGCTCATCATGCAGCTCGCCGGTTGGGCGTGCTTGAAGCAATTCAGATCATCCGCAAGTCCTACGGGATCCAGGCGCTTTTTCAAGGTCATTCGCTCATGCTACTTCGCATATTTCCCTACGCTGCCATCAACTTTCTTGCATACGACCAATTCCGAAACGCCCTGAGCCCAGCCCCCGATCAGGACACTCCCCTCCATCGCTTCATCTCGGGCAGTTTAGCAGGGGCGATCTCAACTACCTGCACGTACCCATTCGAACTGATTCGAGTGAACCTGGCCGTGCAGAGTCAGCGCACGTCGTTGGCTGCTATCTGTAACCAAATCTACCTAACCGGTGGACCGAGGTCATATCCTGCGGTCACGAACTTCTACCGCGGATATGTACCGGCGCTCTTAGGGATTGTGCCCTATGCCGGAATGTCGTTCTTCGCTCATGACTTGATCGGAGACTGGTTCCGGTCTCCTGCGCTGGCGTCATATATGGCTCTTGCGGCGCCCGAACAAACTCCGCCTGGATCAACCAAACAGGTTCGACTGACTGCCTCTGCGGAGCTCTTGTCTGGCGCACTGGCAGGTCTGGCGGCGCAGACCTTCTGTTATCCCCTCGAGATTATCCGGCGACGCATGCAGGTCAGCAGCCAGGGGAGAATTCCGGATACGGCTCGAATGATCTTCGCAGAAAGAGGGATACGTGGATTCTATGTAGGGTTGACGATCGGGTATATCAAAGACGTGCCAACGGTGGCAATCAGCTTCTTTGTTTATGACCGCTTGAAATGGTGTCTAGGCGTGGATTAGCAGGAGCTGCCATTGTTATATAAGTAACCCTACGATATGAAATACCAGATACATAGATATAGACCGAAACCTCGCTTGTAATTGTTTGACAGACGGTCAATTTCACTGTATAGCCTGAGCCATCGGAACAACCTTCCACGGGATGACTTCGAAACAATATCCCTTGGGCTGGTCATGACATTATTAGCTTTAATGCTACAGACGATTTGACTGACTTTCCTTGCTCATGAATCCTGCCATCATCCCATAGAATGATGGGCAATTCCCGCTCTGCGAAGTTGCCAGTGCCTCCTACGCAGAGGATGTTTAGCTGCGTTCATGCATTGGGAAGAACCTAGCATTGAGACGATTACATAGTTTCAAACCTTCTTGGGCAATCAATGACCTGCATCCCCTACAGTTGGCATGGATATGTTCTCCAGTGGAGCTAGTATGTTATCGGATTGAACCGTCATAGCTTTCCAGCTCTTCCACTTGTGAACCACGGTTCCAGTCAGATCACCATGGGGTCATCCCAAGATTTGATTAACAGCCATGACCTCAAGACTTCTTACCCTTCAATTTTGGTGAGAGCGCATACCACTCTTTCTTCGAAAATGGGTTAAGACCAGACCCACAGACATCTTTAATCGATATCAGGGGACTCCGCATAGTGTGTACAAACAAATCCAGACATAGGTAAAGCTTTTGCGAACTATCAAGCCGAATTAAGCTTCATAGCTGAGCCAGTTTGAGGTGCCAACCGTTGACTGTCTAACCCATAGACACCATGCGCCGTATGTATCCGACGTACGAGTTTGATAGCTGCATTCGCATTCCCCCGTGGCAGCTGGATATGTTGCGTCCGCGTCACCATTGACGTCGCTATATTACCACGATCAAAGGTTATTGGCGGTCCTATAGTCAATGATCCTGCTACAAAGATAAGGTTTTTTCTTCTTCTTTTCTACTCTCAGGATGGCAAACGCCTGGCTGGACAGTAATATTTATGAGTCGCTTCATCCCCCGGACAAGTCTGTTGTTCACTTCTAACTCCAACAATCTGTTCAAACCACCAAACTTGCAAGATCTATCGATTTCTCAAATACTTTGAAATGAAGAGCATCATCCTCAGTGCCTTTTTCCCCCTCATCTCTGTCTCATCCGCGTTGGTTCGACAAACTGTTTTTCACTATGACGCCCCTTATTGTGGGTATCTTGCCTACTCATGCGCAATGGATTCCGACTCGTATGACAATTTTCGCTCATGTTTGCAATCGTCAAAGGAAGGTTGTAGCTGGAATGGTTGATTAGTGAAGTTCTTCTCTTCCCTCAAGCTTCTTGTGTCTTTAGTATCCTGACCCTGCTTTCGAAGACCCGAAGCAAGAAGTGAATCTGAAGGGCCCAAAAGGTCTCACTACATGGTAATCGTGTTTGCAGGATCATGTGAATACTCCATAAAAAGAGCCCAAGAAACTATGGCAGCGTACATTGTGTAAAAATCTACTCTATAGCAGATAGTGAAACGTATCAAATATGAGAGACCATCTGATCACGGAGATTGGCTGCCCTTGCCCTGGTGAGGCTGATCTTAAGATCGCTCCAAATGATGAGTTCCGTCAGCGATATTTCGGTCTATATCTTGATTCTATCTCTCAGGCTATCTATGAGGATGGTGTCAAGGTGGAGGGATACTACGCCTGGTCTTTGATGGATAATTACGGTAAGTATCTATCTTGGTCTTTCTCCTTTGGCGGTCCTTTGTTTCAAAAACCTTCAAACTAATGAGTTCCCTCTAGAATGGTCCTCCGGCTACGGTCCACGTTACGGGATTGTCCCACGTAGATTTCGACACTCTCAATAGAACCCCGAAAAGCTCGGCCTACTACTTGAAAGAAACATTCGAGAAGCGTAGGCAGAACCAGAAGTAAAAGGATGACCCGAGTTTAGAAGATAATCACATATAGAAATAGGAACCGTCACCTTATAAGAGCTCTCGCCGCAAAGTATCCGACGCTTTAGAATCAAGCTGTGACAAGATATCGAGGAGCACTGCGAAATCGCGACGAGCTCTTGTCCCCAGATGCGAAGACGACGGCTCTTGTATTATGGCGAGCAAGCTCGTACCGACCAGCCGAATCTTTTCCGTCTAGAATTGGGAAGTGAATTGTTAGCTCTTATCAGGTTAGACGTAAGTCCGGGGGGTGGATACTGCACGCACGCACGGTTCCCCGTTGACCTGTAAGGACCAGAACGGTAGTCTCTGTAGGAGACGGACCATGTCTCCCGCAATTTCTGTCTTTCGGAGCACAAGCATGTCGTTTGGATGTCCTGTGTAGGAAAAGAATCCGATCTTCTCGAGCGCCATCGTAAGGTGCATTCTCAAACAGTGATATGTTACGTGGAGATCTGCTACCTGGACGGTGAATCCGTTATTCGCGGTAGTTCCATTGCTTCCAGAAAGTGGCGTAATACCATCCGGGAGAAGATGAGGTAGCAGATCGTCAAGACAGGTCGCAAATCGAACGTAGAGATCACCGAGAGTCGTATAGTCAAGTGGCGTCAGAGATGTGTGCGGCAAGCCTGGACCGAGAGCCTGGCTTGTGCTTATCATTCTCATCTGTAGTAATAGGTCTGCTGCGTATCTCCAAAGTTTTGTGCCAGCGTTAAAGCCTGTGATCAACCTACGAATGTTGTCAGTGGAAATGGCCACTGTCACATACAGCGGAAACGCACTTGTTCTGGTCGCATGATGGATAGGCAGTCGTAATGCCCTGCTCAAACGTGTACTCATGGATTGTGATTGGCATAGACCGGAGCACGGCCAACGACTTGTCACCGGTATAGAGCTGCCAAAAGGCATTTCGACGCTTCTCTTCTTCGATCAACGGTAGTGCGGCATACGAATCTTCATCATAGAGGCGCATTTGCAGTATCAATCGAACCGCCTCCCCGAAGGAATGCCATGCTACCTTTGGCCGTGCGCTGATGTGGAGGCAGTTGGAGTGGAGGTATCGAATAGTGATAGAATCGGCACAGGGATTCTCGAGGTCGGCATCGAGATAGCTGGCAAGACAGCTGCGCGAGGCCTTGAGGAAAACGTCTCCGAGACATTCTCCAAGGGGAAAGAGGTCCGAAGGCATGAATAGACAAACCTTAGCGCAGACTGCAGTGATGATAGAAAAGCCGGACGGAGAGAGCGAGGCCCCAGGTGGCGAGGTTTCCAGAATTTGGTTCACCAAATGGCGGAAACTAGGTTCGTGCACTGACATGTTGAAGGGAACAATGTACTCGAAAAAGAGATCAGCACATTTTCGGACCACAACTTCAAGCGAGGTCGAGAATGAGGATGCATGAGCGACGGCGTTTGCCAGAGCCCGATATCGATCGAGCGTTGTCGAGGAAGGAGAAGGTTCGGCGGTATGAACGACCGGGGAGATATAGGACGTCTCCTCTCGAGATTCATGATTGCGAAGCCTGGGTTTTCCCTTGGGTCCTCGTTTACCAGGGGCGATGTCGAAAGTGCAAGCCTGGCCAGCTGCACGACATCCCGTGCACGAGTAGTCTATGGAGTCACACTTGACGATGCAGCTGCATGAGTAGTGTTGCCACTAGGCACTGGACAGTTTCACTTACTCGGGCTTTCTTCCGCCGACAGCGATCACAGGCTCGGTGCAGACTGGTCTGGGAAGTAGGGCTGTGGGACAACATGTGGGGTGTTGGTGGAATGCGAAGGAGAAATTTGGTGTTTCTTCCGCCTCGGAGGTTTCGGGGCTTTTGGTCGAAGGATCGAGATCCCATCAGAAACACGTGAGGATCATCTATTCCGTGATACTTAAGTGCCATGGATCCTCATATGCATCATACCATGGCCTTGGACCTAGCCAGCAACTATGAGTGTTCGAACCGACGCAAAGCAGCTCGCAGGGCAATCTGAGATCATTCGCCTCCTAGAGGCTGACAATATACCATGGTATAAGAAGCCAAACCTGAGCTTTCTGTACCTCTGCCTTATCCCTGCAGCACTCGGCGTCGGGATGACCACTGGATACGGCTCTGTTCTGAACGGGTTGCAGGCTGTTCCTTCATGGCAGACCTGTGAGTCAAACGCTCGACGCCGTGACCTCCCAGCTAATGGTTACAGCTATCAACTACAGGTTTTAACGCCCCTAATGGGGCACTCCTCGGCGTGCTCAATGCATCCTATAATATCGGAGGTCTCTTCATTTTGCCCGTAATCCCGTACGTCAACGATTGGTTTGGCCGCAAGCATAGCGACACATTCGGTTCTATTATCCTCCTCATCGGCGTCATCCTGCAGTTTGCATCTCAGAATGGTTGGTTCCCCCACTCCCTCTCTCTTTGCTGAATGCCAGCACTGACTTCTGCTATAGTCGGCATGTTTCTTGCATCCCGACCTATTCTCGGCACCAGTATCCCATTCGCCGTTTCAGGCGCTTCACAGCTCTTAGCCGAGTTAACCTACCCTCGCGAGCGCGCAGTTATTACCGGTCTCTTTAACACGTCTTGGTTTATCGGCGCCATAATGGCTGCAGGTGTTACACTTGGAACCCATATTATGCTCAATGGCTGGGGCTGGAGGATTCCCTCAATTCTGCAGGTGCACCCTCAATCCTCAAGCTCATTTTCATCTGGTTCGTTCCCGAGTCTCCTCGGTGGCTCTTATCGAAAGATCGCGGTGAGGAGGCTTTCGATATCCTTGTCATGTATCATGCCGAAGGAGACCGCAACTCCGCCTTCGTGAATGCGGAGTTCCTCGAGATCTCTGCCCAGCTCAAGATGGAGATTGAAAACTCCAAGTCGCGTTGGATTGAACTGCTCCAGACTGCTGGGAACAGAAGAAGGACGGCTATCGCCGTCTGTGTTGGTGTTTTTACTCAGTGGTCTGACAACGGGTTGGTGTCGTGAGTTCATCAATCCCGCGCTGCTTTTATCGGAAAGAGAATAACCCAATATGAGCATGCTGACACTCGAGTTTCTCTTAGGCTACTATCTTGCCAAGGTCCTCACAACGGTGCGTGTCACTGATAAGAGGACTCAGAATATAATTAACTTGGCCTTGTCGGTGAGTCTACGCCCGATGGGATCGTATATTCTGTCCCTTCTTATCTTATCCGACATACTTTACTTATACCACATTCTCAAAATAGTGCTGGTTCTGACTCTGTGCCAACGGAAGCGCCTTCGTGACCTCTTTCCTGCCCCGCCGTACACAATTCCTGAGTGCCTTTATCGGAATGACTATCTGCTTCTCGGTCTGGACCGGTGTCAGCGCCGGGTATGCTCAACATGCATCGCACGCGGCAGCAACGGCCGTCGTTGCCATGATCTTTCTCTACAACGCAACCTACGCATTCATGCAGCCATTAACCTACACCTACGTTACCGAAGTATTTCCCTTTGTGCACCGCGCCAAGGGCATTGCAGTCCTGCAGTTCTCCACTCGAGGAAGCACTGCGTTTAATTCTTTCGTCAACCCCATCGGTATAGATGACCTTAGATGGAAGTTCTATCTTGTCTATGTGGTATGTATATCCCGCCCTGGAACACCCCAGAGACTATGTATGTTAACTCATAGCAGGCCTGGCTGATTGTTGAGGCGACTGTTATCTTCTTCTTATATCCCGAGACCAAGGGGCCGACTCTTGAGCAGATTGCACACAGTAAGACCCCTTTTCCTTTTTTTACTAAGACATGGTTATTCTGCTATCCAGTTTGCTGACTTCTTGCGCAGAGTTTTCGATGGTCCTAAGATAGGGGTTCTTGATAAGGCCGGATTGGACGAGGAACCGGATGTTGGCCACATTGATGTAAGGTAGCAATTCTAATGGCTTGGATTGAATAATTCCGAAAATGCCGAAAAAAGATCTTTTTTTCAGGAAGGCCTTGGGCATTGGAGTTTGAGTCTCGAACCCAAATCACTCATCATAATAAAAAGTCTTTTTCAAAAAAGAAATGACAGAATCAAACAGACGATTGTATTATCATCCAGCATGGTGTTCAAACAAAGGCTTCAAGTCACTAATGGTTCGGCAACAACGCATCTCGGCATCATGCCGGCTGCAGTCGGTCGGCCCGGCCCGCTTTTGTGGCCCAATCACCGTAAAGTTGTCAACCGAAGGCTTGGCATCTTTCCTGTGCCATTGATCCTGTTGTTCGCAGTTTACAGAACTACAGTCAGGGGGAGATATACGGTGTAGGTATATAATTCTCTACTTGGAGTTTGAATACATGGCAGAATTTTGGATAAAAAATCCGGAGATGACACTATGCTTCAAAAGGTAGCAGCGACATAGTGATGATATCTAGAGAGAATGGACGGGTTGAGTAGAGAAAAATATAAAATCACTGCCTGTCTGGGTCTCGTCAGCTCAACACTGTAATCGCCATGTAGGCAGATATGTAGAGCCCATAATTACTCGGAAACTTTGGCAGATCGACCGTGACTATCAGTTATACAACGGACTGAATAAAAAGTAAACAAACCGATCCATCCATCTCCGATTATCGGTGTCGAGATCTACTCCACTGTTTGTGGAAGAAAAAGGCAAAAAAGAATGCATCATCCGTGAATCGAACACGGGCCTCGTCGATGGCAACGACGAATTCTACCACTAGACCAATGATGCTAGTTACTTGTTACTTCACGAAAGTTATGGCTACTTGAGCCTGTGTCAAAGACTTTGAATGGCCCTCTTTCTCGAATGTCAAAAGATATGGTAATTAATTGATAGTTGCCGACTGTAACACCTACGATATACGAGTAAGATTAGACAAACTGTTCACTCTATTCCACCTTAGAAAACACCATTGGTGAAATCAATGACCTGAGCTTTTTCAATAAGCCCATCTAAGCTTCGAATAAACTCCTGATGGGCCGGATCCTTCGCCACATAGTAGTCACGATCTTCTGCAGTAGCAAATTCTATAACGAAGGCATGAGTAATACCACCCTGATAGTAGATAAAAGTAGTTAGTGAAGGCTAAACCAAAGATGAAATACGTTTCTATACATGATGGGCACGGAACGACAATGATTGGCTTGCTTCCAACTTACCTGGATACCCTCAGGTGAGTTATCACGGCCACCTGATGACGTCTGAATGTATGGCTTCTGCGATGACGGGTGTAGGCATTTATCTCGCAGGGCAAGCATTCGGTCGCAGGCCTTTTTGAGTTAATCCATGTGAAGCCCTAAACATATGTGATTAGAGGGATGTAGCATACATCATTGATGGCCTCGGCACTGGCTTCTGATTTGAATTGGAACAGAACAATATGCGTGATTGACATGTTCGATTTTGATGTTTGACCTAGGTGTTGCAGAGGTATGGTAGAAAATGAGAAGGGATGAAGCCAGAATACCGAAACAATTAAAAGTATGCTAGTGATGAAGAAAAGGACTGGCCGACGTGGAACCATCAGTGCTAAGTATTCTCAGATGGGACCAAGCTCGATGAGGGGTACATAAATGGTAACACTGAGCGGAGAAATCGGTAGTTGGAGAATTGCCAAGTATGCATGGAGATGCTTGGCAGATTGCCTCAGGCATCATAAACAGTCTCCCAGTCGGAGTATATGTCTGCAAACATACTAGAACCCACACACTATCAAAATGCTGTAAAGGTACCTGCTCAAATAATGTGTGGAGTTTGCTCTAGCCATAGTACAGGAGGGGCTTGAGGACATGGCCCTGTAAAGATTATTAATAATGAGACTGGTAGAGTGCTTGAATTGATAGAAGTAGACGAGGGCCGCTGACTACTGCTAAAAGCCCGTTGTAGGTGACATACAAAATGTACTTCCTAGACTAAAGTGGAAAGCTAAAGTCATAGAACGGAAGAAATCATGATCCTGCAAAGTTTTCAATAATCGTCATCAGAGGGCGTTACTTTATCCATTTCAAATTCGTCCCAGACCAAACATGACATCAACTCGCTCAGAGAGCACTCCGTGGCGCTAGGATCAGGAAGGTCCGTGTTGACCAAGGAGACTGCACGGTCTACGATGTCACGAACATGGTTGATAATGCGCTGACGTTCATCTTTCTTCATCCAGTCAAATGTTGCCTGAAAGTACTGCCAACTCACGGCATGTCAGATTCTGCAAAGAAATGCCATGAATGAAAGGTTGGCTTTTATTCTTACCTGATAGTTTCTACCCACCCATAAAAAATGCCACTTGTAGCTGTCCGTAACAATGCCATACATGCCAAATCCTTTTGACCGGTCAAGCACTTTTCGAGATTCAAGCAGAAGCACTGACCGTTAAACAGTTAAAAAATGACATGGAAGTTGATTCGATGTAATATAAACTCACAAAGGGCTCCAGGAACCGTCACACTATCTTCCTCAGGGGGTTCTGTTGTTTTCCGAACGATCAGATTTGCTTCTAAATCCTCCGTCTTGCCGTACCACAAAAGCCCATCAGCAAGACATCTGAAATAGTGTTGCTCCAGATGACGCTTAGTAACGGTCTCTCCAATAGACAAATCTACCCGTCTCTGAGGGCCCCAACCATCGCTTTTGGTAGGATGTTTATCTTTGGCGGCAGCGACAATAGACAGGAGGATAGTATCAACCCGCGAACTAATTAGAGCTGGATTCATCTGGTCTCCATTAAATGCTAGCAAATAGTCCTCAAGGATTGTATCTGAAAATCAGAAGTCAGTCTCAGCAGAGTTCTTAGTGGACTTTGACCAGTCTTACCAAGGTGGCTCGAGAGAATAAGGTCTGGCTTAGCGAGTGGCTGCCAAAATCTTTCACTGTCTGCAGTAGTAGCCCTAAATGGCCCTAGCCGCCGGACTTGCAGATAGCTTTCTTCGTCTAGTGGATAGGAATCCAAGTTATGAAAGATCATATTGAATATGTATTGGGTAATCTAGTCGGATTTGGATTGACGAGGATGGATGTTCGTCTACGGTGATGATACATATGGGGAAAAAAGCGGGAGGTTTTAACGGACGATGATGCGCCTCTGAGTCACGGATATAGTAATCCTGACATAAAGAAGAGAAACCACGCCTCCCATCCCTTGACCGATGGCAGAGACGTTTCATATATCATATTCTACCTCAGACTAGCTATCCCCCTCGATCTCACCCTCTTTCTCTGTATTTTAGTTATCTATTTCTCGCTTTCTTCTCTTCATCGAAAGAGAAAACATAAATACGGAAATGACCCCGGTCGCCCTTGCTAGATCACTTCGAGATGTACCACCCGCCGAATCGAAAGAGCAGTTTTATTCTACCGAACAAGACGAGAAGAGTGACCATAGTGAGCAGGCAAACGACAAACCTCCCACCAAGGAAGTTCTCACAATCCCGTTCCGGGAGGTGGATAAAACCTTTCATACAAGACATGATGATCAGACAAGGTCTGGTTGGTATCTTCACGAGGGGAATAAGACACCAGTCCCAAATCACCTCTGTGGGTACTTTCTTCGTTAAATTTGAAAATTGCCTGACCGTGTGTATAGTACCTGACATTGACCCTAACGATATAAGGGGCGGACCAGGCAGAGGCGTCTCAGCTGCTCGCGTACGAATGATTATTCTAACCCTCCTCGCCGATCGAAAACGCAATGGACATGTGCAGACTTATCGTGGGACCCGAACACTGCCAGCTTCAAGGTACAAGTCTCTCATACTAGGAACCAGCAGGGACCTGGAGCTTATGTGGACATATAAGAGTCAACCGGTACTCTTTATAGGAAGAATAAGTTATTGCTTACGGCAACCCGCTGAGCCTCACCCCTTGTTCATCATCGACGTTAAGCCATGCTGGGGATGGAATATAGAGCACTTGGTATCGTACCTAGGTAAGTATAGAATATGTAAAACAGTATCAGACTCAGGCTACAACGACTGACACTCCAAGATATGATGTATCACATTCGTCGAGAAGCAGGACTACCAGCACGAACGATTTATGGAGCCACGACGGACGGCTTTACATGGTTCTTCATTCGGCTCAATGAAGACGGTTATGTGAGATTATATCTGTCTAGTTGATCATGCTCCAATACTAACAATCATAGTACTCTGCGGTAAACATGTCAGGGTTTAACAGTCAATGGGAAGACATTATGTCCCTGATTGGTGCCATGATTGACTATGCAGCTGGTTTCCAATCAGGGATTGTACGGGGCCCAAATACCACTTGTTATCTAAAATACTTTGATTCTGAGGATATGATGGAGTAGGCAGGGTCCAAACTATCCTTCGATTATACTTGGGTCTTAAGAATCCGTTTATGAGACACATCTCGTCCTTGATTTAGCTGTTGGGGCATTGGTTGCCAGTTCGCGGATTAGGCTCATGTGCTTATTCTCTTATCAAGAACCTCAAATCAAACCACTGATCTACCACCGGAAGATCTAATTGCTGCAAGACTAGGGCCTTCTCACCCGCCCTGTATAGTATCTTTTGAGACTACGACTTAGACTTCCAGAGAAGTTTCCCTTCTAAATTTGAGTTCTGGATGGCCGAAGTTGGATTATTAGGTCGTAGTCAAGGGAGTAACAGGTAACGATAAACGATACTGTACTAGCCATTATTGCAGTACTCGTCTTTTACGGATAGAAACCGTATGTATTTACTCTGGTCAGCCCTCTTTTTATGCCCTGATAGTCTAGATATGGTCGTGATTGACTGACATGCTCTTCTCTGGATATGTAACACTTTATCTCGAAGTCGGAAGACTTGCCTTGAATCCCCCTTACTCGCGATAGATACGATTCAAATCAAAACCAGGCACGATAACATTGTACAAAAATGCCAAAGCTCCTACACACCAGCAGCATTTACCAACTCCCCTAACCGGCTTCCATTCAGCGCCCTCAAGACCACCGGCTTCCCAATCTCTACCACCTCTCCCCGATCCATAACCGCCACCCGATCAGAATCCATAATCATATCCAGCCGATGGCTCACCGCAATAACTGTATACCGCTTGAACTCTTCCCGGATGATCTCCTGCATCATTCGCTCAGTTTCCCGGTCCACACTTGAGCTTACTTCGTCCAAGAGGAGGATACCACCTCGGCCTCCATGAGGACTGGCAGAGTTCGTCGAACGCTGACGGATCATGGCGCGGAGTACCGCACGTCCCAACGAGAAGAGCTGTCTCTGCCCGGCACTAAATGTCCCCGCCGTAACCGGGGCATGTAGACCATCCCGTTCCTGGACAAAAGACCATAGCCGGACTGCTTCGAGAACTTTCTGGCACTCCGCCAGGGTAGCGGTATTTGATGGATCGAGGTTCGCTTGGAAGGAAGAGCCGTCGGGAAGGAAAACTGGGTCCTGGGGGACGGCGATGATGCGTTGGCGGAGAGTCGCTCGGTGGATACGGTGCAGAGGGATATTATCAAGTGAGATCGGTGGTTCTTGGTCATGGCCATTAGCTGATGAGGGGAGGGGATCGAGGAGTTTAAGCAGGAGAGCGAGAAGGCTGGATTTTCCGCTGCCGGTGCGGCCACAAATGGCGATCTTTTCTCCGGGTCGGATGGATAGATTGATATTTTTTAGGGCCAGAGAAGTGTTAGTTTTGCCAGAGACAGAATCAGGGTCGGCGTCCGACTCAGACTCAGACACGTTGGTGGATTTGTAGCGGGCAGATACACCGCGCAACTCGACTAGCCCACGATCCGGCCAGCTCTCATCCGGGATGATGTCTTCTGCTCCAGGTCCTTCGCAATCTTCGGGCGTTACCGTATCGTTGAATGCTTTCAATCTAGCTATAGCACCGATCGAGGTCTCCAGCCTGGTGTAGTAGACAACAATACCTGAGAGACTCTCCCCCAAAGACATAAGCGAGTACATCGATGCACCGGCAAAAGCCGAATTGGACTGCAAACGAACAGCAAGCGTAGTCATGACAGCCGCAATAACCATGACAATGAGATTCAAGACCAAATTGAGCCATTCCTGAATCATGGGAAGGAGGCACGCGGGGCGTTGGCTGGAGTCAACTAGACGGGCGTTCTTCTGTACATCGTCTGATATAAACCCGAACGCCCTAAGAGTGGCGATTCCTTTAAGTGTGTCGAGAAAGTGCGTGTAGAGGGGACTCTTGGCCTCTAGGTCTAGTAATCTGAGCTGCCGCGACGTTCGGAGATAATACCTTTGCACAAGGTATAGTAAAGCGCCTAGGATTGGGTAGCTGATTGTTAGGTAGACGGACGAGGTAAGCATAACGGCTGCTTGGCCGATCGATTGAAATGCGCAGAAGAGGGTGTTAAGCGTTGCTTCTGGGAGTTCGGTATCGATCAGATTAAGATCCTGGGAGAATAAGTTCGTAACTATCCCGGTGTCTGTATTTGTGAAAAAGGAGAGTGGTGCACGAATGAGGGTTCGTAAGGCTTGTTGATGGAGATTGGCGCCCGCTTTCTTAACAGAAATGATAAAGAGCGTTATCCCGAGGAGGAGGAGGGCGATGATGGCGCATATTTGGAGGAGGGCATAGATCCCGGCGTAGTAGGAGTTGGAGTATGCGGGATGATCTGACTCGGTGGCGGCGGTCCAGTATGTGAGCCCTGGATTTTCCAAGTTAATCCAAGAGCTTTGATAAAGAGGAACAAATTGGGGACGCACAAACAGTTGGATAGTTAGTGAAAAGGCCCCAGAGGGCCGCAAAGAAGAAACTACAAGCCGCCACAAACCACCCCATGCTCTTGATGTAGAGCTTATAAACGGTGGCGTCACCGACCTGCCGAGCCATGGCCACCGCTGGAGCAATTGGAGCAGAGGATAGCGTGCTGTTGGCAGTCGTCGCAGGTTCGAGTTGTTGTTTGACAGCTCCGGTCTTATTCTTCTGTTCTGGGGAAGGGCCAGGTTCGTCAGCATCATCCTCATCCTCCTGCTTAAGTCCGACCTCCAGACGCTGAACATAACCCGGAAGAGTCGACAGATCAGCAAAAGTGCCCTGCTCTGCAACGCTGCCGTTTTCGAGCGCGATGATGTAGTCAGCAGTCGGGAGATGTCGAACACTATGTGTACATAAAACCACCGTCGACCCCCGTTGTCTCAGTAAGCCATTCGGCCCGAAGACCTGCCAAAAGACTTGCTCCTCGGTATCAGCATCCAGCCCGCTAAACACATCGTCAAGGATTAACAGCATCGAAGGCAGGTAGAGTGCTCGCGCAAGAGACAGACGCTGCTTCTGCCCTCCCGAAAGCGCTACGCCATCAGAACCGATATTCGTCCGGTCTCCCTGGGGTAGAGTTTCCAGGTCAAAGCGCAGAGCAGTAGCCTCAATGACTTGGTCATACCGCTCGCGGTCGAAGGGGGAGAATCCGACGATGTTTTCCTTGACAGTGCCGTTCCAAAGAAAGGCGGTTTGTTCGCAGAAGCCAACATGACGGAAGGACGTGTTCGTCACAACGCTGCCTTTGATGAAAGGAATCTCGCCGAGGAGTGCCTTGCAGAAGGTTGATTTACCTGAGCCGACGGGGCCGATGACCATTGTCAGGCAGGAGGCAGAGATTCGAGTGTTGATATTGTGCAGAACGAACTGGTCTGCTTTCCAACCGAAGTTTGCGTCTTGGATGAGTATACTTTCCGTGGGGCCCGGGTCTAGTTGTCCTGAGCCCTTCTCTGTGCTATTAGGGGCTTCCACCAAATGCTGCCGGTAGTCCTGACGAGGCTCCAGTTCCAGAAATACCTGGATCCGACCTAAGCAAGCCAACCCCGAAACAAAATCTGGGATAGACTGGAAAAGTTGCGAGAGTGGCTGCGTCAACAAAGTCAAGAAGGAAAGACTCGTGAACATTGTTGAAGCGTTTAGCGTGCTCTGAGCAAATGCAAAGGTCAGTGGAGGGCTGATCAACTGAGGGATCCATGCGAAGACCGCGGCAATAATCATGATTCTGCGGAATCGGACACCAGCACCGAGTTCGTCGATGCGCAGCTGCTGCACGTATCCAGTCACGGGAGGTGCCAGACCAGATATCTTGAGTGATTTCATACTGGCAATGACTGTGGCTGTTAGCCCTACCCGTTTTTGGACTCCGGACATCCACGCTCGTTGCGAGTCGCCGGTGAAGTTGATCAGGATCCCCAAGCCAATGAAACAACCTATCACCACACCCACGGGGGCAACGAACGCGATACCGATTTGCCTATAAAGCATCCAGGCAGCGAGACCCGCCTGGATCATGTTCGCCCATGCCTCATGCACACAGCGGAGACCCATTCTGATCCGCTCCATGTCTGTGCTCATGAGTGTCAGTGCCGCACTATCATTGCCTAATCCCAGTTGGAGTCTGGTGGCAGCTACGAAGGTCTCGGTGACAAGTATGGAGCGGACCATCGTCCGCAGTCGATGATGGCAGTACCTAGCGACTGTCTCGGTCACTGATTCTATGCCGTAACAGCGAACATACGTACCAGTACAACGCATATGAGACTGCAATCCCAGAGTAGATAAGCACGGCAGCCCCGATTAACCCCTTTCCCACGTTTGGATCTGGTTCCGAACGAGACAGATGCTTGATCAGACTCTCGATAAAAAGAGGCTGGCAGACATAAAACGCAATCAAAGCTGCCCGCGGAGGAATAGGCAGGAGCAGTGGCCCCCGTAATGTACGCACTAACACCTTAAGAAGGCCGAATCTATCACCCCTCATCTTGGCGTAGTCTATGTTCTTCGCGAATGCCTCATGCAGTGCTTGTGCGTCGAATGTGCTATCGAGGGGGTAGAGGGTTTCGAGTGTGAAGATATGTCTATATCCAGCCAAGAATAGTTTATTCAGCCAGAAGAAGACGCCGAGCGAGAAGATTCCACTCGTCTCCTCAGGGCTGTGCTTCGTTGCGTCCCAGGTTACCCATTTAGCCTTCTGGCAGGCCTCTAATAACAGGACAACCGTCTTCAGACCAACAGATGCACAGAATATACTGCTGTATATTATCTCGGAATCACGGTCTGAAGACAGGAAAAGAGTCCTGGCTCGGGAAATATCGAGGAGAAGTGTGAGAAACAAGTAGCCGTTAAGCAGAATCGACGGTCTAGGGCTGCGGCTATGATCCACGACGCTTACGGTCAGTATGAAAAGAGCCGATAGAAGCTGCAAGACGGATGAAGCAATAAACATGCGGCTATTATGCAAGGACCCGACCGCGGCCAGAACAAGAAGTCCTAGTTCCAATCCGGCGTACATTATGATAGAGCCCTAAGCAGTCAGTGAACAGGAACGGTGTAACAGCGGAGGGCTTACAGTTTTGATGAGTTGCAAGACAGGCGCCTTCACCACGATGGGCTTGCGTATCTGCCCCAGAGTTCGCCATACTGATGATAAGATGAACAAGGCAGAGGGAATTATCGAGAAGAAGAGGCTCTCGAACTGAAGGTTGAAGTCAAACTGTTCTTGGTTGAGATGGAGGATGTCTCCCTCCCCATAGGTGAAGGGCATGATGAAACAGCAGTCCCTGCTTACCAGAGTTTCTGCTTGTCGGAGTAAAGAGAGGGGAGGAAGAGTTCCAGATAGAAAAGCAAGAAATGGTAGTTGCCTGATAAGTGCGGCTATTAGCGCGCACGCCATGCCAATCAGACATGATGCATGGACTGGAAATCACTTGTCTTTGTACTGTAATATAGGCCAGCGAAAGAAGTCACCTTGTCTTTTACCTTCTCAAGCCTTAATTTAGGTCCGGACTCTCGGGACATTCGTATTGATTGTTTTTATCGAGTCGATGGGCAGGATGGCGAGCCGGTATATGCTCATTTCTGGTGAAAACTACCACCCTAAGAAAGAGTGTCAGATTTGTAACCTTCCATCAATGGCGCGGGGTGCGCTCAATGGTCAAGGGATCGAGTATGTCCCCGACAGAGGAGTCTAATTCTCTCTATTTTTACTAGTTAATGTGTCGATATTGACCTGCATATTGATATAAATTCGTATATATGGCGTATCCATAATTCATTATCGATTCATTTCAAGTCTATCGACCATTCTCCCAGTACTATACTAACGCCCAGAATACTGTAATATCATGTCTCTTCCTCAAGCAGCAGGGGCTGCTCTCCTCTCAACAAAGACCTGCTCTCCAAACGCCTGCTTAACACCTTCAGTCTCTACAGTGCGCTTGAACCACTCCACAACAGTGGGATACTTAGCACGCATCTCCGCATCAATAATCCTAGCAAAGCCCCACGTCAGAGCAGAAGCAACAGAAATATCTGCCAAGCTCAGCCCCTGCTCCTCAGTAGAGGAAAGCCACTTCTTTCCTCTACTCTTCAGATGCTTCTCCAGGACGCCGAGAGAATGATTCAGGTGCTCAAGAGCAACCTTCTCCTTCTCAGCGTCAAACGCACCTAGTCCCACACGAGGCAGAACCAGCTGAATAACGGGGCTAATGGTCTCTCCGTCGGCGAAGAGGATCCACTGGCGGGTCTGGGCGCGCTGAAGAGGGTTGTTTCCGAGGAGCTGAGAAGCAGCAGGGCCGCTCTCAGCTAAATATTGAGCGATGGCGTCGGATTCAACGAGAGTCGTGCCGTCAGCGCCTTCGAAGGCAGGAACTTTGCCGACGGGGAATTTGGCGAGAAATTCGGGAGTGCGGTTTGTGATGCCCATTTGGGAGTCGGAGATGGTGAGTTCGAGGTTGTTGATGTTAGCAACTGCTTGCGCCTGTTTTAATTCATGTCTGTGTATCAGTAGTATTCGTGTTGGTTTGTTGTGTCCGAGAGGATGAATGGGTACCTTCTTCACCCGAGCGTTATTGGGGTAGGTGTAGATCTTTCCGAAGGGAGCCATGGTGAGAGTAATTTGATCTAATATTGAGGTTGAGATCAAGATTGAGATGCAGGATAAGAAAGGAAACTACCGAGCGTCTAGAGGAAACAGAAGTACTATTTGTATGACGAGGAAACGGAAGAGGAAAATGCGGTGAGTACAAAGACTGCTTCATGGATCTCTGTTTGTCTACTGTTTTGCTGCATACCTAGCTCTCATTGGTAATAATTGGTAAACTAGTTATGGCGGAGGGAGCCAGGTTTAGGAATTCATTCAACTATTTACTGCTTATCATGTACTTGAACTTACTCTAGTGATCTACATCGTATTCTTTGCAAGTCGCAGTCGATATATCGAGATTAAAACTGGCGTACTGTACTCCGTACATCAACACTGAATGCACTTCTTTCTCTCCTTCCCTCTTTCCCTTCCTCGGGGTTCTCAAATGCATACTTTTGTAACTGAAGATTGACCAAGGGCCATGAAACTATACTGCGGCTTCCTGATCAGTCTCATGCGACTGATGTCGTTACCATGAGTAACACGATCGTAATAGAATATGCAAGGGGGCTATTTCGTTTCTTTATCTCTAGGCTAACTATTGAGTACGACGGTCTCAACCCATAGATATATCGAAGTTTTTCATCACTTCCGGTTCAATATGTCAAGCTGCGAGAGTTAGTATCTCCCCATCATGCAGTGCGTGAAACTTACTTAACAAAGATCGTCTTCGGCTCAGTCCACTCCTCCATTCCAATCTACACAAGTTAGCATATGGTGCATGCTTTGGACTTTTAAGTCTTACCTTTCCACCTTCTCTCCCCCATCCGCTCTGGCGGCATCCACCGAAAGGCAAAGCGACATCAACCATGACGGTGCAGTTGATGCATACCGTTCCACTCGATACCTTACTCGACAAGCGCATAGCACGATTAATGTCTTGTGTGAATACGGCACTGTGTAGACCATATATACTGTCGTTGGCCTTTGCAACAACTGTTTGTTCGTCTGTAAAGCTTGATATGACAACAACGGGGCCGAATATTTCCTCCTTGTAGATAGTTGCGTCTGGCGAAGGATCGACAAAGATGGTAGGACGCATCCAGGAAGGCTGTCTTGTTAGTATAGATCAACAATCGGAGAACGCAAGCTTACCTTTTCCATCCGCGTTCCACCGGTCAGTAAAGACGCTTCCTTGTTGCCCTGCTCGATATATCTTTCAACTCGAGCCAGCTGGATCTGGTCAATCACCGGAGCCTGTGTCTGGGAGAGATCTATTCCCTCAAAAGCGTTCTTCATCCGCTGGAGGAACTCTTCTTTGATATCTTCGTGAACATACACCCTTGAACTGGCATTACACATCTGTCCAGAGGCAGTGACAATGCCCCTTGTGCACCACTGTACTGCATTATCCAAGTTAGCGTCTGCGAAGATAATACTTGGGCTCTTTCCACCAAGTTCTAGTCCCACTCGTTTCAAGTTACTTCTCGACGCGGCTTCCGCAACCTTCTTTCCTGTCGCTAGGCTTCCCGTAAAGGAAATTCGATCAATTCCCATGTGTTCAGCGAGGAATGCCCCAGTGGCCCCGGCACCACCCACAATATTGAACACGCCAGGAGGAAAACCAGCCTCCTTGACCAATCGTCCTAGATACAGGGTAGATAACGGAGTCTTTTCGCTAGGTTTGAGGATAACCGTGTTTCCGACCGCAAGACAAGGTCCAACCTTGGCCGCCATGAACATAAGAGGGGCGTTGAACGCAGTTATCGCCGCACAAACACCTAGTGGTTCGCGTTGAACAATTTTGAGAAAGCCATTCCCCGCTGGGAATGACTCTCCAGCAATCTTATCGGACCACCCGGCGGAGTCTGTGTCGCTACCATCATTAGCTTTGCACAGTCACCAAAAGGGGGTTTTCCATACATCGAATGCGCGTAGACGCATTGGGGATAAAGACCGATCGCATTGCTTGCATCGGTTGACCGCTACAGGTACGTTCCAAAAGGCTCAGTTGCTCCGTATGTTCTTCTAGAAGGTCCGCGAACTTGTTCAAGATCCTGGCGCGTGCCTGCGGAGGTGTTGACGACCATCCCGTAAAGGCTGTCCGAGCAGCTGCAACGGCAAGATCGATGTCCTCCTTTGTAGCGGTGTGAACATCACTCGTGACAAGCGTCTGATCGATGGCATTGTAACAGCTTAGTCGCTCGTTGGCTTTCGAGTCGACGTACTACTATGCTTAGTATACACAGTCAATGAAAGGAGTAACCAACCTACCTCTCCGTTGATGAACAGCCGTGTCTCCAAGATATTGGTGATATTTTCCATTTTCTGTGTCAAACTTTCGATGCTTTTAGATGTGTATGAAGGTTCAGAGACTCCAATAGAAGAAATGACAACACTTTATTAGTCCCTTCAGGTCACCAGACCGCTCCGCAATGCGAAGTAGACAGATCGATCCGGGATAATTATCCGGACCATTCTGCATATGATAAGCAATATAATCCTGATTGGAATAGTTGCCGATCAACACTCTAAGTGGGACAAACTGAACTATCTACTGTACCTAACTTTTTGAATACCCGGTTCAGCCATTGTTGTTGAGAGTTACAAGACTGTCCTTTTCTGATGAAGCCTCCTGCGAATCGTACATGTAGGAAACTCGCTCATGCCTGGGCTCATCCATGGCTGTTTGTTTGTCTATGGCGTCTAGTGGAGACCTAATTTGTGACAGGGCTATTCAAAAACAAGATTTAATCTCGTATTATCGGCAGAATGGCTGCAGGAATGAGGTGGCACCTTGGATTCCTTGAGGTCTAGGCAACGGTGGATATGATTCTCACAAATATTGCTTCACCGCTATTATAATCCTCTTAATCAAGGGGTCTTCGAAGACTTTGCCCTGTCTGGATTGAACTTTGAAAGACGCAAGTCAGCAGATGCTTAGATTGGAGAGGGATCAGAACAAGACAATACCCATTCGTATGTCCAATCACTATCTCAATAGAAACATAAAGATTTTTAGGAACTAGCCTCTCCAAGAAAGAATATGAACAAGAAGACATCTATTCACTGGGTCCTCCAGAATTCATATTGACTGTCACCGACACTCATGTCATGTCATCCAGGTACCGAAGTCTTTTCATTCGAATGAAAAATCTTTGCAATTTCAATTAATATCAGTAATGAGCAGAACATACTACACCTTGTAATCATAAATTGGTTCTTCCTGTTCACCCAGAGGTAGTGGTTCGTAACATCTTTAGACGGTCACAGTGATCATCCTGGTTGTGGCACCGATAACTTCCCATGTCTTGATGATGAAAATAGCCAAACCATCCAGAGCTGGTTTGGTAACTAACTAAACTAGACACTTTGGTTGACATGGGTTTCAATTCAAGACCCGAGATACACAATGGTACAGCACAAGGAAAGTACGTTTGAAGCATGGGACCGTCTAGTCACTTCATGATAATATCAGCACTTTTGTTTCTCAATTACAGAGTATGCTTTTGTGGGAGATTTTGGCTATCTCAATCTCCACATTAAACCCTACGCTGATCTTTTTTCATGGCAATGTCACCTGTCTGGCCTTGACTCGCAGAGGACAGCGGCTCCACATAATAAAGACTCTCTGGGCATCCCACTCTTCCCGACCTGTGAAAAGCTCCATTTCGAAGTTCAGCAGCAAACGAGCGAAAATAATCCGAGTCTCCGTCCGGGCAAAGCTAAAAGCTCGGTTAGCCGATCCGCGCTGTGAAGCCAAATCAAACAATGTTCATAGAAGTGTACGATAGCTTACTTCATGCCGAGGCAGTTTCGCGGACCCGCACTGAAAGGTTGGAAGGCGGCCTTGTCATCATTGGCAAAATCTTCCTTTCCTTCCTCTAACCATCGTTCGGGGAGAAACTCATCGGGTCGAGAAAAATTGCGCTCAGAATGGTAGGCGGCCCATTGATTGACGCCGACTTTGATTCCCCCTGGTACCCAGGAGCCATCGATTTCGCAGCCTTTCGGTGGTGTTAGGCGTGGCAGACTGACGGCGATGGCTGGCCAAATACGCATGGTCTCTTCAAGAACAGCTACCAGATACTTGCATTTATTCACCGTGGCACCGGTAACATCGCGATCCGATGCGAATTGGTGACGAACCTCAGCCAGTAGACGCCTATAAATCCTTGGGTTGGACAACACAAAGTAATGCGCTGAGGTCAGGATACTGGCGCTCGTCTCGGAGCCGGCAATCATCAAAGACCGCATAGTAGATTGCAACTCTGCCAAAGAAAGACCCTTAGGGCTGTCCAGGTGTGGCAGCACAGGCTGCAAGATATCGGGACGATCGTCGTCACAGATCGGTTTAGCCAATCGGCGGTCGAGTGCTGCAACCGTATTCTGGAAAAATTGAATCGCTGTGTTGGGGACCATCCCTGGCATGAGACGACGTATGACAGGGATGATTAGGGTGCTCTGATTTGTCCAGCCGTCAGCCATATAGATCCCTTCGATGGACAGTAACCGTTGAAACAAAAAGACAGGTCATACATAACTAGATGCAACAGTGTTTATGATGCGTCCACGAGCCAGGGGCATAGTTAAAGACATCCAGTCAGTCCCCGTCTCGAGCGTATTAGCACTCTCCCCAAACATCGACTCGGTAATGATATCAAAGGTGGTAGCATGCAACAGGAGCATCAAGTCGGTGGCGTCTTTGCCTTCGTTTCCTTGAACTTTGGCAATGAGACGATCGATGTGGTCTCTGAAGACGTTTTCTTGGGCGCGCACAGCCTTTTCGCTGAATCCAGGAACCATCAGCCGTCTCATACGAGCATGATCCTTATCATTAGGGGTGTTTGCCAGCCCGTAAACCCCGTTAGGGGGCCCGGAGATGATATCTGGGTGTTTCTGCAATTGTCCAGGGTTTCGACGTCCATAGATATCAGCCCAAGCCTGGGCAGTGATGTACGAGAGCTCGTTGGGAGACACCCGAACAACCGGGCCATACTTTCGATGCAATCGTGCTGAGTGCAAATGTGTTGTCCCTTTCAATAGCGCAATCTGAGATGGAATCGAGGTCGATGTCCAAGATATTGGGCCCGGATAGCGAGCAAGCGGATGTAAGAAGATGTTGTAAAGTACTCGGAGGATGGTCGTAAGGAAAACCTGGGCAGAGATTCAGAACCGCTTCTCGCTTCTTAATCTCACTCTCCAAACACTGGGCTTGGTGGGTGATGTGACCTACCCCAGTAAGACATGCCCCCAAAAGCATTGCTGGTGATAGGCTGGTTGGGTCGAGCGGCCCATATGGAGACATAGCTGGTGAAGATACAAGTAGAATCCCAGCGAACGACTCAGTTATAGAAAATTATACTACTTCTAACGGAGGCCGGTGCTAACTACTAGGCGTTTATAAAATGACTAATGGAATATCTAGCCATCGTAGGTCGTGCCAATCCGCAAATCATCTCGTGACTACGAGAATCCGATCTCACAGTATCATTGCTCGATGCGTTTACTAAGTAACTACGTCCGCTAGGTTAGAAAGTATCAATGAGTTTCGCTGCACTCACCGCTGTTTCCCAAGCAAGGGTTATGGAACCATGTGGACGGTCATATATGATATTCTAAGGAACAGGATAGCTCTAAATGCGGTCACAAGCCACAAATCGAGCTATCAACAATTAACTTTTACACCGCTTGAACCCAAGCATTTGAGAGATTGCGGGTAGCTTTTCCGAGTGGGTACCTGCAATGTAGGACATGATCGTCGTAAGTTACTTTTCTCTTCATGCAGTTGGTTATGTATTTACCTAGGTACTGGAGAAGTGCAGACGTTGTAACTATCAGACAAGGAACGCGGAATACTTTGCATCTGGAATTTGACTACAGCTATCACATGCTGTTCTCACCGACTTTGCAATTCCTCAAACCCTTTTCGGGACAGAGTAAGTCTTAGATCGCCACATCAAATTCTATGGGCAATCGAGTCGATCATCATAGCAATATGGAGTGTGTAGCATGCTACTAGAGGCTCCTCAAGGGGTCAGCAAAGTGCCCAGAAGGCCAGAATTGACAATCAGCCAAGCGAACGCATACTGTATTGGGTGGAACTTCATTTTATTGGCCTGTACTCCGTACGGAGAAGTTAACTTGTTTCTCAAAATTCTCAGTAACATAATATGGCACGAAATTGATGCAGAACGAAAAGTCTGAAACCCTGAAATTCTGGCCTAATGTGGCCTTAGTGGTCTGACTTGTAGGGCTGCACTAGTTACAACAATAAGAGTGTTATATTCCAACCCCCAAAACAGCAAATAACAACCCATATGAAGGTAACGGATATGGCTCATTTGGCGTTTTGCCACCGTTATTTCATGATTATTGTGGCTCGGTGTCCTTGGCACTCCAATAATCTACCAAGCATAATCTGCGAATAGACCCAAAGCTAAGCTCGCACTTCCAGCAACAAACCCGTACAGGAAACATTTGCTGCAACTTTGAGGAGACTTGAGGTCCACCAGAGTGGTCGACAAGAAAAGGGTCACGATAGAACACGCCGCACCGGTAAAATAATTTCGTCCAAGCGCACCAGACGCGCCGCTCAGAATCAGAAGACCCCCGTAAATGAGAGAAAAAGCAAGAAGCACTCCTCTACCCGATTGACCGTATTTCACGGCCATACTCTTCACCCCGAACTTAATGTCCTCTTCCATGTCTTGATAGGTGTAAATAAATTCGTACGTCGTCACAAGGAAGAAGATGGCGGCCAGCATAGAGAGGCTCGATACCAGAACATGGCGAGGTGCCGAGAAAGCATCGAAGCCGACAGAATAAGACGCGAAAAGAGAAACAATTGTATGAACAAGACCAACAACGGCTTGCGCGTAGTAAGTGAAACGCTTCGAGTATGCATAGATAATACAGCCGAGGGTCGTGAGGGAATAGTATAGCAAGGAAGAAGTCGGGAGTATTTGCGAGTTTAATGCCAGAATCATCAAGCTCACCGATGTGGCAAAGATACAGCCTTGGGTTGTGGAGATAGATCCTCGAGCGATGGGGCGGTTTCGGGTCCGCTCAACTGTACGATCCAGGCGCTGGTCGACAACATCGTTGACAATACACGCGAAAGCCTCCCAAAGCAGTGAGAGTGGGAACCAATTGACTACACACTGCAAGATTGTCGTGGATGCAATCTGAGGATGTGCAACAAGGGCGCCATGAAAGAGTCCAGCCAGGATTGGGAGATATATGATCAACACAAACAATGGCTGGTAGAGACGGCTGAGCTCCACATAAGGGGCAAGCCATGGTGGCATGATCGTGAGAAGAAAGTGTTTTGACTGCATGACTTGATTGATTCGCAATAAAAAGACGGAGATAACGGTGCAATGGAAGGATACTGATGGGCAGTAACCAAGCGAATGGAGGATGTACACTTAAATATCTATTCAATAGAAGTTGAATGAGATATTGAATCATGATCAGCCGAGAAAAATGCAATGAAACGCCACCTTATACACCTTAGCGCGGTGTCAGAAAATAGTCGATGCATCCCTTCGATAATAAGATTGTTGAGGAAACGAGGCGCTCAATTGCGCCACAAGAAGAGAATTCGCATGATTGCCTGGTCCACAGTGGTTGGCAGTGGCTCTGAATATGCTTTCGGATTAGATGATTTTGACTTTTTGGGTACTTCGAGAAATCTGACTATAAACGCTGTTCCCTGCTTGTCTGCCCCGTCACTCCAGGTTTTTGCCGCCTCAATTCCACTTCCCTACGCATAAAGACACCACGCGTCCTGCTTAAACATTACATGAACCCTTGCCTTGGCCTGCCGTGTCACAATATTAATCACATGGTATAGTTAATCTAGTCACGGTCTAATAGCTTCGTACCTGAAGACCCTGGTTATCCCTGGCTTCAAGGAGTCTTGCAAGCTTTCGCCTCAAAGACCCAACTCTACCACACAGTACTATTTCCTTAACACCGTTATTGTATACAATGTACAACATCATTTCTTTATTGTCAATTGCGTTTTGCTATGGGTTATACGAGTGCTTGAACGCCATTGCTAGGCGCCAAAAGGCAAGAGATCTTGGCTGCCAGCAGACACATACTCGCGCGAACCGTCTCCCTTTCGGTCTTGACCAGGCACAGCGACTGATAAAGGGAGACGAAAATGGACAACTTCTCCAAGACATTAGAGCGATGTTCTCTGAAGAAGGACGTCGAACATTTGAAACAAGCATTCTAGGGTCGGCTGCCATCCACACCGTGGAGCCACACAACATCCAAGCGATGATGGCCACCAAATTCAGTGACTTTGAACTGGGGAAAATGCGGCGCGGGGTGCTTTTCCCACTGATAGGAAACGGAATATCTGCAGCTGATGGCATGGTCTGGTAGGTGGAACATTCAGGCAATCCAGAGATAATGTATCATCCAGCTAATGACTCTTAGGAAACACTCGAGAGCAATACTGCGCCCTCTATTTTCGAGAGCTCAGATGATGAACCTTGAACTGGAAGAAAAGCATACCCAGAACTTGCTTCGGCAACTACCAGTCGATAAAGATGGCTGGACAAACCAGATCAATATTGTCCAGATGCTGTTTCAGTTTACGCTTGATTTTACCACCGAGTCTCTTTTCGAAACAACCGTACACTTGCAACTTCCCTCTTCTCTGCAAACTTCTAGCGCTGAACCTGATGGATCTTTTACGTCGCAACTTCTGGCAAAGAATTTTGACGATGCAACACAACATGTACAGAGGCGCTTCCGTCTACTAGACCTTTACTGGTTGCATAACCCCAAGAGCTTTCGGGAGAACATAAAAGAGATCCATCGGTTTATAGACGTCTGCATCCAGGGCGGTATAGAGAGGACACGACAACAAGAGAAACAGGAGTTGGATACAAAGCACAAATCCAGCTTTCTGAACGGGTTACTTGATAAGACGAAAGACCCAACCGAGCTGAGAAACCAGTCGTTAAATATTCTGATAGCCAGCCGTGACACTACAACGAGTCTCATGGGTTGGACATTATGGCTACTGGCAAAGCACCCAGAGAAGTACGACAAACTACGATCGCATGTCCTCGCAGATTTCGGACCTCACAACCAAACCAGTCAGATCACCTTTGAGAGGCTAAAATCATGCAAGTATCTGCAGTTCGTCATGAAGGAGGTTCTTCGGCTTTATCCTCCCATTGCCATCAACAGCCGCAAAGCGACGAAAGACACAAGCCTGCCTCTCGGAGGAGGACCGGATGAGAAATCGCCCATTTTTGTCAAGAAAGGACAGGATGTCATCTTCTATGCTCATATAACCCACACTCTACCCGAGTTCTGGGGTCCAGACGCCAATAGGTTTGACCCCGATCGCTGGGCTAATTACAAGTCCAGCTGGGCATACCTTCCTTTTAGCGGCGGGCCTCGCATATGCCTCGGACAGCAGTTTGCACTCGCCGAAGCAGGGTACCTCATTACTCGTATGATTCAGAAGTTCGACCAGGTTAAGCTTGCGGATCCTCATGCTCCTGCTACTCATAGACCTAGCACTACTGATTCGCCGGCGGACTATATGATTCACTTCCACGAAGCGCCTACGAGCGTCGAGTAACTCCTCGGTTGCTGTTGATGGACCTTTTTGTATGTATGAATTCAAATGGGATGGGGCAAGTATTCAAATACAAGGTCTTGGTATTGAATTGGCATCCACGTATAGAAATCTCGGGCTCTATCCACTGGGCTAGTTAACGCTCAATTTAGACCACGCAAACAGCGCGATAATAGAATTCCAAGCTGGAAACGCCTACTTTCATTCATTTGCTGTGTAAAGCCATCTAACAGAGATAGAAGATTGTCCAGCGTTTATAATGTGGTATAGGATTAGACAGATATTGTCGACTTTTATAGAACGACTTCCAGTCACCCGCGAAAAACAGCAGCAACCCCAAAAAAAACCAACAACCCCCATTGCAAAAAGAAAAAAAAAAAAAAAAAAAAAAAAAGAATTGACAAAAAACAAAAAACATACAACAGCCGGGATTCGCTGGTGGTCACCCACCCAACTACTAACCGGCCGGCGTGTGGCTTAAGTACGGCTGAGCGGACGGGAAGCCCTGTTCTCCACACCCTGTGGTCGTATGTACTGGTTTAGATAAATGACTCTATTATATGGTTCATTTTAGAGTAGAAGATTGAAAATCGATATATCTATTAGATCATAAACTTGACGCGGGCAATTCCTCCATGATAAAAGTCAATATCCCCCTTTATCCACAGTCGTCAGATTGTACAAGACCAAGCTCTCCTGTGCAAACCGACTTCTTGCGCGAATCTTCTTTCCATAAATCCTCAATAACGGTGGAACGGCACAAAACGCCGTGGCCAGGGCGGCCAAAACCGAAACCGCAACATTGGGACCCAAGTTCGCAAACATCTTCGGCGAAAACAGCGGAAACGTGGCGGCTAGAATAACGCGAATCAAAGATAGCGCTGCAAACGCACTAGATGAATACCCTCTGTAGCTGTCGGCGAGATACCCCGTCAGAACGGTTGGGAACTCGCCGCCTGCGTAGCCGACGCAGACTAGCCCTATTGTCGGGATAATCCAGTGGAGACCGGGGACTTGAGGGGGAATTGTCCAGGCGAAGAGCCATAGTCCCCCTGCTAGGACTGGAGCTGCTATGACGAGGCCGAGGAGCTGCAGTTCCGGGTGGATAGGGAGGTTGAGACGGATGTGTTTTGCGACATTGTACTCATTGTACCACCTAGATATTAAGATCAAGACGGCGCCGATGCTGATTGCGAGAAAGGGGAGGTGAGTTTGGGTGGTTGTAAAGCCGAAGGATTTGTAAACATCCGGCAGGGCTTGGCTGAACAGGTAAGTGATCGCGTAGGGAATTGGTCCGAGGATAGAGACGAGGAAGACGATTGGCTCGGTGACAAGTAGTCGCAAAGGTCGGACGAGGAAGACGGTTACGAAAGTGGTGAGATCGGGGACATGGTCCGGGTTGAAGCTCTGCAGACTTTCTTTTCCTTCTCCGCGGATAGACGTCGGGAGCCTTTGCAGCTCTTTTTCCAAGACAAGGGGAGGACGAGACTCTCGGATGGTCATCAACACGACAGTCAATGCGCCTGATATGATAGCCGCCACGTAGAAGACCCATCGCCTATCTCGTCAGCTGAAGTCTATAAAGAACAGATGCTAACATACCAGTCTAGAGCGGCAATGATATAGTCGCTATATATAGGGCCCAAGGATGAACCAATGTTCCAAGCCACCGTCCACACCGCAATCACACATATCCTATGGCGGGAATTGAACATGTCCTCAATGCTACCGGCTACCACCGTTGTTGGAATCGCTCCGAGAAAGCCGCTGAGCAGGCGGCCGGTGACTGCTCCTCCTGGGGTGGGAATCGCTACCATGGCGCATGTTATACCGAACAAAGCTGTACTGACGACATAGAGGTTTTTGCGACCGAATACCTCCGAGTATGGTGGGAAGACGATGCTCCCAAGCCCTTGTCCTAGCATGTGCCTACAGTCCATGGGTCAGGGTATGATGCTATCATGACAAGGAGGGTGCACCGACAACGAGACAAAAATAAAAATAGCTGGGGTCTCGCTAATTCCGTATTCATGTCGTGCTATAACAGCAGCTGGGGACTGCCACGCTTAACTCTTGCCTGCGAGTTTTCTAGGGCAACATACCCCTGCATTTGAGATGACAGATCTATGTGCGCAAAGTATTAGAATAGGACCTCTTTCCCCTGGGATTAAGAAACAGGACATACGAAAACAAATCCAAGAAAATCACCCAAGAAACATCGTACACTTTGCGAGCAGTGGACCAGTTGCGCGGATGACGTGGGTTGTCCGCTTTCCACACCACGCTGCGCCCATTATCCGCCAGCCTCAGCCCGTATTGGTGCAGTTTTTCGTCAATGTCAAGACTGTAGCAACCTTGAGTAACGTCCTTGTCCGCCATTGCTGTTTAGTTGTCGCTCAGACGGCAGTTGAGGGTAAACGAGAGAGTGAGACAGTCGACCGGGTTTTAACTTACATACCAATTATATAATATAGTTGAAAACACAAGGGATGGGCCTGCGTCAGTCCCATGAAATCATATGTACATACAAGGCTTTAAGCTCACATCTGCAATGATTTTCGCCTAGAAAAATCTCCGGGTGTTCATGCAAGGGGTACGTTCCGATTTCCTTGACGCTAGGATCATTAACGCAATAGAGTCGCGAGTGGTCACTAGTGACTTGTCGCCTACTTCTTGCGGTCTGTGAGAGAACAGCTGTATGCTAAAGAGAATACTCTTTTTTGGCTTGACCTAACTCATGATTGTTTTCCAAATCTCGTTATTCAAACCAGGAAAAAAGACGCGAGTCGAACGCCGATCATTCCACGGGTGAGGAATGTTCCCATTTTGCTAGGTGGTTAGGGTTACCACCTAAGAGTCAATATGCCAGGGTCACTCTTCGATTGACCGTCGAATTAATTGGCTCGCATCATCCGCCTCCTACTTTTGTTATCTCCCTAAATTCATTCATTTTGCGAAGATGTGGCTCGTGTTTTGGATGGTTGTGCTTTACTTTATCATCTTAGGAGGAGGCTGGGATGTGAACCTAATTTATGCTGTTTCGGCTCACCGGAACTGGAGTTTTTTTTTTTTTTTTTTTTTTTTTTTTTTTTTTTGCTTACTCTGTAGCCAGTTGTGCTAAGCTTTAGCTTGTCCATAAGTGTTGTAGTGCAGGTGTAGAATAACTGAAACCTGCCAAGTGTCTAAATTGGGCGATCGCCCATGAAAACTATGGCAAACTATTGGGCTGCGATACATAACAAGTGGTATGTCAACCATATTTATTATAAGGTGTATCTGCTTGGTATACGCTACCGTAGGTTAAGATAGTATTATCTCATTGTACTGTACGTTGTTTCAGGGTGCCATGGGCTGTCTCTTGCATTAGGCTTCTCCCGGCAGGAAAATATATAGTAACCACAATGTGACTCCGAGCAGCCACGAAGCGAATAGAGAGTTTGGTTTCAATTTCTAAGTTCTCTTATCATGCTCCATATCAACACCCGGCGTATACTCGCAAATCTCTAGATATACAAGATAATGGTCAGAATGCAGCAGTCCCATATAGATTGGCTCTGAACGTAAGTCTTGCAAGACAAGAAACCGGTCGAAGCCAGGCATAATATTATGCCTTATAAAAATCAAGAGATTAGATTATATTTTGAATTTAGCTGTCTCTGAGTACATACGACCACAGGGTGTGGAGAACAGGGCTTCCCGTCCGCTCAGCCGTACTTAAGCCACACGCCGGCCGGTTAGTAGTTGGGTGGGTGACCACCAGCGAATCCCGGCTGTTGTATGTTTTTCTTTTTTGATTTCCATTTTCTGCGATATTGTTGCCCTGTTCACCATGAGTCTGACAATGCATTGATCGGGTTGAGCAGCTCATGCGACCCCAAGAAAAAACACATACCCTCATTCACCTGCCACTCCCCCCTCTTCGCCAACATCGTTTCATCGAAACTGCCATCATCAGTGTGACCATTCATTCTAGTAGTGCTTGCTGCAACTGTCAACACTGCAAAGGCAACAGCAACAGAGAGAGACGGAGCTACGACTATTGGTTGGAGCTAGAAGAGGGGGGGAAGCGGACAAAAGAGAGAGAGGAGATAGATGCGGAGGGGGAAAAGAAGAAAAGAAGGGGGGCGCTGCAAACCAAGAGATCCATCTTATCCTAACTACTATTACAGCATGGCATTCTTGTTCCTACCCTATCAAAACAATTTTACCACCTCTGCCTTCCCCTGCGCCTGTGCAAGTTGACGGGGAGTGATCCCTTCTCCGTCTGCCAGGTCTGCCCGCGCACCTCGCTGCAACAAGAATCGGACAAAGTCTTCTTGATCGTGCTGGACTGCAACATGCAGCGCTGTACCGATCGTGTCTCTCGCGTCGTCATCATCCCACAGATTATGTCGGAAGACCTCGTTGACGTCCGCACCGTGTGCGAGCAGTACGGTGGCGGCATCGACGTGGCCGCTTTCGGCGGCACCCTTGAGGGCTTGTGAGCTCTGGACACTTGCACCGTGTTCGAGGAGGAGGGTCATGATTTCCAACGAAGGAAGAGATGCGGCGCGCGCCAGGACAGTGTCGTTGGGGATCCAGTACTGATCATTTGCATCAGCGCCCTTGCTAAGCAGGAACCGCACCATCTCTACGTCTTGTCGCTGGATTGCGACTGTGAGGGGAGACCCAATTTTGTCCATTGGATGGTTGACACACAGACCGAAGTCCAGAAGTGTTTGGAAGGCGGCAGGCTTAGCTCCCTTCATCGTGCGCATGAGGACAAAGTCGGGGAGCGTCACGGCTGACTGCCATTCTTCGGGAACCTCACGCTCTTGGATATCGATCTTCGGATTCCACGGGCCGTCAGCCGATCGTTGGCATTGCGGGATATGGGTGAAGAAGTAGCGGAGAATATCGGAATGGCCGTTCTCGGCGGCGGTTGCTATAGCAAGCCTCAGAGGTGGGACAGCCCTTTTGTCGATGCCAGTGGTGGTGTATAGCTGAGGAGCATAAGCTTTTACACTGGAGAGCGAGCCTTGAGCGCATGCTTTGAGGAGCGAGCGCCCAGCTGAGTGGATGGATGCCGCTGCTATTACATTAATAGTGACCATGGTAGGAGAATATGACGAGCACCCACGTATGGACATGTTGCCGAGGTTTTGTGGAATCACTGAAATTGAAGAATCGAAGATATTATTAGATGAAGTTGATATCTAGAGTATTATAGACGATGTTGTTCAACTCAGAGAAGTAGTTGTCTAGACAAGCTCGTGAGTCACTCCACTTTTGCCAAGATAAGCGGCCCTGAAATCAGACTGACTCGACGCCCACATAGTTATTGCGAGGACCCATATAAATGACGTTGTTTCAGCTAGGCACCCTTAAGAAATAGGTTGTAATCTCCATACTTTATCAATAATAAAAACGAGAGATTTGAGTTGTCGCCTTCTAATAACGCCAATGGTTTGGTTTTTATTATGATTAACACTCTATATAACCCTTCATTTATACTTATGATAACAAGGAGGCGGGGAGCGTTCTATTTTTATTTTCTATACCTAACGATATACTCGCGCCCTGCGGCAGGCGCTTCGGCACTTCAAGTGAGCATTGGGGCTCGGAATATTCACCTGATGAAGCATGTTAGAATGATTTACCTTATCTGATCTATGCTTCTACTGAGAAATCGCAAAACATGGTTCAAGTCCCCCATTAAAATGCCCAAGGCTTCGACATTCACATGCCCTTAGGTACTCCCAGTTCTGCCAGAGACTCCGTCAGCCCTAACCTGACCCAGTTATCAACCTCCTTCGCCGTAGCCACAGCAATCACCCCCAGCATACCCAAAGAATTCACCCCGGCCTCCTTATTAATCGCACCCCGTCGTCTCGGCAGCACGATCATCCACCTCTTGGTAAGAATCATATTATGCGGACAGGCCGCCCCGGGCGGCGCACTTGCCGCATGCTCACCGCGGCCCTCGCCCACCTGCGTAGCCTGGTCCAGCAGGTCATTATAGACCCCAACCAACGCAGTGGGTGTTAGTGTCACATCCTCTCCAAACCGCCGAAAGAACCACTCAAATGGAACTTTGGTCTCGGGCTTCTCCCCCTCGGAAGAATCCAGAAACGCCGCGAAACTATTCGCCGGCAAGGGCATCACCTGCAGATGCTTATGCAGCCGACTACACCCGCCATCCCGTCCACAGTTGTAGAAAGCAACATAGTCTGTCTCAGCGGCGTTCAGAATCTGCCACGCAACGTGCAGATCGGCCTCGTCGAGCGGCTCATACTGTCGTCGGTGTCCGTCACCGGTCAGAAGCATGAGGTGAGGACGCGCGAAACAGAACTTGTTTGCGATTACAAAGTGGGTCCCTGTCTCGTCGATTTCGAACCCGGCAGTGCTGATATCGCTACCTTCTCGCTTTTCGGGCTCTCGATTGGCGGTTTCGGGCTGGGGCTGGGAGGTAGTAAGGGTGGGCTTTTTGGCAAGAGCAGAGGTGAGAACGAAATGAAACTTGATTAAGGTAAGTAGATGCATGGTTCGACTAATGGTTGAAGGAGCTATTCTTACTTTCAGGTCGCCGTCAATGTGCTCGAGGATCTGTTGTTTGCCGTCGTAGAGGACGAGGCCGGATTCGACGAGACAGTCAAATTTGGAGATAACTAGAGATTCTTCCATGTTCGGCATAATTGTTTCGGTGGATGATGTCGGATGCAGGAATATGGTCTAAGCGGTTGGAGGCGGGATGGAGGTCCAGGGAGCTCAGCTTTATTTATACGTACCTAAGTAGTATGACGGGAGGCTTGCTCTGCTAATCGAGCCCATGGACACTGTTTGCCTTGTAGGTGCTTGCGGGCAATCTCAGATACCTGGAAGGGAACTTATATTATCCCAACCGCAGGCCGAATCGTATTGTTAAACCTGGACACAGCGATAGTACGGTGACAAGGAGATGAGGAACCTGCCAGCGGACCGACTAAGGAAGGACATGTCCCCTACTACCCCTACAGAGCGCTAACTGAACACATACTCCTAAGCTTCCGACGACCCTCGTGCAAAATTCCTGATCTTAGCAATATTTCGCGCCAAGTGATGCCTATACATGACCTATGTGAGGGATTTAGATCCCTGCTGCCCGCGTACGAATCCATGCTCACATGCGGAAGACCGAATTGGGGAAGCCGGGAAGCGTTCAGATATCAACCCCTAGCACAAGCATGGAAGGTGGTCGTGCGATCCAAAAATAGTCATCAGTTCTCCCTGAACTAGCAAGGTTTTTGGATAAATTCAAATACTGTCCTAGTGTGTCGGGCTAGTTTGAGGCGCCTGACATAAGTGCCGCGCTTTTTTATCTCCAGCCTTACGGAGCTCAGGTAGTACCTTTTCAGATTCTAGACCAATCACGCTATATGACGCTATCTTACGCCCTATATCACCACTATATCACAAGCAATATGCGGGATTTCGTAGGCATGGACAATCCGTAGAGGAAAAGCTTGATGAAGCCCGGTTGCGCCTTGGGTGTCTTAGATGTCCTTGGCTAGGTAAAGAAACGCCGTGTGTTGCAATAGCGGGAGCCCTTGTACATCTCTGGAGATAACACAATCTATTATTCCTCGCCTGCGCACAGGATCGTGCGTTCAATCAACGCATTGAACAAATGGCAACACGTTATAGGTGTGTTTTATGATGTTACATTCTATCTCAAAAGCCAAGACTCCAATAGAAATAGACTCTGATGTCGGTCGTGTCGGGAAAGGCTAGAAGTAAAACAAAAGTCCACCCGCTTGACTCGTGAATTCATACGAAGCAGCCACCCAAAACATTAGTCTTGGGCAAGGAAGCAGTCGACCGATGCTACATCTTGGCTTTTCAGTCCCCGCACGTTTCCTTAAAAATTACCATCGTAACCCTGAGCTCCTGGGGAGTCGTGGGTTTGCTCAGAAAAACAATCAAATTGGACATCTGCTCCCATGCCCAACGATATGATCAGCCAAGAAACAGAATGTGAAAGACGCGATGCAACTGAGGAGGAAGTTAGGACCCTACCGCATGTGGTCGACTCGGTCCCGTTCATTGTTTGGATAGCTCTTGTAGCCGGTGCATCGGAAAGATTGACGTTCTACGCCGTCTCCGCTCCATGGCGTAAGGCTCTAAAACCACCTGACGTGGGATCAAGATGCTCTAACCGCCTACAGAAAACTACATGCAATACGACCGTGATAGTACTGCTGTCCCGGGGGTCCTAGGTCTTGGTCAAGCAACCGCCACTAACATCTCAAATGCCTTTTTTTCTTCTCATTCTTAGCCCCTCTGCCGTTCGCTATTGTTTCGGATGTATGGCTAGGGCGATACAAAACATTATGCATTTGTTACATGTGGGTTTCGTGTACCTCCCCTTTGCCAGTTGAAGCTGACCATCAACAGCCTGAATCTATGTGGATGTATATTTCTCTTTGTCACCACACTTCCAGTAGTGTCAGCAGATTTCACGAAGATAATGGGATTAGCCCTTGCTATGACTCTTCTCGGTTTGGGGACCGGTGGTGTCAAAGCCACTGTCTCTCCATTTATAGGTGATCAATACACGATTTTAGCTCCACAGTTGGTCGTCACGAAGAAAGGCGAGAGAGTCATCGCGGATCGCACGTTGACCTTACAATATATATACAATGTGTTCTACTGGTATAGAGCACCCCGTTGCGGACTTGTTCATACAGCTGACAATATGGAAGGTTCACCAATATTGGAAGTCTCTCTCTGATTGCTTCGACCTACTTGGAGAAAGAAATTGGCTTCTGGGCCGCTTACCTCCTGCCATTGTGTTCCGTCTGGATTTCAATCCCTTTGCTGTTGTTCTGGCAAAGATCATATGGTAAGTGAGGAGTGAATGCCTTACATTACTTGATTCCAAAGGTACTTGAAATGCTGAACTTGGCGAAGTGAAACCCGCGCCACAGGGAAATGTTTTGCCCCGGGCAGCAAAGGTTCTTGCATACTCCGCCCGCGAAAGATTTCGACTCGATGCGGCAAAACCCGCATTCCAAGCGCAGAAATATGGCAGATCCGTCCCTTGGGATAACCTGTTTGTCTCGGAGATGAAAAGAGGCCTCGTAGCCTGCAAAGTCATGTATGTTGTCGTGCAGGACGGTGGGTTCGGTTTACTCGGTTACTAACATTGAAACCAGGGCTTGCTTCGTGCCCTTTTACTTATGCATCAACCAAATCACCAATAATCTTGTTTCCCAGGCGGGTCAGATGCAGCTGGGCGCTGTCCCCAATGACTCCATTCAAGCGCTCAACCCCATCGCCTGTGTTCTGCTCGGCCCAATAATTCAAGAGTTTCTCTACCCCGGTCTTCAAAAGAGGGAGATCGCATTCGGGCCAATTGCTCGTATGACCTGGTCGTTTGTGACGATGAGCTCAGCGATGGCATTTGCTGTAGGGTTGCAAAAGCTGATCTATACACGGGGACCGTGCTATGAATCCCCGCTGACTTGTGCGGATTCCGACGGAGGAAGAAGACCCAACAATATCAGCGTCTGGGTGCAAACACCCGTGTATTTCCTGCTTGCATTTGCCGAGATTTTGGGATTCACTACCCTGTCTGAGTACAGCTACTCGAAGGCGCCTAAAGACATGCGCAGTCTGGTGCAGGCCCTGCGACAGGTCACCGCTGGGATTGGATCTGCTTTGGGGATGGCTCTGTCACCAGTGGCTGTTGATCCAAAGGTGATATACATGTACACGGGACTGTCGGCAACGATGATTATTGTTGCCCCAACTTTCTGGGCGGCCTTCAGACGTTACGACAAGATTGACGATGAGCTGAATGATATTGGGTTGATGCAACCAGATGGCCGTGATGAGATGGAAGAGACTACGTCTAATGCATGTCTATAAGAGCCGTACACCATATGGCTTATGAATCACAGTGATTTCCATCTAGTAAAGCTGACCGACGTGTGAAGCTTATATATATATATATATATATATATATATTTTGCTATGTGGCGAAAAGATATATGGCTGTTTGATGTTCGAATTTAAAGACAAGAATTGCGACAGAGACACATGAGAGTACCAAATCAATCCCACAGAAGGAGACCCTCAAATGTAGCAGCTACTAAGTGAGCTCTTGTTCCACTTGAGCTAAAAGCTCATCAACACTCCTTTCTACGTCAGGGCCCTTATGGAGAACTGCCCGGCGGCCCTCATCCCGAAGTTTGATATCAGCAGGGAACGGCGCTGGTCTCAAACTGGCCCCGTGCTGCTCCAAATTCCAAGGATCGATCTCAACGCGGCGGCCATTCTCATAGCTATGACTAAACGAGAAAGCCCAAAGCAATCGCGAAATGACCATGTTGAGCGATATTTGTCCAAAATGACGTCCTGCACACGCTCTCCTACCATATCCAAAGATTCCCAACGGTAAGTTAGGGTTTTCGATCCACCTTTCCGGAAGGAATGATTCCGGGTTATCGTATACATCTGGGTCCATGTGCATAGCCCACATATTGACAATCACAGTTGCTCCCTTTGGAATATGATATCCTTGATAGAAATCATCGGTAGAGGTCGCACGGGGGATCCCCTCCGGAGTTGCAGGACGCCACCGAATGACCTCATTAATGATGGCTCTAACGTACGGCAACTGCCCCATATCTTCTTCATTGGGCAGTCGAGATTCTCCGACCACGGCGTCCAGCTCGCTTTGCGCTTTCTTAACCACCCAGGGGTGCAGAACACACGCCATGACGAAGAACCGCAGAATAGCCACACTGGTGTCCGTCGCCGCTTCGTATAGAATACCCATCAGATACCAGACCTCTTCCTCAGGCATCCCATGAGTATCTTTCAGATTCCGCACGTACTTGGACCAGTTCCATTCTTTCGCATCGAGACCTTTCTTTGCGCTGGAAGAGAATAAACCCGTCGTGGCATGGTGTAGTTCGTGGCTCGACTTAATCCATGGCGCTCTCGATGGCGAGATCCGTTGCAGTACGGGGAAACACTCGAAAAGAAAGCTGCCTGCCCCAATCGCTTTGACAAATTTGTGTGTAATCTCCTTGAACTCCTTTGCGATCGGATCATTCACATCGACAGACTTGCCATATTGCAATGCCAGGATCAAGCTCGCGGTGTAGCGGTAAATAACAGTGGAGAAGTCCTTGGTCGAGCAGAGCCCATTCAGCAATCTCCTGGATTCAAAGTCCACAAGGCCCTCGTATAGCTTGGCCATGCGAGGATTCAACAACGCGAGGTGGATGCGGTTATGGTTCTTCCACCTCTCCCCGTAAGGAATGAGGGCCGTGTTTAGACCACCGGTCATATTGTCTGAGACTAGGGGAATATACGGTCGGGAGCTGTAGACTTGGCCTCGGCCACCTAGGAGTTCTTTGCTGATGGCGTGAGTACCCAAGATGATGACGGTCCTAGGCCCGAGAGTGAGTCCAACGATCGATCCATACTTCTTATGCCAGTTATGGAAAGTCTTCAATGGAACTAGGCGGGCAAACTGATGAAGGTTGCCAATGATTGGAAGAGGTGCTGGGCCCGGAGGAATGGATCGAGGAGCTCTCTTCCAGTGAATCAAGGAGAGGAGAAGAATAGAACCGATAATAGCAAAGAGAAAGATCATGGTGATGCAACGTTCTAATTCGAAAGAAGTGAGAACTGACGATTCTTGTGAATCTCTACTAACTGAATGAGTGATTTATGTATTTGTCGTTGGAATAAGTCTCTCCCACCAAGTGTGAAAGTTGTCATTGGGGTGGGTATTACAATTCCAAGTTCCATGGGAGAAACTTATAACTCACAGAGTTGTTATGGGCTATAATTAGCGTTGGGCATATCAAAACTCTAAAGATAGAGGCAAAGATCCTTCAAGAGAAATGTTTGGTTCAATAAAAACTCTTCTTACATAGAGTAGTACCGAATACGGCGCTCTTAGAGATGATCTCTCTAACAGGCGCAGAAGTTGTATGTACATACTACTGTAAAGGGGATCGAGCCACACACCGCGCCGTGACGGTGCAAGGGATGCAATGCCGGGGCGAAGGCCACGTCAACACAACACCACTACGTGGAGGGCTCGCCGAGGACCCTACGGCCACCGTAGTGAACAGAGATGAAGGAAATGAATGATATGATTGTCCTACGATAGGTGCGGGGTATGCACCAGAGTCATTTTACAATGCAAAAGAACCTCTTAGTAGTATCTAGCTCCTCAATTGACTAACAGCTTCACAAAATACAGCATATGGTCCCGCTTCAATTTACATCTCCTGTTGCTTCATGACTCTGGAAATCTATTGATATCATGGTTTGCGTTTCTTTCGGTCGCTTTATTATCCACGTCAACGGGATAACTCTCAGCGATGGCCTCTGATGTAAGGGACTAACCCTTACTTTGAAATTAGAGAGGGCTTAACAAGCACAATGCCAAATAGAGAAATTGACAGGTTCTCTGTGCATATTTCTGCCTCTTCGAATCACAACAACGTCAGATATGGAGACGGTGACAACCTTCGATGAGGTATTTGCGTTGTCATATTTGCCTCTTCTATCTTCCTACATGATAGGACTTTGAGCCTTAATATGAGCATTCACTGCTAAGAAGAGACAAAGCTGTGTACAGTGAAGTTTGCCGCGTCATTCTGACGCCGAGGACTCCCTTACTGGGGCCACGATATACTTCTGGGTGTCATGTTAGGCAACAGTCGTGAATTTGGTTGCAAAAGATAGTGTTACCATGAATTATTAAGATTTGGCGCTTTTGCGCCACGCCAGGGCTCATGCGATATAAGATAGTAGGTATCAGCGCCTTATCCGACTGATCCAGAGTTCATCACGCCGGCTCGACCTCATCAGTCAGTTCTCGGCTCATCGTGATACCTGCTTTTTCCTTGAAAATGTTAGCCACAAAATCCAAACCACCCCATGAGATTCTATCCGGCCTTCGAGGCCAGCAGGTCCTCATACCTGAGTTGCGGTCCTTCTTCCCTGCGGCTGAAACCGCAAACCCTAACCACGCGAAGCTTGTCCCGTCAACAAACAATTTTATAGATAGGTGAAGAGCTCTTTCTCCCTTGCATCTTGTCCTGAGAATTACCACTTCAATGTTACTGAAGATGACACCCTGAAGTCTGTTCCCAGGAAATCCAAAGAAAGCCGAAAAGGTCAAATCGACTGACCTGGCGTTGCTGGCGTGTATGTGGTGGCCTCATGCGGAGTTTAGAACCCTGCAGGTTCTCGCGTACCTGATTCTATGGCTCCTTATGTGGGATGATGAATTGGATCAAGTATCCGAGTCTCTGGCCCTAGGAGGGGATTTCATGGCTAGTCAAAGGTTTCGGGACCAAACGTTGAGGTACATGAGGGGGAGCCTTGGGATGGATGGAGCCGAAAAAACAAGCTGGTCTCTAGAAGAGTTTGAGAATCGTTTCTTGCAGAGGTTCGAGCCAATTGCTCATTTTATCAGAGAGGAGTATGATCCAGGTGAGTGACAGATTGATGCCTGTCTAATCGAGAGCTCATGGTAGCTGATACACGATACAGTGCACAGGGGCCTGATTCTGGAGGAGATGGAGTTCACCATTAAGATGTCCTGTCTGGAACAGCAACACCGCACCCAGGAACGACTGCCTACTATTGACGAATATTGGACCTATCGACTTGGCACAAACCTCATGGGCGTAGTTTGTGCTGCAACAGAGTAAGTCCAGATATTTCACCATCTAATTGTCGGTTGTATTGACCATTCCGTTCAGACTTAGCATGAACACACGAATCTCGCGCTCGACGCTTCTGCATCCATTCATGAGGGATATTTGTCTTCAAACTAACCGAGTTATCGCGATGTATAGGCAGTGCCACAGAAACCTTATGTGAGCTTTATTACTAACATGTCGCCAGAACCAACGATATTCTCTCTCTCCGGAAAGAAGTGGTTTGTTTGTCGAGAATCATGCTGCCAGAGCCAGTACTAACATGCTAGTAGGAAAAGGAGAAGTGTGCAGTCTCATTCCTCTCCTCTACAAGTCCAACGACTCGCTTCAAGAGGTTGTTGACATGGCTGTTCATCTACTCAAAGACGCCATCCATGATCTAGCCCGGTACGACGCAGGCCTGGCAACGCAGCTGGGAGATAAAGCTTGCGAGACGTTCTTACAATCTTGTTATGACTACTGCACCGGGTTCCTTCATTGGAGGTTTGTAACCCCATACAACATCACATTACCCGGGAGCATGCTGCTAATCTCGATACTAGCCTTAAAACAACTCGGTACAATCTGGCATCTGTGCCGAGGGACGAAAACGGCTCAATGGTGCTTTCATTGAAAGTGTAAAGAGCTCAAGAGGCTCGGTACGCTTTTGTCGTTCTAATTGAAATTTGGCCCAGGGCATCCTTCCGCTTGTTTCTTTTAATTTTTAGATCTAGACTTAGATGATGCGAGAAAATGTTGGAATATTGAGTCCACAAGGTCGTTCTAGTTCAAGATACATTTCACAAATTGAACATAATTTTGAGTTGGACTTATGTGGTTCTCTGGCACCTTTCTCAAATAGAAACGCGTTAACAAGCCGTTTAATTAGTAGACCATTCGATGACGCAAGACTAACTCAGTCAAGCAGCAAAGAGCTCTAGAACAAATTATGAGTGCAAGTCAATCATAGGAAACTTCCTGAATGAGATGATGTTATCAAACGTTCTCCTTCCTAAACAAGCAGTGCCAGGTGTGGAGATCAAGCACGGAAAGTTTATCCCCATTTTTATATTTACCGACCCACGGCAGAGGAGAAAGCTTGATCTTGTACTTCAATCTTTATCTTATCAAAATTTGTACCATTCTCCACCATCATGTACGATTCCCAACCAAAGGGCCACTATCAAAATGAAGAGCTGGGCAATCATGTCGTATCATGGAGTTGAGGCGAAAGGCATCTACTGTGTCTTCTATCTGGTTCTCCGAGAGGCTATAATATGACGTGGTCTCGTAAATAAGTTATCCGATCCATTTAAGATTAGAGTTTTATGTGCAAAGAAAGATTACCTGTCTGTCATATGCGCGATCCCTGCTACAAGATTATCTCAGCTGGGAGATGGCCCGCACATATATTGAAGCCGATATAATGATTTTCAAGAGATTTCCAGCAGACATGCACAGCTTATTTGCAACGACTACATCTCTCCTTTCACCAACTCAACATGACTACAAAAGGCAGCCGCGAAGACTTTGAAGCTGTCTTTCCCTCTTTGGTTCAGCATGTTCTGACACAAGCGAAGCAATACGGTGTTCCAGATTCTACTATAGAATGGTTTGAGAAGGTAAATAACTCTGTTATACTACACCTGAATAGATTATAGCTAACTAAACACCGAACTCCTTAACGTACAACACTCCCAATGGAAAGCTTAATCGCGGACTCTCAGTCGTTGATACTGGCACCATTCTACTCAACCGACCTCTCAATGACCTAGAATTCCATGATCTCAGCGTCCTCGGATGGGTGGTCGAGCTTCTTCAGGCCCACTTCCTCGTTCACGACGACATCATGGACTACTCAGACACTAGACGCGGTCAGCCCTGCTGGTACAAGCTACAAGAAGTAGGGCTCGTCGCCATCAACGATGGAACGATGTTACATTCTTGCATTTTCATGCTCCTTAAGTCTCGTTTCCGCTCACACCCGGCGTATGTTCAGCTTGTCGAACTTTTCCACGAAACCACGTTCCAGACCCTGCTAGGCCAGCTATGTGATTTGGATACGGCACCTCATGAGACAGTTGGTTTGGATCAGTTCTCCATGGAGCGATACCTCTGCATTGTGAAGCACAAAACAGCATATTATAGTTTCTACCTCCCCGTGGTATTGGCACTGTATTATTTGCAGTATGCGACATCAAAGAATCTGCGCCAGGCACGGGATATTCTGCTCCAAATGGGCGAGTACTACCAGATTCAGGATGATTATCTCGATGTATTTGGCGATCCTGGTGTGCTGGGAAAGGCGGCAACCGACATTCAGGATAATAAATGTTCCTGGGTGATTAACGAAGCGTTGAGCCGGTGTTCCGGATCCCAGCGTCAGATTCTGGAAGAATGTTATGGTCAGGGAGATGAAGTCTCGGTAATGAAGGTCAAATCTGTGTTTAAGGATCTTGATCTCCAGCTGGTCTATCAGGAGCTGGAGCAAGAGTATGTGAAGGAGTTGCGGAAGAAGATCGAGGCAGTCGATGAATCGGAGGGGCTAGACAAGAGGGTATTTGAGTCGTTTCTATCCAAGATTTATAAGCGTGAGCAATGATACTGATATGTTACTCTCGTGATAAATTTATGAAATGATCTTGTAGATGATCTGCGTGATGTGCCTCGGGGGCCTCAGGCACCATACAAAATGGTCCCCGATATGATTGGTGCATCCTGCCCCACCGTTACAGTAGGTCACGTGTTATACCACGGCCGTGACACCTTAGGATCCAGGCATCAACTTGTCTATTGCGTTCTCCGCTCTCCCTTCTTCGATCTTCATTCTTTCATCCTCCATAGCACACTTCGCCATGCTCCGTCGAGTCAATCTTCGCTCCTCAATTATGCTTCTCTAGCAAGATTCGAACACGCCCGCATTAGTCGCATCGCACCCATGTCTACTTTTGATGGAATTGTTCAAGGTGCGTATTGGATTCACGGCTATGCGCAGACAGAGCAGCTTTCTAACAATTCCGATAGAGTTTCCTGGCATTCGGAGTATATATCTCATAATGTCCTTGTGTCGACCACATCTAACACTAATAATCCTCAGTCGATTATTTCCGCAAAGCCCCAGAGAGGCCTCCTCCCCTAGCATGCTTTCTCAGCCATGTCCACAGCGACCACTTGCAAGGGCTGGAGTCCTTGCGGGCTCCCTTCATCTACTGCTCCGCAGCAACTAGAGAGGTATCTATTCATCTCAAATCCCCAAAACACCGCCTTTGGAGATCAGTATTTATCACGGCTTAGATACTTCTGCGTATTGAAAAATATCCGCATCGTATGAACTTCAGCAAAGGCATCCTCGAATCAAGACAGTTGTCTTACAAGCACTTATCTAAGCTTCTAGTAAGCTGATTAGCCCGTAAGCGATGTTTATTAGCTGACTATTTACGCAGCGACCAATCCCATTGAACACGCCGACGGAGATCGAACTTACTCCTCGGCTATCCATCCGAGTGACCCTTTTTGATGCGAACCACTGTTCAGGGGCAGTGATGTTTCTCATTGAGGGCAATGGAAAGGCTGTCTTGTATACTGGTGATATTAGAGGTATTCCTTGACCCTTGTAATGGAATGAGACACCGCTTAACGCCATGCTGATGAATCGTTATAGCGGAAACCTGGTGGGTTAACAGCCTTGTCCGGCATCCGATTCTTATTCCATACACTCTGGGGAATAAACGGCTGGATAATATTTACCTTGACAATACTTTTGCACGCGCCTCTCACATATCAAATGTCTTCCCATCAAAAGCGGAAGGACTGTCCGAACTTTTACAAAAGGTTGCTCTGTATCCGGAGGATACCACGTTCTATTTTCGCGCGTGGACATTTGGGTACGAGGAAGTTTGGGTCGCACTTTCTGCTGCTCTGAACTCAAAGGTAAGCGTGACCGCCTATCAATATTGAATTTGAATCGAACTCGAATCATGCTAACAAGATAGGTGCATTTGGATCGCTACCAACTTGGTCTTTACAAATCACTAGTTTCCCAAGGAACAGACGTAAACGAAGCGCCCGCCCTTTGCGGATACGAGCTCGGGAACCGGTTTGTTTCTGGATGCTTAAGCGAGGACCAGAACTGTCGCATTCACAGTTGTGAGCCAGGTGTACAGTGCTCTGCAGTTCCATCCGCGAAAACTGTCTACATTGTACCGATTGTTCATCGCACCAAAGATGGCTCAAAGGTTCCCGAAATCGGCATCGGTGGCGGTGCTGGCGATTTGTACCAGATCCATGAACTCGAGTTACCAGATGAACTAGCATTGGAACAACTGGACAAATTATGTCTCGAGCAGATCCATGATCCACGAAGTCTCTCGCAAACAAGGAAGGCCCTGTTTGATGCATTTAGGTCCAAGACCAAGGCTCTCTCACTGGACAGTTACGGAATGAAAGAAGATCATGAAATTCCCCTGGATAATCTCATACGCATCCTCAGCCGTGGTCACTCCGGGGAAAAGCTTTGGCTAGATGTGGCCCAACATCCGTCGGGACAGGAACCAAATGACCAAGCTGACGCCCCCCTTCCCAAAACCATTGTGCGTGACATCCCTTGTGAAGCAATCTTCGCGTGTCTAACACAATGCAGAACTTTCCATACTCACGCCATTCATCCTATTCCGAGCTATGCGAGCTAGTCGCCGCATTCAAACCCAAAGACATCGTTCCCTGCACAGTTGACCCTTTCACCTGGAACGAGGATGTGTCAATGCAGTCCTTATTCGGTCACCTCTGCTCAGGAACAAACTTCACCCACGACCAACACATGCGTGACATGCTAGCCAACAACCAAGAACTTCGCTCGAAAAAAGAAGCACTACGTGATGACACCGTCACGCCACAATCAAGCCAGATAACCTCTAGCTTACCAGACAGCATTGTCGTATCATCAATCCCATCAAAACGCGCAGCTCCTCAAGACCAGTCTCAATTTCTGCCTCGTCATAATGAAGTCTCCAACACACCGTTAGCCTCGGCAAATGCACCTGCTCCGATTCAATCCTCGTTAGAAACAACATCCGACATAGCATCTTCTCCAAAGAGACCCCTTATCCCCACGTCCACTCCAGAGACCAAGAGAATCAAGCAGAATGAAATTCGTCAAGCCTGGAACCTACTCAACAACGCCCGATCTGAACACCCGTTCTATCAGCTAGGAGATCTACCTTCATCGTTCGATACCGAACCAGAAGACGAGCTCAATGACCCCACATCCAACCACGCGAAAGGAACTGGATCTGGTGTCCACGACACGCAAACCGGATTCCACCATGAGAGTGATATTACTCAGGGCTCGGAAAGTCCGCCTCACCCATCCGAAATGATGGATAACACGCACAACACATACCTTCCCCACAACGAAATCAACGAAACCATCCCCGAAAGCCAAAACACCCACCCCTTCTCCATCCCCTCATCAGCCTTCGACTCCCAAGAACAAATCCCAGATATCCACAACGACACAACACCACCAAACAACCAACCCCATTCCCCCGAACAAGAAACCCATGAAATAATTTCCAATTCCGACATGCACGATCACGATGACGACGACGACGACGACGACCAAAGGAACCAATCCCATACAATCCGACCGTCTTTGAATCGATCCAGCTCGTCTCGAAACCGAAAAGCGGCGTATCTCGCCGCTCGAGCGGATAGTTTTGATGCTTGGGTTTCCATGTCGCTGGTTTCGGCTGGGAATAATCATACTGAGGAGGAGATTGAACTTTGAGTTCGAATGAGGTTTACCTTTCTGAATTGTAGTCGACTCTTGTACTACCATTACTAGCAGCGAGACTCGCAGAAAGCTCTATCTGATTAGAGCTCAACTCTTATGGAGGGCATGTAAAAAGGATAGTACCTACGAGGCATAACAACTAATAACCATAACGTTGATGATATTCAACAAAAGAAGTACACAAACAGTAGCCATAATCGCTTATATAGACCCAAACACCAACAACGCTAACACCCAAAAAGTAAGATCACAAAAGTATACAACTCCAAATACATCAGTATATTCCATCAGATATGTTTTCTCGAGTGAAGAAGCCAAGGCAACAGCATCTTTGTCTGACCATTATCGAAATTCTCCAAGTATGCACCAACCGTCGGGTCAAGACCATAGGATTTCGCGAGATCGACCCACTCCTTCCACGGCAACTGTTGAAAAGCAACCCCTTCCGTCCTCTCCATATACTCTTTCAATTCTCCAACATCAAACCGGGTCTCACCGCAGACATGCGAGAAGCGAACACCAGCATTACCATCCTCGATCGTCTTGCAGAAAATACCATCCAAAACTTGGTCGGCTGCAAGTTTCTCGCTGATCAGATCGAAATACCCTTGCCAGAGGTCCGTGTCAGGAACCGCCTTCATTGACCGACTCAGCGAAAAGATTGTCCCGATCACGTTGGTTGTGGGCATTTCGGGACTGGTGATGCTGCTGGGCCGGTGGATGTGAACTGGGATGCCGAACTTGGCGTTTGCCTTCTCAAGGAACACCTCACTGGCCCATTTAGATACAGAGTATCCCTCCGTCAGCACCGAAGCGGCATCAGAAGCCGGTGGGAAGTCAGAAAGCGACTGCTCAGGGAACACCTCCTCCTGAGACAAGCTTGTGATACCTGCAGTGGAAATATAGTGGAATGGAATGCGACGGGGCACGCAGAGTCCGAACAGGAATTTGGTCGATAAGACGTTTGCGGCTCGAAGCAAGGTGTATGGCTTGAGGAAGGAGACATCAGCACCGTTGTGAATGATGCAATCGACGGTCGCCGTCAACGTCGATATGTCTTTCGCGCTCAACCCCAAGGTAGTATGGGAGAGATCACCGCTGTACAACCGGATCTTAGGAGATTGGATGGAAAGCTGTCTAGGCGAGCCATCCCCGTTTGGCCGAACGCCGATGCAATGGATCCGCTCGACGGATTTAATTTCTACCAGTTGGCGAAGGAGAGCTTTCCCAAAGAACCCCGTGGCTCCAGTGAGGATAACCTCCTTGACATCCTTGATCTCAGTCGTTAGACGTATGGGTTCTGCTCGATCAAGGCTTCCTGGAATTGCAGTTTCCACGTCCCAATCGATAGACGTTTCGACCTGTTGCGCACTCGTAGTCATCCCAATGAGAATTGCCATTTCTTCAAACGTCGATGCCTTAAAAAGATTCGGTACTGGGACCTTCGTATTGGTAATCTGATGAATCCGTGTCTGAAGCTTCAACAAATGAAGCGAGTTGCCGCCCAACTCGAAGAAATTCGACTGTTTGGTGATGAAAGTGTTGATGGGGGGAAGAAACTCCTCCCACAACTCCTTCAGCTTCACCTCGATTATACCGAGGCCGGTGACGTCGGCCGAGCGATCGGGACTCCGCTTGACCGGCAGTTGGCCAAGTTCTCTTCTGTCAGCCTTTCCGCTTCCTGTGAGAGGGATGTGTTCGATGGGGGTGACTATCGCTGGCTTAGCATAGACAGGTAGAGGCAAAGTCCCGAGGAGGGATTTGATGAATCCATCGGTATCGGCAGGTCGAAGAGCATGAGCGAACACAATGAATGTCACGAGATATTGATTGCCCTCGTCGCCCTTGGCAATGGTCGCGGCATCCGTCAGCACCCCCTTGGAGGATTGTATGAATGCATTCGAAATCTCATCCAGCTCAATGCGCATGCCGCGAAGTTTGATTTGAGAATCCCCAGAGATCCGTCCGCGGTATTCGAGGTTCCCATCACTCAATATTCTACCATAATCGCCGCTTCGGTACAATCGTAAACCGTTAAGATCGATGAAGCGGCTGTTCGTCTCATTGTCGCGATTCAGGTAACCTTTTGCAACAGCAGGCCCACTAATGCAAATCTCACCTGGCCATCCACTCGGTAACGGTCTTAGTCGCTCGTCGAGCATGATCAGATTGTAACACGGCAAGGGTCGCCCGGCATGTATGAGATCGGAGTCACTATGCACTTGCTTGTATGGTACGGACCCCATTGTACAGGCAACCGTTATTTCACACGGGCCGTAAGCGTTGACCAATGTCAGTTCTAACAGACCTAGACCTGCGAACGCTTGGGTCGTCGCATAGCCCATCTTCTCGCCCCCGCAAAACGCGTACCTCCATGAGGAGCACTTTTCCAGGACCTGGCCTGCTTCTGAGATCCACAGGGCGTACTCTGACGGTACCGCCAATGTCAAGGTGACCGCCTCATTTAGCATAAGATACGCAAGCTCCATCGGATCGCTTCGGTTGCTCGTCATGACTAGCGTTCCTCCATGCACCAGAGATGTCAGCATCTGAAAGATTGACGCATCGAAGTTGTGCGAGCTCTGCTGCAGCACCACTGGTCTATCAACTGCAAATTCCTGTTCAACGGCTTGGATGTGGCATCGCAAATTATCGTGGCTAAGCAAGACACCCTTAGGTAGGCCGGTCGTTCCGCTTGTATAGAGTAAAACGGCCGTGGCCCCTCCATTCCCATCGCAAACGCTGATCGACTTCGTCGCGAGAAGATCATCGGCAAGCTCAATGATCTGGAGGTTGCCATTATCCTGCAAGAATTGAATTGTACGTGCATCTTTGCACAAGATAACTGAAGGGTGGCAATCATTCACGATTACTGCAAGTCGATCGACGCCATGGCCAATGTCAACGGGGACATAAATGGCGCCCATACGCCAGATTGCAATTAAGGAACACACTGCATCGACAGAGGGCCCACATGCTACCACAATGAAATCACCCGGACCTGCGTTAGCCTCAATCAGAATGGTTAAGATAGACTGGATCCTGAGCTCCATTTCCTCATACGTGAGACTCGCTCCATACTGATCTTTCGCGGCAAGAGAGTCTGGGTAGTGTTCTATGGTTTTGGATATGCGTCTTGAGATGCTGTCTGACCAAAAAGGACATTCCAATTCGGGCCCGTTTCCGAGGTGCTGCTCCGAGACCGGCTCGGATGAGCCGAAGAATTCATAATCCATGAGCTGGCTTTCCTGGTGCTGAGCCAGATCTTCGATCAAACGAGCGTACAGGGATACCAGAAGCTGAATGTCTGCGCCATCATACAAATAGTCTTGTGCCCTGAAGGATACAAGAGTCGTTCCGTCGATATCTTCCAGGATAGTTATCACCAGATCTTGGGGCTGACGAGCATCATCTGATGTGGAGTATTGCAGGACTGAGTTATCAAAAGCAACGTCATGCGTGACTCCGGCGATGTAATTTACCATGACCTGGTACAGGGGACTGTGTACTTCGTTGCCCGAGATATCCTTGTGAGAGGACATAGAAGCTTGAATCGCCCCTGCAGAATGGCTCAACGCATCCAAAACTCTCGATCGAGTCTCCTTGACCAGACTCGAGAAAGTCTGATTCTTCCGCGGTTCAAAGATCAGTGGCAGGATTTCTACCATTAAACCCACTACCCTTTCAAAACGAGCCTCATCTCGGTTGGCATTCGCAATCCCGATACAGATTCTGTCAACCTGAAGAATCTGCTGAAGGAACAGTTGTATAGCAGCCAGGTGGAAATGAAATGCTGTAGTCCCACTACGCGAGCTTGCCTGTCTGATCGTGTTTGAGGTGTCCTCGTCAAGACGATATTGTTTGCGGGTCATCTCATAGGTTGCCTGTGTTTGCCGGAAGCTTGTCTTTGCGAAGGGGAATAGAGGTAGCGGGGTTGGGGCTTCCTGGAAGCGTTGGACATCAATCATCTTTCTCCCTCGATGAGCGAGTGATTGAGACAATTTCCGCTGTTCGCTAGCAAATGTCACATACTGGGCGGCAACCGGTGGAAGACTCTTGGGATCCTTGTATGCAGCAGCGAATTCTCGTAGCACCAATTGCCAGCTAACTCCATCCATGGCAAGATGGTGATAGCTGAATATGATAATATGGTAATCCTCGCTTGGTGAAATTACGGAGATGGCCATTGTCTCTCCTTCAACCAGGTTGAACACGCGACTTTGATGGCTGAAGAACTCCTTTGGTACGTCCAATGGGTCAGCGCTGCTGACTTCCGTCCAGAGTATTCTTGGTTCTTTCAAAATTGACTGGCTAGGGATTCCACCGGGTGTTTCAGCAACGAAAGCTGTCCGTAGTGATTCGTGTCTCCTAGCCACCGTATTCACGGCAGCCTTGAGTCGGTCTTTGTCCAGAGGGCCGTGCAACTCGTACTGCATAGTGCAATTATACATTGATGGATCATCGATGGAGCTCAACATAAACCACATCTTTTCCTGTTCGGTAGACAGTGGCACCGCCCTCTCCATTGACGCATTCATTCGATGCCTTAGGGCAATCGGCACTGTGTCTGGGATCTGTAAAGTGAGCTGAGGGGTTGTTTCAACAGTATAGCTCGTAAGTGACGCGCTTTCAGCAGTGAATGCATCCCGAGTCCGAGATATGTAGGATAAAGTATCAGATTCCCCTCTTTCATTCCAAGGCACCGAAGAAAAATCTGGCTCTTGAGTTATGGGTTCCTCTCCTACAGATTCGGGTTCCTTGGGGACGGCGACTAATCTTGTAAAGATGTACTCCGTAGCTTCTCGGCATACTGAGTATTGAGGTTAGCGGGGCTGTGCCAATATCTTCGAAATGGTGTCTTACAGTTGACAAGCGAGATTCCTCCCAAGACCTTAAGAACAGAGACCTGAAAGTCTAACTCATGGTGAAGCCAGCTCCGAATCTCGATGGCAAGCAAGGAGTCAATTCCAAGCTCGATGAGGGGCCTTGCGGGGTTTACAATGGGCGCAGAGAGTTGAAGCAAACTCTGCAGCATTCCCATAAACGCCTCCTGAACGACGGGTTCAGCAAGAGCTAGATCATTAATATCTTCGACTTGCTGCCGTAGCGAGACCTTTGCATTCGGCTTCTTGGCAGTGGAATCAAAGTCTTCGTTCACATGGAAATGCATGAATTTGGGGTCACGGTACCACTGCGGCCTCAGCTGGCCAACAGGAACGTGAAGACCAGTTGAGAAGCAAGGAGATTCCGAGGTTGTAGTTTGACCGACACGGATAGCTTCGGTGAATATACAGTGAAAGTCCGGCTCCGCGATTGCCATCAAGCCCGCTCTGCGCAGAGGTTCCTCGTGTGTCTTCTCCCGAGAGACGACGCCGAGACCTAGGATCATGCCAATATCCACGCAAGATCCGGCCAGGCCCCGTTGACGCCGTTGCTCGGCAATTGCTTTCATGTACTATCTGAAGTCAGCCAGAAAAGAAACAAAAAGCGTCCAGACCAGTATCCAAACGGACGGAAAGGAAAAAGAACACAAAACAAGACAATTACTTACCATATTAGCTGCCGAGTAATTACTTTGACCAGCATTCCCAATCAACGAGGCTGTAGATGACAGCATGATAAAGAAATCCAGGCCCGCATCGGAGAACATTTCGTCCAACCTAGCGCTTCCTTCCACCTTAGGCCTCAGAACACGTACGAAGTCATCAAAAGCCATGTTGAAAAACGCTGCATCTGCCAGCACCATGGCGCCATTGACCACGCCAGCGATTGGCGGCATTGCTTTCGCGATCTGATCGTGGACGTCTTGCAATTCGGATGCATTACAGACATCAAGACTCAGAACAATCAACTGGCATCCTTGGGACCTTAGTTCTTGATGCCATCGAGCCGGCTTTGGCGATCGACTAGCAATTGCGATGTATTGAACGTTATTCGCAACCATCCACCGGCAGAGAGACTCGCCAAGCTCACCGGTCATTCCGACCAGGAAGTAAGTTGCATCGCTGCGAAGGAACTCTTTCGGATCCAAGCGTTCCACTTGGTATTCGATTCTAGTATTTGTAAAGCGCTCCACCGCACAGACTGTCGTGGTCGCAAATTGTTCCGTATTGAAGCCTTCATTGAGCGTCTCCTCAATTGCGAGGTAATCATTCCAGACTGATTCCAAAACAGCGACTGTTGATGTTGACTTGCCATGGAAGTTTGTTGAAGGAGATGCTCGCTGGGAAAAGTAGCAGTGCCAGTCAATAGTAGCGCATGCCTCCGGAATAGCTTCAAAAAGTCGATCATGTAGCGAACTTGGATTCGGATCGAGGTTCACGTACAAAGAAATATTCTTCGGGAGGAGTAGTCGAAGGTTTCTCAAGGGCGCGTGCGGATGCAAGTAAATAGTGGATTCATAAAGATCGGCGAGTGATTTGTCAGAAGTAGCTAATCTCAGGACTGGATCGCCATCATTTTGGGCCAGGTTGAACACCTTGGCTAGTACCGGATCGTTGGTGAAGATAACAGTTTTTCCATATGTGGCGGATTGTCGCACTCTTGCGGAAACAAGCAGAGCAGTCAAGACCTTCAGGACGTCCGGCACCGAATTTTTACTGATGACATTGTCCGGCACAAAGTAATTACTCGCCGTGATCAGCTGGCTCTGGGACGATGTGAAGGCAAGAGTCATGATTTCGTGGCCTTCCTGCTCCATCATGCCAATGCAAAGATAAACGCATGTCCCATCATAGATTCTGAAGGCCATAGATGAGCATGCAATTACATTCACAGCAACAGGGGGCTCGGCGTTGTCTTCCAGAGAGTGGGATTGTAACAACTTCTGGGCAGAGGAAATTCCCAATGGCAGGCCCTTCGTGATGGGCCGGAACATAGAGTTGAATCGATCATTCATTTCCTTTGCATGCACCACCCGGGGAATATAAAGGCGCCCATTTTCAATTGCCATCTCACGTTCTTGAACCCAGAGAACCTGGTTCTCCTTCATGCGAGCTTCAGCTCCCTGAACAAACTGCGCAAAAAGGACAGCCAAGATTGAGCATTCCAGCGTCTTCGGGTAGTCAACATCGAGGAATACAAGGTTCAAATTCGGCGACTCCGTAGCCAGTACTCGACCAAGCCCAACGGTCATAGCACTGTAGGCATCGGCTTGTTTGAAGCCCTCTGTCACCCAAAAGATATTCTTGGACTGCTGGAAAAGATTCTGAAGAGCCCGGAATCTTACGGGATTCATTTCCTTGAAAACAGGTTCATCCAACTCTTCCAAGTTCAGCACATACGCCGGAACACGTATACCCCCGCGGAGTATATCGTCAACAGATAAGGCATAGGTGATGTGGTTGTTCCAGGATTTGAAATGGCATTGAAGCTCACCTATTATCCGAGCTCCAAGGAAAGAGTTGCCGCCGATGATAAGAATGCCATCTTCCAGAGGGGCCATGCTCGCCACCTCTAGCGGTCGATAGACTGTCTCAAAAGGGGCACCTTGGGCTCTGGAAATTATCAATGAGTGGCAATGGTTCGAAAACTCGGCAGTGTCGTAGGCTATGGAGTCCACCCCGGAGAATCCACAATCCTCCAGTACCATGTCCCAGTCACTTTCGGAACGGACCATTGATTCCGGGCCTCCCTCAATAGGAGCTGAATTGTACACCAGCTCGCGGACAAAGCATGCAAACAACGACATACCAGTTACTCCAGCCAGGAGTAAGATACCTCCCGGCTTCAAAAGCCGATGGGCATTCTCCAATGACAAACAAGTATCTCGAAAATTGCAAGGAAAGGTGTTTGCAATTATGAGATCGTATGTGTGATCTTCAAACTGCTCGAGGGGTAAATCACCGATATCCAAAGCCGTAAATTGAAGTCTATCGTCTCGAGATACCAGGCCAGCCTGTGCAACTTCAACCGCCTCTGGCGATGGGTCCGTCACCAAATATGATACAAAGGCGCCTTCTAGTGAGTCTAGAACAAGCTCTGTTGTTGCACCGTTTCCTGCGAAAAGCTCAAGGATTTTCATCCTAGCAAATTTATGGCCAATCTGCTTGACAGTACGCGCGAGGTGGTCTCGTATGCGACAGGCCCAGAAGCCCGACTCCACGTACCGATCTCGTGCCGCGATAAATTGAAGATGTCGGTTTTCGTCAGACACTAGGGAGGCATTTCGAGCAGCTTGAATCAATCTAATATCCAGAGAGCTTGAATCATGGATTTCGAATCCTGCCATATTCCCATTTCCAACAGTCTCTGATGTTGGGGTGATGCATTCATTGATCTGGAAGTAATCATAGGCGAGCCTTTCGCATTCCGCCAACGAAGCTGAGTGTCGCTCATTGGGAAACTTGTAATCGGAAACCACCATGTCGAAAGAGATGTCCTGGTCCCATACAGTCGTATGAAAGAGCTGTCTGTCCTGTTCCTTTGAGTAAGCAGCCAGGGCCACACAGCTGAATCCCTCTATTTGAATTAGACAGTTGCCCTCTTCGTTGTAGATCTCGATGTCACCCGTAAAATGAGAGGAAGATTCTTGGGTGGGTGGGCGAAGATCGGTAATGTTAGCGTCAACGGAGAGTGACTGACCCTTTCCAGAGGCGTCTTGCAGAAGGTGAGGATTCAGCCGCATAGATTTCACTCTCCTGGGAAGAAAGGCAGTTCGTAGGCTCCTGATGGGGAAACAATTAGAACCGAACAAACTTGTAGAGGAGTACACAAAGAAAACTTACCCATCTCCGGGAGCTGCAAATGCAACGAAAATGGCCTGGAAGCAGGAGTCTAGCGAGGCCGGGTGTATTGGTAACGAGCTTCGGAGCCGGTTCACTCGGGCGGAAGTCTGGAACATTTTTCTTTCTGCACTCAAAATCCCCCTGAACACACCCGTATACTGCAGGCCAACATTTGTCATGTAGAATCGGTCAACATCGACAGCAGACAGTTCCGAGGAGTCCTCCATCTTAGGAGGGAACAATGAAACATCCGGGTTTCCCAGCTGGACGCGTATGCTAGCCGTGAACCTAATATTCAAGGGATCCGTTCCGTCGATCTTGCCGGCACAGCATGAAAACCGCACATCGGCCGTGGTTGCACCGGAAGCGCGGCCTTTCTCAGAAGGATCCCGACTCAGATATGAGACGACTTCTATTCCAGCAGAACCGTCTTCGAGATTTATACCACGTCGAATATCGAGATCATACAGCTCGATCAGCTGCAATGGCTGCTCCCACGATCTCAACGCAGCTTCTACAGCCATGACACAGTACCCAGCCGCAGGAAACAAGACATCACCCTGCAACTTATGGTCTTGAAGCCACGAGATCTCTTGTGGATGTAGAACATTGCGCCATCGTATCTGCTGCTCAGACTTCTCAATACACGGGCCCAGCAGCTCATGCGGTTGCTGGCGACCCCTGTATTCCTTTGACAGACGAGTCTCCTTCCAGTACACCTCTTTATGGTTCCATGGGTATGTCGGAAGGTCCTTCAACACATGGAGGCTGCCAGATTGGCTACTGTTGATGACGGTTTGGAGCTTGTTCAGGCTAACAGCGGAAGAACCCAAGGTCGTCCATAGGTTACCCACGCAGGTGCCAATGGCCAAGATGTCATTCTCACCACGTTTCAAGGTTCCATAATATGGAATCGGAGATTGTTTCATGCTTTTGATGTTCTGCGACGTTGGTCCCGCCAGCGCTGCATGGGGACCAACTTCAATGCCAGCATCGAACGGTCCATGATCTTTAATCGCTTGCTCCAGAGCATTGGAGAACAGCACTGGCCGCAGCAGATTTTGTATCCAATAATTATTGTCCACGCGATCAGAGCTCGAATCCATCTCGAACCCATGCACAGAAGATATCCATGTACAATGAGGTTGCGCGTCCGTGTACTTGATGTCACACCGGCGGAGGGCATCCAGATATGGTTGTGCACAGGATTCCATGAAAGGCGAATGGTATGCCCTGTCAACACGAAGCATTCGCACAAAGATCTCTCTCGCCTGGAACACTTCCAATGCACTTTGCAAGACCGCCTTGTCCCCAGAAATTGTTGTAGAGAAGGGCGCATTGCTGGCGGCAGGAAAGATTCGGTTTAAATACTCCGGACGACTGCAGATTTTGCGAGCTTCGGAGAAGCTCACCCCAACTGCCATCATCGCGAGAGCAGGTTCGAGTTCCAAATCTGTTCCCTTTGAATAGACCCCCCTGTAATAGGCAATCATAATGCCCGCCTCGGCTGTCAGGCAACCAGCAGCATATGCCTATAAGATGGAATATATGAGCGATCTCTTACTTTTGAATTACAGGGCTAATATTTACTTACTGCAGCAATCTCCCCGCTGCTATGGCCGACGACCACAGAGAACTCGATGTCAATGCTCCGCAACAAATCTACCAGAGCGATTTGAATAGCGGTACACAGGGGTTGGGAGTAGGCGGCTTCATTACATCTTGATTCATGTTTGTCAGCTTGTAACTCCTGACGAAGGGACCAATCTGGGGGATCAGGAAGTTGCCTCAAGGTATCATCTAAACGATCAATGGCTGCAGAGAAGACCTGTGACCTCGAAATCAGCTCACAGCCCATCGTTGGCCATTGCGCCCCCTGGCCGGTGAACACTCCAAGAATACGGCCTGCGTCTCCTGGTGGCGGATTCCTGCTGCCTTCTAGGCTGTACCTTGGACCGTTCGAGCCAGCCTTCAAACTATGCAACTGCTCTAAGATTTGCTCTCTCGAGAACCCACCGACATAATCTCGAAATGGCAATGTAGAGCGACGCCGTAGCGTGTGTGCAAACGATCCTAAATCGATGGAAGGGTTCCCCGTTAGATAGGCAATATATGAATCAATCAACAGTGAAAGTGAGTGCTCTGAATATGCAGATAAAGGTAAAAGTACAAAGTCGTCTTCACGGCTTCCAATGGGATCCATTGGACAAGATTTGCACATGTGCAAGCCCCCGTGCAGGGATTTATCGTAACGTTCTAGGATCTGAATTGGAAGTCAGCAAATATGCCTCATCATTCTTCAGGGTGCTGTGCTGCTTACACAATGTGCGTTTGTGCCTCCAAATCCAAAGCTATTCACCGAGGCACGGTAAACTTCTCCTTCGGGCCAGGCTGTGGGCACAACAGGGATTCGCAGTCTATCGTAGAATGGTAATATGCTTGGGTTGAGGCGGCTAAAATGCATGTTCGGCGGAATGGTTCCATTCTGCAGGGCCAGAGACGCCTTCAACAGACCGGCAATACCCGCCGTTCCCTCGGTATGGCCCACCACTGTCTTTATGGAGCCAACGAAAAGTGTGTTCTCCTGGGTTTCACTCGAGCTGGTCGCACGAGGAAAGAAGACGGACTTAATTGCTTCCGCTTCAATAGGGTCACCTGCGGGTGTACCGGTTCCGTGTGCCTCAAAATACTGACATCTGAGGTTAAGTTAGCAGGGTGATAGTCCATTTAGAAGCAGTCAAAAGCTACCGTTCGGACTCCTTTGACGGATCCAATCCCGCCCGGAGATATGTCTGCCTGATAAGCGCGGCTTGACTGGCAGCGGATGGCATTGTGATTCCATTTGTTCGCCCGTCCGAGTTCACAGCCGTTTCTCGAATGATACACTCGATGGTATCTCCATCTCGAATAGCGTCCTTCAGAAGCTTGAGAACCACGACGCCGATACCTTCACCCCTCGCGTACCCATCAGCACTTACGTCCCACATGCGTGACTGGCCCGTTGGGGAAAGCATATGCAATTTGGACTCAGCAATGAACATCTCCGGGCCCAAGATCAAATTGGCACCGGCCGCAACGGCAGCCGTGCACTCTCCTTGACGCAAAGCCTGGACGGCCTGATGAACGGCTACCAGACTCGAGGAACAGGCGGTATCCACAGTCAGCGAGGGGCCTTTCCAGTCGAAGAAGTACGAGACTCGATTGGACAAGATACTTCGGGCTGTACCCGTAGCGTTGTACTGGGGAAGGGACTCGGGATCCCGAGCCTGGACGTCGTAATAATCGGCACACATGAGACCAACATAAACTCCGGTGGGCGTTCCCCGCATCGACTCGAGAGACAATCCCGCGAACTCTAACGACTCGTAGACGGTTTCGAGAAGGAGACGATGCTGGGGATCCATCGCCACCGCCTCGCGGGGGTTGATGTTGAAAAAGTTGGCGTCGAACCGCCGTGGATCCTCGTCCAGGAAGTACGAGTGAGCGACATTCGAGGTACCATGATGTGAACCATCTTCGTGCCAAAAGCCATCGACAGCAAAGCGATCGGCTGGTATTCTCCTGCCGACATCTCGTGGTTGCGATAGCAATTCCCACAGCTTCTGAGGGCTGTCAGCGCCACCGGGGAAACGACAGGCGCTCCCGACGATGGCCGCCGGTTCACGGGGAGACGACATCGTTTCGAGGTGGGTAATAGCGAGGATCCCCAAACCCCTGACCCTCCCGTGTGGTGTAGTCAATCCAAGGTGTCGTGATGGCAGAAGTTTATTTTGATTTCGAAAGTTGAGGATGGGATTGTCGCGCGTCGTACGACCTGTTTATTTTTTGATTAATTTTTTTCCCTTAGCGAATTCTCACCCGAAGCCAACCAAGCCAGTCTGTGAGGAAGCGTCCATACTCAAATGAGACTAAAAGCGCAACGCTAAGTCGGAGTCTAACATGGAGGCTACGGGGTCAGGACTCCGTGTCGGCCCCCCCCCCCCCCCCCCCCCCCTCCTCTTTCGCAGCCTCTCAATCTCACCCTTGGCGTGCGAACGACATCAGAGTGGGGTCCGTCAGCGAATGAAGCCAATAGAAAGGACACCATGTTCGACAGGCGCGCAATTACAAAGAATGGGGTCAGAAACACGCCGACGCAACGTGGAATGGATGCAAAATGATGTCGGGAAGAGGATAGGGGGAACGAGGGAAGTTTCGACTCGACGGGAGCCTCGTTCCGTCTCACGCATTTGACATGTTACCCCTCAGCTGAGCCAGTATGCATGTAACGTTGTCCCCCCTTTCCTTCCATCTTTGCTTCCCACCTTCATGCTCTTTGTGCATTGACAAAATTTCAGGAAATGAATTAATTCCGTCGACACACACCGGCCGGGGACCCCTGTCGGTCCACGTTCCAGGGGTCCTGGTTTGGGCCTAGCGGTATTGACCGTGCAGTATCACCAAAGTTTGGCAAATCTCCAGGCCGGTCGGAGGGTTGACTTGGGATCTATTCGTTGCTAGAATAAATTGAGGTTGGGGCCCATTGAACGCCGTCGGTCTTGGAGTTTTCATCTGTGAATTTCCCTTGCAACATCCTCCTCTGGCTACCCCATTCAAAATGGCTCCTAAGAAAGAGACCGTCCTGAAGCTCACTTCCTTCCGTTACAAGAAGGAAGGCATCTCGGAGAAAGACTTCCATGACTACGCCAGCAAGAGTCATGCTCCCAAGGCTGCCCTGGTCCAGGCCCGCCACGGTGCTCTGAAAGTGGTTCAGGTTCGTTGATCCCAGTTAATAAAAAAAAAAAAAAGAGAAAAAACATCATTGTACCTCAGATCATTGATACATTTCTATTCCTACAGTATCACACCCCCAGCACCAGCAAGCAGCTCATCAGGGACAAGATCCCCTGGGCTATTCGTTCGGGTTGGGAGATCGACGACCATGACATCCAGGTGTCGGTCTGGGTCCGCAACACGGAAACCATGCAGGCCATCGTCATGGACCCGGACTTCCAGGCTCTGGTCGCAGGAGAAGATGATATCTGCGATCAAAACCGAGCTAAAGTGACCGCGGGCTGGGAGGAAGTGTTTGTCGAGGATGGCAAGGTCGTGGAAGCTGATTACGGTACTTACGAAGAGCGGATTAGTGCGGGTTCTGGCAGCGTTGTCACGGATGCTCCTGAGGGAATCCGCATTTGAAGGGGGAAGGAACAGCAAGGGCATTTCTATGTAGTCGTCTAATTGAAACAAATGACAAGACCAGATAGTCACATGTTGAATGATAATTTATCAATCGAAACAACCTGTTCAACCAAGACAGAATGTACTTTTTATTCTCAAGACAACGGATAGACAAGCTTCTTCCCCGAAACCTGCTTCTGCCGGAGCAGGCCCAAGTCATGGATGATTCTTTGTAACCCCCCCGGCTGAACCTGGATTGGATGGGCCTGTAATTTCCCCGCCTTCAGCAAAGCATTACAGTGGACTGCCCAACGGACAGCAAACTCGCGGTCTTCCGGCAGCGCCACACGCTGGTAAGATCCGGCGAGGTCGATCCTTTCACCGAAAATAGTGGGACAAAGGATCCAGTCCGGCTTGACCTTCTTCCTACGACCCCTCAGTCTCTCCGGATAGGCTTCCAGGGCTGTGTACCGGCCCCCAGCTTCGCCGATGGCACCGTAGCAGACAGTTGTGGCGCGCGAATCAGCAATAGCGTCCATGGCATACGCTAGTTGCCCCTTGGTATGTGCGCGAATATCCTCTTTGCACGTGGAAGAGGCATAGTCGAAAACGGCCTCTGCGCCAAGTCCCCGCACCAGGTCAAAGTTCCTCGGGGAGCAGGTGGCGACGGGAAGGAAGCCGTGATGCTTGAACAGCTGGATCGCCAACGTTCCGGTGGCGGTCGAGCCTCCGTAGATCAGCACGTACGGCTTCACCCGCAAATTAGGGCTCGGTGACTCAAAGGGGCGCAATCCAAATGACTTGAACACCAATCCAACGGTCATCAAGCCCAAACCGAGGGAAGCACCAGTTTCAAAGGTCATGGATGGTGGCATGCGAAAGCACAGGTCTGGAACTGCGGCTACATACTCCGCAAATGCGCCGTCCGAGGGATGGGCTGGATTAGCCCCAAAAACGTAGGCAAACACCCGGTCTCCAAGTTCAACTCCTCGAACCTTGCTGCCTCTTTGGACAACGATACCGGCAAAATCACCACCGCTGACTGGGCCCGGGGTGACCGTTGCGTTATCGATCATCTTCCAATCGGATGGATTGAGCGCGACGGCCTTGGTTTGCACCAGGATCTGGTCTGCCGTGATTTCCGGAATAGCGACATTGGTCGACCAGCGGAGAGAGTTGGGTCCTTGGATGGTTATCGCCCCCTGCGTCAAGAGCAGTGGATTGGTCGTCGCGGGCATTTTAGGAGATTGCACTCGTTTTCCTGGTCTCCGTACCCTGAAGGAGGGGGCAGGCAGGGGTGATGAGGAGATTTCGAGGGGTGAATGGGTAGTCGACATCAGCCATTATGTAGCAAGGTGGGAGTCGTTGTGGACAATTGTTGCTGATGATGCACAGGACGCATGTAACTACGGACTTAGCCCTAAAGTTGATATCGACGAGGCCCATGCTGGACTAGTGCTCAAACCGGGTCTTTGATCAGCGGGGAAAATGTCCTTCATCTCCCTCGCCTGTACATGTAACTCGCTAAATACCCCGGACTAACTCTCCGTACTACATTCGCAATTTACTCTCCCGGCGCCCCGTGATCAGCAACATGTCTCGATGCCTGTCCGGTGCTTACTTACCGCGGAGAATATCAATTGTCAAACGAGACCAGTTCTGCATGCCGTGGAAGGATACGAATGGGGGTAGGTAATCTTATGTGCATATATGGCTTACTTGGTCGACGGTCATGAAGTCCTATGAATATAGCTCTATGGAAATAATGGCTGGGTTGGACGACTGCATTTCATCCTTGATGGTTATAGGAGTTATTAGGAACCTGCTGACGGCTAGACGGAAGGATTAATAACGGTATGACCATGGCGTAGACGGTAGGTAGTAATAACAAGCCGTCCACTCGTGCAACAGTCCGTATCTGCAGCCCGTCAGCCGCCCAGAGTTTCTTTTTTAGAACCAAACTGCGAATCAGCCGAATGATTAAACCAAGCGTGAGTGGCCATCCCGTTGGTGGGTGCACGGTGCCTACGCCTTGCATATTTGGCCCCAAAATCAAATATGCTGATGCTCGTGGCTCAGCCTAAGAGAGAGTTTGAGGCGATCCCGTTCACCCTCCCTTCCCTCCTTCGGCGCTTGCCACCACTTACCACCCTTTCTATCTTCTTATTTTTGGACGAAGGCCTCGTGGTACCTTTCCTTCTGGGCGTCTCCCCTTGCATCATGTAAATCCTTCACGAGCGGTGGATCTAGCGGGTATCTTGATCATTTTAAGCTCTTGCTTTCTCAATTTCGTGCCCGCCGCCATATCGCTCTCCAAGCAGAACATGTCATCCAACACGACAACTCCGGAGCAGCAGGCCTCTCTGGAATACCAAAGAACCCATCTCCACGAGGATCGCGGCCCGGAAGTGTTAGCAGCCTGCGTTGTCAGTATTGTGTTTTGTGTGTTGGCGGTGATTCTTCGAATATGGGCCCAGTCCCTCATTCACAAGGTGTTTACGCCCGATAGCATCCTGATTTATATTGCGGCGGTGATAGCGATCGCAACGGCAGCATGCACTATTGCCGCAGTCCAAAGTGGACTGGGAAAGCATCAGGTAAGACCAAAACATCCCGCCCTGAGAAATGGAAGAAAAGGCAGGCTAACGGCACGCTCCCATAGCTCCGTGTCATGGCGATCGATCCGGATCCGCCAGCCAAAACGGCATTCATCTTTGAAGTCCGTCGTATACTGCCTATCGCAGTTGTGGAGTATAGGCTAACCTGCAGTTAGATGGGCTATATTGTGACCGTCCTCCAAGCCGCCGCTTTGATGTTCACCAAACTGTCGATCCTGCTATTCTATCAGCGAGCGTTCACAACCGTGCTGCGGCCCGTTAAATGGACCATTTGGATACTCTTCTATTACTGTATAGGGCTGGGTATCGGGTCGACAGTGGAATTCATCTGCGCCTGCATTCCGCCGCAGATGTTTTGGCTGCGAGTGTATCCCATCTTTGGCTACGAGCTGCCGGAACCTCTCGAAGAGAATTGTCTTCCGCAGCAAATGCACCTAGGAGTCCCGCTGCTCTTGGATCTGGCATCCGAGATCGTCATGCTCGCGGTGCCTGCCATCGTTCTGTGGAACCTCCAACTTCCTCTCCGCAAGAAGATCGGGTTGACCTTTGCCTTCTCCATGGGAATCTTCGTCACGGCTATTTCCGTGATCCGGTTCTACTACTCGTGGCACATGGTCAACGACGGCGACCTCTCCTGGGACGACACAGACAGCTTCATGTGGACGTCAGTGCAAGTCTGCTTCGGAATTACCACGGCGTGCATTCCGGCGTGCGCGCCCTTGTTGCGTATGGTCCAGGCGCATGCCACGCGCAAAGCCACTTACGGCAGCAGTTTTAAGTCGAATTTCACCAGCCATTCGAAACCGAAAGCTGAAACGGACAGCGTGATGAATCTAGCACAGACGAGCTGGGACGACGTGGAGCAGGTCCCGTGGTCACGTAACCGCTGCGAAATCCGATCGGAGACGCCCGCACGAGGAGCTCCGCCTATCCAGATGCAGCCTCTGGGGATTCAAGTGTCGCACGACGTGCAAGTAGGCCATGTACCAATAACAGTAAGACCGAACAAGTAAGAACCAACGAGCAGATACTTGGGAGTTGAGAGAGGGGAGGGGGAGAAGGGAAAAGGACTGGTCGGTTACCTCAGACCGACGCAAGGAGGGTGGTATCGACCGGGGGAGAGGTAGCATTGCACGGGGCCTGAGGTATACAGGCTAGACCCTTAAGGGGCGTTTAGTGCCCGCCACGAGGGTCTTGGCACCAACCAGGACTTCTAACTGGCAGCCAAAGGCCCGTAATGTATTACTGGAACTCTATTCCGTCCCCAATTAGGTACCTACTACAAGTACTATTGCTATGCGTCGGGCACAACCTTTGCAAAAGGGGATTTTTCTATTTCGATTTGGACTGTCGTCGGCACACCAGGCTTATTTTCCTACAGCAGCCTTCTCTACCTTGCCTGACAGGTCTCTCAATCCATATCACCAACAGAATAAGAAGGAAAAAAAGACCCTGTCTATATTTACGTACTGTACGTGCGACAAAACTCAAAAGCCCAAACAACATGACATCCTGTAGTAGCAATACAGAGAAAATAGTGGATCTACAGCTGTCAGCGTCGGCAGAGACATCCGTGTCCAGGGAGACTCAAAGTCCAAGAGAACCGTGCGCTGTCAAGTGTACAAAATCCAGAAAATCCTCCTCCAACGCTACCTAATCAGAACACTTGCCCAGGTGGGTAGGATCGTCATGGAAATATCCGACAAGGCACCCGTTCCGCGGCGCAGCTGCATTAGGTTGCCTTTCGGATGTCTTAAGGGAGCTTGGACTTTATTATTATGATTATGATTATTATTTTCATCATCTTTTTAGTTTCGTTTCTTTGTCCTTACCAACCAGTAAGTGACTGGTCGACGCCAACATGCCCCCCCTTGTACGCTGCTCGTAGCACGACCGGCTTTCGGGGATTACCCCCTCTCCCCCAATTTACCATTCAACCGACAGATACCTGGATGCAGCTGAGGAATTCAGCCTCTTGCCACCAACATATGGTCATGCCCATCCTTTTCCATCATCCAGCAGCAACGTCGTACGGTCAATTGTTCAAACCACCATCATGTCCCCCGCCCAGGAGAAATCCCCCTACGATTGGCGATTCTGGTTGATTTTCACTGGTTTGTCCGTCACCTCACTGTTGACGGCCGTGGAGTCGACAGTCACCTCGACGGCTCTCCCGACCATTTCGCGTGACTTGAACGCAGGTGAGGCTTATATCTGGTTTGTCAATGCGTTCTTCCTCTCGAGGTATGCCTGTCGATATCTTGTCATCCGGACTTGGGATCAAATGAATCTAACGAGTGGGTTGTTGGCAGCACCGCATTCCAGCCCCTATACGGTCAGTTAGCAGATGTCTTTGGACGACGATGGCCGCTGATCTCCGCCGTCTCGTTCTTCGCCCTCGGTAGTGGGATTAGTGGAGGTGCGAAGTCGACGGCCATGCTCATCGGAGGCCGAGCCGTCCAGGGAATAGGACTCGGTGGTGTGAACATGTTGATCGATATCGTAGGTATACTACAACTCCGATGGAGGGTCTGTGTTATGTTAACTCTATCTAGGTGATATGCGATCTAGTTCCTCTCCGCGAGCGAGGCCAGTTCATGGCTTTGATATTCGTCGTTTTCGCCGTCGGATCGTCCATTGGCCCGTTTGTCGGGGGCGCCTTGACACAGCATGTTACCTGGCGATGGTCGTTCTACATTAGTTTGCCGATCGCTGGCGCTGCCTTGCTTCTGATGTTACTTTTTCTGCAGGTGAAATATCAAAAGGAGACTACATTGGCACAGAAGCTGAAACGAATCGATTGGTTGGGCAATACATTGCTGATCGCAGCGGTGGTAGCAGTCCTGATCGCGCTCAGCTTCGGCGGGACAATCTATGCTTGGTCGAGCTGGCATGTCATCGTACCCCTTGTACTCGGACTGTTGGGTCTTGTCGCCTTTCACGTTCTCCAGACGACGCGACTCTGTCCCGAGCCGACCATCCCTCCACGGCTCTTCATGAACCGTACCTCGCTAGCTGCGTTCATCCTCAGTTTCCTCCACGGCATGCTCCTTTACTGGGCCCTTTACTTCCTACCGGTGTATTTCCAGGGCGTCAAGCTAAGCACACCGACCCGTTCCGGAGTCCAAATTCTCCCCACCGTCATCGTGGTCGTTCCGGCCGCGATTTTGGCAGGTGCTATCCTCACCAAGACCGGGAAGTACAAGTGGATCCAAATCGTCGGGTTCGCCTTCATGACGCTCGGCATGGGGCTATTCACCCTCCTCGACAAAGACTCCGACACGGGAAAATGGACCGGGTTTCAGATCCTGGCGGCCATCGGATCCGGTCTGATCATTACCTCCACCCTGCCCGCCGCTCAGGCCGAGCTCCCCGAAAGCGACGTCGCCGCGTCGACCGCCACATGGGCATTCCTCAGATCCTTCGGCTCGGTCTGGGGCGTGGCCATTCCCGCTGCCATTTTCAATAACCGATTCGCATCCAGCGTTGCCGCCACCGGGTTAGATGAGCATCCGGAAGCCGGGGCCATCCTGCGCGTAAGCGATGCATACCAACAAGCTTCCCGCGAGTTCGTGCACAGCTTTCCCGAGGAGCTACAGACCGATATCGTTCAGGCTTACACCGACGCGTTGCAGCGCGTGTGGCAGATCTCAATCATCTTTGCGGGTCTAGGGTTTCTGGTGGCGTGGTTGGAGAGGGAGGTTGAACTGCGGACGACGTTGGAGACGGAGTATGGTATGAAGGATCGGGAGGGTGATAAGGTGGATGAGGAAAAGGTCGAAGAACGCGTGGCTGCTGCGGGCAAATAGTGTGAAGCTGTTCTTGGGGTGTGTTTCCAACTTTCCTTCAAATCCTTACCACATATTAGTTGTGGCCTTTGCTTTAGCAGATGGATTATTCATTCGTGATGATAGAGCCTTTTAGGTAAAAAATATTTGTAATGTTGATGAGATCACTACACTACACTACGAAATGATTTTGCAGCACAACCTCGTCTACCTTTTTAGTCGAGCGTCAGTTCGTCCCAAACCAGTCTGTCATGTCATGGGTTTCCCTCTGTTTCCTGGTAAGCTTGAAGGGCCCACTTCGAGAGTTTTGTAACTTACCTCTTCCATATAGCCTATGGTCCTACGTAAATATCTGCGACTTCTCACGCTCTGTATTTTGCATGAGCACTGAGAGGGATGTCTGAGGCTATTCAGGCATCCGAGGCATATAACAATTAGTTGAATATAGCCGTTGAGCGATTGCATGCCTTTCAGATAAGGCTGGGTTTATTGTTTGATTCGACTAGATTATTATCTAGTAAGTGTACCCGGACTCGAAGTGATGGTCATCCCATTCTCTGTAGATGTCTGAAGTGCAGTTTTTCAAAAAGTGTTCTTTTTATATTGCATCACTATCAGCCATCGACAACGACCCGGAGTCCTGTTACGATGCTTTCTGTTAGTCAAGAACTCTAAAGTCTGTCTCAGCCATCTACAGCTATTTTGTCGATGCAGGTTCTACAGTACATATCCACGACAATCCATCTTGCATGCCCCGAGATACAAATTTCCTTATCTTCAGACATTCAGCCAGACAGATATGCTTCCTAGACGGGCGTGGCTTCATCAAATATGCCCATAGCCGAATATGGGTAGGTAGTAACGAAAGTACTGGATGAGTGTCCCTGGGCATCGCATCATAAAGATCGGTCATCTCACGCTCCCACACACATTCCATAATCATGAGTAGGTACCTGGTAGTTACTATCTCCTAAAAGAACGGTATATCTTACCTCAGAACACGAGCCCCATAATTTTTCCCTCGAAGCCAATACGTCATCGTGCACTTCGACAACTCAATTTGACGATAACAGGAGCGTAATAAGTATCCAGGCGAGCATGCTTTGCAACGCCCCCTCTGCAGAAAATTGCGGGGACTTCAAGCCGTGATGGGCATCCAGCATACTCACTCGATCAATGAGCGCGGACAGCCCAATCGCAGCTCTGAATTGACCTGTACACACGAACTAGAGGGGGCGGGAGAGGAGGATGATGGAGGAGAGAAACAGGATCCCTGGAGGGAGTCGATGAGGCCGGACGTTCCGGGACCGTTGATTAGCTGGACGACGGGGATGCATGTTTGGCTGACCAAAGCTGACGTTGAATTATGCCATTTCGGCGTCAAGCCGGATAAGCCAGGTCAAACGATGATGAGTGCCAAGACTTGTCATTCACGCATGGAGCCTCTGCGGATCAAGGCGAAGAAGGGAAACTGGTGGGTTTGGAACTTGAAAGGTGAAGGTTCTCTTGTTGATGCCTGGATGTGATATTGGGCATACTCAGGACGTCGCCGCTGTCGGTCAACAGACGGTGGCGATAAGCGTCCCCGTCGGTAGTCAATAATGCCAATTGAGTACACAGTAAGGAAGACGGTTCAAGAACGAAGAATAATCAAACCGCGGCCAATAAATCATGCAGAAGACGGTCGGAAAGAAACTGATGACTTTGATTTTATTCCGACCGAGGGATCTCACGTGAGCGTCGCTCTTATTCCACCGAAATCCCCCGGAGTCCATCGCGTCGACGCTTCCTTGCATTTTCGATCCTTGGATTTGGTTTCGATTTCTCATAATCTCCGCTCTGACTGGCCTGATGACAAGCGAGACGACCAATTTCGGAGGATTATGATTTGTTAATGGGAGCCAAATGGACGAGGAGGATCGTCGGGGGCGTCCAGGTCTACTAAGGACAAGGTACTCCGTTGGTCTCCTCAGCACTAACCAACTAACTACTCAGAGTCTAAGACTCTGTACTCAGTAATGTCTAGACCGTTGATTGTCACCAAAGGTTCTAGTCCTTCCCAGCTCGGATTTCCCTATTTACGTACCTACATCAGGGCGGACGGTGGAAAAACCCAGACCACTTGGCCGTGCAGATAACCAGCGTGAGGCGAGTGGATGAAGGGACCCGCTTCGCCAACGCAGTGCGGTGGCTCAATAGTCAATAATGATTCATGCCTCGACGGGCGAGAAGTGTTGTCGACCGCTGGATGAGGTGCTCCACGCCGCTCTTCCTATGCGCTGGTCAATTTGGCATGCGTTGGTCGTTGTCCGATGAGGCCGGGACAAAGGCATAAACAAATGGTCAGTTAAGGTATATAAAGAAAACATCCAACGTCCGACACCGTCGCTCGTCCCTGTTCTTTCATTGTTCTCCTCGCTGCCTCCGACCAACTTCCACCGTTTCCCCCGTTCCAACGATGGATACTTCGGCTTCTGTCTAAATTAGGAGTTGGGTTTAGGTAGCTTCGGGCCCTGAATCGTACGGATTCGTACCTGAAGCCCCGGGCTTTTGGTCGTGTGTCACATCCAACTCAGGGGTTTCGAAGATCCTTTATTTCAAGAAAGATTCCTCCGATCAGAACAAAAATAAACTAGAAGAACCGAAGGAGCAATAGAAGTCCATCCTCTCCTGGAAAGTCCCGATACCATCATTGATCAGGAGTCTCTACAACAACACCTTGACTACTGACCGAATCATCGGTTATCAAACTTGCATACCGCAATTGCATCATCTGTTCCTCTCTCCCACCTTACCTCTTTTTCTGTCTCTCCCTCGGACGGGGAGTTTTCCCTGGATGCATTCTTCTGATCCTATCCTGAAACTCTGGTGAGATCGGAATTCTAGATCGCTACTAGTCTTCGTCCAACTGTGGCCCCTGTTCCTTTCTTTTTCTTCCCCCCCTTCGATTGCCTGTCGATCCCCTGCTATCTCGCCCTTCCGCAAACAGGGCGTTTGGGAATTCGAATTCCCATTTCGCCCATTTCTTACTTTCCTAAATTTAGCAGGCATTTTTATAGCCCCTGCGATTAATCTTCCCCTTCTTTTTCTTTAAGTTATTGTTTCAGCTTTTGTCTTTTCCTTTATCCTGTGGGACTTTATTGTTTCTCTTCTTCCTCACTCTTTCAACTTCTTTCCCTGGTACTTCTTCCATCTCGATCTATACCGTTTTTGCTCCCATCTCCTAAATACTGCTTCGGTCATCGCTATTCGACACTCGCCCCAGAATCCAAACCCACGCCGACCGATTTAATTCTTTTCTCTTCGCCATGCACAAACCATCGTTGGCACAAATTGTGCACAGCGCAACCTTCCCACGCCCTCGAACCAGCGACCCGGCGACGTTCTCCGCTCACATCACTCGCAACCTAGTGCCCGAAGTCCGTATCGAAACCTCCACCTTCTATGGATCGCTAGACAAAGTCGAGGCTCAATACCCGGGCCTAGACTATTCGTACGGACCCCATCGCATGCGCCTCAGTCGGTTTCCGTGGCATCGTCGATTGTTCAGAGTCTTTGACGAGCTGGGATTGACGGAGGCGGAGATCTCCTCCCTGTGTCGCTGGGAGGGCACCAAGTCGGCCCGCGAGCGCTACGAGAAGGAAGAAGGCGTCAAGGTGGAAGACACTACTGCCGACGGCGTCAGACCCGCCTCGCCCGCTCCGCTACCTTCGATCGAAATCCACTACGAGGATGGGCCCGAGCCGATCCGGGAACCGGAAGAACCCAAGGAGGAGGTCTACGAAGATGTTGTGCGTCCCGCTGCCGTCGCCGCGACCGATCGCGACGTCGAATGCGAAATTCGGGCCCTGAAGGTCGAGGAGGAATCGAGCGACGAAGAGATGGAGAGCTGCGGGGTGGAACTGAACCATCGTCTCCTGGCGGCGAGTGCTGCTCGCGAGCAGGGCGCCAATGTTCCCCTCGACGAGGACTGGGAGCAATGGTTCAAAGAAGCCGGCGAACGCGGAAGCTACCCAGACGTGCTCAGCGCGATTCGAACAGGTCAGCCGTTGAATATCTTGTACGACATGCCTTCCTCCGTGCCCCATCTGGGTAGGACGAGCATTCGACAAGCGACGTCGCTGTCCATTCTCCCAGCCCCGTCGAATGTGCGCAGTGCGAGGAATGCCATTCGACGGGCTCATTCGCCATCGGGGGCTACCCGTTAAAGAAAAAGGGGGGCTGTCACCGGTTAATTTCTGATTTGATCCTTGATATTTCTTCCTTCTGCCAATCTCCGGATTCTAGCAAGCGCACGCATTTTCCTCTTTCGATGCATTTCTGGCGCATCAGCGGTGGTGTTTTCTGTCCTATCTCTTGTCCCCGGCGTACCTTTCATTCTTTCGGCCCCGTCTTCTCCTCATTCTGTTGTTTTTTAATGGTCTCGCAAATGGTTTCGACTACTGACTGGTTTAGACTTGCTAATTTTGCATTTCATCTCCCCTATCGTGGAGGCTAATACCCTATGGATCTATCTATCTGCCGTTTTATTTTAGCGTTGCATGCAAAATGGTGACAATTGTTTTCAGGAATATATTCAAGAATCTACTCTGTAGACTAAATCTGTACATTGCATAACACCGTATCCTGTCTGTAGTGGCATGAAGAAAAAGAAAAGAGGATCGACGTGGAGCGGACCAAGAGCCTAAGGCCCAAAGGAGAGCTTGAGTCTCCACGGCCGAAGGTCCCCACGACTCCTGCAACTCCACCACCAGAACAACCCACTGAATCCAGGACCGCGACGATGTTCTGAAACGATCGCCTTCCTCGTTCCTTTCCTGTTGTCCTTGTTCGCCTCGCTATGATCAAAGCCATCTTCTACAGTAAATTCGACACGCAAGAGGGTAAGCCCGCCAACCCCAACCCCGCCGATTTGACCCATTGATCTCTAACTCACGGTCTATCCCTCTACAGGTCCCAAGGTCGTTCACCAAGTCCCCGATGGAGCCATCGTCCCCTCCAGCACGGCACCCTCGCAGCCGCCCTTCTTTACCTTCTCCGACGTCTCCTTCTTCGTGATACCCCGCCAGGAGCTCTGCGGAAACCTGATCCAAGTGTGCACCAATGGCTACCGCATCCTAGGCTATCCGATCTGCATGAAATCGCTCCGCTACGATCGAAATGAATTCATCTTCAATTTCTGTTTGGTGCTGGCTGAAGAGGAGGATTTCAGCACGTATAAGAGTGTGGTCCAGAAACTCGCCGATCTGATGCACGGTTTGGAGGAACAGAATGGTTTCCTGTCGCGGGATCACTCCAAGAGCGGCGAGGGGAAGGTGTACAGTTTGTGCGAAACATTGATGGAGGATCTGAATAACTACTGCGAGAGCATGATTCCAATTGGTATGACGTCCCTGCTCGTCTACCCAACTCAATGGCTGATCTCTGTGAATTCTTAGACGACCTGAACACTTTGAACGTCAAACTGTTCCCCGTCTACCCTGCTCCTCCATCGGTTCGCGCCTGGCAGGTCCCCTTGTTCACAGTCCGATACCAGGCCTTTATGGACGAAAATTGGGATCTGACGATGCAGCGGGTACGTCTCATGTCGCGAAGCATGGCCGCAAAAGTCTAATAGAAGCTCTGGTGCAGATCGTCCCCCATATCAACGGCGTCAACAGCGTCCGCATTATCTCCATCCTCGCAGATACCGACTTCTCCCTAACCTGTCGCGCAATCCGCCATCTCCTGTACTACGGCTGCCTCTTCCTTCTCGACATCTTCTCCTTCTCCGCCATCTACGCGCCCACCGCCCTATTCAGCTCCACCATCGCCTCCGACGAAGACATGCAACGGGAATGCGCCCGCTACATCAACGCAACCTTCGCCTCCCCGACCACAGCCTCTGCGAACTTCAACCCCGACCTACCCCCACGACACGACGACCCAGACGCCGTCTGGCCGCCCACCGGCGATCCCACCCCTATCGACCTCACCAGCACCAACGGGAGCCCCCGTCCCGTGAGTCCCAGCACGACGTCCAAATCCGGCTCTACCGCGCGCTCCGCCGACCACCACCGCAACCACCCTCAAGGGTCCTCCACAACCACCGCACCCACAGAAGACAGCAGCACCGTCGTCGACGGCGTCTCCATCGTCGAACTCTACGCGAGCCTCAAACAAGGTCAGAGCGTCAAGCACTGGTACATCCAGCACAGCCGACAGCTCGCACACATCGACATCCGCCGCTTCATCACGTTCGGCGTGATCAAGGGTTTCCTATACCGCGTCCATAAATACGCCATCGCCACTGGCCAGCCCGCCCCGCCGTCCAAATCCTCCCATTTCCACCACCAACACCTCCATAACTACCCCACCAGTGGCCCGTCCTCGCGCGGTCCCGGCACCGGCACAAACAGTCCCTACGCGTCCAGTCTCGGCGACGACCCTGCTCCCATCGCCGGCGGGGACCAGTCCACGTCAGCGCATAGCGGCAGTCGCCCCGGGACGGTGGTTATAGTGGACGACGAAGACGAGGAGGACTATATTGACGATAAGACACTGTCGAAGTTCCTTGACGGGATGCACTGTTTCGATCAGATCTGTACGGAGCTGGAGATGAGTGAGAGGGAGTTAACGGCGCGGTTGAAGCGCTATCCCGGTGAGGTTTTGATTATACACCGGTAGCTAGGTTGCCGGCGGAGCGTGATATTTGGAACTCGTTCTGTTTTAGCCTGGTTTGGTTTGGTTTGTATTTTCTTGGTTCTTGTTCTACCATTTTTTTTTGATACCCAGGATAAAGTATATAGTACAGTGAAGTAAACGCGCGAATTCCAAGGAGATTTCTAACCCCCGAAAAAGCATCGAATACCAACTTTACTAAGTTGCTGCTAATCTATGCAAGGTCAAATGATTGACAATAACATTACCCAGCCATCGGAGGCTACCTATTCATAGTTCTTTCTTTCTGTCTGCTGAACAACAAAGAATAACAAATGATAATAACTAACGAGAGAATCGCCATATTGAACGCCCCCTGATCATAAAAAAAAAGAACCAGCTCCGCAATGACGCCTCAAGAAAATCTATGACTAGCAATCAAATCAGACATGCTCATTCATACCCGGTCCATTGTCCATCCCTACATAGGTTCCTTTGAAATCCAAATCGTCCGTCGTTGAGGGTAATAAAAGATAGAGATAATAATAAAGCGAAAAGAGAAAAAGAAAATAACACCAATTCCAACTGACTGTACATGAAGATAAACCGAGTCAGATATTAGAGGGGGTATAAGAAGAAAAAGGAAGAGGAGAGAAAATTGAATGACAGAAGGAAATGAGACGTAGGAAATTTCACTACTCCTGTTCCTCATCCCACCCTTCTACCTCTCCTTTCTCGTACTCAGCCATAACCGCAGGATCAAAGACGGACTCTGCCCCCGTCGGCACGGAGGTCTTGCAGTCTCCGAACACAGGCCCGATGCAGTCAATCCAGCGCTTGCGACGGTCCATGAGGGTTCGCGCAACGTCCCCGATGGCAGGACGGCCGACGCCCGCGGCGCTGGCAACGTGGCTGCCGCCGCCGGCACCGCCGGGGCGGTGCTTGGCCTGGGAGCCCTTTTTGCTCTTACCGAGGGTGCGGGTGCGTTTCAGGTAGGCCTGCTGGACCTGCGAGTCGAGGTCGTCGTGGATGGTCATGTACTCCTGGTGGGCCATGCGTTCGCGGGCGATCTCGAGGAGGCGGGTCTTGCGGGCGCTGTTGATGATCATTTGCTTTTTCAGTTCGCTCTGCAGGAGACGTAGGCGCTGCGCGATGTCGTCGTCGTAGTGGGCATCGTAGTCCGGGTTGTCTTCTGCGCCGAGGAAGCCTACGTGGCGAAGTTCGGCCTTGAGGCGTTCGTCCAGCTGGGCGTGGTCCAGTTTGGCGGCGGGCACTTTGAAGCCGCTGGGCGATGCGTCCGGGAACGAGGTTGCGGAGGGCTGGGGTTTGGTTTCGGACTCGCCGCCACCGGCAGGAGGGGGATGATCGAGATCCATAGAGTCGTTGAGGGTGCCGTTGGTCGTGGACATTTCGCCGTTGGTCTGTCCGCTGGTGGGGGTTTCATCAGGAGCGCGATGCTCGTAGCGGAGTAACGAGTAAAGTCGGCTAACCAAAGGCCCAACGGAAACTTTGTCCGTCTCCACGGTCTCATCCGTCACCTGGTCGATGTTGCCGCGGCCTTGATTCAGAGGCAGACGCTCGCGATCCCCGTTGGTTTGGTCAAGGCTCATCATGCCGTCCTCCTCGGACCAGATATCACTGTAATGCTTCTTCCCGCGTCGCGGCATGACGAAAGGTGTCGTGCGGTCTCCCTTCTCTTTCAAGAAAGCAATGTCCTCTTCCGTCAAGGGGCGCACGTAAGGGTCGATGTAGGCAAGGAACGTGTTGGCGCTGACCTGATTCGTAGGTTTTGCGTTGCTGAAATCCTTATCTGGCGGAATGCCCGCCATCATATGCGCCAGGTCACTCCGAGGGAAGCGATTGACACAGTAGATTTCCTTCTTTTCTTCATCGGTCATGTCCGGCGTAACATCGCGAATATTGTAAACTGTCGGGTCATCGAATTTCAATGGATTGGGGCCAAACACCTGAACCTGAGTAACTGCAGGCGCCGGTTCCGGTTGATGCGAGTCGGAGCTGTCGTCCGACATGGGCGAGTCAGCTGTTTCAGGTTGTTCGGCAGCGGCAGCATTTGCTCGAGGTGATCTCTGGGAGGGAGATAGCGGCGAGCCCTCGGAGGCATTTCTCGATTTCTTCGATGAGGGAGATGCGGCTAGAGATCCGTTAGCTGTTGTCTAGATTAAGCGACGTCGCATGAAGAAAAATGCAGCTGCTTACCATTTTCCACTTTTGTCTCTGCGCCGTCCTGTCGCGACAGTTCGTGAGCGCCGTGGGTAAGCGGACGCTCCTCCTTCGAGCTGCTGCCGCGCTCCTTTCGCTTCTTCAGTTTCCCTCCTTTGGACAGCTTCGTTTCTTCTTCCTCCTCGTCGGCCTCGCGCTTCATTTTGGGCCGATCGGTGTCAAATGATTCCGTGTCATCCACCTCCTTTCGCTTCTGCGACAGCTCCCGGATCCCGGCGTTGCAGGCATCACCGCGTGCTTCCGCTAGTTGACTGAGGGTCTCTAGATGCTCTTTCAAAGATTCTAGGGATTTGGAATCTGGGATAGGGCCGACACCGCCCATGCGATCCAGGATCTCAGAGTATTGAATGGTCTGGGGGATCAGTAGCTTCGAGGCGTCGTTATCGAGATAGCTGGACACCGGAGCGGTGGGGCCGGCACTGAAGCTGGAGTTGGGGGTTGTGTTGCGGCTTCGCGATGGGCGGACATCGCGCCCTTTCCCTTTCCCTTTGTTTGCGGACGGCATGGTTTCCCTTTTGAAGACGTTTTATTCCAAGAGTCGTAAGGACGAAGGGTTTGCGGGGAGATTTTCGGATTATAAAGGCTGTTGTTGGCTCAGGCGGTCGGGGCTCAATTTCCCATGACGTTCACGCTCACAACTGATCTGTAGAGGGCGAGCGCAAGATCACTAGACAGGTCGATGCGAAGTATTGCAATCGGTGGTTCTGACCGGGACACGCGAGGATGTGGACGCGCCTGCTCGTTGAAGTCGATTGTCTGAGGATCGCGAGGTCGCTGCCAGATCACATGACGTATGTCACATGGATAGCACGTGATCTGGAGGATTGACGCCGTTGCCCGATTGGGTAAGCGGATCGTCGCCGTTCTTCTGCGCCAACATCAAACTTAACCATATTCGTTATTCTCAATCGTTGACGATTTTCCGGGGTTGGAGACCGTTAATCATCTCCGAACCGTTACACATATTCGTGGGGTCTCTGTTTGCGCTGTGAAGCTATTCTACGACTGTCAACTGCGCCCACTCCTGCTTGCTGACTACTCTGCCTCGACTGGATTGGCATGACGATGGATAGTCGCATATCATAGCTACTCCGGAGTACATAGCAATTTGGGAATTCATTGCATCCATACATCAAAAACTCTTGCTGCTTCTGGTTCTGTCTTGTCGTGGTCTTTCCTGCAGAACCATGTAGGAAGCCACTCTGCAAACGTCATTCACTCCGTCCGCAAACGGTAATCTGCTGCTCGTTAGCGAGGATCTGCGAAGGGGCGAACCAAGACAGACAAGAAAAAGAAAAAAGTGAAGGGCGACTATCAGGCCAAAACCGATGCAAGGGAAAACGGACCAACAGGATCAAGATGGATGCAATAGCATGCAGCTAACCATGCCTTTAACTCTCCTTTGGCAGTGAAAGCGAAACCTTCGAGACCTGTCAGCATTCTTGCTCAAACTATTGATTTACCCTCACATCCCTCCCCCCGATCTAACCGCCTTCTCTTGTCGCATCCTCCGTTTGGTCACTCCAGTTCCGTGCAGGATGCTTCATGCAATTGGATTCGATCTGATTTGAGCCTTAATATTTCGCATTTCTTTCGAACAGGGAAATACTTGGTTTGATGTCCTGCTGGTTATGGGTACGGTTGATCCTCCTGACATGTCGTGTTTTCGCCGTTGGACGGTGCAGATCGACGACTATCTCTGTCTGTCACCACCCAAGTCCATGGACTAATGTCTTCCATAATAGCTGCCGCATCGCTCACGACGGCGGCCTCGCTCTTCACAGGCCCGGAGGTAGCGACTAATAACACACCTTTGGTCAATGTACGTTAGGTTCTTTTCCGGCACGTGGAGAAAGGGCACGAACTTAGATTTGGAGGGAGGAAAATCGAACGAAGATACTGATAAGATTGTGTATTGCAGGATAGTGCGACATTCCACCTGGCTCTTGACGGGACGGTCCAGACACTGTCCACCCAAAATGCACCCGATAAAGGTCCCATTAAAGGTTTATTCTTTGTTCCTGGTCTCGACACTCACGATCCATGCGTCAATGCCACGGCTGAATATGTTCCCGCGAATGTCACCCGCTTCGAGGACGTGAAAACACTCGGCTACCGCATCGTTGGTCTCGCGCCGTGGATAAGCGCCGACTGTACGCAGTCCTTCCTGCATGCCTCTCGGCGCGTGGGAACCAATGCGCTGGTCTTTTACATACCCGGTAGCAATGACACAAAGCCACCGACGGAAGATAGTTCGGTATGGTCGTTGAGGGACAAGGAGTGGAAACGTCGGAATAAGTACCCGGTCTATGCGATCCCTGGCCCGGCGGGTGCAACCATCATGCGCCAACTATCGTATTATTCGGGGAATTCGAGCCGCCCCTATAATGAGTCTACGGAATTCTTGCAGGAGGGGCAAGGCGAGATGCGGTTGTTTGCCCTCATTAATCTAGGTGAGTTTATCATCTTTTCATTGGCTAACCACTTTCTCGGCTTCAGCATGGCTAATGGCCGGTTGCGTGTGATTGCAGACAGAGGTGGAAAGAAAATGCCCAGTCTCTGGGGATTCATCCTCGCGATCGTAGGAACTGTGCTAGTCCTCAGCGTGATATTACTTCTCTGCTACCAGATCGTGCAGAAGCGACGACGCGAGAGTTTGCAGCGTCGAATTGAAGCGGGAGAGGCGGACATTGAACATCTCGGCCTACACCAATTGAAGGTCTCCCAGGAGGTTTTGGATACGTTTCCAGTGTATGCGTATCCGGACCTCGAAGCACTCAGCGACAGTGACACTCAGTCGAGATCGGGCGATAGTGGCTCCACGCACCAATTGGACAAGGTGGAAGAAGAGCCAGAGAAGACCGATACAAACAGCGAAACGCGAATACGGACAGACCCAGCTGTTCACAACGTTCAAGGAAGGGTGGAGATCGGAGAAAAGGAGGTCTCGCCCAATCAAGAGGATGATATATCGTCCAGCAGCCAACACCAAACGCAAATTACCGCACCCTCTCCTCGGAATCGACTCAGTCATTCTCAAACGACCTGCGCAATCTGCCTCGACGACTTTGTGCCCAACGTGGCGATCGTGCGCGAGCTTCCATGTGGGCACATCTTCCACGTCGAGTGCATTGACACCTCTCTGGAGCAAAATAGCAGTCTTTGCCCGTTGTGTAAGAAGAGCGTTGTACCGCCAGGGAGTTATCCAGTCCCGGTGACGAATCGCATGGTACATCTAGATTACATGCTTCGGAGGACAACCCGATAGTGCTTGGTCTTTCTAGTTGATGTTTGAAATGATTGATAGATACCCCCCTCTGCATGATGGACGAATATAAACTCTAGGTATACATAATATAATACATATCTTCATCTCCTTCCTTGGTATTCCAAAAATCAAGCAAAAGTAGCCAAAAGGTATCCAGAAACCCAAAGACCATTATCCAAAAACTGTAGACAAAAATCAAGCAAACTTATCATGTTTCCCCTTCACCCTGACATCCAAAATCTCCTCATGGAAATTCCCCTCCCGCCTCGCCTTCTTCAACCTCTTAACCTCATCATCCTCCAACCTTCTCCCCACGATCTCCTCCAACTCCTTCCGACTCACCTTCTCCCTCGCCTTGGTCTCCTTCGTCGCCTTAATCTTCGGCTTGAAGCGCGCCTGCATACGGATCCTCACTGTCGTGTCGAACGAGATCTGCTCCGCATCCCCACGCACCTCCCACGCCTTCCCACTGACATTCTTGCTCGAGGTTACCTCCTTCACGGAGATGAAGTTCTCTTTGTCGCCGCCTGCTGTTTGGAGGGCAAATGTTCCTGGTACTTCGCCGGGGATCACGAGGAAGGATTCGCGATGCGAGATGGCCGAGGCCGTTGCGCTGGGGATGCCGTAGGTGTCGCAGCCGAGGTATCTATCAGACGCAGATAACGGGTTCGTTAGCCATGCTTTCGTTTTTTCATTTGGTATATACAGTCTATTTTCCCGCGCTTAAGCGAAGGAAACAACAGCGACGAAACAGGCAGTGTGTAGAGGGGGAGAAGATAAGACAGGATACTCACTTCCCATGATGTCCCTTAAACCCAAACGCCTCCGACCCCGCAACTTTCATCGCAACCCACACCTGCCGCACATCATGCGGCTCCGCAGTCCCGGGGTCCCCATCAATCGTGTTCTCGAGTTCGCTGGCAAACGCCTTCCCGTTCGCGTCGCTGGCGATACAGGTGGGTGGTTCCGAGGCCAGGACAAGGATGACCGGGCCTGCAATGTCGGTCGGCGTGTCGGCGTTCACCCAGGTCTGGTCGTCTGGGTTTTCGTCTGTAGTGGCGCTGGTGAGGGCAGAGGAGGGATTGGGGTCGGTGTGGGCGCGTTTCGCGGAGGGGATGTCGTTGGTTGCGGCGGTGGTTGAGGAGTGGTCGCGGGTTTTGCGCTTTTTGGGCTTGTCGCCTTTGAATGTTAGGGGTTTTACCATTTTGGTGGGATATATAAATTGAAAGGGGGGTATAAAGAGAGGTGCTTGAAGGTAAGAGAGGAGGTGGTGGAGGTTGGAGATGTGGTTTTTCTTATCCGATAAGATAGTGAAGTTTGAGGATCATGGCCGATGACATAAGTTCATCATCCAACATTCTCCCAAGGTCCTCTCGTTCAACTATTCCCCTCATTATATTACATCTCACTCTGCTCTTTTTCTGAAATCTTTGTCAATTACCATTCAAAGTCTCCCTATATGCAGTTCTCTTCGTTATAGTATCTCATCATCTTCCGATTCCTTATATAGTATTGGTGATCTATATATTGACGTATCCCACAGATCCAATATAAACAATCAATCGAACGTGATCGCCGCCTTGATCGCGGACTTATTCTTCATGGCCTCCAGACACTCCTCCCACTGGTGGATATTGTACACCTTGTTCACGATTCCCTTAACCTTCACCTTCCCGGAGTCCAGGTAGTCAATGGCAGCAGGGAACTTGTACGTCTCAGAGAAGCTACCCAGGATGTTGATCTCGTCGCCGACTATTCCCACACACAGCATCAGTCAGAGACAGTCCAATCCACACACAAGCAGGAACGACGCCCATAATCAATGGACAATGCATAACGGGAATGAACTTACAAATCTTGCTAGGAGGCCAGGACACCCGATCCTTGCTAGAATAGACGCCGTACACAACGAGCTTTCCACCCTGACGGACATAATTGATCGAGTCCTCCAGGATCTTGACACTACCGGTCGCCTCGACCACGATATCGAAACCGTACGGGTTGTCCTTCTTGAGTTGCTCGAACTGCGCGCTTGGGTCCTTCCGCGACAGAGCGATGTATTCGTCGCCAGCGTCTAGGGACTTGGCTAGGTCCAGTTTCAGGCCTTCGGGAGCACACACGACGACGCGGCAGCCGCCGTTGAGACGGAGGAGTTGAGCGAGAATCTTGACGCAGTTATATCAGACGAAGGAACTTGGAATCGAATTCTCGTTAGATCGACAGGGAAAGGAAAGACAACTTACCAGACCCGTCGGTCCAGCTCCGAACAACAACACCGAGGACCCCATCTTAGGAGCGATCTTATCCAAGCCATGGGCAGCGCAGGACGCAGGTTCCAGAAGCGTAGCGTCGACATCAGAGAGATTCTTGATCTTGAACACACGGCCGGCTATTCATTTCGTCAACACCGCCCTCTCGTCTTGATGCTCACCTCTCTCGCGGACAATCAGGGACACATACCAGGGTAGGCACAGTACTCGGCAAACCCGCCGTTCATGGTTACACCATGAGCCTCGAAGTGCTCACAGAACAGCTCCTCCCCGCGACGGCAATAGAAGCACTCTCCGCACAACTCGGAGTTATCAGCCACGACACGCTCGCCGACCTCGAAGCCTTTGACTTTAGGCCCGACAGCGGCGACTACGCCGACGGTTTCATGGCCTGGATATCATCAGCATCACCGTCATCCTCGCCTTCTTCTCCAAACCAAATGCATAACAGTGATGTAATAGGCAGACATACCGGGAACCAAAGGGAACTATCCATGAAAACACCATCAGTCAGCCAACCCATCCATATTCAAAAACCAGCCACACTCAACACAAGATATACAGTACATACCTTCGCGATAAACTCTCCCTCATGGATATGCAAATCCGTCCCGCAGACACCGCACGCCTTGACTTTAACCTGATACAGCCGTCAGCATCAATCGTCCTCCAACCAACCCTCAATAACCATCGAAGACAACTTGGAGGGGAAAAGAAAGAGAGCCATACCAAGACATCATTATCGCGAAGCTCAGGCAACGGAACATCCACGATCCCATGCTTCAGCGGCTCATCATATCTTTCCAAAGTCAGCTTACTCTCACCATACCCAATCAAAGCATCGAAGCACGGGTTGCAAGAATCCTGAACCCAAAGTCGGATCATCTATCTCCATAGAACCCAACCATGACCCCAAACAGATAAACAAAAACACCAACCCCAAGACTGAAGCATGAAAGACAAAAGATGCAAGATAAAATAAGACAAACCTACCGAAGCGCTTTCATCGACTGCGGCAGGATCGAACCCATGATGAATGAACTCAAGGTCAGTCAGTCAACAACAAGTGACACACAAATAACGACGGTATAGTATTAATGAAAAGAAATGACGAATCCCACAATATCTAAAGGAAGAAGAAAAAAACGAAGGGAAAAAAAGAAAGAAAGAAAGAAAGAAAGAAACCAAACCGAGACAACACCCCTCTTATTTATACTGTACCAACCATCCCACCCACCTATGCCTCCCCCTCTCCTCTCCTCACATCTTCTCATCTAGGTACAGTAACTGTCTACAATAGCCAAAAGCCAAAAGCCAGCAACAGCCAACAGCTAACCAACAGCGGGGGAGGGGGAAAGTCAGTCAGAAAGGGAAAAGCCAAAAAAAACCCCCCCCCCCCCAACCAGCAACAATCAAAGAGAGGGGTTTTCTTTCACCCTTCCCCCTCCAATCCAACCTCTCCCCATGCTACGATTCACGGACATACCTGTGCTTCCAATCAAGACACTCGAAAGACCAGGACGGGCTTTCTTGGTATAGATGGAAGCCCATGCCAATCCCAAAGGGGCGTTAGCGGCGTGGGGCTCCTCGATGTCTGGAGAAGGGAAGTGACTCGTCCGATTTGCCTAGGTTCTCTGACTCTCTGACAGACTTGACAGTAGTGGGCGTGTCAAGTTTGTCACTGTGCATTTGACTGCATTTGACTAGCCTACCGCTATAACTAACTGACACTTTAGGTTCCCTAGCTCTAACTACAGGACTCCGTACTTTCTAGTCTCTTATCGTACGATGCCCCACTTATGGTTTGACTGGCACTTTCTAGTACGATCCGAGGTCCTAGACCTTGAAAGGAAAGAAAGCAAACAAAAGGGACTCAAGAAGGATACGAATGACATCGTCCTCGATTAATTCTAAGAGAATAAGATACAGGCGGAATGATTGCTTGCCCCTCCCAAATCCCGCTCTCTCACCGCTGCATCGGTTTTGGAGGCGCCGGTCCCCCCCTGTCGGCTTTGCTGTGCTTACTCTACCTACTTCAAGCCAAAGCCCTCGCTGTTCAACACCGCCTCCCACAGCATCCGCTCCAATCGCTCGCGCGATTCGTATCGGTAGAGACCCAACATGTTGAAACAAGTGCGCGCCGTCGGATATCGCGACGAATCATCGCCCAGACACATCAGCCGGATCGAGAGGCTCGTCGCTCCCATGGCGGGGATCCGGTCACTTCCCGTGATGAACGATAGGATCTTACGCTGTGCCGCGGGCTGCGTGTGCTCAAAGAAGTCCCAAAACCACCGTACCGCCGGCACCGTCTCCGGCCGGGGGTGCGACCAGCTGTCATACGTGGCCACTGCCCGTAGCGAGGCCACGTCCAACGCTTCGTCCGAGCCACGCACCAGCAGTTCGATTTCCTCGGGTCGGAAGAGTGACAGCGCATTGCCGCCGCACACGGTGAAGAACCCGCGTTTGAAGGGCTCGTATTGCCGCGTGACGGCCGTATCCAGAAGATAGTGAACGTACAAATCCACAAACTCCCGCCGGTTGGCGTTTGTCACCGGCCTTTTCTCGCCTCCAGCGCATAGAGGTACTGACACCACCTCTCCATACCGATCTACTTGTGCCACAAAATCGTAGCAGAACGTGTCGGCGACATCCCCTTCGAAGTCCAACAGAGCCCGGAGACCCTTGGCCAGCGACGGTCGGTATTCCGCCAGATCGTCCAGGCTGCATTTGAACGGTGAGCGCGTCGCCGCCACTTGCAGTCCCGTCCCGGTGGGAGGTGCCGCGGCTAAAAGCTTTTTGAAGGCAAAGGGTGGTAGAGCAATGTCCAGGATGGTCGAGTTGTAGATGGCCAGCCCCAGTAGAACGCCGACCAGGAAGAACTGTTCCGAAGATTCGAAGCAGTACGGGTTGAAATAGCAATATTGAGAGTCTTCGTCGTAGATAAAGAGTCCTAATGAGCAGACAAATGAGCAAATGCGTCATAGCGAAAGTGAGCAACGGAATTGAATAAGCTTACCGTGATGAGGGTCAAAAACCTCCCGGACCAAGAGCAGGAACCACTCTTTGCGAAGACCTCCGGCATCAACGCCCTCTTCTCCGACGAATTCAATCCGCAGACCTTTCTTGATTTCTTCCTGGCTAGACCCGACGACCTCACTGACCCCACGAAGGCTGTCTTCTACCAGACAATCACGCCGCACCTTCAGGACAAGATACTGACTGATGGCTTTCCGACTCAATATGCTGTTGAAAAAGGCTTCACGGGCCTTGACCTCCATCTGTCGGCGAGCGTCATGCTCCAGAACGTGGATCTTGGCCCAAATACTGAGGAAGAAGGGGTACTGGCAAAAGGAAAACTTCGCGGTCTTCGTCTCCCAGGCCTCGAAATCGGCCACAAGATCCGAATAATCGAGTAGAGTGTTGTAAAATGTGCTAATTGGGACCATCTGCCCTCGCCGTTGCGGTTGGTATTTGGTCGCCGAGCCCGCCGCCTCGGGTGCATCCGGTCTTCGTGAAACGCTGGCGTTGTTGGCCGTAAACAGCAAGGACATCACGCGAGCAGCGGCTCGGAGCTGCCAATCGTCGCTGTAAACCACCGGCTTATCTCGCTTGTCATTATTCTGCTTGTTGGGACCTCTCCCGTTGATCGCAGCATGGAGCTCGGCTGGAGTATTTCCGGCTGCGCTAGAAAAGCTTGGTATCAAGCTGTTGTCTTCATTTTGGGCTGATTCGCTGCGCTTCCGTCCATGTTGACGAGTCAGGCGGTAGGTAACAAAACTACCGACAAGATCAACCGTCTTTTCGAACTGCCCCGACGGAAACCGAGAAAACCAGGAGACCAGGTAGTGATGGCAGTCATTTGACAAGTTGGCCAACTGCCCTAGTATCCGCTTGATAATGCCCGAGTGATGACCCGGTCCTCCATTTCGATGCCTGGACGAAACGGGTTTGGCAGTAGGGGGAGCCAGTCTCTGGTTGGCATCCATGGGATGGGAAGGCCTTCTGTCGGTGCGAGGGGCCGGAGCGCCTGCAGCGTAGGTGGCCATCGACGAGCTAGACGGGTACAGCAATGGATTCGCCAATAGCATCAGCAAGAAGCGAACTTCCTCCGGCTTCTTGATCGGTCGTCGCGGCCGTTTGAGAAGATTTTCGGTCGCCTTGAGAAGCGTTCGGTGTAGATGCAACCGGGATTCAATGATCTCTCTTTCTATCGTGCTCAAATCGACGGCATTCCACCGTTCATGTCTAACCAAATCTTCATCTCCCTGTATATTACTGGGCTGCATCTCTGACCATTGTTCGACCCATGACGAGCCTGCCGTCACTATCGATTGGTACCACTGTGCCAGTTCCGCCCAGTTGATGCGTGGACTCCGTGAGCTCACCGCTCGGGATGAACCAGAGGGTTTTTCTTTAGGATGAGTGTGGCTGGAAGTGTCGATCGCATCGTCGTCGTGCATCCACCAGGAGGAATTCTCAGCCAGATCGCCGAGGAGAAGGGTCTTCGCATCTGGTTCGAATACTGGGTGCGCGTGTCCCGGTGTCACAGTCGCCTCCGGTTTTCTCTTAGAGGGATTGTCATTGGTAGTCTGCAAGGGCTTTTGCGACGTCGTAAACGAAGTATTAAGGCAATCGCAACCTTTAAAAGAAGATATTATATATTCCTCGAGTGCCCTGAATATGTACGGGCGGCTCATCGAGTCTTTGCTCTCGGGGGGGAAAGGCCTCCCGGGTTCCCGCGCCGGGCGATCCCCTTTGGGTGCATTGGGCATATCCCGACCTCTGGTCTGAGGGTCTCTTCCCTCTGCATGCAACGGAGCCGGTGGTGGTCCGCTGGGTTTCACCGGATTTGTATTCCCATTCATCCCATTCATATGCCTAGGTCGTCCGGAGGCTGAAGAACTTCGACTGCGAGGATCGACGGCTGCGCGAGGTTCCGACAGGTATCCGGATGTTTGCTTTGGCGATATCGATAAGAGCCCATCCTGTCCGACAAAAGGTTTATCTGGCAGGCTTCTTATGGGAATAGATCGTGGGCTGGGAGTTTCTAAAAGCTTTTTCAGATAGTTCGAGACGCATCCGTCGGCCAAAGACCTCGTTCGTTCGACCGAAAGCGATATAGCTAATCGAGATAAGGGCACATATTAGAACAAAGACTGTATAAGACATAACCAGGGCGCAATCACCTTTCCGAGGAATCACAGGCGCAGGGGGCTTCCCATCCTTTCCCCGACCGCTTGGGTCATTTGATTCCCTGTACGGCTCAAGATCATTGACCGTAAGACATTCCGTACAGCGAAAGACCTTGAGGTTGCGCGGCCACCGCACCGTACAATTACAGGTCACGCACTTCCCCGTTGTCAAATCCTCGCCTGGCACGGGGCGCGGCGGGCCCTTGCGCGGGCTGGTCGACAGGGGATCGGGCAGGTAGGTCACATCGTCGTCGTCATCGTCCGAGTCAAGGAAGTCCTGCTTCGGAATGGATCGGTTCCGCCTCTTGCCCGCGCCGGCGAAGGGAGAAGGGAACGGTTGACTGATGGAGCGAGAATGGCCGTGGCGATGCGACGGCGACGTAGCTGGATTCGCGTTCATGGATGGCAGCACGGGTGCATGTTGGGGTATCAGACGGGGAGCGCTCCTCTCGATCGACGAGGGGACCAGGTTCGCATGTGGGGGAGCGGCGGGTGAGCTCGACGTGGGAGGATAAGGCGGATTACGTGGAGCCCGCGACGGCATAGGGGCGCATTTGTCTGTCGCGAGGTCGAAATCAACGTTGGTCAAAACCCCACACCACAATGTCGGTCTTTAGAACGCCACAAGGAGGTGTGTGCAAGCACGAGCCCGGGAAATAGAGCAGTTGGCAGGTCGTTGGGGGAGTGATGAAAAGGAGGGGAAGGAGAGAGATCAAGCACCCTCCTCAGGCAGCAAAGTAGGAAGTTGATCGAGACCGGATCCTGCCGAAATAAATCAAGTAAAGATCAGGGCACCAACGACCTGAGAGTCGAGAGAGCCAACTAGACTAAATAAAAGAAAAGGATCCACGGAGCAAACGAGAGAGTGCAGAGCCAGGCACCGGAACTGCTACTGGATGAGTAAGGTCGAGATTACTAAGGGGCACCAGATTGTGAAGATGTAACATGAGATGGAACGAGGTGGATGTAACGGCAAAACCGGGAAACCGAAAGTGGGTAGTAGTCGAGAGAAGAGAAGAAAAGATGAAGCAGAGAAAAGGGAGTCAAGTCCAAGCGAGGGGAGAAGGAAGCAGACAAGCAAGAGCGAAGGAAGAAAGACAAAAGTAACAAAACGGCGGGATGCCTTAGGCCGCTTGGCAGGCCCTATCAGACTTATCACGATATAGGCTATAGTGATACTGCAATACTATGAACGACGGGGCCAACAAGAGTGACGGAGCAGTTACAATGTTACTATTTTAATTCATAGCTCGTCATGGTGACACTGGCTATTTTTGAACCAGTCCACCGGGCGCCAAAGACCCTGCATCATCCGCTCGAGAGGCTGAGAGCACTTCCCCCTGTTTCGCTCGGGCTGACTTACCCACTCCCTCCAACCTAGGCCATTCCCGGCCTTGACGCCGTAGAAAAGATGTAACATCATCCAGCCAAAACTCGAGGACAAGATTGGGTCTACAACATGGTCTACAGTTGGAATGCATTACTCTGGAACCGAGAAAACAGTCGTCGCACTTCGTTAGGGGGAATAAAAAAGTTGAACCCAGAGAAAAAAAAATATTTTGTTAACATCCGATCCAGAAGATCTGTTGCATTATGCTCGCACCCAAGCATTTCATTGACATAGCCATAGAAACGATTGAGAAACGAAATAAACACATCCACAAGAGACCAATTTTTCCACGACACACAATCTCCCTTAGCCACCCATCTACACTTAACGGTAACGCCAGTAGCTCTGGGTGTTCTGGCGCTTCCAGGTGTGGCGGCGACCAGACTTGGTGTTGTTGTAGCGGTGGCCCTTGTTGATACCACGGGACTTCTTGCCGGTGGCGGTAAGACCACGAGCCTCACGGTGCTATTCAGAGAAATCCAAGTCAGCTTTTCCCATCCCAACAATCGACCATTTGTAGCCCAGAAGGCAGACAGAGCACGTACCTTGTGGACGGACTTGGCGATCCAGTTGATGCGGGCATCACGGCGGATAGCCTTGTGCTGGGGGTCAACGAGGATGACCTCGAAGTACTTGTAGGTGGAATCCTGGTTGATCCAGTAGGAGTTCAGGACACGCAAGTTGGCGCAGCGGCGACCGACACGCTCCTCAGCGGTGGCACGGAGAGCACGCTGGTACTTAAGCTGGTTGATACCCATGTTGGTGGGCTTGCCTGTGAACATCCATATCCGTCAGTTTTCTCCTTCCTCATAAAGTCTGACTAGAATTCTTTCATACCGTAGGTGGCACCCTTGGGAGCGGGTCTCTTGCGGCCACCACGTCTCACACGGATACGGTAGACGACATATCCCTGCTTGGCCTTGTAGCCGAGACGACGAGCCTTGTCGGGGCGAGAAGGACGCGAAGCACGGTGGATAGCGTTCAGTTGACGGAGCTATATTGATGCACTCTCAGCAAAGTTCAACGAGTGTATAGCAAGACACACGGAGCCCAATGAGGCGAAACCCAAAAGGTCTCTGTATTGTGCCACAATCCATTTGTTCATCCGCCGGTGAAGAAAAAAAAAATTTCTTATCGTGATTTCTCTTCTTTCGAGCCGTGCTGCAAACACCCCTCGGAAACGGGCAGGTATTCCTATGGCATAGCACACGAGCAACATCCGGCGGGATGTTTTAAAGGATCGAAGTTTGGGGTAGGGGAATTCTCACCTCCCAGCAACGGACACGCAGCAGGAAGCGAATCACGTCGGACTGCTTCTTCTTCTGGATCTCTTCCACGTACTTGAGGGCACCCATCTGGAATAGCGAGCGAAAGGTTAGTCTCGAATTATCGAAAATTGATCGATTGATCCCGAAAACAGCGATTGTGAATTCGAAAGTGGATTCTGCAGTATCGATCGCAAGAATTGCGGGCAACGTACCTTGTCGGCGTGGCAGGTCGTCGATTGTCGTCGTTGTCGCAACTGAGAAGTTCGGAGAGAGAGATCTCTTCAACGAGGTTGTGTGTGGGACGCTAGAAGATTAGGCGAGCTCTGCCGGTCCCCCAATCAGCGGCTGGACCGTGCTTATTCAGCCATTTTGCCTCAGGTGTCGAATTCAAATCTCTGCAGCTTAGATAATCGTTCACGATTCCGCCCGGGTCAGGCCACAAGGCATCAGTTCCCCTTCATGACCACCTGGACAACACCTCAAGTGACAACCAGCTTTTCTCCTTACATCTAGTTGACTAACTCCCTACAGTCTTTACTACCAAACTCAATGAATGTGGTCCCTCATTGGAAGCGTCCAATTTATTCTCATCTAACTGTAAAACATGAATTCTTCCTCCTATGTCCGTTCTGAGACCTTGCGAGGAATGAAAAAAGGCATGAAACGGCAGAAATACATATTACAACATGTCAACGAGTGATTGGAGTGTAGCATCGGATCTGTGTTCAAACGAAACAAACATAAATTCATTGTGCGAAATAAAAAGCTCGAACGGCTAAACCATCAGTTCGTGAAGCTGAAAGTCTATTAGGTATCAGCAGTAAACGACAGATCATAAAAAGGGTTGATCCGCTGCACACATTTTCTAATCTCTTTGAAAGGAAAAACAAGCCCATAACAGTAAAAGCATGAAAACAGAAGAGGGTGAAACTTGAATTAACGACAGAAAGTGGGAGTGGGAGAATGAGAATAAGAGGGAAGAGAAAGAAAAAAGTCTCGTGTAAAAGAATGGAGAGAATCAGATACAAGGTATGGTGGAGTTAAAGTTCTTTAAAATTAACAAATCAACAAGAGGTTGAACGAGGAGGCTCGGCGTGTTTGGGTACGACGGTTTGGCAGTAAGATAGAATCAACATTCTAAGTGCCACCGAGAGACAGGCCTTGGAAACGACCCATCCATTCGCCTGGAGCAGCGTGGGCACGACCAGGGCCACTGGTTGCGCCAGAGCCGGAAGCATAATCGGCATATCCTGGTTCTACGCCAGTGTAGGCATTTGGTACGTACGTTGAAAAAGGGTCAACGGCACCAAGCCTACCGAGGCCGGACTCAGGTGGTCGCGGGCCTTGGGTGAAAGACTGGTACGATTCTGGGTAGGCATTGCGTAGCATTCCCAATGGATTAGGAATGGCTTCTCGACTGACATTCACACCATCTCGAGTAGGGCCAAAAGCCCTACTTTCCTGCTGATGGGAACGGTCGGTCTGCACATCCTGGCCATATCCAAGAGGGTTGGGAGACTGCAATCCGGCAGACGGAGGCGTGACAAACGACGCTGGATTGATAGCCGACATCCAGATACGAGTTTTGTAGATTTTGAACAGATCGGTGACGAGAGAGTTGAAATTGATGTACGAATCCGCGAAGTAATAGAAAGTAAGCTTCTTCCAGTCCCTGTAGATGGACGTTAGCATGCACGTATTGACATGTATTGAACCGGCATGGTAAGAACGTACATTTGAAATTCGGCATCAAGGATTTCCATATTGAGTCGATGTTCGGCAACCTTCTGATTGCAGACTCGCTTGGCCTTCGCCTCGTTGCCCTCCTTGTCGCGCAGGGTCATGATTTCATGGTTCTGGGCAAGTCTCTTGATCAACTTGGGCTTGATGTCGACGGTAGATTCCTGCACCCCATGCGGCCCATGCGGACCCATACCACCAATTGCGCTGCGACCAGCCATGCCGGAGACGCCACTGGAGGTGTTGACGACATTCGCTGCTCCGTTCTGGCCTTGCCTGGAGAACATCATGAGCCACTTGTAATGCTCCTCGGCGTAGTGTTGCTTCAATTCCCGAGCCTTTTGCATAGTAATGTTGGCATGCTCAATGGTTCCCAGGTCGGTACCACGGTCAGCTTCGACGATGACCAGGTCCCCGACCTTCACCTGAAGGCCAGTGTCTTCCTGGATGTAGAACACATCGGCACGGTGGCATTTGAACGATACGATATACAAGAGCTGGTTCTGATGCGGGTGCATGAGGCCTGGCTGGTGGCGACCGTAGGCATTCGGCATCGTGTAGGCCGGGTGAAGAGACGGCGGAACCGCGGACGCACCCTCGGCAGCACGGAGAGCCTGGTCGCGAGCAAAATAGGATTCTGCAAATCGACGAGCTCGTAAATATTCGGCTTCCAGTTCATGTTCCTCGGAGCGAGGAACCGTTTGAAAACGCTGGTACTCACGGTTCTGGCCTTGGGCATTTGACAGGGAGCCGTCGCCAATACCCGTATAGGTTTCTTCCCGATCTCCAAGCTGGTTCCTAGAAGAGTCCCCGGATACCGAAGTGTGCCGGATAGGAATGTCCGCGAAGGAGTGTCGTCGGCTCTGGGGGATGTCTGACATGCTTCCGAAGCCGAGGGATGTCTGCCAATGGGCTTTCCTGAAGTTATCCAGAGCACGGTTGTCCATGGAGTTGATCGACGGGAACTGTTTCTCGAGATTGGCCGAGTGTTCGGAATATCTCCGTCGAGTATTGCTATGGATGTTACTGTATCCGGGAATGTCGCCCACCTCGTCCAGATCCTCCACTGCAAGATCTCCCTCTTCGGGGACACTCCCCGGGAGGCGATGCAGATTATGGATACCAGCTCCAACTGCATATCCACTGGTTGCCGACGCCGACGACATGGCACGATCTCTGAAACCGCTATCTAGTTGGCCAGCGGCCTGCCGAAGATATGCATTTTCTCTAGAAAGCTGCTCGATAGCGCGGGCTTGGCTGGTGGAAAAAGTAGGTAGACCGCCATCGGAGCCACTGGGGCTTTCGGCATCGTCGTCGTCGTCGTCTTCGCGCACGCGGCCAAGCGTAGCAGGGTCGTGGCCCAGTTCTCCGAGCAGGCTCGGCCGAGAAGAACGATGCTGTAACGCAGAAAACTGGCCGCCGTTCCGCGGACGCGCACCGGAATAGGGCGACGCTGACTTGTTGGCCATGAGGCTCAAGTATTCGGGATCCAACTGGCCCACCGAGTAAGACTGCGAGCGATATGTCTTGGGCGTGGGATGAAGTGGAATAGAGAATGGGATGGCCGAATCTCCCGATGCCGTGCGAGTCGTGGGGCTCAATAACTCCTCGTTGAAATAGGAATTTGGATTGGTCATCGTAGGGGATGGAACAATCTCGGACAGTCGAGGAGGAGGTTCTTTTCTAGATTCCGTGTTCCAGATACCTGTGCCCCATGGAAACGAACTGCTTCCAACGTGATTCCAATGAATCGAGCTACTCATTCCAGGAGAGGTGTTAGTGGGCCACCCGGACTGATCGGTGGCGGGGCTGGTAGGATTCGAGCCCCCCGAGGACAATGGATTAGCGGTGGTAAGGGAGGACTTTCGGGGGAGGTTGGTTGGTACTTCGTTCAGCCACGAAGTACGGCGCGCAGGCTTGGGCGCAGGAATAGCCGGATTTGCTGCGTTAAACTGCACATGCTCCCCATCATCATCGGAAGACGCCAATGCTTCTGAGTCAGGCGTTGAGCGGCGAACGCCGGGATGAGTCTTCTCCAGCCTCGCGGACGCGTTGTTAGATGGGGTCACAGTGCCGGGCTTGGTTGCCTGCATAATTTTGCCGGTTGGTGCAGCCATGGTGTTTTCTAAACAAACTAATTGTCACTAGGCTTAAACCGAGGTTTGAGGGCTCTCTCAAGGCCTCGGCCACAAATTCATAAGATATAAGGGCGATGCTGGTCAACATGTTAGTAAATTCTGCCACTTTGGAGGCCAACTAAGCGTCATCGATCGAGTGGTTGGTGGGGGTTGAACCCAACGGACGGGAACTGACACAAAGAAAGGGAACAAAGGAATAAAGCAAGTGAATGCGGGGTACTGTGAAATGCTCACATATGTTCTGAGACGGCTAACGTACAGTTCTGAAGAAGCAATGAGTGATTGTTGTAGTCAATCACACTATTTGTTGGGTTGGATGACTTTCGTCAAGGTGACTTGAGGATATAATGTCAATCCGAGTTCCGGTTCTCCGATGGAATAGGGAGGGTTACCTTGCAATGTTGGAGTCTGCACGCAGGCCAATCAAATTAAAGAGACGGAGAAATCAAGAAGAAGCAGAAATCTATGAGCAAACAGCAGGTGAAGATCTTTTATCCCCAGGGTTCAATAAAAAGGGAGATCTCCGGAGAGCTTGAGCTCTGGAAATCCCATTGGTAGGTTAGCCCAGCCTGCATTAACGTTGTGGGGGGATCGAAATCAAAAAATGGAAAGCTCCGGATATGATGGCAGAAAGCAAAAGAAGGGAACAGAGAACGATGAAATGAGGATGGGTGGTGGGGGGTTATATGGCAAGCTAGTAGACAACGGGCAGCTTCTGGTGGCGATAGCGGGATGCGGAGGAGCTGGGAGTCACCGGTGCCTGGATTCATAAATGCACAATGCACAATGATCCTAATGATGTCATATCATAACCAGAAAGCAGCATTCACTTCCTGATTCAATGACTAGGCAGGTGAATATTTGCCGAGTTTCGAATCATCAGATAGCTTAGCACGCGGCAATTGTCTTGCAGAAGCTTAAGATGTTGGATGATGTCAGATGTAGCTGCCCCCAATCATCGAGATACTGGACTGTATGGTATTGCTTTCACCATGCCGACAGCCCAGCCAATTGCTGATGAGGGAGGATACCAATTCACATCATGAGGTTGTAGGGGACGTTGCGGGCTTCATTCACCGAGGTAAGACAGACAGAACGCATTGACGACACACATACCTTGTAAAGTACAATTTCGGATCAAACCAGGAACCGATACAATAACGTGAAGGTTTGCGACAGTCTCAGAAAGGTATAAGAAGTGCAAATGAATTTCGTGATCGCGTCTGTCGGCGCACCCCTCATGAGTGATCCCGTCTTGCTATCGTATGATGTCCAACTTACCAGTCTAGTAGCAACGGAACTTTTTATGATCTATCCAAACCCAAACAAGAAAAAAAAAAGAAGATAATCTTTTCGGACAATGTGACGGTTCTCGCGATAATACCGTTTTTTCCTTTGCGCCCAAGAGAAGCGACCAGGCTTCCAATCTAAAGGAGGAGATCGTCAAGGAAGGCGCTTTGCGAGATGGTCGCAAAAGAAGCTCGGGCAGATCGTAGTAAAACAAGCCTCCACCGAACCAATGAATTGCCTTTTTTTCGGATGTTTTTTTATTGTCTTATGTTTCTTTTTTCTTTTTTTCCTTTTTTTTTTGAAATGAAGTATATTCCGGTGTGTAAATTTGTTCAAAGAAGAAACGAAGAAAAGCGGTTGTTTTCCAGTCGCAAAGGAAGGAGAATATCACAGAAGCGCGGGATTCGGAAATGGTAGCGTGACCATAGATGACGTTGGGAAGCGAACTGGCTCCAGTAACTATGGGCAGCAGATCGCCTCAAGAGCAGCGCATCTTGAGACGGACGCGCGGAGATCGGAAGGGAAGGCGAATCACCCGTGCGAGAATACTAAAGTTCGCGAAGCGGCCAGCGTAAGTTTTAAGTTGAATTACAAGGAAGATCCTGTCTCTGGTGTCGGCGGTCGCGACGAAGGAAGAGCGTTGGGGCGGAGAGCAGAGGCGCCGCAGTTTCGCGAAGGTTTTCTTGGGGGGATGAGGATGTGGTGGCTCTTGCAACGTCGCTCGATCGATCGGTCGTCCGAGAATGCGGGAGGTGGGGGTGATAAAGGGGGGGTGGAAGAAGAAGGGATATTCTAATGAGAGAGAATGGAAATGGGAAAAGGCCGATGTGAAGGAGCAGAATAAATAAGATAGGAGGGACAGGCGAAACCCACGGTAGAAGAGGGAAGGAAGGATTGTACAGCGAGCGAGCGAGCGAGCGAGCGGAGAGAGGTAAGTAAAGCAGGGTCACGGAGGCTAACAGTGGGAGCAGGTAAGGTAGCTCCTAACTCAGACCAGCGGATACGAAGGAGGAGAAAAAGAACGAGCCACGGGACGGAGGTCCGAGAAGAAGTGGCGCAAATGGACAAGCTGCAAGAAAGGAGGTCGAGTGAACTAAGGTACTGGCCGTGGGTTAGGTTGGCTTAGACTGGGTTAGGTAGTAGTAGTCAGTGTCAGTAGTCACTCCGCTCACAGACTAGGAGGAGAAAGTCAGGGACTTACCTGACCAACCAAATGAAGCTGACCGTCCGATTGACCTGGCGATACTAATTAAATTCCTTGAAGGCGGGGTAAGAAGCAAAATGGACGGAGTCTAGATATTTTGCATGGAGCCACCGGTCAAGAGGGTCAAGAGGGGATGAGGAAAGAGGCGGCGGAAGGACTAAAATGACTGGCAGCGGATTGTTCCTCTGCACCCCGGCAAGTGGAACGGTGGTCCAATCCGTAGTGGTCTAACACGACGGGAATTCACAAATAAAAAGATAAAAAAAAAATCCAGAGTGGTGTGTACAGCAGAAGTGGAAGAAGAAGTTCCAAAAGACAAAAAGAAGGGTGGTTGGCGGAATGAATGTATGACAGGCAACGACAAGACCGAGGGAGCAAGGAACTGGTCGGCCGTCGATGGAACGCTTGCGAGTGGGTCGAAGGTGGAGGTCAAGTCGAAGATCCTCCGGGGTTAGACTCTTACATTTACAGTAGACTGTTAGACATGAGAAATTGGAAATGTCCCGGCCGCTTCTTTTTTTTTTTTTTTTTTTTTTTTTTACGTCCGACTTTTTTAGCCCGTCGTACCTGATACTTATTCTTCCTAGCTCAGGCACTATACTGCTGGTCAATGAGTATAAAAGGCCGAAGACAACTACCGAACAATTATATATTTATTGATCTCTCTGAGTTAGTCATGGAAGTAAACTCCATCCTCACGCAAGTCTCCAATGCCTCCCAGAAGCATAACCGAACAAGGAGCCACCCAGTCCAGCCAAATTGACCATGCGAGCAAACCATCCCTTACGGCAGGACGTTGCGCGCATCTGCGCGTCCATGTTGAATAACGCATCATTTCATCATGCGGGGATATAACCGTCCAGCGATGCCGGAACCGCGCAATCTAGCAAAATAAGGTGTCGGCGATTGCAAAGAACAAGATTCAAATAATTCAATTCAATCTCGCTCTATCCAGTCCTCCAGAAGTGATAGCAAGGTGTGCTATAGATGCATAGTCTATTCCGTATACTCCGTAGGGCTTCCCTTCCTCTACGCAAAGTAAATTAAAATTAGACCCTCCCGCTATCCCAGAAACGGCACCTCCCAGCGGCGGAAGAAAAGTCACAGATGCGCTGCCGCCCCACCTTCAACATGCTTGAACTTGGTGTCAAGGGGTTATCAACTAACTCGGAACGTCAGAATTGATGAAGGTAGTGTGTGGTCCGACATCTATAACCCAGCTTGAAGAGTCCGAGAATCTTCAACCGTCAATTAAAAAAAAAAAAAAAAAATTGCAGAACTGGTGGAAGAAGATCCCAGCCACAGGGATCTACGAGAGGGAAGGGAGGGGAGGGGGAGAGGTGCGCCGAGTGCGCCCTTCTCCTCTGTCTGTCTGTTCTTTCATTTTTTTGTGGGGAGACCATCCATCGTCGCCACTCACAACTCGACTTCTTCGTGCGGACGTTCCACATTGGGTTTCATTAACGTCATACTGTCGTGATGTTGCAATCGAGTCCACCCCCTACCAGGGAGGCATCGGGTACCTAAAGTAACAGTCGGCCTTACTGAGAACACCCAAGGCACCCCTAGGTACATAACATCCCGAAAACATGATTTCCACCCACCCCTACACCGTAAATGTAAACTAACTCACGAGCAAAAGTGACCGTGTCCTTGTTAACTCTCTCGAGTCCAAATCCAGAAGCAAAATCAAAACCAAAACCCGACTGACATGCATGTAAAATTGCGGGGAAATGCACGAAATGATGAATGAAAGAAAGACATTCATACATTCATGTCCATCATCCCTCAAGGAGAACACAACAGGGAATAACAAAAAAGGCCAGATCGATATTCTTTCTTTTAGCGTATATCTGCCAGACCAGTCGACCAACCAGCCTCCAATATAATACATTCGAATAATAAGAATAATAATCATAATCAAAGTATTAAGAAAAACTCCCCAGATTTTCCCATTAGCCCTCCCATCCCTCATGCAGGATCAGGATCGGCTCCGTCCAGATTGCGGAGAGAGCTTCCCTCCCGCATTAATGGTGTGTGCCGTGAGCCAATACCCCGCCCACAATTCCCCTCTCTCCCTCTCTCGCCCAGTCCAACGAACAGAGTATGCACAAAGGACAGGATAGGTGGTAGGACCGTGTGTAGAAGAAGCGACAATAGAGTTTGCACTGAAATAAGCCGAGCCTTTTACTTACGACGGGGTTGCCGGAAGCGAGACCTCGCTCATGCTCGTGCTCAACAAAGCCAGAACGGGGGACTAGCTAGCAGAAAAACTCAAAAATGCAAATCTGCAAGATAGATAAAGAAACCCGAACCAAATCAAAATCTCTCTCTCTCTCTCTCTCTCTCTCGATGGAAGAAAAACGAACTCAATCCATGGATGAGAGCTTACAGCTTTCCTTACCGTTCCGTTGGTAGAGGAGGAAGGGAGGGGGCACTGGCCTCTTGTTCCGGGACCTCCCCCCCATCGTAAGCGAGCTCCAGCCCATGGGCATGAGTTATTCATTACCTACGGGTATGGATGAGAGCAGGGAAGGTCTGTCAAGACAGAGTAGTAGTTGAAGTGCAACAATCCATGGAACGTACGGCGGTGCGAAAATGCAATTGTTGAGTTCTGGATTCCCTAGCTGCAAGCATCATGGCATGACGTGAAGGTTGTTGCATTATCAAGTAAGTCGGCATCGATCACCTGATGGTGTGGATTTTGGATCTTTGTATCACTTGAGAGATGAAGGATATGGGTTATCGACAGGATTGCAGGCAGGTCTAATTGGTTGGATTGTAGGTGATGAAGCAGGTTTTTTCTTTCTTTTTTTTTGCTTTCCTTTCATCGCCTCTCTGTCTCTCTCGCCTCTAGGATAGCAGTTGGAAGAGGGATCCATGATAGGTAACTAAATGAGGGGGAAGAAGTTGACACCGTATAGGTAATGGACGACCTCGATGGAAGTAAAACCTAATAAATTAACTGCTCCATTTCCGGCATCCCAAAAGCATAACCGCCGGGGGGTTCTAGAGCCTGAATCCAGCCCATTCCAGGTCAACGAGCGTGGCATGATCATTCGCCCGCCGACAGGTGACAGGTGACAGGTGAGATGATGGCCGGAAGCAGGTAAGGAAGCCTGTCAAGTCAAAAAAAAAAAAAAAAAAAAAACCTTGACTCCACGTGCGAGAAGAACTCGACAATCAACTACTATTAATGATCTATCAGATATCAAGTGGTTTCTTTTTTACTCCTTTGGGAGAACTCTCTCGTGGCGAAATGCTTCAGCCTTTCTCTCTAGCTACACGTTATTTGGTTTGGATGACCGCTTCCACAAGCCGCAAATCTAGCCGATTTTTGCACCGGAGTAGGTAGTTGGTACTTTTGTCCTTCGGCCATTGTCGGCTGCGGCGGGGGGAATGGTTTCGACCGAGGCGCTTGCAGTCAATTACCGATCAACGACCTCAGCGGCTCAGTGACACAAGCCCTCCTCAGATGGTTGAGTGCCATTGACTCTAGCTTTGATCATGCATGTCATGTGCATACAACTTCTAGACCGAGAGTCTAAACTAAGTGAACCAAAATTGATATCTGATATGGTACAATTTTCCACAACGTGAAAAGGCTAACAAACATGACAGGCCAGGACTCTATCCAATCATTAGATCTGTAACAATAGAACGCAACGAACAAGCGGTATATCCAGATAAACCAAACATGCTGTATTCGATTGGTTGATAAAATAAAATTTTTTTTAAGCAGCTGAGTCCAGAGTTCCCTTGCCTCCCGTAGAAGCAGTGGCTTGGGGACCCTTCTGTTGGCGCAGCTTCTCTTCGAACTTGGCGAACTCATGCATGGAAATCTCTTCCTCCTCGTCCATAACCTGCTCGACTCCCTGAACTTCCTCGATCTGTTTCCGGAATTGACCTGTTAGCCCAGAAGGTATAAGAAAAAAACGAACGCAAAAAGGTCCCACTTACATAATGCATCAGCATCGACTCAATACCATTCTTCAACGTAACCGTGCTAGAATCGCAAGTCCGACAAGCACCGCGCAACTTCAACATAACGATACCATTCTCGAACCCACGGAAGTCAATATCGCCACCGTCCTCCTGAATGGCGGGACGAATCCTCGTCTCCAAGAGCTCCTTGATCATGCTGATGACCTCCTCGTCATCTTCGTTATAGCTGAGCGAGTCCTCCTCGCCACCTTCCTGCGCCTGCTCGCCGGTCTTGGCCACGGTGTTGACGATCGCCTCGCCGGAAGTGACGGTTTGCGTGATGAGGCTGAAAACCTCCGGCTTGATGTGCGCCCAGTTGGCGTCGCTGGCCTTGGTCACTGTGATGAATTCAGGGCCGTAGAAGACCGAGGTGATGCCGTCGACGTTCATGAGGTTCGCGGCCAGCGGCGAGGGGTGCGGAGGAGCGAGCGTGGAGCGAGGAGAGAGGTACTCGAGGAACGAGGTGGGGAAGTCTTCGGGCAGGACGCGGTGGTTGGGGATGAACTTCAAAGCCTATACATCCGAGTATCAGTATAAGTCGAGCCGAAACATCAATGGAAGAGTCTGAGGGAAAAAGATGCTTGGACTTACATCGGGATTCGGCGTGTTCTCCGTCTGAATAAAAATCGATCGCTTGCTATTCGGCGACAATCCATTCACCCGCGAGGATTGCTGGTGAGGCCGCAAAGACGGCCTATGACGAGCCTCAGAGGCTGTGATGGCGGGCAGACGAGCAGACCGATGGACATTTCTGTAAGATCCAAACACGCTGGACCGGGCCGTCTGTTCGGCCGCGCCCAATGGTCGCGCCGCGGACCTGACGCTGAAGATCGTTCGTCGGAGCATGGCTCCAGATGTTGAGCTGACCGACATATTGTAGTATGTGTAACCGTACGCTTGTCCGGGTGGCGTGGGTGTGTCTTCCAGAAGGAGTTGATGGAGGCCAGAATACTTTCCTCCGACTGCCGGCCTCTGACGCAATGAGAAGCACGTGACCTTCGGCAAAAGATTTGCTGATAAATCCAGCGGATTGCCGGCACCAATCAGATTGAAGCAGTTTGACATGCTGCGGTAATCACAATCGTACCAATGGATTGCAATTGCTCGATGACAGAAAGAATTGTCGCGACAGGTACTGGCTAGTTTAAAGCAGGGAAGATGTAGGTAGAAAACTAGGCTACATGGATCCGTTAATATTTATCATTATATCAAGATAGTATCTATACACATACTCTTTGCTGGCTATCAAAAAGAAAAAGGGCAGAAAAAACACCTCTTCCAACGGCGAAGTCATTATTTGTATATAAATCCAGGGACGCATCATTCATAGTGATATCTCTTGGAATGATCATATAGTGTGCTGCCTGTCCCGCAATATTGCTAGAAGTCAGCCAGAAGATGTTGTTATAAATTTTCTTCGATTGTGGAATGGCTCCTCGATGACGTTCAAAAGCATGAACCGCTGAATACCAAAGGCCCCTATCCAACGTGATATGCAATGTGAAGGCGGCCTTCTCCTCGGTGCTTGGTTGAAGTACATTGCATTGGAGGCCGACAGTCTGCATAGGTGCATGTCGATTGACCAGAAATGTGATTGGTCTTGTTGCTTCTGAGGTTGGATCTTGACGAGTCATCAAGAACCTCCTTCGGGCGATTCCACCTCGGGAGAGATAGACTCCTGCCTCTGAGAGATCCGGTATTTAGGCCATACCATGTCTTTCAACAGAGGGCCAATGCCCAGGCCCAAGTGAGACAGAGTCATAAAGACAGATTGACACCACTGATGTTTCGGAATGATCTCTTGCACATTGTAGAATTGTGCAGCTTGACTTAAAGGTGCCAGCATTAACTGCGCGCCCATAGTCTTCAAGTCGGGCTGTATACAATAAAGAACAGAGCGGCAAATTTCATCCGCATAATGCTCGGTCAAGGCCGTGAAATCTGCGGCAGTCTCCGAGCCCGGTGTTGTTGCGGTGTCCGTTTGGTCACTAGGAGTGGGACATGTTTTGGCTAAAGTGTAGGCATCCCCAGGTTGCCCAAGAATGCCGAGTAATTGGTCGATGAGCGGGTAAAGAAGTACCAGCGTGGCCCAATAGGTTTGTTGGGACTCCGCACAGGCCAGGGACGGAAATTGAACATGGCCCAAAAATATGTCTGTAGAAAGAGAGCTGCGGAATCCTTGCAAGATAGTAGCGTTGGGAGACAACGTCGAAGGGCTACCAAGCTTCTTTTGCATGGCAATGCAAGACTCGTGCAGTTTTCCCTCGAGGGAAAGACACCACGACAGCAATTGTTCACCAGTTTGTCGACTTTGCATAATGCCTTGTCTATTGCACAGGGAATAATGGTCAACTCGCTCTATGAGAGCGGTACATTCTGCCAACCTGTCGATAAGTCCATCAATTGGTTCGGGTTTCCCCGTACCTTGCGATGACCTAGTTCCCCATGTCGAAGAGTTGTAGAATGAGGCCGTTTTGCGCTTTCCAATCGCATCGCATAGCTAAGTTACAGATCCTTAGCACCGCAACAAGAGATCCAGCCCGGACGGATTCACGCAGACTTACAGTAACGTATTTCAGTTGCCGATGGAACAGTTTTTCGGCGATAGATTCATCCTTCCGCTCAGCACATTGACCTATGACCGCATTGCTACCTTGCACATGGGCTATCCAGGCCATAAAACCCGGTGGCGAGCAATTTATCAACTTTTGACGGTTAGGTTGCCATACACTAGATTGAGCGGATGCAAAGGCATGCTCACTTCATATATCTGGAAGATTACAGTCGTGTACAGAACATCCTTGCCGAGAATGTTGCCCGAGTTGATTTGACCATGTAGCGTCCGAATTGCATTACCATATAATCTGGTGCTATACTGTAATAACCGATCGTCTTTGTTTTGCTTCGCGAGAAAGGCCGATGAGAGGGAGGTTATTGCCTTGTCCAGGAGACGGCTACCCCGGCTTAGGTCCGGAAGAGTCTCGAGGATGTGCCTTTTCGACTGCGATTGAGGAGAATACCAATCGATGAAAGACTGGAGCAATTGGATTCGGACCTCCGTATTGACACCTAGTCGAGGGATCTCTGTTTCCAGTTGGTTTGACCTGCGCGATCCGGGGTTGCACGCGACGGCTTTGGATGGTTGGATTGGTTTCTGAGAGCTTTGTTCCATCGTATCCATGGATCTGTGGATAAAGACCCTATTCCGTTCATAGCCGGTGCAGACATGGCCATTTTTGACGCAGCGAAGGCATTCGGGTTTTGTCTCATCGCACTATGGGAGCCGAGGATTAGAGGGTGTTCGAAATCATTCTCTCCCCTCTACCCCTCTCGCTCAACAGACCAAACCAATCCGTAGAAAAACATCTAGAAGAGACTAGTTCTCACCTTCACTTTCCGGCGTCGGCACGTATTGCACCCCGTAGATTTGAAGGGAATGCCGCCCATAGTTGGAGATCTGATGTCATACCAGACGCTGCCAAGTCCGACAAGCGTAGGGAGGCCGTGCTGGATGTTGGAGATCTCTATGCCAATCGTCCATTGAGCGCCCGATAGATTTCTCCATGGAGATCCGAAGTCGGGGCGGTGACAATTGCAGCTCTTCTTTTCCTGAACTCATTCCTTCTGGACGCATCATTTGGAAAGTGGAAGGGCGGCGCGTTCACGTGAGGGCGGCTAAGGAACCATTTTTTGGACTTTGGCTAAAGCTGTTGATCGATCCACCGCCTCTCCTACCAACGGTATTTGGGCATTCAGGATCGACATTGCTGTGCAGACCTTGCTAAGTGCCTGTGAATTCGGTGCTTGCTTGGACCCAATTACCTGCTATGGTCCATTGAATCCCAACAATGGCCCGGGATTTCTGAAAATCGACGTTGCTGCCAAAATGTCTACGAGTACCGAAGCCGGCAATAAGGCTGCTGGTACTTGCGAGGTTTGTACCTCGGAACCATTCAAATACCGCTGTCCCACATGTGGACTCCTGAGGTATGTTCTCAGTCCGTTTGGCATGAGCATCAATCCGAAGAATGGAAGGAAGACCGCGAGTGGAGACATGGACGACAGCAAGTACTGACGAACGGGTTGTAGTTGCTCACTTGCTTGCACCCAATCCCACAAGATCTACTGCACGCCGAAAGCGCCGTCGCCCAAACCACCGCAAGAAGCAGTTGACCCGTCCCCTCAAGACCAAGACGAACCCAATGGCTTGATCGACGGCGAGGGGGCTCGCGAAACCCGAAATGCCTTCAACCCGAAATTCTTCGCGTCGTCTCCCGAGTTGAAACAATTATTCGACCAGTACCCATCCCTTCGTGACGAACTGCAAGACATCTACAAGGCCACACTAGAAGAAGAGTGGGTAGAAGTGCAAACACATGGGAATCGACATCGATCTTTCCATCGGGGCAGAGGAGGCCCACGGAACCGAGGACCTTGGACTCGCGAAAAGGGCTTCAATCGAGGTTTAGGAAAGGTTCGGAAGTTTAGAGAACGGTGTGAAGAGGGGTTGGAAACGGGGAAACCCGCGGAGGGGCTCATGCGCTTTATGAACCTGGTCAATGGAGAGCATCCTGAGGAATCTGGGTGATCACACGATGCTCTTATGGGATAACACGGGAGAAAATTTCCCGCCGGGCTTTCCCATCGGACATCTAGGATCAATACTACGTATGACTCGGTCGCCTAAAGCCACGACTGGATTTTCAAACGTCGGTGGTCTTGAACTCGCTATGCCGAGGGATGCATAATGCGAGCTTGTGGCAACAGCACTCTCAAGCGCAGCTGAGACGAAATCAGGATGCCTTCTGCGCACCTTACCGAGCCATGGAGATTGTTTTCAAAAGACCTTGGTCGTTACGCGCCCGGAGTTGGTACCAAGAAGGTAAAAATGCAACCATCTGGGCCACGACCAGCCTTTTGGCATTAGCCAGTCGTAGCTCTGCTCCAAATCCGCCAAGATTCATAGAGAGGGCATTTGGAAGCCGAGGATGCACAAGAGATTAAACCACATGAACATCTCATTGAAATCACCTTTATCGTTTGCTTCAAGAGAAAGCAAAGTCCACGTCCGTAGAAGTACAATGTACGCGGGCCGAGAGTTACTTTGTACATCTGAATCATGCTGTAGACAATATATCGGGAGAGGTCTCCGCCACGACTCGCGATGTACGTCTACTCTGTACGCCGTAAGCATCTTGGCTCTGGCGAAAAGCCGGGCTCGCTGCATTACCCCGAGACGGAAATGATATACGCACGAGACGTTCTGTCATGGAGGGATAGTCCACCGGTCCAGCAGTCTGGGGGCCGTTGCTCATTGCAAGACTGTGGATACTGGATAGACTCAGCCCTCAGGAAGTGGTCCCTTCAGCTCGGATCCTTCAAATCCCAGCAGGCGGCACAAGGTAGTGTAGACTGCCCCTGCTGTGTAGTCTGTACTCCGTCTGTACTTCGTAGTACTTTTTTTGTACATACATAGCGCAGAGTACACGAGCCAGACAACAGACTACTGCATCTGTCATGCTCCAAGAGAGACACGGGAGAAGTCGACTTGGGTCTGGCCAAGCAATTTTGACATTTACGATTTACTTGTAATTTCCAAACCGACAGAAAGCCATGTGTGACCGTCCAAATGCGATGGAAATCCTCAGAATTGACTCGTCACTTCAACCCACGAAAGCCAAGTTCTCCATCTGTCTGGGCCAGACTGTCGTCGGTGGAGCTGGACAGGATCAATCAGGTCAGGAATTACCCGACCAACCCAACAAGTTAGTGACAGTAGAACAGACTAACAGATCCTCACGATACTCGGGATTGAGAAATCTCACGAGCCTTTTGGCCGACCTAGGCACTTTTCTTTCCCCCCCTTTCTCTTGTCGACCTTCCCATTCGAGGGGTCGAGGATTCAACACAGACCGCTGGGCCGGATGTGATTACGCGGTGAAGCCCCCAATCCTGTCGCAATTATCCCCCGGGGGGGCTAAAGTTCCTTCCTCAAAGGTCTAGTGGCCTCTTAGGGCTTGACCGGAGCCGTCCAAAAGACTCAAAAAGTGATCCGAGAACGATACGATAGTAACGGCACCCCCCGGTAAGCGAACCAGCAAACGGGGTTTTCTTGGCCGGTGGAGGGTGATTTGGTTTGTCGCGTTAGTTAGTGGCTCCGCCGACAGCTGTCAGCACTCAGGCCAAAAGGGAAAGAGAAAACACCAGGGTTGATGATCTAAAAAAGCGCATCGGTGGTGCATGGCGGGGCAGGGTGTTTGAGAGATTTAACAAGTAGACAGAAAAGTCAGAAACAAAAACAAAGACGGACGGAGATCGTCGCCGAGGTGAACACCCGCGTTGAAAGGACGAAAGCAAATGGGAGATGCGGATGGCAGCCCCCTTTTCTGATTGGGAAAGAGAACAGACCAAGGAAAGGTTGGAATTGCTTTGTAGAGAACCAGGGCGATTCATTGTTATCACATCTTGGAGGAATTTCAGCCGACGGATTCGATCCGAGCCATTAGTGAGAGCCAGAAATATATAGATGATAGATTAACGATTATAAGTGATAGCGTATAGATCGAGTGATGGCGTTTTCATATACCGTCGATATCCACCACGAGCAAGCAAATAAAAAAAATCCAACCATACATATTTTATGCTCTTCTCCCACTCTCTCGGGGAACTCCTTCTGCAACCTCGAGCACTCAGCAAGCAGCGACTAACAGGCCGGAGCCACACGGACTGGGACTGCGTTATCCACGCCGTGTGAAGATCCCACCTCCTCGTATATCGGATCTCCGGAGTACAACTGCTCTGTGAAGGGTACTTCTTTTTATTTCTCTTCTTTTTTTTCTGCCCTTTGTCTCTTATATCTCTCTCTTTTGTTCTGTTCTTTCCCTTCCTATTCGATTGTTCTTCTTTTATAAACATCGTGGTGACAGAGTCGGCCGAAGGAGCAGCGGTGGACAAGGACCGGCCCAAATCCGCTCTAAATCGATATTTTCTGGGGCTCCAGTCAGATCTTCCCGTCTTACGAATTACGACTTACGCCCATCTTGACTCGCCTGCCTTCGTCCTCCATTTTCTACTTTTTTTGCCCTCTTTCTGATACGTCACTGTCTATCCGATCTCTCGTAAGATTCGTCCAACTCTGCAATCGTGCAGAATTTCCCCGAGGGCTAATTTTGGTCTCGTTTGTGTCCAGTTCATCCCTCGGCCTTCTTCTCTCTCCATTGCAAGTCCCGTCCAAAAAAGAAAAAAGAAAAGAAAGAATAGAGACAGAAAAGAAAAAAAAAAAATAAGCGCACCAACACCAACAGCCCAAGTCAAATCTTCAATCCATCAATCAATCAGTCAATCGCTGACAGTCAACTCCCCAATCGCCCGAACAAACATTCCTTCCTCGATTGCTTCCCTTCATTCTCTTCGGATTCGGTCGCGAGCGACAATGGATGAGCTGCCGTGCCCGCCTCACTTACTCATGTAGCAGTTGGACCTTGCGCTGTCGCACCTTGTTTGCTCTCTATCGGATACTTCCCCTTCGCGCCGCCGCGCCGCGCATTGCTCCTCACCATGACTTCTCAATACCCTAGAAGAGAACGAGCTTCTAGCGACAGAGCTCAAGCCCAGCCCGTGCCGTCCATTCCTCCCCAACGACCCGGTCTACAGAGCCGAACCATCTCCGCTCCTGTCGGCGGCCTCTACAAACTGAATACGTCCAACATCTCCGGAATGGATAGCGGTCATAAGGTGGATCGCGCGGTCATAGAAGAAGATGAATTCCTGTCCTCGCCGGGAAGAAACGGGGTTTCGTCCCCTCGGGCAGGCGATGAGGTATGACTTGGAATCAATTCCCTCGGTGCGCCCGGTGCAGCTGGAAAGTCCGGGTTGGATCTACAACTTTGTTCTGGGGTTCTGACTATGTGTTTATCTTTCTTTGCGACAGCCGCTCCAGAAACCGAATTTCCCCCACGTTACCATTGCCGTCGTCGGTCGAGATCATGTCGGCAAGACCACCTTCATCCAAAGCGCCCTTGACATGAAACACCCCCTGTCTTCCCGAGCCACCACAAAGAAGATGTCTCTGGATGGAACGGTCTACCTGGTCCGCCTGCTAGAAGTTGACGTGAAAGAGGTCTCTGTTTCTAATAATGGCACCGTGAGCTGGCCGCGGTTGGGCAATGAGTCGGCATCGGCTCCCACCATTGACGGAGCTCTGGTGATCCACGACGTCACCCAACCCGCCAGTCTCCCCGATCTGACCGGACTCCTAGGTGGGTTATCTACTTTCACATCCTTCTGTTCGCGCTCGCGGCGCAATTGCTGATCTGTCCGCCGGAACTAGATGCCTTGACAACGTTGTCATTCCCGTTTGTGTTGGTCGCCAGCAAATGCGACATCCGCAACTCCGATGGACCATTCGAACCCCAGCTAGATAACTACGAGATCCACCGGACATCACCCGAATCGCCGCGATCACAAAAGATGTGCATCGCATTGGTCTTGCGGGCCGTGATTGGCAATAAATATGGTAAGTGTTGTGGAATTGCGGCGATCCTACTTTACCGTCTACCTACTATTCATCCCCACCACTCAATGGGTCAATTGGAAAGGAAGAGGACAAATAACAGAAAAGAAAGAAATTGAAAAGAAAAGAAAAAGACAAGACAAGAGAAAAAATGCCAACACGGAGTACGGAGGACAGTGACGGTCCACCACGTTGACGCTAGTCCACGGCGCGGCCTGGAATTTAGCGTTCGCGTGCGTTTCCTGGTGCTCTGCCGATCCGCAGTTGCAGTTAGACTACTCTAAATTTTTTATTATCTCGCTGAGCTTGGCTTGGGATTTCGGATTGCTAACGTTTTCTTTCTGTTCTTTCTTTCCCCCGTCGTCTAGACCTCATCGATTATTCTTCCAATCCCTTGCAGGACTGGCATCACTCTCGCGCCAATTCGGAGACCCCAACGTCCGTGTTCGCTGGAGCCGCGGGCGGCCCGATTATTAGTCCCTTCGGTTCAGGAGTCGATGGGTACGGTGTCGACCGTCAGCCCACCGACCAGACGACCTCTCCAAATCTGGCTTCCAATGCCCAGCCCTCCCGATATGCCCGGAGCAATTCGTATCCGGTGCGACCGCAAACTCCCCCCTCTGGCTCTCGGCTGAATTCACGTCGACCGTCGGCCGCGGAAGACTCCTCGCCCAGCAAGGATCGCAATCGACAGCATCGCATGCACACCGCCTGGCGGAACAGTGCCGGGTCGGATGCGTTTAACGGTTTTCTAGACATGGAGGAGGAAGAGGAGATGGAGGGTCGCCCCAGCGCGCCCTCCAGCCCGGGGAGCAAAGAGAAACCTCCCGGCAGCGAGGGCTCCTCGTCGAACGATGCCGGCTTTACGTTTGACGAACTCGTGGATCGACTGGTCGCCCAGCCCTTATCGAAACAAGATTCCAAATTCGCATCGACCTTCCTCTGCCTCTATCGCAAATTCGCCGCGCCGTCCACCTTGCTGAACGCGCTGATCAATCGATTCGAACGGAATGAGAAACACATCGCCGACCAACTGACCCGCATTGCCGATCAGTTGCGGCTCTTAAACATCATGTATTTGTGGGTGTCGGAATACCCTGGGGACCTGGTCTATCCTAAGACGAGGAAGCGCATCACGGATTTCGTTGCGACGCTGGAGAAGAGTCACTTCTACATGTTTGCCGCCAAGGAGGTCGGCTCGTCGCTCGAGGTCAATGCCGAGGATGACGATGTGGGATGGCCATTCCGGGATGGCGATGTCGAGGGCTTTGACGGGCAAGAGACCTTCCTCGATCATTCCGGTCGCAGCTCCCCGTCCATGTTCCTTGGTGGCGCATGGAACAATGGTGATGACACCCACGACGACGAAGAACAGGAAGAGGAAGAGGATCCTATCTACAACATGAGTGCGTTGGACCTCAGCGAGGGCGCAGCAGACCCCTCCTCCAGGCTGACCGGGACCCTGTCGAGCCCAGTGGGCGACAAACCCGGCACCATCCCCAGCCAATCTTTTACCTTTTTGAACTTGGAATCTGCGCAGCGAGAAGCGCAGAACTTGGAACTCACATCCCGCCTTCCCATGGCCAAAATACAATGGCGACAGATCATGGAGATCCCCGACGAGGACTTTGCGCGCGAGTTGACCCGGATCGATTGGATCATGTTTAATTCCTTCCGACCGCGGGATCTCGTGCGACATGTCAGCATATCAGGACCGGACAAGGACAAGATCCAGAGCCTAAAGCACGTCAATCGCATGATCAAACAATTTAACCATTTAGCCTTCTTCGTCGCCAGTTTTATCCTCTTCCGAGATAAGCCGAAGCACCGGGCCAAGGCAATGGAAAAATTCATGAACATCGCCTTGGTATGCCCCCCTCCTTTTCGCCTGCTTTGAATTTATCTAACCGCTTAATCTGATAGAAACTCCGCCGCCTAAACAACTACAATTCCCTCGGGGCCGTGATCGCCGGAATCAACGGCACGCCGGTCCACCGACTCGCGCAAACCCGCGAACTCGTGCCGGTCCAAACCCAGAAAGATTTCATGAGGTTGGTCATCCTCATGGGGACGCAGAAAAGCCACTTCGCGTATCGACTGGCCTGGGACAATTCTTTCGCTGAACGCATCCCCTTCCTGCCGCTCCACCGCCGCGATCTCGTCTCCGCCGAAGAGGGCAACAAGACCTTTGTCGGCGATAGCAAGACGCGCATCAACTGGCGAAAATTCGAGGTCATGGGCGAAGTGGTCCTGGGGATCCAGCAGAGCCAGAAAACACCGTATTCGCATATGCATCGGTATGAGGAGGCGGCTCGCTTGATTCTCGATACGAGATTATCTGGCGATGATGAGGTTTGTCTTCCTTCCCTTGTCCACTATATCTTCCCGTATACTAATGACAAATAGGACTTATACGCACGCAGCACGCACGTCGAGCCTTCTGCTGGAGGCGATGGCGGACGACGAAAGTTCGGCTGGTTACGGTCGTAGCGAAACCGTCCTCAAAACTTGACTATCTCACCGTGGATGATTTAGACCCCACCCCATGTATCACATGTGAAAGTGATGAAATGATTGGAATAGAGCCGAGCCGACCCAGCGAAGCGAAGCCGAGTTGAGTCAGAGGTACAGTGACACGATTATATGAGCTACAGCCATACTACCAGTTGACGAGATGCCTGATGAATTGATGATGATCGTCTGGTCTATGATGTACATACAATACAGTATCTATTATTGAGCAGGGCATATGAATTATGTCTAATGTACCAGGGTATTCTGCCTAGATGAACAAATCTGTAAACAGAAGTAGAAGTAGCTCAGGATACATTGTAGTTGCAGCTGAAGTTGAGGTGAGGTTAAAATCGACATCACGTGATCCATACCTCCGGCGAAAAAAGGCACCTCCGCCCATCTCCGCCATCACCTCTTACAATCTAAACCAAAACCACCCAACACAGAACATCCCTACCTCTATCTCTTCCCTCTGCAAACGGAAACAAACCCAACCCCCACACCAAAAGAAAGAACAAACCAAAAAAAAGCCATCCAGCAAAATCTCAAACCTCCCCCCCCCCCCCCCCCCCCCCCAAAAGAACCCCAAAATGAACAAAACAAGAAGTACCTACCGCGCCCTCCTCCGCGAACTCCCCCGCCGACAGCTCTCCTCCCCGACGCCTCTGCACCAGCGCATCCGCGCGCTCTACCGCGTGCCCATCTCCGAAACCCAGCGCTCGAACCAAACAGCCGCCGAGGCGCTGAGCCACCGCCTCCAAGAAGCAGAGCAGATGGCGCTGTATGCGCGCGCGCAACGCACGTATGCGGCGCTCGTCGAACGGTATAATCCGGGTATGACGATGGATGAGAAGGAGAAGATTAGGTTGACGGCGAGGAGGGTGGGGTGGGATTTGCCGGTTGAGGCGGAGGGGGAGGGTCAGGCTGGGGGTCAAGGGGAGAAGAATTGAGTGTGGATGATTGTTTGACTTCAACAGGATGGGAGAGAGCTTTTTCTGGCCATTTCTGTTCTTTGGTTGGGACTTGATCTGAGATGGATGGGGTGATGGGATTTCGGGGCCCGAGGGGATGGGATGTATTTATATTGGAATTTTGGTTTCGTTTGGGCTATGTATTTATGTACAGTATATTTTATGATTGCGGGGTTTTATTCTATTTGGTTCTTGTATGTATGTTGTGTTGGTCATGTTCTCGGTGTTAAAGAACGGGATTGATTAGATTAAGAAGGCTTTTGTTCTCTTCTCTTTCTGTCGCTGGTTCTTTCAATGTGTCTGTCGACGGTGCGGAATGAGACTGGACTGACGAGTCTGCCATTGGCTTGCATTGCGACGCCAATCGACTTTGGTCTCAGTCCGTCGGTATGCACCTTTCATGTTCCATACATTCGAAATGTATAGACAGGTCATACTCGGCGCGCTGTGCTCTCCAGCATTCGCGCTGGATCTTTCAATCAGATCGAAGTAGGGGTATAATCTGAACCCATTGATCAACCACCCAACTCCACCTTCTCCATCTGTCTCATCAACGTCGAGCTGCCCTCCTCATCTTCAATTCCCACCTCGATCGACGTCTTGGGCCGGTTCCGATTCAACCCCTCCAGCAGCGCACATGCCTTGCATACCTTCTGACTGGAGATATACCCACAGCGCTCGCAGTTATTCATGGTCTGTGTCTTGATCTGCTTGGGAATCCGCTGCCTCACTTTCATCGAGTACGCGGGCTTCGACTCGGTCTTCGCACCGTCCATCTTGATTTCCGTCTCTCTCGACTCGGCCACCTCATCCTCTGCCAACTTCCTCTCCATCTCCGCCATCTCGCCGCCTCTCGTGCGTCCATTCTGGCTACCACAACCGCCCATCGACTCCCCCGCACCGCCGCCACTCTGCTTCACCTCCGGCGGCACCAGCTGGGCCATATCCTCGCCACTGCGCACGATATCCAGAATGGACGAGGGCCGAATCTTCTCCAGATCCTTGATCAGCGTGCGCGCACTGCCCCGAAACGCCTCCGGCGAGTAAATGCACTCGGTACTGAAATAATCCAACTGCTTATGATGCGCATACAGCACAATCTCCTTCTCATACGCATATTTCAACGGCTTAGAGCGCTTAACCTCCGACATGGCCGATCCCGTCACGATACTCGTCCCCCTCGAGAGACGGGGCAAATCCCCACGGAGCAAATTCATCATAACCGTCTCGGCCACATCATCCGCATTATGCCCCGTCACGACATGCGAGATGCCCAAACGCGCCGCGCCGCGATCGAGCGCCTGCCGCCGAAACACGCCACAGTAGGTACAGTTACCCTTCTTGCCGATCTGGGCCACGACCTGGTCCATCGTCCAGCCGTAGAGTTCGCCGTAGCCGACGATCTCCAAGGGCATGGCGTATTGCTGGGCATTGCGTTTCACGGTCTCGAGGCTGTCGTCACGGTAGCCCTTGATGCCTTCGTCGATAGAGAGTAGACATAGTTCGAGGCCGTAGTCGTAGCGCTCGTTGAGCGTCTTCAGCACCGAGGCTAGTACCGTGCTGTCTTTGCCGCCGCTGGCGCCGATGGCGACGCGCTCACCGCGCTGGAAGAGGGAGGTTGATGTGATGGTCTCGTGGACTTCGGTTTCGAAAACGTGTAGGAAACAGCCGCGGCAGAGCTTGTGGCGGTTCTTGGGGCGGATGATGACCGCGCGAGCGGATTTGCAGTGAAAGCAGGGAGTGGGCGCCATTTTCGTGTGTGTCTGTGTGGGTTGGGGTTTTCACTGGACAAACGGCGCGACGGTGGAGGGGTTCGATTTATTTTGGATGGTTAGAGCGAGAAGCCAGTCATTTCGACGATAATGAATTAATCGATTGTAATTGAATGGAGGGGGAGAAAATTGGTTTATCGATAGCGATTAGTCATGGCGGGCGGTTGTGGTTTGCATAGTTTGCTTCTACCTCAAACAAGACAAACAAATCATTGACCGGAAAAATGAGGTCGATTAAAAATATCTAAATGATAAAGATAGATACATACAAGAAAAGCCCCAAGAATCGTCATAAGGATCTTCATTACCACCCCAATTCCTGTAGTATACAAAGCCGTCTATCACCATCTATCCAAATCATATCATTACAGACCAATTGGTTCGAAAGTTTACATCTTCCCCTTGAACAAGTTGGAGATCATCTCGCGACCCGTGATGCGCGACGTCGCCCACAAGGTCGGGAAGTCCAGGGTACTCGAGAAGGTATCAGCGTAGCCAAAGAACAGCATAGGAGGGATCCAGCCGCGGGCGTATTCCAGCGCAAAGCACGACTTGTCCATCTTGTACTGCTTGACCTCGCCGCGACGGAGGTGGTGGACGCTGCCGGCGGGATAAACCTCGGGTTCGAAGGAGCCGGGGACGTAGGCGAGCTGAGTACCCTGGAGGATGTTGAAGTAATCGTCGGCCGTGTGACGGCCGGTGTGGCCCTCGGTTCCGATGGCGGTACCTAGGAAGTAGAAATGGTATGAGTTGGAGTCTAGACTGGTAGAGGTGGATAGGGGTAAAGGGGGAGACGATATTGGGCTGGCTGCCTAGGCCCCGAGAGCCGAAAGCTTGAAAGAATTGAAGAACCGGAGGTAAACTAACCGAAGATGATCAAGTATTCAGTAATACCTAAAAAAAGGTCGGGATTAGTACCATTGACCCTCTTTGTGTCTCGCTCTCCTCTCTCCATCGCAGTGGAGCGGATTGGAGAACTCACTGGCATGGATAATATACATGGCACCCATGGCGCCACCTGCATTGTTGAAGACCCATTCCTCGTCCTTGTTGATGTGAACCGAGGGAACCTTCTGCTCCAATTCGGCCACAATGTAGTTGACGACGCTGCGAGTATCCTCGCCGTGGGCGGCAATGGCGCGCTGCGAAAGATCGTGCAGATGGCTGGGGTCGAAGATGTAGAATTGCTCGAGACGCGACTCGAAGTAGTTGTAGAAGCCGACTAGGGCGGCCAACAGAGTGACCAGGATGCTAAAGAACTGCATGACGGCGGATGTACCGGAGAGGAAGGATTATGGGGAAGAGTGTCGAGAGATGAACCAGAATCGGCGCATCGACTGTTTACTTCGGATGCCAGAAAAGCCGAAGGCGGTGGGAAGGACTTGGCATTTGCTTTGTATGCACTGTTTGTCTGTCTCTCTCTTCGATATCGTCCATCATTCTACACCGTACCGACTTTTCTATATCTACGTCGATATCTACATCTACCTTGAAGTGTCTATCTGTCTATTTGTCTGACCTTCCCCCAGACTCCCGAAGTCTCGAGCCTCTGCAAGACCACGTCATGGCTCCTCTTCACCACCGCCAACCTTGACCATCTTGAAACGGAAGTCTTCCGTCTCTCTTCAGAATTCCAGGTCTTCAACCGAACTCCTCCAAATCCTCCACCAATATTCGTTCTCCCTAATCCCCCGACGATCCGCCATGTCCCACTCCAAACTCCGGATAAATTCCAACTTGGTATCCTCCCTCCGAGATGGTCGTCTCAGGTTGAATGGCTTGATTCAGTTGATCCACCATTCACGCGGCCCACCAGTGCCCCATCCAGGCACCGGAAATTGAATTAAGCTTCCTCGCGGCGTGCGGTGGCTGTCACTGGCTCCGAACAACGGTTCCTTTTAGCCTTTTTAGCCTGCAGACCAATCCGTTCGAGATGTTTCTGGTTGATGGGGTGTGTCAGGTCCCGTGGTCCTGACGATTCAGGATTTCCGATCAGGAGAGTTCGGGGGAGGACGCGGAGCTATAAGAATGGCCCTCATCTCGCCCTCTGTCGGTTGAATTCCTTCTCAGGCTCCAAAGAAATTTCTCAAGGAACTCTTCCCACCGGTCAATTCCATCTCTTCCGTTTCATCTCCGTCACAATGAAGTTCCTCGCCGCTCTTGCCCTCGGCTCTCTCGCCTCCGCCAGCTCCGTCACCCGCCGTGACGACTTCTGCGGTCAATGGGACACCGTGGAGTCGGGTGATTTCACCCTGTACAACAACCTCTGGGGCTCCGGCAACGCCGACAGCGGCTCGCAGTGCACCGGTCTCGACTCGGGCTCCGGCAACGAGATCGCCTGGCACACCAGCTGGTCGTGGACCGGCGGCCAGGGTCAGGTCAAGAGCTTTGCCAACGCTGCCTACTCCTTCACGGCCAAGCAGCTGAGCAGCCTCAGCAGCATCCCCACCAACTTCAACTGGAAGTACGTCATTCTCCGACCGGCAATTGATTGGTTATGAATAGAAAAGGATATGAGAACTGAAACTAACCTGTGGCGTAGGTACACCTCGGGATCGGACATTGTGGCTGACGTTGCCTACGACCTGTTCACCTCGTCCACTGCTGATGGCGACGAGGAGTACGAGATCATGATCTGGTTGGCCGCCCTTGGTGGCGCCGGACCTATCTCGTCGACCGGATCGGCCATTGCCAAACCCACGGTCGCTGGAACCACCTGGGACCTCTACCTGGGCCCCAACGGCCAGATGCAGGTGTACAGCTTCGTCGCCTCGTCCAGCGTTGAGAACTTCGAGGCCGACCTGGTCGACTTCCTGAAGTACCTGCAGGAGAGCCAGAACCTGCCCTCCAACCAGTTCCTCACCCACATCCAGGCGGGTACCGAGCCCTTCTCCGGCAGCGACGCGAAGATGAGCGTCTCCTCCTTCAAGGTGTCGATTGCCTAAACGCCCATAGTTTGGAATGGAATGTGAATGAAGAGGGGGTGTTTCTTTTTTTAGTTTGAGGAGGAAGAGGGGAGAGGGGAGAACAGAGGGGGGGGGATGGGGGAAGTATTTACGCGCCGCGTTTCAACCCTCCTGCTTGTGTAGGTGGGATTGGGATTGGGTGTTACCTTGTACATAGTCAAACAGATTCTAAATATAACCGGATCCAGCACAAATCGACAGTACCTCATGCGACGAAGAGGATTCCATCACATTAACCGCCGGGCGAGATGAAACCACAAGAAACAAGAATAGAAACGGTCGGCGGTTCTGCACGACGGGCGCTTAACTGCAGGAACCGGCCTAAAATCACGTTCTAAGGACGCGCCGGTCCCCTCAGATGGCAGGAGGGTGCATGCAATGAATGGCAGTCAGTTAGTGTTTTCCCCTCGAGGGAAGCATGTCTCTCATGCCAATTCCCCACCCGAATCCCCCCTGGTTGCGCCAGCAGGAGGCGACAATCGAAACGCGCCGTCCCAAAGCGACGCAACCCCTTGAGAGGGCGAGAGGGAGCGACAAGGAAGACCAGGAAGCAACCAAGAATTCAAAAAGAAAAGGGAAAAAAAGCATTGGACTCGTGTTCGAGGATCGGAGGGGGCGCACAAGCCAATGACGAGGATCGTGAGGGAGGGAATGCAGGCAGCGCGTTCAACCGCCGTCCTTGCATGGCCAGCCTTTCTCAGCTCGTTGGTTGGACTGATTGACTGGATGGAACTCGATCTGGTTCTTCTTACTTATATCGTCCGGTTGACGCTCCTTTTGGCTCGTTCTATTCTCATATGCTCAACTCACGGGGTGGTTTCTTCCTTCTCATACACTGTCGTTTGATCCTTTCCTTAGTTCTGGTCATTTCTGTCTCTCTCTCTATTTGTTCTTTACATCTATATAATTAAGAGACTCCCCGGTGTCTCAGTCTCATTTCCATCGTCGGCCATTTGTCTCTGATCAGTCAGGTTGACACGACAACCTTCTGCATTCCTGCTGGCAGGATTCCTACTGTGACCTCAACGCCAACATTCCTTTTTCTACCACCCTAATTGATCGCTGCAATTTTGTTCTTTTTGATTGAAAGACAAACACTTGCCAACCTTCATTTTTCTCTCTGCTCTCCCTCTCTTTTTCTGTTCCTCTTCTTCCTGTTCTCTCTCTCATCCTCCCTTCCTCCATCTCCAAACCCTAACTACTACACTCTCCCATCCTACTATGGCCAACCAGCCATCCTTCTACAGTATGGACAACGTCCAGACGCTCAACCGTGCCGCTCTGCAGGAGTTTATTCGACAGCCGGTGACTCGTGAGATGGTGGCTCATCTGGCCCTGCAGGCCTCGCGGGTCATTCGCTGCGAGTCGCACATGACGGCTTCCCAGCCTCAACATCACCAGCATCACCAACACAACAACAACCAACAGCAACATGGCCAACCCACGCCCCCAACTACCCCGCCGTTGGATGTATCCTCGCCCTTGCCGTCCGTCGAAACCTTCATCGTTTCGTTGGTCACTCGTTCCCAGGTGCAGGTGCCTACACTGATGACCACCCTGGTTTACTTGGGTCGACTGCGCGAGCGACTGCCCCCGGTCGCCAAGGGCATGCGCTGCACGGTGCACCGTATCTTCCTGGCCTCGTTGATCCTGGCGGCAAAGAACCTAAACGACTCCAGCCCCAAGAATAAGCACTGGGCCCGCTACACCACCGTCAAGGGCTACGACTTTGGCTTCTCCCTGCCCGAGGTCAACCTGATGGAGCGCCAACTGCTCTTCCTGTTGGACTGGGACACTCGCGTCACCGAAGCCGATTTGCTGCGCCATCTTGAGCCTTTCCTGGCGCCCATTCGCCAGCGCTACCTGCACTACCAGGAGCGCGAGGCGGAGCTGCGTCAACCCCGCGAATGGCGCCGTCTGCACGCCTCTGCCGAACTGCTGGCCGGTCGTCTGCGTCGTCAGAAAATGGAGGCCCATGCTACGTCCGATACGGGCCGGCGCCAGAGCCACCACCATCGCCAGCGATTGCCTCCCAGCCCAGAGTCCCTTTCTTCGCTCTCGTCGTCCGGCGCCTCGCCTGCCGCCTCCCTGGCTGACACCGATCGCTACCACCCGTATTCGTCGCGCCAGCGTCCGACATCGCGATCTCCGCCGTCCGTGCAGGACGTCCCCATGCTCTCGCGCGCCGAGACCGTTCCCTCGCTCAGCTCGCGCGCTTCCAGCGTTGCTCCCAGCTCTCGCGGCGACACGCCCGCCAGCCTGCGCACCTCCGGATCCATCTCCAGCATGGAGGAAGACGTGCGCGTGGCCGATGCGGCCCGTAGCCCCTCGCTGCACGGCGGATACGTTCACCTGTCGGACGTCAAGATGGACGACGCGCCGCCGTCCGGCAAGAAGATGCGCATGTCCGGCAGCCACGCGGGCGGCGGTGGCCTCGTGGCCCGATTCTTCGCCTCGGCGGCTGGATCGTACATGAATGGACGCATGCGCCATGTTTGATTTTCTTTCCTTGTTGTATTGATCTCGTTCCACCTGAGCTGGTCTCATTCCGTCAATTTAATACATCTATCACATTTTCCTATCCTACATGTCCTTCCAACTCCATACCCAATATACGTGTTCCTCATTCTTTCCCAGAACTTTCTCTAATATCCTTCGATATGACTTTCATTACTTTTTTGTTTAAAAGTACTTGATGCCCCCTGTTCTTTCCTTTCCTTCTATCTCTGGATGTGCAACAATACCCAGGTTTACACCAGTCTCTCGTTTCTTGCATACATATACACGCTTCTATCTTTTTGCACGGTCGGCGTTCTGCTTTCTTCTTTCTGCTGGGACAAACGGACGGATTGGTTGGGTCGGACAATCGGCTGGGCAAATACAGACTGTTATCCTTATTCTTACTGATAAGACTTGTTCTTGTTCTCTGTTCATCTTGACGGTCGCTTTCACGTTGACGTTCATGTTCATGTTTCCATTTCTCGTTCCATCTTTGTCATATCTACTCATCTCCGTGGGTTCTTTTACTTGTTCATGTCCATGTTCATTTATGAGGGTTTCTGTACGTATCATGCTTTCTTGTCTTCTTTTAATCTTGGTCTCGGCGTGTACGTGGGCTTTGCTTGATTATATACTATACAATAACATATTACATTAAATCTATCGTTTCATTCTATATTATCCTACCATATCTCAGACCAACAATAGACCTCTAGAGTAAATATAACCTACCTACCTACCTACCTCTTCCCAAAATCACATCTCTTCAACCCCACGCAGTAGATAGAGTAAGTACGGGAGTACCTCTCCCCAAAATCCAGATCCAGATCCAGATCCAGATCCCAATCCAACAAACCCCGCACACCCAGACAGACCCTCATTATCATGTCTCAAATCCAGCAAAATAGTCGAAATGTCCAATCCGTCTCCTCCTTGCATGGTCCGACCCGACGACAGGCCTTGCCTTGCCTTGCCTTGCCTTCCCTGTGCGTGCATTAGTCTTCCGTGCCCTATGAGACGAGCTTAAATGACGCGGACGCGGTCAATAGATCGGTGGCCCTCGCAGGAGGCGGTACTTTTGTTAATGGGTCGGCTGTCCGGTCTTTCTTTTTTGGGGAAGAGGGGGGGGGGGGGGGGGGGGGTTGAGACATGGTGTTAGATACTATGCGCCACGCGTGGTGATGGTCTGTCTGCCCTGGTTATGGAGGGTATTGTACTCCGTACATAATCAAACATTGGTATTGTTCAGGTGTCAAGGGGTTCAGGTTAGATGCAGTTATAGGTTGTGTTGTGCATAAGATGCATAATTTATTCATGGTATGCATAACTTTATGAATATTGTATGTAGTTCTTAAGTTATTCGTAGTTTAGATAACGTAATCGGTAAGCGAGCGCCGCATGCAAGCGAGCGCCGCAGCTCACGCGTTTTGACTCCGGTCGAAAACCTCACTCAATTCAACTACCAGCCATGCCTCCAAAAGCGCGTCAAAAGGCTAGAAATCTAGCTGAGCAAGAAAGCAGGATCCTATTAGCGATTTCTGCTATTCAAAAAGATGAAATCCGCAGTATTCGTGAGGCAGGTCGTATCTTTAATATTCCTGAGAGAACCCTCCGTCGACGGTTTAGTGGTATCCCAACACGTCTTGAAACACACGCCAACTCCCATAAAATGACTCAAAATGAGGAGATTTCGCTTGTACGATAGATCCTATCGCTTATTCAACGTGGAGCACCTCCCCGACCGTCTCATGTACGAGAAATGGCCAATATTCTTCTTGCTGCCCGTGATACTACACCTCTTCAATCAGTCGGACAGAAATAGGTCTACAACTTCGTCCAAAGGCATAATGAATTGAAGACATGCTTTTCTAGACGATACGGCTATCGGCGTGCCCAATGTGAAGACTCTAAGATTATTAGAGAATGATTTGACCATGTACAAATCACTATAATGCAGCATGGGATTGTATCTGAAGATATCTACAACTTTGACGAGACTGGCTTTGCTATGGGCCTAATAGCTACTGCTCGGATAGTTACTAGAGCTGATTTCTATGGTAGAGCACGTCTTGTACAACCAGGAAATCGAGAATGGGTTACTTCTATTGAGTGTATTAGCTCTTCTGGATGGGCGCTTCCACCTTGTATAATCTTCAAGGGAAAGGTCCATATAGAGGGCTGGTATCAGAGTGATCTACCACCTGACTGAAAGATTGAAGTCAGCCCAAATGACTGGACTAGTGATAAAATAAGCCTTCGCTGGCTTAAGAATCTCTTTATTCCTATCACTACTAGTCGTACAACTAGGAAATATCGTCTCCTAGTTCTTGATGGCCATGGCAGTCATCTGACACCTCAGTTCGACCAGATATGCAGTGAGAATAATATTATTCCTATCTGTATGCCTGCTCATTCATCACATCTACTACAACCTCTAGATGTTGGCTGCTTTTCACCACTAAAGGGTGCATACGGACATCTAGTGGAAAAACAGATGCGCCTTAGAATCAATCATATTGACAAGCTTGATTTTCTTAAGGCATTTCCTAAGGCACGTACAGAGACTTTTACTGCTAACAATATCTGCAATGGTTTCTCTGCTACTGGGCTAGTTCCATATAACCCAGAACGAGTGCTCAGTCAGTTGAATATTCAACTAAGGACTCCTACACCACCAGACAGTCGATCAACCAATTCAGTGCCTAAGACACCCTATACCACTAGGCAGCTTGAGAAGCAGACATCTACAGTAAAAAAGAAAGCTTCTTGAAAGGCGTACGCAGCAAAGAACACGCTCACAGAGTCCTACCTCTTCCTTAGAGGTACGATTGGACAAGATTATCAAATGCAGCGAATTAGCCCTAAATGAGGCAGCTCTTGCGCGTCAAGAAATTCGTGATTTACGAGCTGCAAATGAGAAGCAGCTTCAAAAGAAAAAAAAGTCTACTAAGCAACTTACTGCTTCAGAGGGTCTTTCTATTCAGGAGGGTCAGGAGCGATTTCAGCAGAAGAATCAGGTCTCTGAAGCTCAAGATACTAGACCTAAGGATCCAGGACTTCTTGCAGTTGGGCCCCGTGTACGCGCTCCACCGCAATGTTCTAATTGTCATATTCGGGGGCATACTAGGGTTAGATGTCCTAATCCACCTAGTAATTAGTTTGATATAGAAATGCGATTGTTTTGTTGATAAAAAGGTGCTTAAATCTCACCTAGTCGTGGAAATCGGGTGGAGGTGCGGCGCTCGCTTGCATGCGGCGCTCGCTTACCGATTACGTTAACTATAAGATGTCTTTATGTCAGCGGTTGATAAGTACAATTATGCCCATGAGGTACCTATCCTATGCTATCTTGCTCCGTACATGCAACCTTGTCCACGCATAAAACGCCTACAACACACATATCGTTTGCTGGTTGGGTGGGTCGCAAACGTATCGCAGACTCGCAGCAAACTCTGTATCAGGAGTGCGGCATGCGAGGTAACTAGGGAGCCACTGAGGATGACCAGATAAATGAACACAAATATCCCAACAAGATGAGAGTGACATGATCAAGAAAAGACCCTGCCCTAGGTCATATACATTGAATGAGTTGGTGGAGTGAAAGTGTTGGTAGGCGACCGGCGAATGCGTGGCAGATCAGCTTCACGCATTCAGTACACCTACCTAGAGTGCATTTTCCCAACGATCCTTCCATCATCATCATCATTTTCATCAACATCAACAGTAATGACATATACATCCCACATGTCACGTGCATCCTTTCCCAGGAACACAAGCCAAGGATAGGCGCCAACTCAACCATATCCAGGTTTTGTTTCTGCAGTAATAACATATAACATCCCAGGTATCGCGGGCGTCTGTCCCCAAGGAGTATATCGTGGTTCTGTTTCTGTAGTTAGCGTATATCCCAGGTTTCTTGGACAGAACCATGAAATAACCAAGGTATCTGATGAGCTCGCGATCTCCTCATCTTTCTAGTTTGAGACATCGGATTGCAAAACCAAATCTCTTTATGCAGGAGTCGAAAGCGGTATAACATGCCTCAACCTCAGGATGATACTGTTGGTATCGTGTGATAGCACGGCCCCTTGATGTGGAGCCATTGAATATCGCATATAAACAATGCTTCTTCGCCGGTAAAGGTATCCAGCAACGTCGTGAAGCCTTCGATGTCTGTCTTGGTTCCTGGTCTTTCGAAATACGTTAGACGTTCCAGCAGATGAAACGTAAGAATGATTGTGTCTGGGTAACTCACGGAGACCATTGTTATTCGCTTGCCGCTTCTCTCACGCCGGTCTAGCTGGCCGGGGGTAGGGTAGGACCTGATCAACCAGTCTGCAGGGCCGAGATAGCCCCATGATGAAGTTCGATGAGATCAAGACGTCGAAGAGTAGGCGTATATATCAGATCATGTTGCCGCAGATGTATGCTTGTTTTGCACAGTCTTTGGATGATATTGAGTATAAATTCGCCGCTGTGGTGAGGATCGCGGGGAATCGTGCTCAAGCGTCTCACGGCCCTTGGTATCGAAAAATTCCTTCCGTTTGGAACGTCTTGAGGGATTGAGTCGCGGCTTCATGAGCTTTGCCGCGGGCGATTTCCTCCAGGCTGGAGTATGTGTCCAGAGGATGTGTCTCACGAATGGTATCGCGTGTTACTGCATTAAATCAAATGCTTTGGTTGTCCCGGTTCGACAGATGACGACCTTTGTTGGGGCTCTATCGAAGTCACCCGGTATATCCCGTCCAGTATACATGAGAGTAAACAGTTCTCCCCTTCCTTAACCATTCACTCTCTAGGTAGCTGTGACCGCTAGGCCGCCGGAGAATGCTGTTTTCAAACAGGACAGGGGCGGTCCTCTCCACCAGCGCAGAAACGTTCAAGAGTTGCTTCCTTTGCATCACGGTTCATGCATGTCCGTTCCAGTCAACCAGGCCAACGTTAGGTGTACACTGAAGGAGGAAATCTCTTGTCATGGAGTGATATAGTACCTGTACATC